AAAAAGTGTCAGTGACTTGTTAAAACCATGGTTCAGAAAAAAATCTCTTGAATGATATGTGGGACAGTGTTCACAATGCTTGGGAAAAATTCTCACCTGATAATCGAAAAACCTCGAAATATAAAGTTATTACGTCGAGCGAATGGCCTACAAATTACTAAACTTTACAAAAGCTATACATACGTTTTAATTTATTGTTTCTTAGATTAATTTTACCCATTACTTTCATTGAGCGTAATGATATGTCTCAATATAGCTCTGTTTGACCGTCGGTGTATATCCTACAATATTTTCGTTGCACTGCAGTAGAATTTCTATATTTTGTGAAAGAAAGGTTAGGAAGGCTCGTAAATCATTTGTCATTTGCACAATTCTTGAACTTTTAGGCTAATAACGTTCAATGTCCAATATATGATATTTATATCAGGCTCAAATGTTCTGATCAAGGGTATTGCTCCACGTTTATGATTGAAACAGACAATTTGATGTTACTATGACCAAATCACATGTTAAATAAGTCTTTATATACATTTGTAACTTGCTAGCTCTAGTTTGGTGATATGAAGCACTATGTACCCTAAGTTGTTGGCAAATAGCATTTAACATGGTGACTCAAACCACTTTGGCATTTATCTAATTAATCTAAACAATTAAACGATTTTGGACGAAATCGCGGGAACAACAGTTCAAGGTAAAGGCAAATAACATGGCGGGACGCACAGACGTTCTTTGCGTGCCTTTGATTATAGTATTCATATATCTGAGTGTTAGTGTCTATAAAATGAATCTTATGACACCAGATGGAATAAGTGTTATATTTTTCGAAGGGATATAGCTATGAAGGGTGAAACCTTTATATTATCAGCGATTTGGGTACAGAAAAATGACAAAAATGTCTGCTGTCGCTTTTCAACGTCGAGGAGAACGCTTATTGTCCTGATGTTACTCATGTGTGGTGACATTGAATCATGCCCTGGTCCTGATCAAAGTAAGCTTGACATGTTTACTACTAGACGTGGTCTTAAGATATTTCATCAAAATGTTAGGGGTTTATTTCCGAGCTTTCTCGATGTGCACGAGTTGCTGAATCGGAATAAACGCATGGATGTCTTATCTCTATCAGAAACTTATATAATCGAGGAAGAATATAACGATAATGATGCATTATTTGCAATAGATGGATATACGTTTATCAAACGAAATAGGAAGAAAGGTCAGGGTGGTGGTGTAGCTGTTTACTTGAAAGATAATTTAAGATGGAAAAGGAGGCATGACTTGGAAAGTGAGGAAATTGAGAATATTTGGATTGAAGTTTTGATACCAAAGTCAAAAGGTTTCTTGCTTGGTATATTCTATAGACCACCAGAGACCTCGAAATATCTATCGGCTGATTTTAATATTGTCTTCAAAGATATGCTACAAAAATGTTCAAATGAAAACAGAGACTATTATGCTTGGGGACTTTAATGTCAATTCATGAATAATGATCATGATAAAGATATCAAGAGTGTTTTTCGACTTTATGGATATAAGCAGATTGTTAGGAAGGCCACTCGTATAACAAATAATTCAGCAACTCTCATTGACCTGATTGCCACAAATTACCCTACGTTTTTATCTGACTGTGATGTTTTTCCGACTTGCATAAGCGATCACGACATGGTTGGATGCGTAAGAAAGATGAACAATTCAAAATTTACACCAAAAATTATTACGTGTCGCAATTATTCGACATATAACTCAAATAACATGAATAAAGAATTTAATGAAAGTATTTGGGAGCCTTTAAATAATGCTGATGATGTTAACGTAGCTGTGGCTTATTTTAATCAAACAGTAAAATCGATATTTGACAAACATGCACCGCATAGTGTTAAAAAAGTTCGAGGAAAACCTTGCCCATGGCTTCATAATGATCTTAGAAAATGCATGACTAATCGAGACCGAATGTTAAAAAAAGCACGAAAGTGCAACACGGTTGAAGATTGGAATATCTACAAAAAGTTACGGAACACATGTAACAACAAATTAAAATCAGCCAAAAGTTCATTCCAAAGAAAAGCTTTTAGATGAATGCTCACTAAACCCCATGAAATTCTGGCAAGTAATTAAGACGATTCTTCCTTTTCGGAAAACCGTAACATCAATTGATGGAAATATACCAGATAAAGGAACTTTAGCAAGTCAATCGGAGAATTTCAGCAAATACTTTTCTACAGCTGTAAATAAATTAAAGCACGACACAATAAAACTGGGGAATTTTGTTTGGAAATTTCCAAAAACAAGACATTCACGTTCGTCCAACGTTTTTAAAATACAAAGTGTCTCGAATGCTTTTGTCCTCAAAGAACTTAGAAAAATGAAAAGGAATAAGGCATGTGGTGTTGATGATAGATTGTTGAGGGATTCTTGTGAGCATATTTGTCAACCACTGGCATATATAATAAACTTGGCCGTACAGACAAACAAAATACCTAGAGTTTGGAAAACTGCGAAAGTGGTTCCAATCCATAAAAAAGGTTCTAAGGACAACCCAATGAATTACAGACCAATTCCTATTCTACCTGTACTTTCAAAAGTACTTGAGAGGGCTATACATCAGCAGTTGATGAAATACCTAGAAGAGAATAGATTATTGACAGATTATCAATTTGGGTTTAGATCGAATAGATCAACTAATGTGGCTGCAACTATATTTGTTGACAATATCAGAAGAGAGGCTGACCGTGGAAATTTGGTTGGCGCTGTGTTCATTGATCTAAGTAAAGCATTCGATACAATAAGTCACAGCTCTTTACTGAGTAAACTGCCAGAATATGGAATAGTGGAAAATGAATTAGAACTGTTTACTGATTATTTATTTGAAAGGAAACAAGTTGTTCACTTAGGTACATAACAATCAAATATTCAACCAGTTTACAATGGTGTTCCTCAAGGGTCTATATTGGGTCCACTTCTTTTTATCATCTTTTATAACGACTTTCCTGATTGCATCAGCGAGAGTCAGTTTTTGATGTATGCTGATGACTCAGCAATTTATTCAGCAGGTAAAAATGTTGAAGAGAATGAAAAAACGTTAGCAAATGATTTAAAGTTTATTGCTGATTATGTTGATGAGAATGAACTGATCATTAATCTGAAAAAGGGTAAGACCGAGGCTATGTTATTTGGAACAGCAAAAAGGATCCCACTCCAAAATCGTCAGATGCAAATCAACTATCGTGATAAACCAATAAACAACACTGAAACATATACGTACTTGGGCTACATACTAGACAAAAACCTAACAATGCAAAAAATTTTGATAAAGCATTTAAGAAGTCCTGCAACCGACTTAAAATCCTATCTAAACTACGGCATATTATGAACGCAGACACAGCTCTAAGGATATACAAAACAATAGTTCAACCTGTCATGAATTATGCTGGAATGCTTAAACTGCAACTAACAGGTACCCAGTTAAGTAGAATGGAATCAATTGAAAGGAGATTACAAAATATGATTCAAGTTTCGGGAAAGTTGGTACCCTCTACTTTAAAGAGCATACAAAAACGAGCTTGTAAAACAGTGAGGCAATGCCTGGACAAAAAAAATTTGCCAATTTTCATGATTACTTTGAAATAAATAACAAAAATTGTCATACAAGAAACATAGGATCTTTTATAAGAATTCCAAAAGTCAAATTAGATTTTGCTAGACAATCTTTTTACTTTAAAGGTGCAAAACTTTATAACAATATGCCCTTTGAAATAAGGAATGAGAAAAACTATAATAAATTTCTCAATCTATTAAATGAATTTTATAAATGATAACTTTCATATTCTTTTTATTTTTTATTCTCTTATTATCTATATTTACTTTTATATGTATGTACTTTAATAATCTTTTTACATATTTTATTGTTTATATTCATGTAAGTAGAGGTCACATTTTGATAACAGTGTTCTTGACACTGAAATGTTTTTAAAAATGTTTTAATAATAATAATAATAATAATAATAATAATAATAATAATAATAATAATAATAATAATAATAATAATAATAATATTGACTGTACGTATATAGAAAACACGATGATGTTCTTTAGAAATATGAATTGCAAGTCATTGAAAACAAGTATTTGACGATTGCACTTTGTAGAAAGCTATTTACCCACGTGGCGTCACCATTTGTCAAACTAAGTTATACAACTTCGTCATCAAAACGTATCAAGCACTTAAATCGGTAAAAGATCCAAGAAATATTAAAGTATGAGTGGATAGAAGAAAGAAGATGTTGGAGCTATGTGAGCAAAATTTCACATTTTTGTCCCCCAAAACTTGACTTTTCTTTATTACTTTCAAATAGTTTGTTGACCGAAAACTTTGTATATGAAATATACATTGATTTAGTTGTATAATAACTGGAGCGGTTATCTCAATCACCGCTTTAAACTGACGCCAAAAAAATGGAGGATTTGATCATGGGACAAAACTATAGGAGTTATCGTTCCAATTGATGTTACTGTTCACTGATTTATCCATGTTTTTTTTTGGCGTCATCACTCCAGTCCACTAAGCCGCTCCATTTATGGACCACTGTATACGTACTCTATAACTCAAGGGTTGGAGGCAATAATTGGCCACTGATATGAGGGCCAAATTTAGAAATACACATGGCAATACAATATATTTTATTGAATACATGTAAAAATGCTGGAAATTCTTCTGGAAATGAACTAAATGAAATGAACTATGGAAATCAATGAGGAAATGAGGTTAGCCATCGGCACTTCTGTCAAACTTGTACAACACTGGTTGTCTATATATGCCACAAGGTCAACATCTTCATCCGCCACAGGCCTTGTCGTTGGGTGAAACACAAAATATGTTTTTATCTTAAGTATACTAACTAATACTACTTTTTGCAATTTAAACTTTGTACTTTCGTTATTAACGCTTTACTTCGCATTTTTTGGCCCTTTGAGTTTTGCATGGTTTTTATGATGTTGTCATGTTTCCACTCGGTAACTAGCGTTAATATGATAAAAACAAAATTTATAGAATTGTGAGAAGTTCACCAAAAGTTCACAAAGTTTTAATGCTCATCAAAAGTTCATGAAACAAAGATCATAGTTTGTTTAAATGCGGAACTTTAACCTGATGACAATGCAATATATTTATGGATATATAATACAACTCAATGACCAGTAAGAATACCTTACTTAAGTCACATGATACATAAGTCGTGAAAATCTCTCAGGCGAGAGTCAACTGACAAGAGCCGTGGATCTTTAAAGCCTTATACTTGTATTTTATGTGAGAAATCATCCTTGTAAATATGCTTGAAGAAAACGTAATCAAAAGGTGGAATCGCAAAAAAGATAGAAAAATATTCACTCTTTTCTAAGTTGTGAGGACGGATTAAATCAGCATAAAAGAAGGTATGTATTTTAGTGTTGAATAAGTAAACTGTAAAGGCGTATAATGACACGAAAACCGGCAAACATTTTCTTAAATTTTGTTTAATATTATTAACGAAATAAAAGATACATTTGTACCCTTACAGGCTATACAAAAACTACACTAAAGTTGAATTTAAATTTAAATGTTTTCTCAGTATAAGGGGAAGTACCTCTGCATGCATCGTTGCAACGACATTCGCATATAATATAACGACATTGAACGATTTAGTCAACACTTGTGTCAATTTCCCTTGATGCAATGCGAGCACGAATGCAGTTGTATTCAAGTATTAAATGTCAACTTTGACCTCCATTTATTTGCTTAAACATTGTTATACATATATTTTCTACGTTTCATAGATGAGTTAGTTTTTGTCTCGTATACAATGCTTTGATGTAGTCATAAAAATAAATATGCTAAAGAACTTTCGTTAATTATTCGTTTACATGAATTATTCCTATGATTCAAGACATACATCCTTATTTTAATGCAGTTTCGTTTCAAAAAATTTCATAAATACAAAATTGATTCATCATTCATCTACTGATCAAGTTCCGGGCTCTATTTTTACTGTATGCAAATATGATTACATAGAAACTTTTGACTTTCAATTGGTTTAGAATATATTATGAAAGTATCGAGTCATGATGTGACATTGCTTTGTCAATTAAAAACCACTTTATTTACAAGTTAATAAAACTGCTTTGTATTAAGATTAAGACGTATCAAATGATCCAATTTTTGAGACATGCCTGAAAAATCAACACACATATGTCATTGATAAAGAATTACAGAATTCAAAAGACTTCAGAAACTTAGCATTTTTGATCAACAAGGATGTAAATACCTCAGTGCCCCTTTGGATATTTCTTGCGATTGAACAAACAACTGTTTCAAAATTCATAAACTTGAGAAAACACAGTCATCAATGATCTCGTGCATCTTATTGTATCTTAATTTATTGTGTTTCCTTTATATTATCATCAAAACCTTTGTGTTTGTTGCTTTATTTTGGGTTGTGAACCCTTTTAATAAGATTTTACAACAATTAAATTTGTTTTTCTTTTCATTTTTGAAAAAGGCATTGATAAATATTGATAATACCTTTAACTTACTAATTTTTGTATTGATTGTTCTATCAGCGAAATGTGATGATTTGACAAAGTGGTTCAAAACATAAAGATATCAACCTCAAACACATATATTTTTTGTGAATGCCTTTTTTAGATTATTTGATGATTTAAATTATTCATTCCTTTTTACTAGTTTCAATGAAAAAACTGACCATCCATAGAGTTTTCTTAGTCGGTAAAGTTTGCTCTCTCTTTTTTGTTTCTTTTATTGAGTTTCACCATAAAAAATGCTAATAATTACTTGCACTTCACATTAAATTGTGGTTATCATTTCATTTTCTTTTTGCTTATAAAAATTTAATTTGGCTTTGAACTGTGCAAACTATAGTGACGGAGTTATATATGAAGATAACCACCAGCTTCTGCTCAAAACACTCTGACTTTTTCTAATTTAGGTTAGGAACTTGTTAAAACAAGCTGTGGTACAAAGTTAATATCTCCGAAAGTTCGTAAAATTGCATAATGAAGCATACCATTTGTCAGAAACTATAAGGTACTTGTTGGAGAAAAAAGTCATATCTGTCATATTATATTGTACATAAAATTTCTGTTGAAATTTCTCATTTTTCATCAATAATAAGTTTATACAAGATGCTGTGTTTTTGTTGGAGTTTGGACATTTATTTAATTAGACGTTTACGAAAATCTCGCCACCCAAGTTTGTATTTTGATCTCAACTCTGGCTCTTGTAAAATATATAAAAACAAGACTCCGGCGCACAGGTCTTTATACATAGAGCAACGTAGAGCATGTTCATATTCTCTAATATTCACTTTTTTTGAAATATTCTTTTTGCTGATCTAGACCAAAACCAAATAAATAAATGTTGACTTTTAAATCCAGTTTTTATCTTGGATTAATTGCATTTCATTTGTTGTCGTAGCTTTCCATCGCTTTTTGTTGACTGCAACTTAAAGTGTAAAAGCTGTTGAACAGAGACTATTTATTTGTCATTATTATTAGCAACTACAACCTTTGTTGGGCAATTTCATGTTTAAATGCACTTGATGTTAATTTTGAAAGTTGATTTTAAGAAGAAAGCAAATACAATCCTTCAAAATTCAATTATTCCATTTTTTTGAAACGCGACTTTAGTATTATCTTGCTGGAATAATACTCGTAAATTTTTATTATTTTGAAATAATATTATATTTGTAGTTAGTGTTTCATAATGAATATTGTTATTGAGTTTAAATTGCCTTTTTTAATTCTTCTAATTGTGTTTAGTTACTAAAGCTAAGCAAAACAAATTTTTGTTAATATTAGAAATACTAATTGATCCAGACTATCAATCTTAAATATTCTGCATGTCAATGATTAAATTATTAGTGATTTAGAATTGCTTAGATGAAACAATACGTATGGATCAACAATTGCATTTTAGTTGCTGCATGTCTAATCTGGTATAATGTCCACTACATTCAAAATTTACTAATTATTGGAAACTGAGCAAACTCCTGAATACCACACTTACATGGTCGTATTTAGGGAACCTTAGTGAATCGTTCTTGTCGAAATTGAAAATATTTGAAATAAAAATTCATCACTCATTGAAACATTTATATTGATGGTTGACAAACATGGTAATATATCCTACATGGAATTGCCCTGTAGTCCAACATTAAATGTTAAAACACAAATTTACAGTTAACTTTAATTACACTATGCAAAATGAAGCTCACTGTTTTAAATTGACGTTCAAATAAAGTTCACAGTTTTAAATAGAAGTTCAAATGAAGTTTACCGTTTTAAATTGAAGTTCAAATGAAGTTCACCGTTTTAAATTGAAGTTCAAATGAAGTTCATTGTTTTAAATTGAAGTTCAAATGAAGTTCACCGTTTTAAATTGAAGTTCAAATGAAGTTCACCGTTTTAAATAGAAGTTCAAATGAAGTTCATTGTTTTAAATAGAAGTTCAAATGAAGTTCATTGTTTTAAATAGAAGTTCAAATGAAGTTCATTGTTTTAAATAGAAGTTCAAATGAAGTTCACCGTTTTAAATAGAAGTTCAAATGAAGTTCACCGTTTTAAATAGAAGTTCAAATGAAGTTCATTGTTTTAAATAGAAGTTCAAATGAAGTTCATTGTTTTAAATAGAAGTTCAAATGAAGTTCATTGTTTTAAATAGAAGTTCAAATGAAGTTCATTGTTTTAAATAGAAGTTCAAATGAAGTTCATTGTTTTAAATAGAAGTTCAAATGAAGTTCATTGTTTTAAATAGAAGTTCATTGTTTTAAATAGAAGTTCAAATGAAGTTCACCGTTTTAAATAGAAGTTCAAATGAAGCTGACCGTTTTAAATTGAAGTTCACCGTTTTAAATAGAAGTTCAAATGAAGTTCATTGTTTTAAATAGAAGTTCAAATGAAGTTCATTGTTTTAAATAGAAGTTCAAATGAAGTTCATTGTTTTAAATAGAAGTTCATTGTTTTAAATAGAAGTTCAAATGAAGTTCATTGTTTTAAATAGAAGTTCGAATGAAGTTCACCGTTTTAAATAGAAGTTCAAATGAAGCTGACCGTTTTAAATTGAAGTTCACCGTTTTAAATAGAAGCTCAAATGAAGTTCATTGTTTTAAATAGAAGTTCAAATGAAGTTCACCGTTTTAAATAGAAGTTCAAATGGAGTTCACTGTTTTAAATTGAAGTTCAAATGAAGTTCACCGTCAGAAACTGTAGAAAATGTGATTGGCTGTTTGCATCGATGACAGCTAACTTTGTATTATTTAGAGTACTGCACAAAATTTTGGGTTATCTTCTAGGTTTTCTCGTAGTTATGTCACGTCATCGCTTACATCCTGAATGTACAGGTCGTGTAGAAGCAGATGCTGTTTCGGTTGAAAGAGCAAGAACAAAAATTTGTGGAAGCTGTAGTAAACACTTTGTTCAAGGCGAACGCCCAGCTTATCAATGCCTTGCATGTGACTTCTACGTGTGCGTTAATTGTGAGCGTCCAATATATCATCCTGCACATCCTGAAAATGCTCTTTATCTTACGATCAAGAAATCGTCATGGAGGTGTGATGTATGCAGAAAGAGTAGTATTGATCTTAAAGACAAGCGTTTTTATAGTTGTGATGAAAGTTACTTTAAAATGTGCGTAGATTGCTCAAAGGAAATAAGGACAACTCTTCACCCACATCCTTTGCTCCATACAGATACTAGATACACATATCCACAAACCAATGGAGAATGGAACTGTGATATATGCCGAAATAACAATGGACCAGGACATTAGTAAGGCTTTAAATTTTCTCATGTTGAAGTTCTCATAATTGCACGACTTGTTGTCACATTTTATGTTTCCAACTTGCTTGTTTTACTTTTTTTTATGAAAGATTGAGCTGCCAATTTTTCTGTTCGCCTCATCAAAATTCAGCTTTTGCGCTATTCACTGTGTAGAAACATTTCAATGTTGTATCTGTAATGTGTTGTAGCTAATATGTCGTAAAATAATTACAGTATAAGGCAATTTAGTGATTGGTTGCGCCATATGCAAACCTTGGAAAGGTGCAAACCTCGGAAAGGTGCAAACCTCGGAAAGGTGCAAACCTCGGAAAGGTGCCATTCTCGGAAAGGTGCCATTCGCGGAAAGGTGCCATTCTCGGAAAGGTGCAAACCTCGGAAAGGTGCCATTCTCGGAAAGGTGCCACTCGAAAAGGTGCCATTGTCGAAAAGGTGCCATTGTCGGAAAGGTGCCAACCTCGGAAAGGTGCAAACCTTTGATTTCGATGTTGTGTTTGTACATATCTGCGCTTGAGTTCTCCCAAATTTTTCGAAACACAGTAAACACCTTTGATTTCTAATTTAATATGTCAGTTTCAGTTTAAATTAAGATTATTGAATATAGCATTTCTAATATTTTTCATTAATTTGAATTATCAAAAGTATCAAAGAAACTTTGCAAACGTCATTTTGCTGTATCACACACATGATGCAGCACAATTTCCTTTGTATATTTGAGAAAGATTGTGAAAAACTGTAATTAATATGTTTATAGATAAAGTTCCCTAAGACACAATAAACATTTCCTTAGTATGGTGTTATTATTTAAGCTTTAGAATAAAGCAGAATTACAGTGTGAATGTAACACAAGTGAAAAAATAATTGCCTTTCTCTTCCATGATATACGATGTGTATTTTGTAACATAAACTATATTTTCTTTATATTTATTTTTTGTCTCTTTATTCATTTAGTTATCCAGCGCACTGTGCATTATCATGTGAGTTTGATCTGTGCGATAACTGTTTGAAACCTTACAGATCAACTTTCCATCCGGCTCATGCCATGTATAAAGCAGATTCCAATGTTGTATATGCTAGTTTCAATGGTGGATGGCGATGTGATCGATGTTCTCAAAGTTTTAATCCGCATAATAATAACATTCCCTATCATTGCTCCATATGTGAGTTTGATCTTTGTGAAAGCTGTATGAAAACAACTGCCGATCCATCTAATGCAGGTAACGATTTCTCGACATGTAAGAAACGTAGCTATGTTGTTTTTATTTCAAATAATTAATTGATACATTAACGGAAATTTGCACATAGTGTATTCTATAGAAACTGAACAATTTAAGACACCAAAAAGATTACCATTGCAGTTAAAGCAGGAAAACGACGTACAAATAGTAGAATATCCAATGATCAAAAGTCCCCAGTTTTTGCTGGTCAAAAAAATCCACAAACAAGATCTTACTATTGTTGTTAGGGAGCTAACCAACGTAGACAAAGTAAATTCATTGCATGACTGTTTTTTAGCCCATGATTAGGTCAAAAATCGTATTAAACTAGTCAGATGTGAGCAAATCACCTCTTGCGTGGTGAAAAATTTTTGCAAAAAACCGCTGTCAGCGCTTATTTGACCGCTCGAGCCATATAATCATATACTGAGTGTGGACTGACAGGCATTTGATTACATTGACCAAACCTGCATCCCTACCTCTATCACGCAATATTTTTTATGATAACTTTGATCTATAGGATTATGTCATGGCAATAATATACATTTCTTTGTTTAGCTGGTTTTGACGTCAGTGTGGACTGACAGGCATTTGATTACACTGACCAACCCTGCATTCCTACTTTTATAACGCAATATTTTTTATGATAACTTTGATCTATAGGATCATGTCATGAAAATAATGTACATTTTGTTTAGCTGGTTTTGACGTCGCTAGACCCGAGGTTCAACCAGGTATGTTTGTAGTTAGCATTCTTAGGCGAGTCAATTGCGAGTCACTCGAGAGTGACGAGTTGCGATTGAGCGAGTGACTCGCGATGCAGTTGCGAGTCACTATCGAGTGTGAGAAGTTTGCGAGTGAATAAGTGACTCGCTGTTTGCGAGTGAATAAAATAACTCGCAAAAATTTCTTTTTCCAGTATTTGAAATTGACAAACATAATCTTAAGTGTAGTGACAAGTAAAATTCGTTCAACATTTTGAAGGCACGGTTTTATATCTTTTTATAAACCATGGGAGCAAAACGACTATTCATTTGAAGCAATATCTCGGGACCTAATGACGTTAAAATCTTCTGAATTTTTTTACAAAAGCATTTTAATAACTATAATAAAACATTTTACTGACAAGTGAATCGTAAAAGTTCTAGCCATTTTCATTGATTGCTATTAAATGTCTATGGCCTTTATCAATATCGTTTGGGTAACACATCGAAAACGTGAAGTCAATGAAGCTCTTTCAGAACCAAATTTAAAAGATTATACGCACACTCATCGCATAGCTACATTCCTTAAATATTTGACCTCAAACAATATTCGTTTTTGAATGTATTCTATCCTAAGATAATATATGTCAACAATCTAAGACTGTTAGAAGAAAATCTTTGAGAGTAACTTTGATTTTCTCACTAATTTCTCTATGGTCTCTACCGCTTTACGAATAACGTTTGTGCCATGAAAAATGTGAAGTTATTAAAATGCTTTTGTAAAAAAATTCAAAAGATTTTAACGTCATTAGGTCCCGAGATATTGCTTCAAATGAATAGTCGTTTTGCTCCCATGTTTCATAAAAAGATATAAAACCGTTGCCTTCAAAATGTTGAACGAATTTTACTTGTCACTACACTTAAGATTTTGTTTGTCAATTTCAAATACTGGAGAAAGAAATTTTTGCGAGTTATTTTATTCACTCGCAAACAGCGAGTCACTTATTCACTCGCAAACTTCTCACACTCGAGAGTGACTCGCAACTGCATCGCGAGTCACTCGCTCAATCGCCATTCGATACTCGCGAATCATGTCATGTTACTCGAGGTCGGTACTGTATATCAGCGCCAGGGAAATATATTTTTGGATAGTTAATCGATTTCAAGAACATTTGCAGTATATTTTATACGTCGAAAATGTTATCATCATAGACTTTTGTGGCCTAGAAACGACTTCTTCCCGGAAGTGATGTACAAAGGAGAAGTGATGTACAAAGGAGAAAACGAACTTTTTCTTTTAAACGTTTTCTTTTATTATAAGGTAAAGCATTCTCATCAAGCATAAATACCTATGAATCTTATTGTTTTGTCTTGCAGATTTTGACAAACTTTTGCTGTCAAACTTTGTCTAACAGTTTTTTTCTTTGTAGTAAAAGTTATATTTTCAATGCACGTGTTCTCCTTTTTACGTCTCATCCGGTGCAAGTCACTCTTCTAGGCCACAAAACCCATAAAGATGACATTTTCGTCCTATCAAATATATTGCAGATGTTGTTGAAATCGATTTAACTACCGAAAGAAGTTACTCTCTTGACCATGATATAGCAGATATACATACAAAAGCTGTCAAAAGTTGCTCTACTTTTTGAAATTGATGCTTGCAAAAAGAAAATATCACATTCGTTTTCCCTTTGAGAGCGGAAGTGTGCATGCATTTTCCCCTTTTGTCTTGCATTTTATTTCTAACATGTTCTTGTTGAAAAAATGGATGGTGTATAAATATAGGTTTGGTGAATTTTTTGATTCTAAGACATGAGAGAATCAAGTGGATATATATATACGTGGAGATACTCCAATAAACGCCTGAACAAAGTAAGCATAATTTTATGGAGCTAACAAGAAAGATAAATATTAAACGTATGATGCAAGTAAACATGGATGGTGCTAAATTACTGATGTGAACACGCATATTATACAGTGCCCTACTACTACTAAAGATGCACGTCTTGTCATTTGTTAAACCTACTTCAACACGCACACTGTCTTTCTTGCAAGACACTATCAACGATGAAATGAAGATGTGCCAGTGGCAAAAAAGCAACAGAAGTTTTTGTCGTAAAGAAACGTTTTTGAAACCATATTAAAGAACTGAGGAAAAAATTCTTAGCGTCATGAATTTAGGTTTACTGTGACGTTTTTACTAAGCCGAGCACCAAGGGGCAATTCCACGTGACTGACGTTACATTTGAAGGATTTGTTGATGCGAAAAACCTTTATTAATTCTTTGCTATAATATTTCACCCTTCCATTTTTATATGACATTTTACTTACTATACCCTGTATCTGTTGTCTACATCAAACTAATCTAAATTTAAGTTTTTCTACTGTCTTCGGCATTCAAGTGGCTGTGACTGATGTTACATAAAATGGACAAGACCTTTTAGCACCCAAATTTAATCAAATTTTGTCTGGAAACGTAAAAAGATTAAGTTTTCAAACATAGTTTATCAAATTCATAACATCTATTAATATAATAAATTTATATACAGAAACTCACTTTCTAAGACAAGGGGGGTGCAGCAATGAAAAACAATGTGACTGATGTTACGTGACTGACGTTACAAAACTGTCATTGTCAAATAATAAATTACAATGGTCACCAAAAGCATGATCAGTCTACCTCACTCACACTTTAAAAATTTTTTTTACATGATAAACACTGTTTCATCATTCAATATTGAGGTAGTTGAAATCTGAAAAATCATAGTGGTCTCGTGAGTTTACCAACTGTGGTGGATGTAATGCTCTCAGTACATTGTCACGAGTATAGAGAATTCTGTCCTCATATCTTGGCCACTTCCAATATTTACCAGCTTTAACCACGACCGATACTTCATAGCTATCACCAACAATTGCCTTTATCTCCCCAGGAAATAGCTCACCCTCATATTGGACAACACACCAACTTGACACCTCAAAGTAGCAAAATAGTTCCATGTGATTGTAATTCGGTGTTTGTCTTGCAGTTTATCTATAATTGCAGCGATGTATTTATTCTTAAATTGTGATGAAGGACCATCAGACCATATTGAGACAGTATTCACTGTTGTTGGAAGGCTATCAAGCAAATAGTCAATATATGCAACCACTGTATCCTTTCCATGATCCAAATTATCTGATGCAATGACTTTGGAATGTAGCTCTCCATTAAACCAAAGAGCTGCTGTGAAAAGGCTGACTTGGTCTTGCTTCCAATGAGCACTTTGAATCTCGTCTTGAAACATGCAGGAATAATTCTCGGAGAAGTCCACTTGCATCATAGCATGTGCCTTGTCAAAATTTTCACTTCCAACAGCTTCTCGTTCCATTTGATAGCTCTTCGCTTGACATTGCTTTATATAACAATGCTTTACGAATGCTGGTAGCTCAGAGCAGATATGATTAAACAGATCATCTGTGATGCCCTGAGGCCGCGGAACCGGGGGGCATTGGGGGCAAGTGCCCCCCCCCCACTTTTTGCAACAGGGAAAAATGTGCCCTTTTTCTGGATGAAAGTGCCCTTTTTCATGGTATAGAAATGCCCTTGTTTTAGGTAAAATTGGACTGAAGAAGTTTTTCTTAGATACAAGTAGCCCCGAGAGTAGAACAAAGTCTGTCGGCATCATGCGAAATCAGCTATAGCTTAGTTTTTGATCTTGATTACCCAGATGGATCAAAAATCGCTTTTGTCGATTCGGGTTGTCTTCGCAGGCGTCCGCCCAGTAACTTAAGCAATGAGAAGTCGCAATTTATGATCCACATGAGACTATAAATTCTACGGCAACGCATTGCTCCCGTCGTATTGTCTTTCAGGCCATTGGTCCTACAAAACTGTTGACAATTCATAATCATAATAATTGAAAATTTTGCGGTTTGAATCACTTCTAATCAAAATCATCATGCCTAGAGCTGCTAGGCGAAAACGAGAAAAGGAAAAAGACCTTGTAGAAACAGCTAAAAGGATGCGAAAACTGACAAGTTTTTTTAGTAGTGCTCCAGCAGAGAACGTTGTTGACCAAAACATCGACTCTAGGTCTAATTTGACACTGCCGTCAGCTACAGAAACTCCATCAACGTGTTTATCTCCTCATTCTCACGAATCTGACTCTACATCGTCTTCAGAGATACTAGTCGCGCCGCCGACCGAACCAGTTCACACACCTCAAAACCTAACGTATGCGTCTTTGCCAAGTTCCACGACTACCGCCCTATTGGTAGGACCTATGCAAATTGAGTCAACGGAATGTTTGCTAGGACTCGATTGTAAGCGTTTGTGCTGTACAGGCCGACAGCCTTACCATCCTACCCTAGAAGAAATAAAGCACACGTCTAGAAAGCAAACCAGTACAGGAGGATCGTCGAATGTACGAACTTGTCCGTCTTCTATATTTTTGAAATATACATGGGTCACATACTGCATGACAAAAGGCACCATTGCCTGTTACTTCTGTAAAAGAGCGATGCGTCAAGACCTTGTTACTTTCAGTCATAATGGTGAAAAGGCTTTTCTCCTAGGACAATTCAGCGACGTTTAATAGCTAAGGACGTTTAATAGCTAAGGACTTTGTTGTCAAAAACGAACGTAGGGTTAGATTTTTTGGGAAATTTTAATGAGATCGCATTACTTAATAAAATTGTTCATGTAGTCATCTTAGTTCAATTTGTTAGCACGCACGCCGAGCAGTAGAGAATACGCATCTACCAATATTTTGCAGACTTTGAAACTTAATCATGATTCATGAAACAATGCATATCTGTAATATACTAAAACAGGAAGCTGCAAACTCACATGCCCTTTTCGGTCAGTGCTCCCCCCCACTTTTAAGATACTTCCGCGGCCCCTGGTAGTGCCTTCCATGACCATCTTGCACAATTTATCATCGCCATCTTTCTTCCAAAAATGCCAGGTAACTGGCTCTACCTCTTCAAAGGAAAACATACTTCTGAGCATCTTTGCGTCTTTACAGGTGGGACATTCGTTGAACCAGCATTTTACCGAGTTCCCTTAAAACAAAGAAAAGAGCTAGTTGTAAGTTTGCACAATTTTCGTTGCTTTCACTTTTTAAGAGTTTTTATGAAAGGAACTGAAAAAGGTGATGTTTGGAAGTTGATAGAAGGCGTACGTATTGAAACAGCCAAAGATGAAGACAAGTTGTAATTGTATGACGAGCATAATGGGTGTGAAAGTTTTATTATGTTAAAATAAAGAGATTTGAAAAAAAACGTCAAGGTGAAAGGTCTTGATTGGCAAAGGTGGAAATCATAGGATAAAATTCCAAAAAAATATTTAAGAAACCACTGTCCAGTGAATAAGTGGTTGTAGATGACAAACTGTAACAGCATGATGGTGAGAAATCTGCATCAAAGATAAAGAGTTTGTCTATACTTGGAGTGCATGTTGGTTGATCATCATAGCTAACAGCTTTGCATTTCAAGTAGAGGCAATGTGAATGGCAATGTTTACAAAAATAATTACATTTGCATGTGTCAGGTTTTTTAAATATTTGTAGGATAAGCTAGAACTTGTTCAAACATTCCAAGAAAACTACATATCGCACGAAATGTATTATTATTGCTAGTTCTTTGAAAATTTGTCCACTTTTTTTACTTTCGGCTTCATACGAGTCTATTATCTTTTGTCAGTGCTGAGGTCACAACATTAGTGCGGTACAGGTAGTGAAGGACTTTATTTGCCCAACAAGTGGTTGTAGTCCTACTGCCAGGGTTGTAGCTAAAACTCTGATTGGGGTGTGTATATTCATATATTCAGTTGTGCCCAACTGATGTCTTTAGAAAGCCAAATTTCTATCACAAGGAGTCTGTCAAATTTATAAATATACCCCCACACACACAACATTAGTGTTCTGGCTATGGCCTGACTACAGAATTATTTTTGTTACAACTTTTTTTGAAATTTTTGTAAGTAATGTTTGAGAAAAACTCAATTCTTTTCTGACAAAAACTACAAATATTTCTTATTTTGGTAGTGGTGGTGAGCTACTGCATTTATGTGATGTAAAACAAAAAACTGAACATGATTCTTTTTTTATATTGTTTGTTTTTCATTAGCACAATTATTGTTTAAAATTTTTGTTTATAAAATTACATGTGCACAGCAGTACTTTTGTTTCTGTTATCAAAATAGCATTATTTTGTATTTTAGCAAATGTTGATAGAAGTGGGAAATACCTTTCTCACCTTGGGAACCCAATTACATCACCATCGGAAGAAACAGAAGATATTGGAAGAGCAGGTGCTCCAGATGGTTCTGGCGAGTGTGTCATATGCCTGGAAAGACCAAAGGATGCAACAATTGTACATGGAGACACTGGGCATGTGTGTTGTTGTATGACATGTGCACTTCATTTATATAGAACAAGATCCAGGTGTCCAATATGTAGGGAACCTATTGATCGGATTATTAAGCAGTATACAGTGTAATAGCCATCTAAATATAATTGATTGTTATATATATGTATATGATATATATGAAATGTTTGTGCCTTTCCATTCATTGAAAAAATCTTGCAATACCGATTAGTAATTGTCTTGACAAAAAGCCATGAATTAGTTTTCACGGAAGTTCAGTGATAATGCAAACGACTTAATCACCACACAAAACTGCACAATACTAATTTAGCATAAAACATGTTTCATGTTTCTTTTTTTCTGTTTTGTTCAAATTATACATTATGTTGCAGATTGGAGTCCACAACATAAACAGAAGAATATACAAGTATTATAGTATTATACTGTTTTGTAAAATAAACATGTTTGAATGAACAACCTTAACATATAATATAAACTGTTTACACATATTGTATAAAGAAAAAAGTCTTTAAAATAGATTCCCGACAGTTATCTATTGCAAAAACTGTTTAAATGTACTTTAACAATTCATGAAGTTTGTACAGAAAACAGCCACAATCCCTTCTTGTACAGATGTAATTTTATACACAATGTAAATTTTGCTAATCGAGAAACAAAGTAGGTCGAGAAAAATGTATCACTTGGTCGTTTGCAGATCACTTTCATCACAAGTTATAGGATTTCTATTTATGGTGAGTGATGTAAACTTTGGCATAAACTTAACAATTAGTAGATTGTAAGCTTCTGCATCTAAAAGAAAAAAAATATATTAAAATGGCAACAAAACTAAGCACTGTTTCTTTGAATATAAATTTTATGTCAGTTGCCTAATAGTGCTCCAAGAATGAAAAATGTCCCATAGTGCTTGCAACCTTGCACCAAGAAATTTTAGTAAAAATATACAGAAAATTGCACTGTTATATTTACAGTTCTGTAATTTAAAGTAAAAATACCAAAAAGGAATTGATATGGCAACTACTAACTGGATGTGAGAATGCCTGCTTTTAAAATGTAGTTATTGATGGAAAAATTTTTCAAGAAATATTTATCCACAAAATTTGCTGCCAGGAAGTGGAATGTTTCATTCAGGCTAGTGGTGGTGTGCAAATTATGGAACCAATGGTTTTCCCTAATGATTGATGATGAAAGCCAAACAAACATACCAAAATCGTCTTCATTAAATGCTATATATCTTTCAGCAACTATTGACAGATCTGGTTGCACTATTCCAATTACTTCAATGCAACCACGACTATCTTCATACTACAAAGCAGAGAGTTTGGTTGAAATGGTTAAGAATCTGATAATCAACAGTACAAATAAAGAGCTTAGTGATTTGGTCAGATTTTGATAAAGTGCTAATAAATGTATCTTTTGCTAGCAATGAAAGCCAAATAAATACTGTTAGTTCCACCCATAATACATAAGTAATTAAACTTAGAATAGATCAGTATTCTATACAAGAAACATGCTAGACAAAGAAATGTCAAATGCCAGAAAACCTACTTTGTCAGGAAGTGCTATGTTTACTGTTTTTTTATCACTTGATAGAAGCTGTAATTTATCACCCTTTGGATTGACCTGATAAAAGAATTAAAACATAATATTAATTGAAATTAAAAGCCATTGGTGAATTATTGGTGTTGTTAAGGAAAGTTATGCTGAAATACTAAAGACCCGTTCACATGATCCGATTTTGTTGGATCATAAAAAATGGATTGTGTGAACACATATAAAATGAGCCCCCGAAAGTCGTATCCGTCTATCTAAAAATCAAATGGAAATAGAACTTCCTCTATTTTCATAGAACAAGATCAAAAGAAGCCGACTAGTCAAATTACATAGATTTGAAAAAGGCTTGGAAACAAGAACAAAAATACAATAAATATATTGATAAATGTACTGAATACCACAAATGGCTGTTCACACAATTATAAATATCTATATGATTAAAAAACCGAAACAATCAGATCCGACAAATCGGACCACCCTTGTAAAAATATGAAAATCCGTCCATGCTGTTGAGAGGTACATTGTGTTCCATACACTTTGGACAAACAATAAAAATTTAGGCTGTGAGGAGGTCGTTTGTATGTCTGTGACATGTTTAAATATATAAAAATGAATAAAATATAAAGGGTGATTCGAACATTTCAAATGTTAAATGATTAACATCTTACTTCTTTTATTGTGCCAACAAAGCATACCATTCTACCAATATTTTCCGCTAGCATGGATGCATTAATTCTGTGTGTTTCATTCATCGCTAAAAATCAACCATGCAGCTGACAACATTCAATAAAATCCTGATCTCTTGGTAGAACTCTCTCTGGCCTCTAACCAGTTACCAGGCTTGACTTACTAGCATGAATTGCATTATTTTACCCTTGATTGTCACCATATTAAATTTATGCACTGCTTTTCCCGCCAATAGACCATTTACAAAGTATTTTGGTTCAATGAATTGAATCCATTGAGTTCTATAATAACTGGAGCGGCTATCTTTACTGGGGCGAGGTCGCCAAAAAAATGGCGGCCAACGGACGTATTTCCGCTGAAATGATCGCTTTGCAGAAAAATAATATTCTCGACCTCCCCCTGGTGTCTATAGTAAATTATAAAGAATTTTTCAAAAACAAACACGATATCACAGAATATGGATATCGTTAGTTCCATATTCTGTGACGATTCTTTTTTGGCATTTCTTTTATAATGCCAACACTTCAATCGTTCAATTGTTGGATGTCGTAGTTTCCACAAAAAGGAACATATCGCTTCTCACAGGTGAGGTAGTTGTTTGTTTTGTTAGTCCGTCAACGATTGAAAAGCAATTATACATGCACTTGAAAAGCCATAAAATACATATTAAAGATCGTATTTTTTAAGACTGACTTGAACGCCAAATATACTGATGTTTTCCTGTTTTTGTCTATAAATTTCTGCATACTTTTCTGTCATTTGTTAATGCATGAAATCGTAAATTTACCTATTTGCAAAATAGTTTCCCTAAAGCAAAAAAGACCCTGCACACATTTTGCTCTGTGAAAAGTATCAAGAAGAAATGATCAGCCCCAACAGTACCCATGATTTGGAGCAGAGCTTGTTATGTTGTATTTGCTGACAACATGCAGGGAAGACCAAGAAGTAAAGATGACTGGAAGATGTTATTGATCAGGCAGAGTCTTAAAAATGATAATGCTGTAAAGATAATTGATTTATTGTCTGCCTTATCCAGAGTTATTTAATTTGATCATGGTCAAATTCTATGGATGGAGACAATGGATTCACTAATGATGCCTTGAATGCTTTGAAGTTGAAGTTCATGAACCAAAAAAAGATGGCAAGAAGGTTGTGTGTTTTGATGCTTAATTAAATGTCAATTCACAACATATAAAATGGAAAGGCCATAAAGTTTGTGTCTATGTAAACATTTGTACTGAGATTGATGATGACTTGATGCAGATGTGAAGCATTAAACTGAATAAGCCATTGGGTTTTATAAAACATAATGTTTAAATCATGGCATATCTTTATCAAAATATTTTAGTTGAGTGTTGTTTAAATGTTACTAATATCTAATGCACTATACTGAAGCATTAAAGATTCAGTGATGAAACCTTTAAATTTACTGTACTGTATATTTCTTATATATTTCTTATATTTCTTTAAGAAACAGTTTGAGCTTATTTACCTATTAGAGTACAGAATGGGGATTTATCATATGCATCATTGCTGCTTTTTTAAATAAATGTTTTTCACTTTTCAAAGCTTTTCTACAAATATTTTGCTTCTTATTTCTTTTCATGAGATTGATGATATAGAGGTAATATAATCCAATAACTTTATAATTTCTAGAAAGCTGTTAAGCTTCTAGCATAAAAGTACACTATAGGTATTTAATTCATTTGGTTTTATTGCCTTGCTATGACATATCTACTTGCACTTCATCATTCTTGTATGAACAAAACACCAGATGTGGATACTCAGAGAACAAAATGCACTACCAACTGCTTATGAAATTTATTATTGAAGTGAAAACTGTTTTAATCATTCAAATTGTGCACTTATATTGAAAATATAGGAAAAACAAAACAAAGTGAAAAATAAGGGTAGAAGTATTAAAACTAAAATGAATTATAAACACCATTGGAAGCATAAGTGTTTTGATGATTATTTGCATTTTGCCCAATTTATATATCAATACAACAAAATCAAAATGTGCTACAACTTTACAAGTATTTGATGCAGTTGCACTTCAGAACATCACAAAAGGTTACTTAAAGTAATTTCTATACAATATTGTTTGTTTTCATTTACCAAACCTATGCAGACTTGAGTCTTTTGAAATTTAATATGAAACTCAATTACAGAAAATACGTAAATATCCAGAGATTTAATATTTACTTTTTAAAGAAACAAGTAAAAGAAGCAAAATAGCAATGATAAAAATAAGCTAACTTCTCTCTCGTGAACCACTGTGGAGATGAACTATGATATACTTTTTTGTATAGACTAAAGAGTTTAATCGATCAAACAAGTTTGACGCTGGTAAGAAAACGACGCATATCTGCATTCATAGATGTGTAGCCGACATATAGCTCTTTCATCGATAGTTATAAATACATCCTCGTAGGAGCCGATAACTGGAAAGCTATGTTGACTCGCTGTTACGAATTGTAGGTTTTTATCGTGATTTTCATCAAAAAATTGCTTGCCGAATCCCAAATACACACATACATTTTCTTCACTCTTTCCTCAGGAGGGAGTGGGAAATTGTGAAATTTTCGGAAAAGCGGTCAATTTCGGTAAATCTCAGCGGCAACGGACGAAATCCGCCATTTTTTTGGCGTCACCAGATATCTAAGGCCGCGCTTGAGATAGCCGCTCCAGTTATTATAGAACTCAATGATTGAATCCCATTGAATCCATTGATCAAATCCACTGACCTGTATAGTAATTACCTGGACGGGAAATCATCATCCAAATTATTATATTTTATTGACGCGCGGCCGGTTATCAAAAACATGGCTGATTTTGATAACATGGATGATTTTGACTCTGAAGATGACTACCGCTAAGGTTGTCGAAACGTCAGTCAACAACAACAAAAACAGTCCTTCTCAGGACTATACCAACCTGGACGATCTGCATTTAAAAACATGTTGGGATGAAAATGTTAGCGGAAGAGCTCGGGCTCTCGCCCACCCGGATTTTCATCAAAACAAAATTCATCTATATATTATATCTATATACGATGACAGAAAATTTCAAAGCTTTTTTTTCCTAACAAAAACTTTTTAAAATTTCATCGATGAAATGTGCGGCAAACTTGTGTAGTATACGAATGCCGAAGTATTACAAGAAAAGAAATTATTTCATGACACGGGTGAGCAACATGATATTGTTGGTCATTCAAAGAGACGGGTTTAATTGTTGTTTGTCAATACTTGTATTGTGTTGGCATTTGGCATGAATTTTGTTAATATTTTTTACTACCTATTTGTATTTTAAACAGTGTTTTCCCAATAATTTTTAAGCAACCAATTTTTTTCAAGCTATACACGTCTTGCAATCAAGAGAACACACAGTCACCTATAATTAATTAGGATTTGTTTATATTTTTCTGAAAATATGATGGATTATTTAAGAATAGAGTTGTGTTGAAATTGAACGATATTTGTGTTGAAAACACTGTGATAAATGAAGTATGTTGTGTGGCTTAGGCTGCCTCCAAATTGTTCATGTCATGTAAATATTTTGGTGTTTACTTTTGGTAAAAAAGACATTTCTAAAGAAATGAATAATGCTAATGGTGAAAAATTTACCTAGTATAAACGAATATGTAGGCTGGCTATGCCACTGTTCTAAAGAGGTTAATACACAAAAACCAAGATAAGAACTGCTCTGAGCCAAGATTTGTTTCCTTTTACAAATTTTTATTGTAGACAAGCTTATGATTTTGTGCATGAAAAGTTTAATTTAGCATTGCCTCATCAGATAACAATCCACACTTGGTATATTCTTCAGTCATCCAGGATTCACATAGAATGCTTTAGTTGCAATGAAGTTAAAGACAAACAAAAAGAGGGAGAAGAGCCGGGAGTGCATTGGAGAGCTAGAAGTAAAATAAAATCGATAACCAAAATCAATTTGAAACATCTTGACACTGTTTAAATGTTTTATTTCATTGCAGCAATACACAGTGTTATGACCGAGAAGCAAATTTTAAAAGTTGTAATTTCAATAAAGAATAATTTTGATTCATGTAGTTCTACTCTGCAGCTTTTCAAGGATTGTACTGAATAGTTTACTATCCTATTGCAAATATCTTGGTCAAAAAGTTTCCAGCTGAAAACAGCATTATATCATGATTTAAGTTGAATCCGTTTTCGGTTCAAGCCTCCCGATACTCCGAGATAGTTAAGTACTAGAGCGTCTCATGTTAATTAAGGGAACCAAATAATCCTGTCAGTCATGAAGCCATGGATGGTTTGCTCGTGTTACGCGAGAAACCGTAAATGAGAGAGTTAAATCAGAAAGATATAAACCAATAAAAATTGTATTATATTATTGACCGCATGGTAGGCAAGAGTACATTTAATGTGTTATTACAAGTAGACAGTAAAAACTCTCAATACTGACTTTACAGTCCCAGAGCTAAGAAATGCTTTATGATGCTGTTTTAGCATCTCAAATGATTTTCGTATTAAAATATGTACGTTTGTGTAATGTGATGGCCAAGAAATGTACTGAACTGAGAGTAGAGACCATTATGGAAGAGTATGTATCAATTTGATAACCACAAAATGACCTTGGAATAGACTGACACGCAAATATTATAATTATACAACTTTAAATATTTCGGCTTCATAGATACTGGACCACAACGTCCACAAGATTTTTGGACGAATTATAAATTTTACTAAGACAAATCAACTAATGAACTACCAGAGAAGTTTTGCTTTGACATGTTAAACTTATTCGATCATCACTCCGTTGACTCTGTTCATTTACAGAAGAAAATTTCGTTCGATTTATCCATGAACAAAGATTTTACTCATGTATCATTCAAGTTTGTTTGTGTATAAAAGTGATTCCTTGCTTAAAACAGCTGAGTAACATGAATCCAGATAAAATGAAATAATATAGTTACACACAAACACTGGGAGACTGAGAGATACATATATAACACCATATAATTGTTGGTGTTAATGGATGTGTTGATCTTGTGCTGGTTGGCAACAAACTGAACAAAATACAGAAAACATCCTTAAGCTCCAGTTAGCATGATTTAATTGGTTAAGAGTTCTAGCTTTCATGTCAACTGCAACATATACATTTAAAGATGAATAATTTAAATAAAGCAATTGCTTTGCTACCGCTTGTCTTTAGCGTGCACATTTTGTACAATGCACTTTGGAATACTACTCGTCAATTATTCCCAATTTAATATTAGCATACTATACATACATACATTGTTGCTTCTAGTTGAATGTTCTTCTATAAATTGACTTAGTTATATGAGAATTTAAAAATAAAAGGTGATACAATTACTTTGTCTATGTTAAGTGACAAAATATACAAGATTTTGCAGTTTGTTGCTCATCCTATCAATTGTATGTTTCAAAAATTACTGTGCATTATCCATTCGGTATTGTGTCGCTTATAACAGATGATAAATGATTGAAAACACCCAATAAAATTTGCAAATGGCACTTTTCGCCTACTCAGTGGCGTGGTGGCAGGGGGGTCAAGGGAATTCTAGACATTTCAATGATTCTGCACGTATATGGAATATTTGGGGTCTGGTTACGAAGATAGTCAAAGTGAAACTGCGACAGCTCTTTGAAAATCATTCAAAAATGCGTAGCAATTAATGTCAGCAAGTCAAATAGTCTTTATCTTGTGTACCAGTTGTTAGCAATGAATTCTTTTTTCAATATTTTTGGAAACAAGGCTCCTAAGAACTGTAAAGTTGATTTAGAGAATGAAACGGATGTAGTTGATGAAAATGGCTTTGTTTGGGTTAATGATGAAACAGAGTACGTTGGTTGTCGGAGTGAAAGATCTACTGTGGTATGTATTTTCCTTATAATGTATTTTATTACTCAAAGTCAGGTAGTATGCTCTGGCTTTCCTAGTTTCTTCATTCTTCTTTCATAAACACTAATTTGCCATGAAACTCTGCTGGCTGTATAATCAAAAATGTTTTTTAAATTTTTATTGAAACATTTGAACATGGCACTATAAATTTTTAAATGAATTTTGCAACAGCATACAGTTTTCACTGTATGGCTTATTGTTGCTATTTAATTCTTTGGAAACTATAACTGCAAGGTCTGGGTGATTTTACACAGTTGATTTGTTATGAAAGTGAAGAATAAGATGTTTTGTTGTGTTTGATGGAATGAATGAAAAATTCTTGGCAGTTTGGAAATTTCCCCTACATACAAATGAAAAATTTTTCCACAAAGAATTTTTTAATGTTTACTATTATTTAAGCAAAAGAATAGTTCTTTTTTTGGGATTAGGTAAATATGTTTTAAGTACCTATCATACATTTTTGTAGATCATAGTTGCCTTAGCAATGGTTGTTAGTAAGATTTTTTATTTTAAATGGATATTTATATTAGGCAGTTCACTTTTCATTTCATCTTAAATTGATGGTTTTTCAAAATGTGTTTACTTCATGTTCACCGTATATTTTTTCTGTACATACTTTTTCTTAAGAGTGAAAAAATATCCAAAGAAAGAGTTGAAAATTTTCAAAAAGAAGGTATGAATTGCCAATATACTAGAATACTTATTATTTTAGTCAGTGGCATTGCTAGACATGAACTTGGGGGGGGGGGAACTTTGATACTTTTGAATGCTAAAGGCATGAGCCTTTCTAGGGGGCTCAGGGGGGCATCCTCCCTTAGGAATGACGATACTTCATGTTTGTATTAAACTAAGTATAGGATATTGCATCACAGTATTAGTCATGTGATTTGGTAAACCCTTAGGGATTGCATGTAATTATTATATCTTCCTATTCTATGTTGTTCTTCTCCATGCTGCATGGTTTTGGACAATACTTATTATGTAGTTTCCTTGATTGAATACATCATATTTTATTCAACCTCAGTTGAATAATAAATTAACATGCTCTCCCTGGAAAATTTTAAAATCTAAAGTCCCTCAATAGCCAATTCCAGTGTTTCTGTGGTGTGGTTTTGCATATTTCTGAAAGTTATTTGTTACAGAAAAAACATGATTTTTAATGTTTACTTAAACGTAGCTACTGCCATCAGCCAATATGCTTGGATTTGATTTCTAACTTTGTTAGTAAGAAAATTTCACTTTAATAAGGATGACTTTCGAAGCAATTAGAGCATTACTGAAGTAAATTTAGTATCTCAAATAGTAATACTTTTATCAGAATCGTAATGACATCTATAACACTTGGTATTGTAATGCTAAATTCATTATAACTTTTCCATTATGTCAGAAATCGACTGACTTAAACATAGAACTTTGTAGCCTTTTTTGGTTCATAAGCAATTATAACACTTTATTTTGTGAAAATATTTTCATTGACACAACAAAGCATATTAATACACAAGTAAATACTCGAATGAAAGTGTCAAAGTAAGCTTAGTAACCCCATTACTGTAGACATTTATTTCTGCTGTTAAACTTAGAAAATTAGAAGAAGAAGATTATGTAAACAGATTGGTATTAACATAGGTAATCATTCATCTAGGTTCATATCCCCCCCCCCACTGTTCTGATTTCTACCATGATTTTGCCTTTCTGTGAGGGCACTACCTCTGCTCATTGGGGGCTGAGTCTCCTTGCACCCTTGTCTTCACCAATGATTTTAGGTATGTAAGATTGAGTATGAAATTGGCAAAATGTGAGTGTTGTTTTGTAGAATTCAGCTATTTTTTGTCATGTGTGCACCAAGAAATGGCAGTTTTCACCATGAAATATTAATATACCAAGCAATTAAGCAATGAATTGGTGATTTATGTTAAGTGGAGCACACTCCCAAAAGATTTATCCCAGTCATGGTACCATAGGACTAGAGTAACAGAATTTATCAAAAATGTCTGACTGGCAGTGCTACACCCACTATAATCTAATCCAAACTAGAACATCCCTCTTAAATAATCACCCTGGATTGATTCCTGGCTACTGTGTTATCACTGATGCTTTAAATATAATATGCATGATGTTATGGTTCACAATCATTATTTGTGTTCTAGTGTTAATACTCGTACTTCATTGTAATTATCTTAAACATGTTTTAGTTCCATCCAACAGAAGTGAAGACTTAAGTTGTAATAATCAAGATGCTGGACTTTTAAGACCTGCACAACTGTCATTATCAAATGTTAATGATATTCCAATGACACTTTCATATCCTTTTAAAACAATTCATATGTCCGCAAATCACCACAAGTACCTTAATCTTGATTTATATCAGTATGATTTCAAGACAGAATTATCCATTCTCAATGATAAATTAAGTTAGTTTTTGCAAGCTGTTGATAATGTTGGGTGCAGGCAGGAGTCTTGGGGCGAATTTTAAAAATTTAATATTGCGACCATTGATTGCTACCAAAGTATTTTGGAAGCTGGCTGTAGACTGTCAGTCCCTCTGTTCGACAGTTCTTGTTATATAAATTTATTGTATTGGTGAAATTTGTAGTTTTACTGGTTTTGTTGCACACGAGTAATAGCTGGTTAGCACTATTTTCCACCCAGCAAACCACCCTTTACTTTGAAATATAATATTTTACACAATATAATATTTTACACAATATAATATTTTATATAATATTTTACACAATCGTCGAAAAACGACATATTTTCCAGCCTGGATTATAAGTTTATAACTTAAGGTGGTTGCATGAAAATTTATACTGCAACATTTATCTGTAAATATTTTCATATGTTGATATTAAAAACTGTATTATAAAAAGATAAAATTACTCGCCATCTCAAAACGACCTAGCACCAGTGCATGCATGGTTTCCTTTTAGCTTTTGGTTCTTTCCCATTAGCCGCCATCTTTAATTTATTTCCGATTGTGTAAAGTAAAGGGCGGTTTGCTGGGTGGAAAATAGTGCTAACCGTAATAGCTCTGCCACTGTATTATCTTGTTTATCTAGTGTTACAAAAAAAATGATTTTTCTCACACGTGAAAACACTCAAGACAAAATATTTTAAAGAAAACCAAGACTAGTTTTCCGCTTAATGATGTTAGAAACAACCACTCTAAAGGGTGGAAACATTTTCTAAAAAGTTTCGATTGTGAAAATAACGTAGAAATAATAAAACAAAACCCAATAAACGGCAAAAGTACCTGAAGTGTTTCTCACGAAGAGCAAAAGCAGGCAAAAAAATTCTCGTTTGATTCTTTGTTCAGTTTGTACGAGAAAATGCTATTTTTGACAATAGATGTCCTTCCTCCATCTCTCTATACCTGCCAAAAGTCCAAAACCTTTCTTGATGAGTCCACAGATATAGTCAGACCAGCTGACGCTTACATATATAGCGTAGCTGGATCAGTCACTTGAATTCAAACACCGAACAATTTCAGTATTGTATTTTATCACAGTTTTAAATTGTAATTTAAAGAAATATTATTATATTTTTCTGGTTGTGTAAGTTATTTTCTTTAATTACAACTTAACTTGTCATTTGTCAATAGTTATCACACTTCACATGTGAAGAGTATTAGTTCATTTAGTTTTTGAAGTATTCAAATAATTATTGTAGTCACTAATAATTAAATACTAGTAAATACAATAATTCAATTTGTTATTTTAGTAATAAAAGTTTTTCGTGTTTCCACTGGCTTATGAAAACCTCAGAAGTTTGTGAGAACTCTCGAGCTGGTGCAACCCTCAATCTTTGGTCTCGGGCTTGCGCTGATCTGCTCTCGAGTTCTCCCAAAGGTGTCCTCGGAGAAGCCTGTGCAAACACAGTTAATACTGAACAGTTTTTATTATAATTAACGATTGACAATAAACAATTGACATGTAAGTCATTGTTTAGAGGTTTTTCCTGTATAAATTGGATGACGAACAAAACGGATCGTATTTCACAGAACAGAATGTTTTTCTTTCAAATAGGTTCCAGCGCTAAAATACAATATTTTAATTTCTGATGTCTACTTTCTACGAGGGTAGAACGTGTTACGTAAAGCTCTGTTGTACGCCTTTTATCTTAATTGCTCAACACAGCTGTGATGTCATTATTGTATCACTTCAAGTGTACCCCAAACACGACCATTAATATCCGAATTTCCAAACTTTGGCCCAGCTAGCCCGTGAGTTTTAATTCTGATGTATAAATTTTAGCACATTATCGTCATTTTTTTAATATCATTCATTTTTGCAGTAAGTAAACACAAAAAATTTGCATAGCATTAGCCGGACTCCTGCTGACTACGACAAGACGAGTGTGCGAAACAAGACCAGTACAATACCTCTGACACTGTCGTGAAAATGAAAATACTCGTGAAAATGAGTCCTTTTTTTGAACTTTGAAAACGCTGATGTATGAGATAAATTGAGTTAATTGCTATAAATTTTAACAACTTTTTAAATTGTGGCGTCTATCTCAAGTTCATCTTTAGCAACATGACGCTTTGGCCTTGGCAAACTCATCAATGAAATTGTTTCCTGCGAAAGCGTGCCTGAGTAATTTTTTGTCAGTGATACAAGCAGAGGTGCTATGACTAGAAGTTAAGGAGAATCTACTGAACAATCGGATATGCTTCCATTTAAAACCATTTAGTTAGGTTATGATTATTTGTGGGAATATTTCTGCCTTAATGTAGAGTAAATTTTTTAGGTCTTTCTCAATTTTTAAGTCACATGTTAAATATGCCCCATAAGTGTGTGATAAAGACATCATTCTAGGGACTGATTATTTTCAAAGCACGCAGGTCGGCGTCGCCCTGTCGCGCTTTTGAAAATGCACTTTTGCTGATTTCGTGATAGCATAACAAATAAATGTAGCGTTCCTTATTATTTTAAGGTACGAATGTGCAAAACATTAATGACATAGTGAGCACCAATTTACATACTCTGACTTCTGGTCTTGTACTGCATTCTTTAATGGTAATGCAAATATAAAGTTAAAATGATAAAAATAAAAAATCTCCTTACAAATGTAAACAGGGTTATCGAGTACCAGCCAATCAAATAACCCGTTACGTCACGGTGAGCGTATAGGACCGTCCGTATACTACATTTATTATTAGTTTTTAGTAGCCATGCTTGTGTTATGTGTTGGTGTTTTGTTTCGTGATTTGTGTCATATATTTATTTCTGGCGAAAACAAACTGTTCCGAATTTTTTTAACCTATAAGTACGCAGCTGTGCGCACGACAGACTTGGGAACTTGTGTAAAATCTGTTACAATATGGCCTCTCAAAGTAGCCAGCGATCAAGACGAAATGCTTCTCCTTCAAGTTCCACAAAGCCCCAACCAATGAGGGCTACTATGCCATTTTCCTTAAGTACTAAAAGAAGTTCTAGCCCTCCTAAAGGAGCATATCTCAGAAGGTCAAGTCCAGCTTCATCTCCAGTTCATATAAACGAAGGACCCTTCAGGACGACGCGACGAAGCTCCCCCGAAATTCGAACTTCTCCAGAGAATCGTAGAAGTCCTACTTCGCCTAACTTGTTATCCTATAGAGGTAAATCAGTATATTTAAATCTTTTCGTCCAGGGCTTACTTTACTTTCCTTATTTTTTGTGGATGTTGAGTAGTTTCCCATGTTGCATAAACATGCGACCTGTCTTCAAAGCTTTCCTATTGTTATCTGGCGACGTCTTTTTCTGTTACTGTAATTGTCATCCCAAATTTTTCTATGAAGTTGAAAGGCCAAAGTCGTCTGGGCAAAGCTTTGGTAGAACTTCATCACTAGATGCATTGTATATGAGCTCTCAGTGGCCGCGTAGTGAAATATCTGGGGGATTTCCTGCACCTATGGTTAGCAAAGAAACTCAGGTAATGCGATGTAAATTTTGATATTGTACCTGCAGTTGTGGGTTTGGTTTCATAAAATGATGCGAAAACGAAATATGTACACGTGTTTGAAAAGAAACAGTTATATATGACTTTAAAGACTGACTTGGTTTTTTGTGCATTTAACATTTTTTACTTGTCTGTGACATTCAGATTTGTTCTTAGAAATGACCTGAATTTTTGGAAAACCCTAATGTCTTTAGTTTGCATTAAGTTGCCTCAATGTTGTTAGGCAACAGGTTCTCATGTTATGTCCACTGACTGTAGAAACAGTAGAAATTTTATAGAAATGGATAATGTTGATGTTTGAATTTAACATGGCAGACATAAGTCTTTGGACTTGCTATGCTACTGGTACTACAACACATTTTTATGGAGATAGATGAAGATGATATCACCACAGTCACATTAATCATTTCCTGCCTTTATTACATGGGAACTAGCCTTTGGCTTGCACACTTTCATGTTGATGTAGTTTCACTATTTTTAAAAATTATTACATACATGAATATGTTAAATAATATTAGATGTGTAAACAGGATTACTCTTGTTGAAAAGAAAAAAGGCATTCTTTGCTTTTAAATTATTATATTTTTATGAACTTTTTGAGCAAATACTACAGCCTTCAAAGGCTGTAGACTGACAGCCGAAAGCTCGTAAAATATAATATTTTATAAACAGAGAACTCCATTTTTTATTGGACATATGTTAAAAGTCTGTCAGAAATAGGTTGGCCCAATCTGGAGTGGCAAAAGTGCATTTACCCTTTATTTTTTACTCTCTTATGAGAGAAATATGACTTTGAAAAGCATTTTAGTAGTTTGCAACATATGAGACCATACTTGTAAAGAATGAACTATTGTTTATACTGGTGTTGTTATGTTTGTAATGGCAACTAAATTTACTTTCTGAGTTATTTTTGAATAAGTATTATAAGCTATAATATTCTTCACCAAAAATATTTTAGTTCTAAAATTGCAAATACCATAGTGAATGGTAAAGGTAATATAATAAGTTGATAGTTCTTAAAAGAACAAAAAGTACTAAGCCCATAGTTCTAGTCTATCTAAGGGTTAGTTCTCTTTACTTAAAACAGTTCTTTTAAGAACTATCAACTTATTATATTACTTTTACCATTCACTATTTGTAGGTACCCGCAATATTTAGAACTATTTTCAGATTTGTCACCACCACAAAATCTCTATTTTAAAAATATTTTAGTTGAAATCTATAATATCTGTAGTTTCCCATGCCCTTTCTTCATTTGTGGACATTTCTCAATTTAGAATTCATGAACCCGAAACACAGAAATGTGTTCTGTTTTTAGTCACGAAGCCATGTTCATTCATTTACTATATTGGATTTTTAACCCTATTTCCTCACTCCTATCACTTAACTTAACAAAAGGCTTTGCTGTGCAAATACATACCACAACATGTCACAGTCATGTTAATTCCTGAATCCTTTATTGAAATCTTGTTCAAAAGTGGATGAAAGAAATTGTAAACATTAGTTGTGCGTTTGTTGTGAGTTAGTTGTGCGTTAGTTGTACATTAGCTGTGTGTTAGTTGTACATTAGTTGTACATTAGTTGTGCGTTAGTTGTACATTAGTTGTGCGTTAGTTGTGCGTTAGTTGTACATTAGTTGTACATTAGTTGTGCGTTAGTTGTACATTAGTTGTGAGTTATTTGTAAGTTAGTTGTAGCTATGTTAGTTGTACGTTATGCTCAATTTAATGATTAAAGACTTAATGCTTGTAATTTTACCATTTTGTTATTTTGCTTAATATCTAATTTATGATACTATTTATTACAATGTTAATATAGACAAGTTCAGATGAACATAATTCAATTACTATGGTTGAGCAAACAAGACACCAAAGATCTGCATCTTGGGGAAGCCCTGATGTCAATAAGGTTATAATTATTCTGCTTCTGCAATGACAGGGAATTGGCATTAAAACTTCCCATTTTTTCAACCATTAGAAATTTCGGCAAAATCTTCAAAGATCTAAACAAAGTAGTCAACTTTATGGTAGGCAGTCACCTATAGCTGCTGATCATACTGCCATTGCGTACTCCTCTTCAATTCCAATACCTGTGATGGCAAAAACCCACTATCATGGAAGATCTAGCATGGAAGGACTTAATTCTGAGGTTGAAGGCTTAGTTATTACAGATGGTGAAGACTCTGTTTTTAAGTCTCCTGTAAGTATTATTTGATCATTTTTAGTTAGTTGAGGTTTAGCATACTTTTGTCGTGTTAAACATGTCATGCCCTTGCTTTTTTCATGCATAGCCTGAACAACCAGATGGTCATCGAGCACCATTACCTAGAGGATTATCTTGTAGCATTGATGCAGTTACACAGACTCGTGGTGAAATGTTTCATCAACATGATAACCATACTGTCATGGTTGATCATGCATGTCAAACAAAATCTCCAACTACCACTGTTAGAGATACTAGAACACCATTACATACTGGTGGGGGTAGAGAAAGCTGTTCACCAGATGCTCCAACTGGCTTCAAGTACGCATCTTCGCCAAAACCCAATAACTCGTACTTGTTTGCTCGAGAACCTCCTGATGGTGCAGAAAAAGTCACTTTACATTTTGATGATTTTGCGTAAGTATTAACATTTGTCTGTAAGTGTTTAACATAGTTTCGTAAAGAAATATAAACCTTTATGATGGAAAAAAGAAGTGCTTATCAAAAACAGAAGAGTAATTGACTGTTGCAAATTAGTGTTTGTCATACATGTGCGTCATTTTGTTTTGAAAATTTATTTTTGCTGTTTCGTTTGACCTTTGCTTTAACCTTCACTGCCTTCAATTGCAAACATGTAGTCGTATTTCAAAGTTTACACATATTTTTTTCTTTCTCACACATTCTTCAGAGAAAAAGCAAAATGGTCCAAGTGTCCATCAGGTCCGGATAAATCTAAAGGAACGATAAAGTTCAGTCAGCAGTCACCGTTTCATTTCATCAATCCTTTACCATCCAAAGTTGTTCCTCCATCAACGGAGCATTCCTGTATACATTAATGGTGATGTTATGGTAAGGTTAATGATGGAACTTATCATTGTTTATCCACCTTGGATTATATTTTCCATCTCGTTACCTTTTCTTTTTGGGAAACTGCAAACAAAAGTATAAATCTGTTACCGGATGTTACTTACGTAACAGCCAAGTTCACAGTGGTGAGTATGATCAACATGCTACTATTGTCGTAGGCTTTTGGGAGTGAGCTGATAGCCCTTAAGAGTTTTCTTAGTTTTTTAACTAAGCATTTTGCAATTTAGTCGGGCGTGCATATTTTATATGCTTAATTTATACATTCAGTTTATCGATGTCCGTTTAACGAAGCCAAAATGATATATGTATCATTGTATTTGCAATCCTTGACGTATTTGAATCAATTTGATCTACTAAAGCAATAATTGTTTTTGCCTGACAGTTGAGGGAAGTTAACATTAACAATGTTTGACACTTTAATTGTCATGCAAAAATTCAAGCGTTTGAGCGCTGCTTTAGTCAAGGCCTTGTCATTCACTCTATTTTTAAATTTCGTTGAATATTTGCTTGTATTGAAGGTTAAACTGCTTTTTGACTGAGCAAATTTTGTAGCAGCAAAGTCAAATTTGAGAAGCTTGAGTAAATCGTGGCCAGAGATTAGCTGCGCGGATAGCGGGTTTTTCAAAAAATATGAGAGACCAACATAAAGTTTAAATCATAAAAAACTCTATTAAAAATTATATGTTAGACTCCCCTATTTTATTTCATAAGGAATGTTAGAATGGTTTTACTTGCCATTTTTTATCAAAAATTATGCATAACGTTTTCTAAAAGAGAAATCTATACTTCATGTAATCATTTAGGCCGGGGAGGGGGGTAGTATTGTCATAAATGTAAAAGCCGAAAAACCGGACGAAACACGAAAACCAGAAGAGGCAATCCAATCTATTGTGTTATTGTATCTGTGTGCACATTATTCAAATTCAGAAAATATCATGTTATCTAGGTTATAAACCGGGACAGTGGTATTTTTACGTCACCAGATGAAATTTTTTCACTTACATCGTTCGTTGTCTATCATTCGTAAATTATAGATTTTGATATTTTCTCCGCCCCTTTTATACAGTGATGGAAAAAGTGTTTTCTCAATTGTTTCAGTTCTGGTTTTTGTCAACCTCCTCGGCCTATGTTTTTAACAATGAACAACATTTATATAGTTGAAGTGTAATTATGAATATATATAAGTTACGTATTTATTAAAAAGAATTAAACGAGCGACTTGTTTTATATTAATCTACAGCTACATGAGTTTTGCCATAAAATTTCATTAGTAACCTTAAAGGAAAGTGTTGTTGCTAATTATGTATTTGCTTATTGATTAACTGTTGGACTGGCACTTCTATACAATACAGCGAATAGTTAAAATAATACTTTTTATTCGTTCATTCTTCGAGGTACATTGGGGTGGTTGTAGAGGGTATTATATTTTATGTTGTTTTACTACAGATTTTAGTTTGTTGTAGTCAGTTATTTCGTTATGATTGACGTTGTCATGTTAGGAAGCATCTCCTTTGAAATCCAAGTCAAGATCACCTTAGCCGTGTTCAAAGATAGAAAATCTTCCAAACAAAAATTTTCCTAACGGGTCTTTCAGATCAATGTAGTAACTGCTATAAAATTTCAAAAAACACGCACAATCTTTGTCAAAATATATTAAAATTTGGTGTAACAATTGTCAAGATTACAACCAGACATTGCTAGGAAATATGCAATAGTCTATGAACTTAAGCACATTCCGTGTTACGAAAATTGTTGGTTTAACGCTTGTTGCTAAAATAAAGAAAGGAAGTCCAACTAAGGTTGAAATAACGAAATTATTTTTATTTTTACTCTGTAGTTGGAGCCCCACCTCCTCCAATAAAAAATTAAAGTTTTAAGTTTTGTCGGCAAACGTACTAACTCTTTGGACAAGAAAGTGCTTGAGGAGAAATGCATGAATTTTTCGGCAATTTAAACATGAAATTATTAAATTACAAAATCATGTATAAATAAGCGAGATTCGATGGAACTATTCCAATTAGGTTATAAAATGTTTTTAAAAGCATTGCCGTTTTATTTGGTTTTAAAGTGTTTAGTTTATTTCTACTGCTACTTTTAAAACAAGTAATAATTACTTTACTTGTACATTGTGCTCAATTAAACATACGTCGATTCGTTGAAATGAATAAACAATGAAAGGGACAGTAATGTTCCCTTTCAATTTTAAAGAAAAACCCATATTATATATTCCATTTTACTTGTAAAAAATTTAGATAGAATTTCTGATGAAGTCACATGTATAATTGAAAATACTTATTTTTGTATTACGTATTAAAGATGTTTGTTGGGGATCCCCACATGAAGGGCCCGCACTACCGTAACATAGAAATAGAAAGTGTTATTTTAATACTACATTTCATTGCAATTTCAGTCACAGATTGATAAAATATCCTTAAAAGCGGAATGTCCACAAATGCTATAAAATCAACTGTATCTGTGTTTATTTCTAACATATTCCTTTATGTGGTCAAAGTTCCACTCATCATACCAACGGCAACTACCGAATTCGTACTCATCACACGAAACTCTTGGTTGGTTAGATTTTCTTTTAGGAAGTGACGGCTCGGGCATTCGTTTTCCAAGACTTGGAAAGTTGTGATAATAATACCATCTTTGCATAATATATTTACGCCCTTGAATAACTTGGGCAGCGTTATGAATGGAGGTGGGGTCACAACGGCCATTCTCACTCATGCTGTTCCACACAAGAGCAAGTCCTTTTTTTGGTTTAACACTCAATCCCAGTTGAGGAAATTTTGTTTCTCCTCCTTTAGCAACGTTTTTCAAATAGACCAATATCGTTGCATAACGATCCCTCGTATCACCACCCACAGTACAATCCGTGTGGTTTTTGTAACCTAATACAACATTGAAACTATGTTAGACTTACATAGAAAGTTGTTGATTCAGAACCCTATAATTTTGTACACCATACTTCTCATGGAATAAAGTTAATGGACCAACTCAAGCTGATCAATAACACGAAAAGTTGACTTGAAAAGTTTGTATGCATGTTACTTTAACTTCTGACAAACAAAAGGGATTAAATATTATCATTGAGTTTAATCATAATTTTACTATGGTGGTGGCAGAAGAGCAAATCTCTTCTCTACGTAACCATAGTATTCTGAATTAATTGTTTCTGGAACATATCTCTATTTTGATACCCAGGGTAGTCCCCCTGTCAGTTTTATTGCAAAAGAAGTTCATTCTTTTTGTTAATTGTGATTGTTTACTTGTCATCATCAAGGAACATAATCTGACTGTCGACTCCAGCACTTGACTCTTGTCACAAGTAAAATTAACAAAAATTGAAAAACTACATAATCATGAAACAACACAAAGTAAGAACTATGTAGACACTTACAATACAATGAATCATTGGCTGTTGCATCAGACTCTAGCAGGTCATATTATTTTTTACCCTAGTAAATAAGTTAATTGCTAGATTAAACTATGTAAGAACAATATATTTTACAAACACATATGCACATACCAACATTCTTTGGATATGATGTTATTTGAAACTTGCCACCATTTTCTATTGATAAACCAGTAGCATACTTTATTCTTTCTTGTAATGTCAGGGAGAATTTACTTTCCCCAGGATAGAATGACGTACTCATACTCCATTTTAATCCATGATTTCTTATTAATAAGGATAAGCTTTCATTTACACAAGTTGTTCCTTCCAGAAAATCTTTATCACTTACTTCAAATGTCATACCAAGTTCTTTAAGGTTCAGCTTGAATGTATTTAATGAGTCAAAACAAAGTAATGGATTCAGTTGTGAGGTTTGCATAACATGATTATCATGTGCTCTAGCCAATGCATCACATTCAAAAGCACTTAAGAAATCCTCTAAGACAAATGCTTGAACTGCAGTTCTTTTGAGTTTTGACTGCAGCATCTTAGCTGTAAACATTACATCTGAAACAACACCTGACTTGACATCCAACTTGTTCAAAGTTTGAGGCTTGAAGTCCTCAAATGTGGTATCTGAAAATTGTTGAAGAATGGCATGTGAAGCTAACGATGAAATATAAAATAGAGTATATATGTCTGCATTGGAATAGAAAATAAATTGAGGGAGTAAAAGGAGCACAGAAAAAGTAAAAGGTGTACTGAAGGAGTAAAAAGTGCACAGAAGGAATAAAAGGTGTACTGAAGGAGTAAAAGGTGCACTGAAGGAGAAAGGTGCACAGAAGAGAATGAAGGAGCACTGAAGAAGTAAAAGGCACAGAAGAATAAGGTGCATGAAGAGTAAAAGGCACTGAAGGAAAAAAGGCACAGAAGGAAAAAGTGGGAAGAAGGTAAAAGCACTGAAGAAAAAAAAGGAGTAAAAGGAACACAGAAAAGTAAAGGTACTGAAAGAGAAAAAGAAGAGTAAAAGGGTGAAGATAAAAGGGAAAAGAAAAAAAGATAAAAGGTGCACTGAAGAAATAAAGACACTGAAGATAAAAGGAAGGAGAAAAGGTGCACTGAAGAGAAAAAGGTAAGCACTAAAGGATAAAAGGTGCTCTGAAAAGTAAAGGTGCACTGAAAGAGTAAAAGGTGCTCTGAAAGAGTAAAAGGTGCACTGAAGGAGTAAAAGGTGACCTGAAGGATAAAAGATGCAAGGGAAAAGGAGTACTGAAGAGTAAAGGCACTGGAAGGAGTAACAGGTGCCCAGAAGGAGTAAAGGTGCCCAGAAGGAGTAAAAGGTGCACTGAAGGAGTTAAAGGTGACCTGAAGGAGTAAAAGATGCACAGAAGGAGTAAAATGAGTAGTGAAGAAGTAAAAGGTGCCAAGAAGCAGTAAAATGAGTACTGGAGGAGTAAAAGGTGCACTGAAGGAGTAAAAGATACCCAGAAGGAGTAAAAGATGCCCAGAAGGAGTAAAATGAGTGGTCAGAAGATGTTGATGGTGCATAAAAAGTTTCATGTTACAAAGCAAAAAGAGTGCAAGCAATAACAGTTAAAGTTAAACCTTCAAAGATAAGACAAAAATTACCATGAACTCATACCTTGGTTGCTTCTCGATTTTATGCTATTATCTTTTCCTTCTTTGGAGCTGGAGGAAGTGAAAAGTGTTACTCTGTGAGAATATAGGTTATTATTCAACATAACGATAATGCACGTCACACATAAAATAATTACACCAAATATAGCAGGACGTGAAAAATTGAAAACTTCATGTTTTTCGTCAACTTTTCTTTCGCATTTTCTGTCCTTTTCAACTTCTTTCCAATTCCATTCGTAGGAGGCAATTTTCCTGATCGTTTTCGTTGTTTACTCATTTTGCTTCAAAATTTGAAATTTAAATTGTCATTGTAAGATGTAAAAGAAATCAAAATCAGCTAACGCAACTTCATTACAAAATTTAAGTAATATAAAAACAAAATTTTGAGTAATTCGACTTTCGCTTGTGTTATATTTTCGTCTTTGCATGTCTATCAAAATACTCGGAATATTCCGCAATGAAATTTGGATTTTGAAGGATGACAAATAAGGAAATTGAAGATCAAAGACATTGATCAAAGACGATGAATCTCCTGTTGAAATCGCCACATGAATGAATGCACTAGAAAAATGAATCAGTGAGATGGCGCTTCAATGTGTTGAATATGGATATATGAATGCAACTGAAGAAGCTCCTTTATCCGTGATTCGTTGTTTTGAATAAGAAAAAAAAAGAAGCCAAAAATGGCGGCTAATGTGAGATATATTTTTTTCGCTTTGCTTTGTTTTTAAATGATTGGGTTTGTTGTTAGCAACTTCCAAGAAAGCAATCAGCTAGTATATGTGATATAATGCTGGTTTATCGAGTTTTTTTGTTTGATTACCGTAATTATTTACAACTTTTGCTACAGTAAAATGCTGACAGTATTAATACAGTAGTAAAATCGTGCAATGAAAATTAACAATAAATTTTCTCACTTTGTATGCTTCGTTTGTTTGTAATGGTCTATAGATGCAATTTGTTAAAGAATACAACTGCTGATGTAATGTCATAGTAAGGCATTCTTGACCATTAGCTCAGCATTTTACATCTAGTGTATCTTGTGTTGGAACAGATTACACACATTGATCTTTTCAATCCTGGTGTTTCAATGTTGCCTTAACAATTTTGACTACTGTGTAAAGAATTCATTAAAAGAACAATTTCGTGACAAATTTTTATTATTTTATGAGCTTCCATGTAAAATTTAATCAACATTTGGACTAGAAAAACTGAAATTCAACCCTCTGTTGATCTTGAATGTGCAAGGAACTCTGTAGCTTGTGGCAAAATTTGAGCATCTAGGATTTTTACAAAATGCATGTGCACTTAGACATTTGATTAAAATTGTTGTATTTTAAGTTAGGCCGACAAGATTTGACAAAAAACATTGCTATCCTTGTTTATATGTCTTTTAAGATGGTCATGCAATTTTTTCCTAGCTAGATGATTCTGTCCATTGCATTTGTAAAATAAGAAAACAATTTGAATCTTTTGCTCGTCAAGCCATTGAAATGCAAAAAATTGAGTTTTGATATTAACTGTAAGAGAAAAAAACATTTATTTGTTTTTTTAGATTTTGAATAAATCCAAAGCAGTTGGTTATTTTTCAACAATGAGAGCTGTAGTTAATCATTTGACTAAACCCAGTATGGCAAGGCTTACAACTGCGAGTAATTTAAACCAGTCACCCACATTTATGACTGATCAAGGTAAAATCTATATCTATTTTTATTGGTTTTTCAACATTCCACGTAAATGATTTGAATGATTTAAAACACAATTTAGCTACATTTCAAGTAGACTCTTTACAAAATTTGTAATCAACAAAGACAACAAATGTTATCACCTTTCATATAGTTTGCTCCTCATATTTATTGCTTTTAGCATGTATTCTTTTGTAATTTTTAAATAATCTTACATGAAATTAAAGGACTTTATTAATTGGCTCATTTTATCGGTCTAAAAGAATTTCAACATAAACCAGTTTTGATGATATGTTATGTGTATGTTTATGACGTGTTAAATGTACTTTTTTCTGTTAGATCTTGGACCATTTGCTTCTAAAGATCCAAAATTCCCACTGCCTGGAAACATGAACATTGACGTGAGTATGCAAAATGAGCGATTTCAAAGACCAGAAAATCAACAAAGTTTGGCGTCCTTGTTTTTGGATGTTGAGACAAATGATATGAGCAAACATCAGGCTCTTGTTCAATTCTTGCACACCTTCCATCGTGATGAAAAGAAGAAAGCAAACGTAACTAACGAGAATATATCAAAAGAGCTATTTGAGAACGATAAGGTATATGTTGTTGGGTAAAAATGAAAATTCGCTTCGTGCTGCAACTTTTACGAGACAAACCGAAATTTTATAGAAAAATTTTCTTGAAGAAGGAAACATTTTTAGAATCGTTTACCTTATTGCTTTCCGTCAAAACCAGTGTCTTTATACTGTTGAGGTAGACATGTTTGGAGTGCTTATATCTGTATTTCTGTCTACATTCTTCACACTTCACCGCTCTATGTATGTTCCATTTATGGACTGTGACGTTTTTAGATTTCTCTATTTGTATAAAATGTTTTTTTCATAACGCTGCGTAACCTATAGTTCTTTTGTCACATTCTTAAACACGAAAACAAATTAAAAAATATTATTAAAAAGAATGCAAACAAGCGAATGTATGTGAAAACGCGGACTGTTTGGTGAAGGAAAATGCATAAATATCATTGTGTTTAAAGCTTCCTGATATAACTGAATGGTTCGGTCAATTTGATGGATTTTACGAAAATAAACTTTGATGATTTTTTGGTAAAAAAGTTGCTGAAACATTCAATTAAAGATCCCTGTATTCAAATCTACATTTTTCATTACAAAATGCTTTTATAGGGAAAAGTTGAATGTTCCGTTCAAAAATGTACACCATCGCTTCAACGGAGTTTTGCTGATTTGTTCCCTGACAAAAAACTTGATGCGGATGAACTGACGATAATATGCATTTGTCAACATACTTTAAATGACATGACTGTTTGGTCTCAAGATGTAGACCAGGAGAGAGAAGAGCTTTTGAAAAGTGTGCGTAAATGATTATGAATTGTTAAATTGCAATATCCCTGTATGAAAGAACTTCACCAGACGAAAAAACAAACACAGGCTAAGAATTGCTTTCATTTTTATAAACAGAGCAAACTATAATATATTCATGAAATTGGGTGTGGTTTTATGGGAGATGTAGGTTATATACAACTCCCCTCCACTAATCCCACGCTTTACACAATACCACACACACACACACTATGGATACACACCTTTCTTCTCATAATCTCAATCTGTGGGGGCTATACGCAACTCCCCTCCCCTAATCCCACGCTTTACACAATACCCCCCACACACACACTTTAGATACACACCTTTCCTCTCATAATCCCAATCTGTGGGGGCTATACCCAACTCCCCTCCCCTAATCCCACGCTTTACACAATACCACCCCCCACACACACACTATGGATACACACCTTTCCTCTCATAATCCCAATCTGTGGGGGCTATACTCAACTCCCTCTCCTAATCGTACTTTATACAGGCTATAAACACCTTCCCCTACTCCTCACCACAAAATTGTCTTTCGTTTGCTACTTATCGTCTATCGCTGTTTTACTAACATAGTCTTAATAACACAGTTTATAGAGTCTGCAACGGACATTTGTGAACTGCTGAAAAGTCAAGGTTATTGGGCAGATTTTATTGATCCATCATCTGGCAACGCTGTAAGTCATACTTACGCAGTTAAAAGTTCTGTTTTTTTCCCCGTAAACGATCTACAAACTTCAATTGAATTAAGTCATAACATGAGAAACACATGGCCGTCATTTAATGTATTATTCTAATACAATCAATAAGCATCATTATTACATGACTTGTTTTATGTATAAATGAACAATGAATACGTAACGTGATTTTCGTTTCTGTCAAAATCGTTTCTATCCATATAAGGATTTCTTTCTTTTTAGCCTCGAGTCTTTTTTTTATCAAACGTTTTTGTGTTCTTTAACCATATTCATTGGGAAATGCTGATTGTCGTTCACAGTCATTTCCTAATACATAGTTTTCTTCGGATTCTTTCAGTTTAACATTTTCTCTTCTTTTTTTATGCTTCCCCACTTAAAATAATGCGTCCTAGGTTTTTCCAGAATCAATAGATCTACGCACTTTACTTCGAAAACTGCACCATGTTTGATGGTGGCTAAAATGCCTAGAATTGATTTTATAAAAGGTGCATGATAACCTTCAGGAAATAGTAGCTTTCATCGACATAAAATATCTAACTTTGGCAATTTTGTGCGTGTTCATCTTTTCTTTTAAACTGTTGTTTTCTATAATTAAGAAAGTTAAATATCTTTGTTATTTTAAGTCATTTTAAATCATTAAGTCATGGCAATCTGAAAACTATTCTTGGTAGCATTTGTTGTCATAAAAGCTGTGTGATAAAATTTCGTGTCTTGTACACTTTCAGTTATCAAAAGTTTTATTTCCTCTTAATTCAGTGAAGAGTAAGTTTAAATCAGGTCAAACTTTTTTCTTGAGTGTAGTGAGGTATGCACTTTCTATGGCTAAAAATTTTGAAAATTTCTTCCTAGTATTTTGGCCCATATTCGAACTCAACGTTTTTTGAAACTGATGAAAGGTATAATCAACTTGGATTTCGTGTCATCGATCTTGGTTGTTGTAAAGCTTTGAGTCATAAATCGTGGGGCACATTTATTTATGTTGGAAGTATTTTCACTAATGCTCCGACTCATTGTCTTTGTTTGCAATCTGCTTTTGATGTTACAGAGTAAAAGAATTGTATTCCATGTAAAGAAGTTGAAACATTTAAATTTTCTTATTGTTGTATTTGGTATTTTGAATTTAAAATTGAGCTACTTCAATTTATTTTAACCGCCACACACAGTTACGTTTGCAAATTGTTCTTCTTTTTAATAGCTTGTTTTTAAGAAAAGAGTATTGTTTGTGTTCGTTGAAATATTTCTGGTTGAAAAAATCCCGATATGTGTATATAACTGAATTGAAATGCGTGCAAAATATACTTTTATTGAATATGCTAAGCAGTATCTCTCATCTCGTATTTTATAAAGGTTATGATTTTATAATTTCAATAGAATTAGAAACTGTTAGAAATCACCCAACACAAAGTCTAACATTTACAGTTTAACTGTCTTCGTCTGGTCTTCATACTTCATCATACCACCCTATGAAATCAGTGAATCATCAGATTTCTTGATCATCGAAATGTTCATCGAGGAAATTGAAGATGAGAATAAATATTGTATTTTTTACTGAGAAATCTTAACTGTGATAAATCATGAAAGAGACAATTTCTAGTAGACTATCAAAAAGCTGCAATTAATTGATGAACCAAATCATTTTACTGTGAAATCGTGACATCCGCTGTTTCGTTTAATACGATTAAAAATGTTTTAAATTCTGGTGTTATTTGTTCTGAATGCAGTGATCACAGTAATGTATTTGTTATTAGGAAAACACAAATAAATAATATAAAAAATTTCGTTGAACAAATATTTAGCAATGACTAAATTGGTAAATGGGAATTCACTCCTACAAGAAAGTCATGAACACAGAACACTAGACAGAAAGTCAGGTCAGAGTCAGACCAGGCCATCCCATGGTCAGACCATTGAGTCCAATTGAGTCAGGTCAGACTCAGATAATAAAATATTGAATATTTTAATATTAATAAGCCAAGAACGGAAGTGGGTGCGGTATTTGTACCTTAGACGTCACACACAAGGAAAACAATTCGAAGTTATAGAAGAAAGCACAACGTTGTCGGTTTGATATTTTTCCCAAAGTTTCTGTGATAATGGCTAGTAAAAGAACAAAAAAGGGAACTCAGAAGAGAGCAAGACGTGCTACGTCAAACGTCTTTGCTATGTTTGATCAAAACCAAATCCAAGAATTCAAAGAAGCCTTCAATATGATCGATCAAAATCATGATGGTTTCATTGACAAAGACGATTTACACGACATGTTGGCTTCCCTTGGAAAAGATCCTACTGACGAATACCTTGAAAGCATGATAAAACTTTCGCCTGGACCTATTAACTTCACGATGTTGCTGACAATGTTTGGTGAACAAATGAATGGCACAGATCCTGAAGATGTTATCAAGAACGCCTTTGCAGCGTTCGATGAAGATGGAGACGGAAAGATACGCGTAGAAAGATTTCGTGAAGCAATGATGACGATGGGCGATAGAGTCTCGGAAGAAGACGTTGACGAAATTCTTCGTGGTGCACCAATCGATACTAAAACAGGCCTGCTGGATTATGTCAGATTCACTCAAATATTGAAACATGGCAAGAATGATGATTAATTTACACAAACAAACCTTTTCCTAATGCGTATTTTAGAATATTTGTCTCAGAGATGATTGTCTATATGAAATATAAGCATAATTTTTCACCTGTTTGCTTCATATCGTTTCTACTTTTGCAATCAATATTTGTATTTTAGCGAGAAGGTAGTTTCATCATTGAAATATCATATGCTGGTATTTTGAGTGATTTTTGTTTAGTCTTGACATTCTTGAAGTTTTTCTTACAATATAAATATGGTCCAAATGCAATAACTTACTCAATGTGAATTCAATTTTTCAAGAAATTGTGTATTGTAACTTTAAAACCTTGAAATGGTTGATGTATTTTGAAACAATAAACTATATCATCATACAACTCTGCTGCATATGAGAATAGCACAAGTATTCTTGTGGATGTAATATGGTCAAACTTTGCTTCTATTTTGTTTTGATGCCATGTTCAAACGTTTTCTTATTGTAATTAAGTTGTACTCTTCTGCAATGATGGATTTAGCACTGACCAAATTATGTCCAATGAGAAACAAAAAACTCATTTACTCAAAAAGCAAAATCCAAATTCTGTTTACAATAGCTCACTGGCTACTTCATCAACAACAAAATTAGCTACCTGGTTTGGAGATTTATACTTAGTAGATAATTTGATGCAGGCTTATGTCGCATAAGAGATGTAATGGGGATGGGGAGGTTAATCATTTTGTACTCCATTAAGATTGAATTTACTTTCATGTAAGAAAATAGGTTCATAACAAGCAATAAGAGCTGTGTTGAATAAGAACTTATACACATGCAATTTGCCTGTAGTACACAAAAAATTGAAAAGGGAGTCATTTACATGTTTCAGTTAATTTTAAAGTTACATGGGGCTTGATAATCCAGCTCTCCAAAAGGGGGATGATCATAGAGAATAGGGTTATTTATTTTTTGTATCTCTATTTAAACAAAATGTAGGAGTATATTCTAATCATTTTGGGTAAGAACTAAGAATCCAAAGTTTCCAGCTAACAACAGCTCAAAGTTATCAGTGATAGCTGAGCCAGGACGTCTTGGAGACACAACCATGGATCACTCCCCAAAAAAAAAAGAAAATGTAAAGGCTCCACAGACCTGCTGCTTGATGTCCGTTCACAGCATCGCTTGATCCCAATTTCTAAACTAAAATTTCACATTCATCGTTATTCTAATTCAAACTATGATCGTTTGGTAATAAGGGGCATTATGTTATGTGATTACACTGTACTCTGTAGGGAAGGAGAAGGTTAGAAGCAAATAGAGGAAAACAAAGAGAAGGAAGAATAAAAAGTAACAAAGGAGGGCAAAGAGAGGGCTCTCGTTCTGTCATAGAGTAACACAATATACTTTCCCTATCCTTGGTTGCATTGCTCATGGCGAGGAAACATTGCTCCAAATCTTCCAGGTGTCCATTCTTTGGTAAGTGGTTGTTTGGAGCAGGGCTGTTCTCGATGTACGCATTCAGCACAATGTAAAGAAGTTTAACATGTATCTGAGCAATCACAGAGGGACAAGCGTAGCTAAGGAATAGTCAGAGAATTTTCTTTTATTTCCTGTAAAGCTTCACAAAGTTCACTCTGTAGTAATCTTTGGGGCTAGCGAGAGCCTGCAAACAATTTGCGAGCTTGAATTTTTGTTACTGCAACGGCGTAGATTTCTTTCATCGGACAGGGAGGGTAGGCAGCTCTCTTAAACTCAAACTCATTAAAAACTTATCAAACTTCTTGAGCTCATCAAAACTTCAAAATCGTTGAACTCAATTATGATTAAAAACTATCTATGTATTCACAACTAAACATTGATTTTTAATGAATTGGGACGTTCGACTTAAATGCGCCAATCTAATTGTAATATGTAAGAACCATTTTGGGTTTTTTACCCTACGTCAAAACAAAAACACTTTGCCAATGGTTTTTTTTAACAAAGCAAAAAATTTCTTTTTATTATTTTCAATATGAATTGATTTACAACTGCACATACACACTCAAGAGAACTAACAAACTAATAAAATTCACGTTGCACTCCGAACTTTTAGGTCCGAAAAGTTTTTCTTTATCTTCATAACCAGCAATTGACTGTCGTTCAATCTAAAGAGGAAAAAATCAATCAAAAAATCAAATTGAAAAGAACTGAATATTACGCTACACAACTTTTTACTGGAGTAAACATTTTGATAAAATTTTCCCACCTCCATAATCTTGTTTGAAGAAAGTCATGGGTCATACAGGCCAAACTGTTTTATGTGTTCACCTCTTTACACGAATTTCCCGATAGTATTTTCTAAATGGCACTGTCTGCTCAACTTTGTCTGGCTTGTGCGCAAAATGTTGTGGCTTGATATTGAAAGTTTAAAAATATAAATTCGCCAGATCCATCATAATTTCACGTGAATCATCCTAAATTCCTAAAAGCAAATAGCGATTGTATTTCTCTGTGAGTGTGCATGATTCAATACAGCAGCTTTTTTATGAATAGAAGCGAATTTGATTTTTTCGCGTTGTCACATTGTAACTAAACCAAAAACTTTCACTCTCAATTTTCCTGTTAGAAAACGAATTCCAGTCGAATGTTGGTAATGCTGTATTTTTTTATTTCCATATCTTTCGTGTTTCTTTATAGTATATAAGCAGAATTATAGATCTTGTCACGAATACGGGATAAATAATTTTGAGTCCTTACTTAGCTCCCCTATTCCCGGTTCCTTAATTTTCAAAATCCCGACTCCAAGTTTTCCGGTTTACCGTTGCACCAGCTAACCGCAATACCCATCAGTCTGGAACATAGAGTTTCTAGCAAATCAATATGGCGGATGTTTGATGAAAATACTCAAAAATGCCAAACTGATTTTGAAATGTTAGTAGAACTGATGATTTGTGGTAAAGAATCTCTCTTATTTATATAAGTGCTTGAAAATTTCCAAGCTATTATTTTGATGCAGGCGATAGCAAATTGTGTTTCTACAAAAGCCTTGTAGGCCAGACCAGGCCCGTTGCTTGGACCGTTGTCAAAGTTGCACAAGTGCTGGATTCATAAAGTTAAATGTTTGTTGTGAAGAAGCCATGGTGATACGCCAGTTAGCAGATGAGGTAAAGTGTTCCATAAACGCCATAATATTTTATGATCTTTTTCTTTTATTTCGTAAAAAAGGTTTATTTGCTTCAAACGGTGACATATAAATACATATATTTATATATCGAACTATTAATCAGAAGAAATTTAGAAAATTATGAAAAAATTGTACAGATAAGAAAACCTAAAGTCTAATACAGGTGTTGAAGTGCAAGATCAGTTTCCCACATTATGTAGTCAACTGATAATGATCATTCTTGAAAGAAACACTTATAATTAATTTTTGCAATATCAAATAGATTCGGTAAACTGTGAAAATTTAACATCCACAAAAATTACAAATATTTTTCTCCTATCCTTTCCTGACAATATCTCACAGTAAGCCCTATAAAAATGTTATTTTCCAGACGTTTTTCTTGACATGTGTCTTAAATTTTAGTCGTACATCATTATAACTTTTATTCAATTTTCTTTAGCCTCCTGTAATTCAAGCTTGTTTTCGAGGGGATGCTAATGAACTTCGCTCACTAATTACAAGGAAAGAAGATGTCAACTCTTTGGTATTTATCTTTGTATTTGATATTAGTATTGATAATGTGCAGATTATAGAAAAGTTTTCTTGTAGCCGATTGTTGACAGTTGTCAGTACCTAAACTGAACTAGAGAGCTTTAGCAGTAGAAGTATGAGTACTTGTACAAATTTTAACAGTGTAATCCCATGGCATGAGAAAGTTTGTTATTGTATTGCTTTGTATAAATTTTACGTACTTTAGCTGTAAAGAACTGCAAACGAATACGATTTTCTTTGACACAAGGAATACCAAACTATTTGATATTTTGCATTATATTGCATTTTATCCAATATTATTATTGATAAATCCATAACACTGATTTTTAAAGGATAGAAAACTTTTTACAGAAAAATTTCCTCATAATTCTAAGCTTTAAAAAATGGGTGTAGTTGTTTACAGTTTGTTTATACATAACGAAATTGTCTATTTACATGCGCATCTGTCATTGGTTCATCCATTTGTAAATAATTGGCCAGTTTTATTTTCACAACATATGTATTGATTTACTTGATTTGGCTTTTTCAGGATCACGAAAGACGAACTCCACTTCATGCTGCTGCCTATCTGGGAAATGTTGAAGTTCTTAACACTTTGATTGTTAATGGTAATTATTCCTTGGGAGGCACATTTCAAGTTGAAAAAATTTATCAATGACTTAATAAAAAAATATTGAATTTTCTTTTAAGTTTGGAATATTATAATGATGTTGTTATATTTTGCTTTTCTGAAAAGAAGAGTGCAGTTCTTGCTATGTGCTTTGGATCTTGTTGCTTTTTTTTGAAATAAAGTAAACTTATTTTAATTTCAGTTTTATTTTCAATTCACAATATTAATTCATCTTGTTGCACATGTTGCATTAAAAAATTTTGGTGTAAAATTTACTCGAAAATTTACTTTTAAAAAAACCAGAAAACAACATCAATGGAAATGGAAACATTCAGTTTTTTCTGTACCAAGTGTTTTTGCAAAGAAAATCACCAGTATTTGTTCATTGAACTGCTCTAAAAAACAAAAAAATTGAAATAAGTTATTTAGATTTCCTATCCTTCTATTGTATTTTACAACAATACAGTAGCATCACATTGTTAAATAGAGACTCATATTCTAATTACTTACTGATTCAAGGTTCAAGTGTAAATACAAAAGATTCCAGATGGTTGACTCCACTTCATTGTGCCTGTGTTACAGGAAATAATGTGAGGTTCAAGTTATTGTCTGAATTTTGAAATTGACTCTATTTACGTTGTTAAATTATTCACAAAACATACCTTTTTGCCCATTTAACCATGCCTAAATGTGTACCTACAGGTTTAAGAGCAGGCATTTTTTTGATGTAATGGATTTTTTTTATGTTTCCCCATGATAGTAAAGTCTTAATTAAGAAAACTCAGACTCATTGTATTAATGAATAATGACGTTTTTCTAACTACATTCCTGTACATGGTTATACTGCATGGTTTGTTCAGCTGTAGCCGCTGACCACATATTGATTTCTACTATAGGAATGTGTTAAATCATTGTTGAAAAACCATGCAGATGTCAATGCAAGAGATAGGAATTGGCAAACACCTTTACATTTGGCAGCAGCAAACAATAATGCTCAATGTGCAGGTGTGTAATGACGTGCGGGTTTTTTTATTGTTTCTTCATGGACTTTGACATTTTTGAATCACTAAGAACTTTGCAAGAATTATCTTGAACACTTTTGAACCGTGGATTTTTTTGTTATTTTAAAAGTTTTGAAATTTACACTGATACGCACGACTCCAGTGTCGATGATCTGAAACATTCGTTGCATGATGAGGCAATTATATCAAATATACGTATACCTTTGAACAGCCGAGAGTTAAAATTTTTTCTCAAACACACTTATAATTGATTTTATAAAATATGAGAATGATAGCTTTGTAGTTTTCACCATTGTCGATAAAACTAAAAAAGTTCGCATTAGTAAAGTTTTTTAGGTATTTTTATCGTTATTGTAAAGTCACTCGTCAAAATAAATCGTGATGGTAATTTTTAAAGTGACTATTATTAGTTAACTTTTTAGCTAATGTTCAACTTAAAGTTAATTTTTGTGAAATTGAAAAGTTATACATTAAAATTTGAGAAGGCTTGTATGTTGCATATTGAAAATTTTTTTCTTTTCAGAGTTGTTGGCTCAAGTGGTAATAAACATTGACATTGCTGATCGCGCTGGACGAACAAGTTTACAGCTTGCAGTTTACAATGGACATATAGAGGTAGGATTTCGCGATTCATGTGCATAGTTGTATCAAGATTAATCTTTGACAAAACTTGTACGAAAATAGTTACTGTCACTGAAGAACTGAACAACAATGTATCATGCAAATTTTGCATCCAAATTAGCGAAAAATTATAACCTTTTAATTTTTATGAAACGTGTGTGAAATGTTGAAGATTTTGATTATCCTTCACATTTTGGGAATGTGTTGTAAGTATTGATGAAGACTACATAAGAGCGAAATCATCAATCCCTCAATTGAAAACCCTCGTAAAATAAGTTGTTTCGTCCTCTGAAATGTAGTTACGACTTCTTAATTTTACTGTATATGTGAAGAACATGATAAATTTGTGAAAAGTTACGTAGTATTTCATCTAAACATTAGTTGTTAGTATCCGGACCTGTTGCATGTTTTCATTATATTTGCGTTGCGAGGTTTTTCTGGTTTGTCACATTTGGTATAGCTACTAAATATTCGTAAAAGTCTTCAATATGCCCAGCTCTATCCAGTTGAGGAATGTCAACAGTTGATGAATGTAAATCATTACATCTTACTCAATGATATTTGTCAAACAACAGATTCATATGAGAATTTGATGCAGTTTTTAATAAATACAGTAAGATAGTTATCTTTTTTCTTTAGATGGTTAACTTTTTACTCACAAGTGGAGCAAATGTGAACGCTAAAGATAAAAGAGAAAGACAAGCTATTCATTGGGCCGCATATCATGGTACATAGGGGGATATTGTTGTATATACGGTGTGATATGTGATGATAATAGTACATACATGTGCGTGAATGCTTTATTACATGGAGACACTCAGAGGTATTGTTGTGCATATGGTGTGATATGTAGTGATAATGGTTCATACATGTGCGTGAATGCTTTATTACATGGAGACACTCAGAGGTATTGTTGTGCATACGGTGTGATATGTGATGATAATAGTACATACATGTGCGTGAATGCTTTATTACATGGAGACACTCAGGGTATTGTTGTGCATACGGTGTGATATGTAGTGATAATAGTACATACATGTGCGTGAATGCTTTATTACATGGAGACACTCAGAGGTATTGTTGTGCATATGGTGTGATATGTAGTGATAATAGTACATACATGTGCGTGAATGCTTTATTACATGGAGACACTCAGAGGTATTGTTGTACATACCGTGTGATATGTAGTGATAATAGTACATACATGTGCGTGAATGCTTTATTACATGGAGACACTCCATATTGTTGTACATACCGTGTGATATGTAATGATAATGGTACATACATGTGCGTGAATGCTTTATTACATGGAGACACTCAGGGTATTGTTGTACATACCGTGTGATATGTAATGATAATGGTACATACATGTGCGTGAATGCTTTATTACATGGAGACACTCAGGGGTATTGTTGTGCATATGGTGTGATATATAATGATCATGGTACATACATGTGCGTGAATGCTTTATTACATGGAGACACTCAGGGATATTTGCTGTGTATACGGTGTGATATGTAATGATCATGGTTCATACATGTGCGTGAATGCTTTATTACATGGAGACACTCAGGGATATTTGCTGTGTATACGGTGTGATATGTAATGATCATGGTTCATACATGTGTAAGAATACATTATTGCCCCTCCATCATCTTACTCTTGCGTTAACGATGGTGAAATACCATCGTTCGATCTGTTTATTGCTTCTCTCTGTGAATAGGACACGACCTTAGTTTCATAAAGTACTATACGTAATGACCAAATTTTTAGATCTTTTTCTTTATGTCCATGTATGTATTCCGTTCACTCTACGGTATGACCTTTAGACTCAAATTGCACAATTTTAAAACAAATTCTAGAATCTCTTCCTGACTGTATTTAGGCCATATCGCCTGTCTTGAAATTCTGATTGAAAATGGCTCACGAGTGGATTGCAGAGATAAAAAGGTACAAAGTGACATTACTAAAATTACTAAAGAAATATTATGTGAAGCTCTTTCTCCTGATACGCTGGAATATGTATTGTGCTAATACTTGTTAGACCAAAATGAATCATCGGGTATACATTTTTTATCAACCATTGATGATTAATATGTCTAAGGTTTTTCATACGTAAATAACGCAGCTACATATCTCAAACTTAAACTCCTGTGAAATATGTAAATTAAGTTTACGGTGCTCAATTCAAGACGGTGATAGAAAATATGAATTATCACTACTTTGCTCAAAGTTATGATGAATTGTGTTTTTTAGATGTATACTCCACTACATGCTGCTGCTGCTGGAGGTCAACTCAGTGCAATAAAAACTTTAATAAATGCAGGAGCGATGGTTAGTTATCTGATGTTACGATCTTTCATTTAAGCAAAAGTTACTTATGCTAATCCTTGATGCCGATTACTGTGCAATCAATTTGTAAAATAATAGTCGAACTGTTTTTGGAATGTACAAAGTGTAACTGTAAGTTTTTTGAACGAGAATAACGATCTCTTCTAGTCTTCTTTATGTTGCAGATATTCATACCGAAATGTTTGGTTGATCACTTCCCATAGTAGTTTCCTTGATTTTTATTTAAATTATGGATTAACAATGTAGGTAGATAATCCAAACCATCTTGGTAACACTCCACTTCATTTGGCATGCTATAACGGTCAGGATGTTGTAATTGAGGAGCTCATTAACCAAGGCGCCAACGTAAATGCCGCTAACATTAAAGGCTTGGTAAATACAATTTTTTTTACAATGTTTTTAGTTGGAGAAATGTTCTTTGTTTTTTTTCCAAGCACGTTCTGTGTGTATTTATGTTTGTTGGCTGTTTTTGTAGACAGTTGAGCAGTAGAGTGTCCCGTGTTAACTTTTCTGTGGGAGATTTAGGCTCCTTCGTACGTTCGTTTGAATCCCGTAATTTTGATCGTTACCACGCATGCTCAGAGGATTTTTTAAATTAAATTTGGTTACTTAGCTAGCTACTCGAAACATTATAAGTAGACAGATTTCGTTGTTGTCATGATTATTACGAAGAAACTGCGCATGTTCCAATGGTTTGTCTTTTGTGACTAAACAAGCTAGTTACTCCAAGAGCATTGCAAGTAGACGCAGTTGGTCGTTGCCATGACTATAAACTTGAACAGTTGGTCGAGCTGAATGCGCATGTTCAGACGTTTTTTATTTTTTATTTGTGACTGACTACTTAGTTTAAAAACTGTACAAGGATGCCCATTTGGTCACTCGAAAGGGACATTTGAACTGTGGACACCTAGAGAATTGTGGACATTTTGTACATAGAAAACAAGACAACCATACTTTAAACTGTACACTACATACAACTGTGGACACCTAGAGAATTGTGGACATTTAGTACATAGAAAATAAGACAACCATACTTTAAACTGTACACTACATACAACTGTGGACACCTAGAGAATCGTGAACATTTTGTACATAGAAAACAAGACAACCATACTTTAAACTGTACACTACATACAACTGTGGACACCTAGAGAATCGTGGACATTTAGTACATAGAAAACAAGACAACCATACTTTAAACTGTACACTACATACAACTGTGGACACCTAGAGAATTGTGGACATTTTGTACATAGAAAATAAGACAACCATACTTTAAACTGTACACTACATACAACTGTGGACACCTAGAGAATCGTGGACATTTAGTACATAGAAAACAAGACAACCATACATTAAACTGTACACTACATACAACTGTGGACACCTAGAGGATCGTGGACATTTAGTACATAGAAAACAAGACAACCATACATTAAACTGTACACTACATACAACTGTGGACAATAAGAACTTGAACAACAAGCATTGAGCTAGTTAAAGTAAATTTGGATATCTTCTTCATTATACATAAAACAAACTCAAATGAGAGTGAATTTAATAAAATGTGCGAGACATGCATTATGTTGTTAGAAATTACATCAAAAAGCTCGTGTTTTGTTCAAAATTTGCACTATCCTTGAAGCCCAAGTCATATTCTCTTTCATTACTCTCTTTCATTATTCTCTTTCATGAGCTATTTCGAATTTCCTCTTTTATTTTAGTGCATATAGTAAAGTAATTAAATTTGTTTTCTTTCTTTGTTTTACTTCTAAGAAATCAGTTTGTTTTCCGGTCTAATAGTGTAACAGTTATATACTTGTAAGTTGTGTTATGTAACTAAATAACTGTTTGTTGTATTGCAGACTCCTTTACATTATGCCGCTGCTTCAGAAAATGGAGATATGGTCATGGAAGTTTTACTCAACGAAGGAGCAAATCCGAACTCGAAAGTATGAAATCTTCAAATAAATTGCAAACATCCAATTCTTTTTGAACAGTCTTTGTATTTGTAATCTCAGCAAGTATTTGCCATGTATATTTTTGCAGTGTAAAAAAGGCCAAACTCCTCTTCATTTGGCTGCATTAACTGGTCGAAATAAGCGGACGCAAACTTTGCTTCAACAAAGTAAGAACTGAAAATTCGTCTTTGTGTTATTATGATCCACTTTTCTACCACCATATAAATATCACATGTAGGATTTCTATCCATTGCATGAATTAACATTCTTTTCATCAATGCAATGTATTGTATAATCAATGTATGTTATACGTATCTATGCTTTTTATTCAGACTTAATATGTCTTATGTGGGATATTTGTGCGCATCTGTGTGTTTTATGTTTTGAGAGCTTATATGTCTTTTGACATTTAGAGAGCCAATGTATTTTGTCGTTATAGAGATTTTGAAAGATTACGTATCTTGTTTTTAGATGCATTTGTAAACTCACCCGATGAAAATGGGAACACACCTCTCCATCTTGGAGCTTATAGCGGGCATCAAATTGTAGTTTGTGTTCTACTTGCAAGTGGTGCTGATCATAAAAAGTGAGATTATGTAAAATGTCGATTGTTTAAAAGATAGATTTATAAATGTTTCCAAAATTTTGTAAAAGTTTCCACTCGATAGTTTTGAAGATAATTTAATTTTAAGTTTCCTGCTTTTTGTCCTGTCATTAGCGAAATCATTAGAAATTCTTATATTTTGGTATATTTATTGTGTAGTGCAAAACAATCACGAAAAAAATATGCTAAAATTTTTAAATCAATATCCAATGTGTAGCACTATCCATTTTTTCAAAAATATAATGAGTGATATATATAATAGCTATACTACTTTCCTTTATTTTTGTTAATTTTACTCATCAGATTGGGTTTTGACGGAATGAGTCCATTGCATATGGCTAGCTTAACGGGTCAAGTTGAATGCTGTAAAAGCTATTGCAATACGGTATGATATAGTGTTTCTTTGTTTACCCATATATATTTGATCACAACCTTTACATATTACATATGATATGATATCATTGCTCTTTGTACTTGCTTAAGTTGTTAATTAATTTTACTTTTCTATCGCATCAACTTCACGCTTTTGTTATTTTCAAACTCACCTTCCACCATTGCTAGACGAATCCTTACCAGAGATCCTTGAGCTTGAGTTTTTGATCAATTTTACTCGTCTAATGTATCCTATTCATGTTTTATTTCTTCTTTACCAAGTATCATGGTCACTAAGTCATTCACATTTCTCCGTTAACTTATGGCAACTTACATACCTAAATAGATATAGTATACTTTTAAATGGTTTTATCCTCAATAGTTAAAGAAAAATGTGTAAATTATTGTTGCGAGTAATGACCATCATGTTTATTCATGTATCTTCATACAACCCCAATATACAAATGATTACTGTAAAAATTTTATACCCAGTGCCCTACATAGAAAAGAGTTGGGACACCGAAGATAAAATTGCCTAGCGCATCTGCCATTTTGTTCCAAAAGCCAGCAAATATAAAGCATTAAATGGGGGAAAGATAAATTTTCTGTTGTGTTTTCTTATTCATGAATACACAGCGATCGTCGCCTGAGGAGTTCAGTTGTTTATAGAAAAACATTTATTTAATGCAGTGGATGTAATATGTATGCCTTTAATACTGTTTTTGCCACAAGGGAGCGCGTAGATTTCTATTCTTCATCGCTTTGATTGGCATTATTATAACGCAACCGAAAATCACTGTAAACATTTTTATAATTATCTCCCATGTAAAAATAATTATAATTTGCGCTTTTGGAACAAAAATGGCAGCATGTGACCATATTTACCCAATCGCCATAATGCGAAATACAATACGTGTCTCAACTCTTATAAATACAGGGCTCTGCTTATGCCAGCTTTGTTAACTGTGATATTAGCGTTATAAACTGTATCAAAGAGCTCACTCCTTTTCTATTTTGTTTGCAGGAGCATCTATCAATATAAAAGACAACAACAACAGAACGTGTGTTCATGCAGCGGCCTGCTGTAGGTATGTCAAAACATAATAAATCATTTCCTGTGCTTGTAGTTCTAGCGTAGTTTTTAATGCTTCATAATGTATTTTTAGCAATGTAGACTGTCTGGAACTGCTTATGAGTAATGGTGCGGATCATCATGTAACTGATAGGTTTGGAAGGTGGGTTACTTCAGCTTTGTCGAAAAATCAATTAATGGGAAAACATCAGAGAATATAAAACTTTTTAAGACTGATGTGAAAGATCAGTTTTTCAATGTTTTATATTGTGTGTTCATGAGACAAGGTTTTATCGGGGAAAACTTAATTTTCAACTGAAAACAACAGCTAGAAGATCAATGCAAGGATGTCTGTATTAGGTGCAAATATATCTTGGCAATTTATAGGTTTTATAGTTTACCAAAGTTTCAGCTTTTCGAGGTGGACAAATGGCAAATTGAAACTTAATAGAACAGAAAAGACCCAGAAAAGGTCTCCAAAGAGTCAACATGTCGTATTTTATTAGCATTGTTGGAAAATGTTGATCAAACAGTTTTAGTTTGTAAGCTTGGGGCTTGGTTCAAACCTTCATTCTTTTGATAATAAGATACAGTCAATAATTTTAGATATTTCAGTGGTATCTAAGTCTTATAATTACCCCCTCATCTTCATATTTCTATTTCTTGTTTTTTTATAGAACTCCTCTTCATTATGCTGCTGGTCATGTGCTTTTTGAAAATGTTGTGCTGTTAGTTGGATCTGGATGTAATGTTAATAAGACAGATATTAAATCTTGTACTGCATTACATTATGCATCAGCTCATGATGAAGACGCAAGGTTAGCTATATAAACGTCTTTACTAATATTTTATACGTTTTACTTATAATAAATTAACAACAGTCTTATTGATAAGTTAGATTTGGTAAAACCCTTTCAATATTTGAAAGATGTATTGATTGAATGAATAAATGAAAGGAAGAACGAACTACTAATACAAAATTATTTTGGAAGGTAGTAAGCGAATTACTAAATTCTTTAAGATCAATGAGTCATGAGTTATCCATGTTAGTGATCTATGAAACGCAAGGGATTTTCATGCTGTTTGTTCGTGGTTGGAAGAAGCATACGTATTGCTCTTTTAACAACACTTGTTTTTGAAACTAAATAATCTTGTTGCTAATTGATTGTAGCTATTGAAATATCGTCATTTCTAACAATGGCAGATCTTTTTGTCACAATGTTGAATGCTATCTCCATGGTTTGATAAGTAGCAAAGCGTTTGTTTTTGAGGCTTTCTCGGTTGTACTATCTCATAATCTTACAATAATTTCACTTGTTCCATTGTTGTATATACTTTACCATGTATATATTTTGGAGTCATTACTTTGTATAAACAAATTCATTAGCCAAAATCTTGCACAACATTCTTAGAGTCGTTGAACATCTTCTTACGAAGGATGCAGATGCAAGCAAGAGAGATAAAAAAGGATTTACTCCTATACATTATGCTTCCGTTAAAGGAAATAAACTTACAATCGAAATGGTTAGTATGCTTAACGTACTTAAAGAAATAGATTAAATTTTTTATTTGATGTGAAATTTAAATTTGCATTTATCAACAGGGACATTTATATGATTACAATTATTTCGGAAGTTTACTTGTAATTTTTCAATACAATTTTGTATTTTCTTTGATGTTTCAGTTGTTAGATCATTGTTCGGCAGATATTTTCAATATAAGTTCTGGATCGCCTTCACTGACGCCATGTCATTTGGCTGTAAGTAATTCCTATAAAGTTAATATTACTGACGTCATGTCATGTAGGCTGTGAGTAATTCCTATAAAGTTAATATAACTGACGTCATGTCATGTAGGCTATGAGTAATTCCTATAAAGTTAATATTACTGACGTCATGTCATTTGGCTGTAAGTAATTCCTATAAAGTTAATTCCAATACAGTTATCACTGTGGATGTACCTCAATGTCAATCACACAATTTTGAAAGTTTTATTTTTTAAGTTACTTGAAAAATTATGTGAATATAAAAGCCGCTTCAACTTGCTGTGGCATACCATGTCCTTTAAGTTTTTACCCAAACCATTTTGAAATTTTGAAAGTATTTTCTCCCTGCGAGATGCACTTTTCATACTTTACGTCCAACATTGAATGCAATAGAATGTATTCTGAAAGGGTTGTGTAATGAATCTTATATTTATATTGGTTTGTTTTATTTTAAGGCATTTAATGGTCACTTCACTGCACTGGATGCATTACTGCAGTCAGCAATGAGTCCAGATATTCAAGATAGTGACGGTATTTATGTGTTTATGTTGTTCTGAGACTACTTTAAAAATTGCAATCATAATGAAATTATTTATTTCACTTTAAGTTGTAGTTTGTCTAAGTTTAAACAGACACAACATTCACCATGATCATAACTTGTCAAAAAATACACTTTGCTACATAAAGAAGTGTCATCGCTTCATTTTTGTTTAACTTATTTCAAAGCATTGCCCAATCTTCAGAATAATGTTTACTTTTCTGCAGAATGTTTTTCTGTGGTTTTCAAACAGTACAAGTGATTGTACCAAATGCAAACTTTCCTATATTAAATATTTCATCCAGTTGCATGTGATTGTTCCCTATTCTTGAATCAAGGTTGATATTTTATATCTAAATGTGTCTGTGACTATCAAGTCGTCATACAACTTGGGAATAAACAATTTAATGAAATAAACCAAATTACAATTTACTACTTTCAAATTACGTTAAGGACCGTTTGGTCCCACGTACAACATTCAACAACAGCAATTTGTCTTTTTACTCTGTTTATAACAACAACACCGTTCATTTGTCTTAAAAAGTTTCACTTAACTTGCTCGCCATTAAAGCCTCACAGCGGCAAAATGGAATGGGTGAATATAAAATTGAAAATTATGACATTTTTTGTATAATAATATGCAAGTCCAGTTTGACATTACTTTTTTTCGCCTCGCCGAGTTACCCGGCAAATGCAATATGGAAAATTCATTAGCCGGGTAATGGTTTGAAACCGAGTTCCCGGCAAGGCGAGTTACTCGGATGTGTCATATAAACGATTCACCGGGAAATGCATTCATTTTATCTGGCCGAGTTACGGGGCGAGTAACTGCTGTTAAACAGGAACTAAACAACAACACTTTCAAACGTTGTTGTCATTCCGTCCAAAGCAAATCATTTGACCACAGTGTCGCTATAGGTTAAAGTCAATATTTTGAATCAACAATAACAACATCGCTATACTAAATTTTAATCACAGATTTGCAAATACGTTTGTTTGGATGAAATTACTTTTTTATCGTTCATAAATTCAAACAAAAACTATTAAAGGAAAAACTTGTAAATTTTGATATTTCTACCTAGGTCGAACTCCACTGCATCTAGCGGCTGCTCAAGGTCACTGGTTCGTGTAAACGTTCCCTTATTTTTTTACACATATTTTTCTTGACAAAAGTGGAAATTCCGATGTATTTTATATTGTTGAGTACTTTATCTTGTCTGTGAAAAACGTATGTGCATGCACGGAATGGCGAGAACGATGCCTTTCATATTGTTTGAACCAAATCTTAACGAATTTCTAATTTTTCCAAATCAGTTCTCAGAGAGGCCTTAAGAATAGCTTGTTTAACATGTCCACCATGTACATTCTGCTCGAACAATACTAAACTTGATAAATGAAAACGATTTTTATCATGTATCTAGTGAATGTGTGGAGTTATTGTTGCTACATGGTGCTAATGTTGCCATATATGATGATGTTATGAACAACACGTCTTTACATTATGCAGGTGAAAAAAACTTACTTGCTCTGACATAATTATTCTTTTATCCTCCTGCTTTTTACATGTTAATCTTTAAGATGCCATCTAAATTGATCGTTCTTACCATATTTATCATATTTATCCACAAATATCCATGAAGATCCATAATTGAGAAATGTATTACATTGTTTTAGCATGTTATGGTCACGTGGACTGTATTAGAACTATGCTTCAAAATACCAACGCCTCTGATGTTATTGACTTAATAAATTTCCAGGAAAGGTTCGTACAGCACTTAACATTATGGGCACGTGACTTTGCACAACATTTGTAAATGACCACGTGACTCTTGCTCATCGTTAACTTTATTTGATGTTGGTTTTGCTAAAGACCACTATACCCTTCATACTTTTTAAATATAAATGTGTTGCAATTCATATCTGTGGGAATTTTCTATAGGACTGCACTAATTTTGGCTGCTACAAAGGGCTACATTGAAAGCGTATTGTTGTTGGTTACACAAGGATGTAATGTGCGTGCACAAGATATTTTTCTTCGAACTGCTTTACATGGAGTGGTAAGTCATTAAAATAAAGATGGTTTTTCATTGTACACTGTGATGTAGCCAGGCTTAATTAGTACTGTAATGAAATTTTACGTGTTCATTTATTGCAGAAATATAGACTTCTGAAGAAAAAAAATAATGATCATATTGCTGAAAATATGAATGAAAATATTTTTTTTAAACCTTCGGACGTGATTAAACGCGTCAATTGATTAAGAAAAGAAAATTTTTGGAAAAAATTTTTATTGGAAGTTAACTGCTTATCTCAGCACAATTTAACTCAAGAAATACCATTACTGTTTAAAACCAGGAATTTAACAGTGGAACAACAAAGATCGTTTCATAACTTTTTTCTTAGTCTGCTAATCCTAATGGTAGCGAAGAATGTGTTGAATGTTTATTAAATCATCAAGCAGATCCTTTATCCAGGTTAGTTCTTTCATTACTCTGTTCACATGAAAAGATTAAAACCAAATTATAAACAATTAGTGCTTTAAATGCTTTCAACGCGTGTATTCATGTTTCTTTTTTATTTGACTTCATTAGTTGACTTCATTAGTTATACAGGAGATAGGAGGGCATGCTTTAATATGTTCAATAAACGAGGCTGGGCGACCCTAAATATGCATAATTATTGTTGTAAAGATAATTTGCAAAATTTATAATATAACGATAATCGATCGTTTTTGTTGTTATTGTAAGTTTTGACCTGAACATCTTGCTCGGCCATTTTTATCTTTCACAATAACATTCCCTTGATTGTTAAAGAAAAATCGCATGCAAATCGTTAATGAAGAAATTTTTCTAGAGATTGTAATGGTGCAAGTCCTTTACATTTGGCCGCTGCTTGCGGTCATGTTGGGATTTTGGCTTCATTGCTACAAGCTTCTGGTACTGGGAATGTCACAGATGATCGTGGTTATACTCCTTTACACTGGGCTTGCTATAATGGTATGTTTTGTAAACAGTATTTTTAAATAATAAAATAAGAGACTAAATTCATCGTGGTGAAAAATCTAAAAACTGTTTTAAAAATTGCATGGCCAAAGGTAATAACCCATTAGTTCTTAAAAGAACTGTTTAAAACAAGAACACTAACTCAATATTTCTAAAAGGAATTAGTTCAAAGCTAAAATTATGTTTATAATTTATCCTGTTTTTAGAGTCATCTCTCCGATTTGGAGATAACGTACACTCTTTCTTCTCATTATAAATATTGGTAGATGTTAAATTTTCATTTAGCAGACTTTGGCACCCTAGAGTAGTCTGCCGAAATGTAACTTGTCTTGTCTTTTAGCTTTTAAACAGTTCTTTTAAAACTATTGGGTTAGTGTTCTGGTTTTAAACAGTTCTTTTAAGAACTATTAAGTTATTATTTTTAACCATTAACCACGGTATTTGCAATTTTTAAAACAATTTTTACAGTATTGTCATCACACACTTTTACAGAAGTGATTTCCAAATGGCACAAAAATTATTTCTCAAAAATTTGCCGAAGAATCGATATTTTATTTATGCATATTGATAAAACATTTTCTCCACTTTTGATCTCCCAGCATACACGCTGTTTAAAACATGCAATAAAATATTATCTATGATGTTGCTTATTGATGAAATGCATTCAATTCTTTTTGATTGGATGTTGTGGTCCAATCAATGCCAGAATAAATTTTTCTGTGCTCAACTGGTACAATAACAGTAAATTCTAAATAAAAGAAAAAGTGTAATGCTCTGAAATGTTCATAGCAGAACCACCAAAACATGTGGGATGGCTAAGTAAGCTATTGCATGCTGGGTATACATTATTAAAATATTTTTATGTTGTAGAGTTTCGTGAAAGTAACGTAACTATCATTTAAGTTCACAAATATTTGTAGCAATGATTTTTCTTCCATAACGCATATGCATTGAAAATATCTTGATGTGGGGTTAAAATAGCATTCTGCTAAAATTTTGCACTACTGCATTTAAATATATTTGCTTTGTTGAAGTGTATTTATAAATGCGTGCTGCGTGCTTTAATTTTATTTCGTTTTTGCGCCTTTATGTACCCAAATATTTGATCTCATATTTAATTCAGTTTTATTGTCACCACTTATTTCATTTTTATTGATTACTTCTAGTCTGTTGTAAACAAAGTGACAAAAATGTATTATGATCAATCATAATGTGTTATGATTGTGTTATACATATTGAATGATTTCGTTGATCTTAAATCATCTATTTACTGTATTCCGCAGGTCATGAAAGCTGTGTTGATGTACTCTTAGAAGTAGGTGTTCATAAATTATTCATAAGACTTCATAAAATGTTCACACACTGGGTCCATTTGTGGGTAAAATTTAATTTTAATCTTTTATGTGAACGCGCTTTTCATTTTTCTGTAGGATGATAGCTGTCATACTTTCGTTGGAAATAGGTTTTCACCTTTGCATTGTGCTGTGTAAGTAGCAAGATAACTTTTCAGCATTAGAAAGGAAGAAATTTTTTATATACATGGTATTTAAGAATATATAGTGTACTGTATATTAACTGTTTTCAAAATATAAGGAAGAAATTTTTTATATACATGGTATTTAAGAATATATTGTTGTACTGTGCATATGTAGTTGAAGGTTGTTGTCCAAAATGCATAATGTCATGCAGTTGAAGGTTGTCAAATAGTGCATAACGCTTTCTGTGTAGTTGAAGGTTGTTGTCCATAAATAGTTGTTCTGTGAACCAATCGTGGTAGTTGAAGGTTGTTGTCCATAAAATAATAATGAAGGTTGTTGTCCATAAAATAGTGCATAACGCTTTCTGTCATGCGTGTAGTTGAAGGTTGTTGTCCATAAAATAGTGCATAACGCTTTCTGTCATGCGTGTAGTTGAAGGTTGTTGTCCATAAAATAGTGCATAACATGCGTTTCTGTCATGCGTCATGTAGTTGAAGGTTGTTGTCCATAAAATAGTGCATAACGCTCGCGTGTAGTTGAAGGTTGTTGTCCAAGGTTGTTGTCCATAAGTGCATAAGTGCAGTTGAAGGTTGTTGTCCATAAAATAGTGCATAATGCGTGTAGTTGAAGGTTGTTGTCCATAAAATAGTGCATAACGCTTTCTGTCATGCGTGTTGAATTACGGTATGAAGGTTGTTGTCCATTAAATAGTGCATAACGCTTTCTGTCACAGGTTGTTGTCCATTAAATGCACAACGCTTTCTGTCTTGAAGGTTTGTTAGTATAACCGTTAATTAGTCATAACGTGCTTGAAGGTTGTTGTCCATTGCACAACGTGTCATGCGTGGTTGAAGGTTGTTGTCCTTTGGTTGAAGGTTGTTGTCCATAAAATAGTGCATAACGCTTTCTGTCATGCGTGTAGTTGAAGGTTGTTGTCCATAAAATAGTGCACAAGGTTGAAGGTTGTTGTCCATAAAATAGTGCATAACGCTTTCTGTCATGCGTGTGATTGAAGGTTGTTGCATAAAATAGTGCATAACGCTTTCTGTCATAGTTGAAGGTTGTTGTCCATAAAATAGTGCACAACGCTTTCTGTCATGCGTGTAGTTGAAGGTTGTTGTCCATAAAATAGTGCATAACGCTTTCTGTCATGCGTGGTGACTACGGATGAAAGGCCATGTTTGACATTTTTATTTGACATTTTGTTTTAGTATAACCGATAATTACTCATGTGCTGAATTGCTTTTGGATACCTTAGACGATGATATTGTGAATTTCCTTGACAAGAAACAAAGGTTAGTCAAGTCTAATTTCAATCTTCAACTCATGAAATTCGAACTGTTATAATAATTGTTAAGTGCTAGTGTATAAATTATCCATGAAACACATGAACTTTAAATTTACTGCTATGTGGCTACTCTTGCATCCTGTTGTGTTACAGATGCATTGTACATGCATGAATATACATGCATTGCATTTTATGTCATTCTGTAATCTATAGTTGTGTAGGTATCTTTCCATGCGTGTGCTTGAATTTTGAGGGGTTCTTGAGGACATTTAATAACATGCTTTTTCCAAATGTACTGATGGAATTCCCCTAATATCATGCTCACTTCGATATACCAACGGTCCAATAGGGATAGTATACTCATATTACAAAAGTTATTCGTAAGCAATGTGACTGGTTTTGTTGCATGTGGACAATATTGTGCTTATATAGTTGGGTCAGTGTTGTAGAACTAAATTTATCAGATAGGGGGCTCTCTTGACGTTTTTGTCAATAGTGCCCTTTTAAAATTACCCATTTCAAAGGTAGAAGGGGGCTCCTCTCCCAACTGCCCCCCCCCCCAATTCTACAGCACTGAGTTGGATTATATGGGAGTATCGCTAACGGCATTGCAATAACGTTTTATTCCAAGCACTTTTTTATAACTTTGTCACATGGCATAATTTATGTAGCAATTACGTTTAATTTATGTGTTATTGACACCTTTATCTATTTCAACTTGACCATCGTCCTATAAGAAGTATACTTGTTCTGGAAGGAGTTATATTTTTGATGTTTGTATTTGTTTGACCAAATAGTGTTCAACGCTCATAAATAGCAACGTTTTAATATCTTTTAGGACTGCAATGCATGCTGGTGCTTATAATGATCATGTAGAATGTTTGGAACTATTAGAGCAACATAATGGAAACATTGATGCTGTTGATGTCGAAGGATATTCACCATTAATGGTTGCTGCCCAACGTGGTCACGAGAGAGCGATTGGTATGTTTGACGACTTAATTCATGTGCTATGACCTTCTATTTACTGTGTCGTGTTGTATAATTATATGAAGGTCAACTGGGACATGGTTTGCTTTGTCTTGCTAGTTGGCCATCTCTTGCCGCTTGTGATAAGAATTTCTAGCGTAACTACTAATTACTCTTCATTTCTAGCATTCATAACGATATAAGTATTTCTATTTTAAGGCACAGTGTCATTTTATATTTTAGAGTTTTTTCTACAAAATCTTGCCAATGTTTCTCTCTGTGACAAAGATAGCAACACAGCTTTACACTTGTCTTGCATTGAGGTTAGAAATAATGAAGATATAATTATGAAATTGTGAATAGCGTTAGCTTTTCCATAAACATGCAGTGATTGTTTGTGACTGTGTGAAATATAAGTATATAGTAGTCCTATATAAGTATATAGTAGTTTGGGATGTTCATTTATATCTGCAAGCATGAACAATTTGTTTTTTTCCTGCTGCAGGGTCATTCATCCAGTACGTTATTACTGCTAAAACACTGTGTAGATGCTGATTTAAGACGAACGAATTCTTATGGACAAAGGTCAGTTGATTTTTATTTGGTAAATTGACATGTATATTTTGTGTTTCACGACTTGTGGGTGGGTATGTCATTCGAAAGTCTTTGAAATATGCACCAAACACAATTAAACATGCACGAGTCATTGAGTGAATTGGATGTTGGGGTGTTCCCACATAAAAATTCATTCTTTTACACATGAAAACGATACATGATGGCAAACTGTTTTTCAGTTGTAATATAATGAGACTTTTTGTAATATTTGGACATTTTGGTTGTTTCGAAGTACACCCTCTTGAAAATTACGTGTTTTTTTGTTGTTTAGTGCACTTCATATAGCGGCTAAAAACGGTCTTGAAGATGTAGTAAGAGAACTAGTATCCAAAGGAAGTGACATATTTCTTGAAGATGAAAACGGTTTTACTCCTGCACTAGCATGTGCTCCTAATGTACAAGTTGCGCATTGTTTATCTATATTATTGAAAGCAATGGGTTCAAAAACCAGTAAACCTCAAGAACCTGTTAAGAAAAAAAGAGAAGTATCTCATTTAAATTTTAAACCGTCATACAATTCGACGATTTAGCATATTCGCTGAACGCAAAGTGCTATATTAGGATTTATGAATTTTGTAACTTATTAGAATTTATCTTTTTTGTGTGAATTCAATTCTACTAAAGTGCTTTTTAAAACAATTGCTGCTTTTAAAATTCACGGGTACCCAAGAAAGTTCATCTGATTTTTTTCTTTTGAACGCGTTTTGGTTGTTAATTTGTCTGTTTTGATGTTCTCACTGTGTTTGTAATTGGGTGAATTCTACTAAAATTTGTAAGTGAGCGTTATTTTTTGCGGTTTATCTGACGTGTGGCGATGTGGGAACTCTGTCTTGAGTTTGCGCCTGGAGACGAGTTTGCGATGTGATGGTTTATGCGCCTTATTTATTCGTTTCAAACAGATGATTTGAAAACCGATGGTTTCAGCCATGATTATTAGTGTTCTTTTGAGTCTTATATGAATCACAAATATGTTCTTTGTGGTTTACAAAAGGACAATAAACGTGAGGCCTCGATGTTCATAAGGTTTACCTTATTTGCAATTCGCACAGAAATATAGCTTTTTCAAAATGTTACAAGGAAAAATAACAACAAAGAACAAGCCTGTTTACCCAAAAATACTAAAACAGGTGTCATGTATGTAAATCAGTGCAAGTTATCTACGTGTTCATTTATCAGTGACACAAAATTGTTTTGAAAGAAAAGTTTTTGAGGATATTTATAGCATAAAAATTGTTTTCAGTAATTATGTATCATTAAAATTAGTGAGAAATCTTAATGACTTCAGCAGTAGCGGACCCAGGGTTGGAAGATAATTTTTAATTTCGAAATCCATCACAACAATGCCATTAGTTTTAATTTCCATTTATTAGCGAGGTTAGACAATCGTTATCTTTGACGAAAATCGTGCACACGTCGTTTCCCTTAAACCGACACATTTATTCTGTTGAAATTGTGCTTAGTTAAATAAATAACGGACAAGTAGTATGAAATATTTAAGATAAAAAAATGTAACCCTCAACAACTTCTGTTGATAACTCAAATTATACCACTAAAATTTAGAATGTAATGTAATAGTCGCTATGGTGACGGTGTTGAAAGAAGCGTTACAACCGAACAAAATAAACAAATCAAATATAAAACTTCCCAAGATCTCTTTTAAAGTGTTTAAAGTTGTTTTATGACGTCATCACATAAAAGCCATGTACATGTCACGAAGATATAATCAGTGGTTGCTAACATGATAGTCATATCTGTTTACTTTACCATGTGAAGTATTTGCCAAAAGATTAAAAATGTATAAGTAATATTTTCTATTAACAAGTACAGGATGTTGTTTAGTTTAGCTTTAATATGCCCAGGGAGTCTTCTAATTAGTATTAAAAATTACTCCTCCCACGATGTTATAAATTGCGGAACTTTCATGCTTTCGCTTTTTCTGTTTTGCTCAACAACGATAGGCATTCAAGGGAAAAGGAAGTCTTTGTACTTGCGTATATCATTTTGTATGAACTTGTTGTAAAGCTTCCTTGAACAAAGGCTGTCAAATCTTCACGAAATCAAAAGATAAAATGTGGGTACGTTGCTGTAAATTTGAAATAAATGTATAGCAATTTTAGAGATATGCTTCATTGTCATTTCTATGAAGCATTATGAGTAGCAGAATTTTTGCGATTAATTTGTTATTGTCAACATTTTCATGGTGTCGGGTTTAGCTTAGAATAATTATTGAATTTATAAGTATTCTGTTGAGTCGTGTATGGCGCAATTTTTTTCCATTAAAGCTAAAATTACAGCAATCTGATTTCGATGCGAATGAGGGAGTTCAGTTTTTACAGCTGGAGACGGGGTTTTAAAATATGCTGGATTGTCGTCAAAATTTGCATAGCCTTCGTGTTTAACAACATCTGTTTCAAAAACACAATTTAAAGATCACTATTTGCCGAGCACAATAAACCTTCGTTATGTATTGTTTTATTTCATTCTCGTGCGCAAGTTCTTGTCCAAAGATTGTATAAATGTTACAATCTTCACCAAACTACATGCGTTAATTTTATTAAAGTGTACAACGATTAACGACATCAATGAACACGAGTTATTCTAAAAATTTTATTGATACAAATCAACTAAACTTTTTAGTTCTTCATTTTCCTACTTATTTCAATAAACTTTGCAAGAAGTCGTAAGCGAACGCGTATTTTCGTGTTCTTCAGCGCACACTATAAGTGAAAACGCAAACAACCTGGCAAATTACTCTTAAGTGCAGAACATATGTTGGCTCAAAAATATGCGTTTCACATTATCCCCCGCATTATTTTAGAGCGAATTGTTTTTGCAAATAATTGATGTAATCTTGTTTTTAATTGATATTACATTTGAATTTGCTTTTTTAAACGCGTTATTCATCAGATACCAGAATACATCAACTGAAATGTTGCATCTAAATATCGACATTCATAATTGTAGTTTTAATATCGGACCTCAGCATGCTCTCTTCTATTAATTTTCGAGCGACATTTCAATTTCTTAGGAAAATGTTATCCTGTTGACATCAACAAAATAGCATGGTCTCCGTCGTCTATATCCTTACAGGGTCAATATTTATTGTGTTGGCATTGATATTATTGGCCGTCGGTGTATATTTCATCAGGAAAAAGTATCTACCACTTCAGTACAGTAAGATCAACGAAAAAGAAGATGAAATTAACGTCTCAACTTACGGTTTTGTCATTCCTAATCATATACCAAAAACTGTAAAATTACATGAAGTAAACGGCGATAACTATGACTCAGTCAGTTTGAATGGAAGAGAAATAGAAGCGGATATGATCGATCCACAAATGTACACTGAAGAGGAAGAGACGGACAATGATGATACGACCCTAGGAAGAATCTGTTTTAACTTAAGATACGACAAGAGTGTTGAAAGTTTAATTGTAAATTTAGTTCGAGGAGAGGAGATACAACAGCGAAGGAAAATTTCAACCGGCTCTCTGGCATCTCCTTATATTAAGGCTTGTTTACTTCCGGACAAGAAGAAAAAACAACAAACAAAAGCTCGTCGTCGTACATCATGTCCATTGTTTAATCAAGAGTTTATATTTCCTTGTCCCATATCCGGTCTTCACGAACGGACATTGCAGCTTACAGTTTGCGATTTTGATAGATTTTCACGCCAAAGTAAAATTGGAAGAATCGACTTTCCATTTAATAATGATAACATTGGACAAATTCTCACCGATGAAGGTCTGGAAGTCTGGCGCGAGATTATTGATTGTGACGGCAATTGTGATGCTGAGGTAATCGCCCTAACTCCTAAATTTTGTTGAACAATCTCAATTCTTTATTTATGCTTGTAGTTCAGAAATAGTTAACATGAGTATATATTTGGAAGATCATCAATTTCCGTGGAGTAATTGCGTTTTTGATAGTTCTTATTAGTCTCTCACAGGTAGCAATAGTTAATCTTCCGGATGAGTTTGCACTGCTGGATCTTTCATTGTAGGTTTCAGACAAAGCCGGTGAACTTATGATATCTTTGCAACATCTACCTGCCGCAGAAAGGTTGACCATACGAGTTATTCAAGGCAAAGGAATTGATTGCGCCAACCCTTCAAAAAAATCGTCATGTAAGTATATTCTTAGCTAGTTAAGGACTCAAGAGTTTAAATCAGGGGTGGGCAACATACGGCCCGCGGGCCGGGTCCGGCCCCTGAAGGGATTTTGACTGGCCCGCCGACTGTATCCGACCATTGAATATTGAATACTATTCATGTAATAATCCGGCCCACCAATAACTTCATTTTCCTGAATCTGGCCCGCCGACTGGAGAAGTTGCCCACCCCTGGTTTAAATCAATGGATTTAAATTCTCCCTGGCCCAAACCGGATGCAAAAACTAATTTACTGAGCGACTAATTTATAACGATAAATAAAAAGTGTATAAATACGTCAATATTTCAACGTATGTTCAATTTGAACTTTATGCTGTTACGGGTATGAATTAAAGATAAATTTCTCATATTAACTTGCTTACTTCATGTCTGTAGAAGACCTCAGGAAGAGTTCTGTGTTATTTAACTGGCAACATTGTTTGTTTTTTCTGGTTTTAGTTGTTCATGTTAAAATGTGTATGATCGACAGTGGCAAGACAGTTCATGTGCGAAAGACTGCTAAAAAGCCTTGTGCTGATCCTGTGTTTAATGAATCATTTCACTTTGACATAGTTGATGGTGCGTTACACCATACATGCTTTGAATTTATTGTTGCTAATAACAAAGCCAGTTTAGGAAAAGCGTTCGTTGGTCCAGAAATGTATGTCACTGGAACTGGTCTTGATCATTGGAAATCAATGCTTCAATCACCAAGAAATGCAGTGACTATGTGGCATTCACTGAAATGAATGGACAAAAATTTTGCTATTATAATTTGTGTCCATTATACGGAACATTCATTTCTACACGAATTTTGACTGAGTTTGTTTTAAAGCATACAGAAACACTTGTTTTCCTTATAGCTAAAAATTAACAGAAATATCATATTTGTATCTAGACAAGTTTCATTTTTTTGACATTCAAAATATACATATAACTCTCACTATGTGAAAGTTTAGGATCCGCCGAAACCTGTCCAAATATTATTTTATTTTGCCTGGCGAACGAAAAAAACTTTCAAAATTTGCTACGCGTCAGGACCCTTACGAAGACCACTGGTCAGGATAGGACCAAGCAGTGCTGTAGAAGTGTGGGGGGCGCTTGGGAGGAGCCCCCCTTCTACCTTTTAAATGGGTAATTTTAAAAGGGCATTATTAACAAAAACGTCAAGAGAGCCCCCATCTGATAAATTTAGTTCTACAGCACTCGGACCAAGTGACCACGACTTGCATATTTGGCAAGCAATTTTTTGATGAAAATCACTGTAAAAACATAAATTTCATAAAAGCGAGTCTACTGTGGTCGCCTGTTTTCGTCTTCTACGACGGATGCCTTTTTTAACGAACTAGCTATTTGTCGGCCACATATGAATGCAGATGTGCGCGTCGTAACTGTCGTTTAATGATTTGCTCGATCAAAGTTTGTGGTCTGCACGAAACAAAATGTATTGTAGCGACGAATCAAACTTAGTCATAGTTGTTGTGCGTCAACGGATATACGATGTGAGTAAGCACTACAACGCGCTACAAGCTAACCACACAAGCCCGACCACAAAGAATGAAAGTACGGTGGCTCACAAGGGCCACCACACAAAATAAAAATATTAATACACACACAAAATAAAAATACACACACAAAATACATTATACACACACAAAATAAAAATACACACACAATATAAAAATACACACACAAAATAAATTATACACACACAAAATAAAATACACACAAAATATATACACACAAAATAAAATACACACAAAATAATACAAAAAATACACACACAAAATAAAAATACACACACAAAATATGATTGCGGGCGCTTGCAGTGTCGGATCGTCTGACTATCATATTATCAGTTTGTAATCAGATATATGTAATTCACTAATTGTGATTTTAACATGTGGTCGACTTGTCGTCGTATTTAACTGTTTCAACTGCGAAACATTTGAAATTACATTTGGAAAGAAATCGAAAGCAAGCTCTTGCATAATCCTGGCATAATTATGTTTTGTGCCAACTGTGGTGCACAATCACTTGACGAAGCTTCTTTTTGTCACAAATGCGGTGTGCGTTTGGGAAGATTAACTTCTTTGCCAAAATGTTCTGAAGCGTCAATGACGAGTAGCGTCTCTTCAAGCAGTTGCCCTTCGAGCTCTGCAAGTCCGTTAACTTCAACTTCAAGTACCCCAAAGCTGTTTATAACAAATACAGGACAGGCTAGAGCAATAATGTCCTTTCAAAGGACAACACATTAACCTTAATTTTAACCAGAATACGGGGAGCAATATCGTAAGCAACTTTGAAATAATTGATCACAGTGAAATCAGTGAATTTTGTTATGTACTCTGGAAGTTGGAACCTTTAGAACTTTGAAAACAAATGCGATCAATTACGAGCAATTCCGAGTAAGCCGACACTGCAAGCGCCCGCAATCATATTTTTGTGTGTATTTTATTTTGCGTGTGTATTTTATTTTGTGTGTATTTTTATTTTGTGTGTTTTTATTTTTGTGTGTATTTTTATTTTGTGTGTGTATTTTTATTTTGTGTGTGTATTTTTATTTTGTGTGTGTATTAATGTATTTTGTGTGTGTATTTTTATTTTGTGTGTGTATTAATATTTTTATTTTGTGTGGTGGCCCTTGTGAGCCACCGCACGAAAGCACTATAACACGCTTAGAAAGAACTAAGTCATCCCACTATTACGTGCAGGATATGACGGAGAACACTACCTTTAGTTATTATATAAAGACAAGACAAGAGATGAATATATAGCAAAATTGAATGTAAACTCGTATAATTAAATATAATGTAATAATAATAACGATACGTGGCAAGTGTGTGATTTCATGGCGCAAGTGCATATACCAAGGGACATGATGATCCAAATCTGACCGTTCTACGGCTCAACGTTACAGTATCATATTTTATCTCATCGGATCACTAGTGAAAAGTTCGCTCATTTATTCTCATTAGTTTTTTGCTTTCTTTCATGTGATGGCCTTTTCGCAACAATTGTAGGATTTGTTTTTGTACATGCATTTCGTAAATGAATAATGAAAAAAAATATTGTATACAAATAATGAGAAACTTTGCGATTTTTGTGGTCTTCAGAACAAGAACTGCATCAAATACTTGTCAAGTTGTAGCATATTTGATTTCGTTGTAATGATTGTGAAATGGCAAAAATGCTAATAATTAAAATACTTAAATTACAATAGTGTTTATAATACTTGAATACATGAATACACAATTGTGAATTTAATACTTCTCTTTTTGTTCTCTTTTTATGTGTTTCCTATTAGCCATGTGAGTTCAAAATTTGATTGACTAATACAGCTTTCACCTGAATAATAAATTTTATAGCTTCCATAATTTCGTAAAAGCACTATTGCTAATGCACATTTAATATAAACGACAAGTTTTTTGAAAATAGACATGTTTCGACATCTCATGTTTTTTTTCAAAAAACTTGTCGTTTATATTAAATTTTATAGCCATATTGAATACCAATTGCTATGGGATTTTTCCCTATAAGTATGCAACATCTAGTGTTGTTTATACAAGAATGATGAAATTCATGTACACATGTAAAAATAAGGCAATAAAACCATATGAATTAAACACATTATGTCTTCTTTAATACTAGAAATAGGTCCATTGGCACTTAGCCGCTCCTGTTGTTATAGAACTCAATGGGTCTGACCAGGACGAGCATTTTATCCGAAATTGCACAACCTAGGTTACGCAATATAAACTTTCCATTCAATTGTGGAATTTCATTTTGTTTATCACACTTTCTGGAATCGTCTTCTTAATTCAATTGACTAATTTTTTATGGTTTTACCGTTTTTCCAGTTTATACATAAAGTCAGTAATGTTTGGATTCCTAAATATAAATTGAAGTATGCAACGGTGAAACAATTTTTAAGCTGTGCAAAAGCGAAGATGGCGAAACATGACTTAGCTTCAATGAGAGTTGACTATAAGCTTGGAACACGGTTGGACATAGAAAACCTTCAGTCCACCGATCCGATGAGATTGTTTGGTCGATGGTTTGAAGAAGCCAAGAACTGTGATAAAATAGAGGAAGCTAATGCAATGACCATTGCAACTTGTACCAGGTAGCATTCCTCAGAGAGAGCATTTCATTGCATGATAAGTCAATACTCAATACATTTCCACAGTGCCTTTCATTACGTTTTAATGGGCTTAACTTTCAATGAGTACAATGCAAATGATTGCTTCTTTAAAAGTATGCTGTTTTTTGCTAGTTGATTAAGGTTACGTAGCATATATTATAATCTCGAAGTGCAATTTATCGAAATTAATACAACAAATGCATTTAGCACTTAAATTAGTAAAAGAGGAACAATATGAAAATATTAATTATACAAGTGTATACAGTATAATTAATTATCACTAGAGGAGGACTATTACAGAATACGGTGCCACAAAGGCTGCCAACCAAGCTACCAAAACATTCAGGTTAGGTTATAAATTGGAAAAGGTTAAGATTTGGTCGTCTGGGTCAGGCATGTTGGTAGTTAAGAATGTGGTAAGGTATTTTATAATTGATTCAAAGGAATACCTAAACCTTAACCTTTTTCATTATTGTAACATGGCCTGATATTGTCAGTCTTAATGGCAGGATATTCTATAATTGTGTTGTAGTAAGCATAATTTTTTTCTTCTTTGGTTATACTATTGTAAATGATTATAATTGCTATACAACACAAGCATTTCGCTCCTTTTTTTTGATTATAAAACATTATCTTTGTGTTATGGTAATGTTGGCTGTTGGCTGAACAAATTAAGGTGAATAGCATTATTCATTTATGTGTTCAATAACTGTTACATTATTATTCAATATAATGACTATAATGTTCTTACTGATTGTGCCCAACTTCTTAAAGTTCAACTGGTCAAGCCTTAGAAACGGTAATTTGTGTGTTATTAAAGTATTCCATGTTGATATATGTAAAAGCAAGATGTGTGATGAAAAATTTAGGAGCAGCACCTATATAAGAACAATGCTTAAGTTACATGATAGTCCACATTAATTTATCTTTTTTTTTTCTAAGTTATAATAATTTTGATGTTTAAATTGAATCTGGATGTTTATAGGGAAGGCAAACCTTCAGCTAGAGTTGTTCTTCTGAAAGGTTTTGATCAGAGGGGATTCATATTCTATACAAATTATGAGAGCAGGAAGGGAAAAGAACTGGTAAGTTTTGTAAATTGAAATTTTTGTCGTCTTTCAGTTTGTTGTTGTTTGAACATAAGATGTATATTTACAGGAAGAAAATCCTTATGCTGCCTTGGTATTTTTATGGCAGCCACTTCGAAAACAAGTGAGCAAAATTATTTAAAATGCACTTTATTTAACTCAAAATTTTTTTACCTTAAGTTATTTTGTATGATTAACGATGATGTTTTATAAAGATTCGAGTTGAAGGAAAAGTATGTAAACTGAGTGTTGAAGAATCTGCTAGTTATTTCCACTCCCGACCTGTTGGCAGTCAGATTGGTGCTTGTGTGAGTCGTCAGAGCTTACCAATTCATAGTAGACAGGTGATGTTCATTAGCAATTTTTTATTATTTATAAACAATTAAGCTTTGTTGAACCAAAAGCTGTATAAGGACCAAGGTACCAAGTGATCTAAGAACAGAAATTAAGTACAATGTTGACAATGCAATGATGAAATGGGTTGAAATTTATCTACAAAGAATTCTTGGTTTTGAATGACCCTTGTGTTCAGCTAATAGTAATCAACATTGGCTACAATCCAACCAAAACATTTACTGTGGCAATATTTCTCTGTTACAAACATTGGTTACGAATGCAAATGCATGATTTGATTGGTTGAAATGAAATTTACGAATTATTTACTCAAACTAATGATAAATCAAGTATTTTAACCAGTGTTAATATTGATTGAACATTGCTGAAAGATATCTTACCAGTGCTGTAGAAGTGGGGCTTGGAGGAGGAGGAGCCCCCCTTCTACCTTTGAAATGGTTAATTCTAAAAGGGCACTATTGACAAAAACGTCAAGAGAGCCCCCTATCTGATAAATTTAATTCTACAGCACTGTATCTCACGTAACTTTAAGTTTTGATTTTTCCTTAGTACACTGCTCAGTAGTTTTGAGCAGTGACTGGAAAAATTAAAATGACTACATTTTCATCCTGACATGCTTGTTATGTGATTTTTTATTCATCATGTAAATGTCTTTAGTGTATGTTGTTTAATACATATTTTATTTAATATAATCCATTGTATTAAAGGTACTACTTGATAAAGAGAAAGAACTGATGGATAAATTTGGAAAAAAAGAAAAAGTCCCTCTTCCTGAATATTGGTATGATGACGCGATTTCGCTTTCTGAAAACATATCTCTATAAGTTATTTAAATTTCGTGCAGTCTCCATAAGGTCTAACCGCTCGTGTAGTGAAGAGTGAGATGAACATCTCTTCTCCTTGAAAAAATATTGGGCGTTCTTAGTACGTTCTGGGACCGACTTTGTATAGTGTCTTTTCCATAGAAAAGCCAACAATTTTAGATAAATTATTACGAAAGACTACAACAACAAAAAAAATCGAGACTTTCTCCATTTTTTAGCTATAAAACTAGCGAGCAATAATAGAGGCTGTGCGAATGTACTGAATTTACTATTTAAACTCTTTATATAATTAACCTCGTTTAGGGGCTGTTTACATGAGCCCGGCAAGCCGGGCTAGCCCTGCTAGCCGGGCTAATTTTAAGCCCGACTTTACATGGCAATAATCGCGCGAGAAGTCGCTGGTGTTTTTCGCGCGAAAATTAAAAAACCTAACATGGCGAACGTTTCTGCACTTATAACGATTATTGTATTAGTTATTTTGTTTTTGATCGTTTTCATTCAAATTTACGGCTTTTGGTCATCAATATATTAAACCATCATCAAATGGTACAATATATGGCTATATTATTGTGTGCTTAAGTTTCGCTCGAAAAGAAGACGAGCGTGCTTTGCAAAAAGAAACAACAAAAGCGGAGGTCAACTTGGAGGCAAAATGGAAGGACAGAATCTTGGTGGGCAAAGCTTTTATCTAACGAAATGCCACTTGATACGTGGAAAAAATTTTCGAATGAGCCGGGAAGAATTTAAAAACTAGCTGACGAACTACGGCCTTTTATATCCCCAGATCTTTCTTCTCCAAATTATATGGCTTTGAGCGCAGAAAAAGTTGGCTATGACCTTGTATTTTTGAAGGACACCGGCTCTATGGCAATGACAGCAAATACTTTGGTGTGGCGCTGTGTACTGTTTCTAGACATGTAGTACAAGTCAGTTATGCCATTGCGAAGCATCTCGGCCCGAAATACATACATTTGCCAATGAGTAAAGACGAAATGAGACAAAAATCTGCTGAATTTGAAGCAAAATTTGGGATGCCCCAAGCATTTGGATGCATTGATGGAACTCATGTACGAATTAAAAGACCAGTTTGTAACTCTCAAGAATATTTTAATTATAAACAGTTTTATTCCTTGAGTGTTCAAGCTGTTTGTGATTTTCAAGGTCGTTTCATGGATGTAGATTGCAGATGGCCAGGAAGTGTCCACGATGCGAAAGTGTTTGCCAACTCTTCTATAAATAGAAAGTTGAGCAATGGTCTACTTCCAGTTACTTACAAACGACTAGTGCCAGGTCATGCAGAAATCCCAAACTATTTAATTGGGGACCCAGCCTATCCTCTTTTGCCGTATTGCATGAAAGAATACCAAACATGCACAACAAACCAAGAGGTTCTATTTAATAATTTGTTGCGATCAGCCCGAAACCCAATTGAATGCTCATTTGGAAGGCTTAAAGCTAGATGGTCAGTTTTAAGTAAGCAGATCGATGTAAAATTAGAAAATGTACCAGTAATAATTTACTCATGCTTTGTTCTTCACAACTATTGTGAACAAAATAAGATGGAATTGACCACAGCTTAGTTGAAAAACAAATTTCGTTAAAGAAGGTGCAAGAAAATGGAAATCCTTTGGCAAAGTATTCTAGCAATGAAGGGAAGGAGGAGTTGTTAGAACTGTTTTGACTACTTACATTAAGTTAAATCTTCCTGATCATTTGGTAACAGATTAATAAGTAAATGAAGTCTACACTTTCATGCAATTGTAAAACTTTATGATATATAAAGTTTGTTAAGGTAAACAAAATTGTTTCAAATAGGAAATATACAAAAAAAACAAGCATGTTACAAAATGTTAATACTTTGTCCCTATTAAAACAACTCAACAAAACAACAAGAACCCATTAAGCCTCTTTTAAACATACATTATCAGAAAATGGGATTGCAAACTACAAATACTACGAGTAGAAACTAGAAATTTCACGAAGTGATGTAAGTGCTTATATGGGTTATTGAACATACAGGGTCTCTGAGTGAAATAATATGTCAAAAAGAGGAACTGAAAAATTTAATAATATAGTGACACAAAAGTTACTGTTGCTAACAATGTCTTAAGTTTCAATGCCAAGTACAGCCATAGTGTCATCTGCTCATACTCTAAAGTAAATACCTTTTGGAGTGTGAATACATTATATAGCTACACTGCAGGGTCATCTGGATTATATGATGACTCAGAGTTGTTTTGCATTTGTTGCCGTGCAGGTATTGACAATCGTTGGTGATATTGTGGCTGCTGATATTGTGAGTGTTGATATTGTGGATGTTGATATCGGGGGTGTTGATATCGTGGATGTTGATACTGCTGCTGCTGCTCGTTGGCAATCACCGAAGCTAACATCTCAATTGATCGTGTCAATCCTGATCCAATATTTTCAATGGCCGTACTCATGTGTGTAATTGCTGCAGTTGCATTCCTCAAGGATTCTCTAACAACATCTGTCATTTCTTTCCTAAAATTCATTTCATGTTTGCTTTCTTTAAGGAGAATTTGATCTCGTTGAGCCGCACTGAGGGTGCGCTCCATATGCTTTCTTTTATTGTCGATTAACTTAACACATGCATCTTCTGCACCCCGCTTATCACCCAAAGATACACCTCCAGAGCTGGTATCCAGTGAATCATTGGATGATAAATCTGAACCATCATGGCTTTCATCTGTTATAGTTAGCCCAATTTCATCACATTGCTCTTGGTTTATGGTACTAAATGTATCAGTGTCTACTCCAATGCTTAGAGGTGAAGCTGATGCTGAGCCACCATATATCTTGGCCAGCCTATCGTAGAATTCAAACACGATTTTACCGCTGCCACTTCTTTTACCATTGGTTACAGCAGTGCTAAAATTTTGACGTATTTCTTTAACTTTTTCTTGAATTCGACAATACCCCTCTTTTTGATAAAGTCACGTTGAACTTTTAAATCTTTAACATAAGCTTCTTTTTCATCTTTTGACATTTCCATGGCATGTGGTATATCGGCTTCTGCTGGACCAAAGTGATCACTATACATCTCTAACATTTGCACTGTCAAGATAAAAAAATATAAAAGAATCATTCAGAGTGGTATTAAACTACAAATTTAAAAGCTTATTAAGCATACTTGTGCGCAAAAATTCAACCAGAAGTACATAAAATAACAAAAGCTTTACAGTCTTTACGAAGTACAGTATTACCTCTTATCCATTCGTATTGTTTCGTGCGATCTGCATCGAAATCTTTACCTTCGTACTCGCACATTGTTTTGTATGTTTCGATGTTATTGATAAGAAGTTCGATCATTTCATGTGACCATCGAAAGGTCTTGTTTTGTAATTACTGACCTTGATTGAGCACATGTGTCCGACGCCATTACACAAAGAACGAAGAATGAACGTATCTAGTTACTATGGTAATTCTACTTTAAGCCCGGTCAGCCGGGCTGACGTGTTTACATGGAAAAAATTACCCCGTTTAACCGGGCTCCCCGGCTAGCTCAAACGGGATCTCGGCAAACCGGGCTCATGTAAACTAAATTATATTTTATTAGGAAGTTCTTATGAGGCCGGGCGCCTCGGCTACATCTCTTAGCCCGGCTTTTAGCCCGGCTAGCAGGGCTAGCCCGGCTTGCCGGGCTCATGTAAACAGCCCCTTAAACTCATTTTATTCCGTTGCTAGGGGAGGCTATTGCATATATCCAAGTAATATCGAGTTTTGGCAAGGTCAAAGTAATCGACTGCATGACAGAATACAATTTCGAAGAAAAGAGGAAAATGATTTACTCGAAAATGTAGAATGTTGGAAAGAGGGAGAAAATGGGTGGATTTACTCACGATTGTCGCCGTAATCAAATTTATTAATGTCTTAAATTTGTCTGTAGCTACAGTACATCAAGTTTTTGGGCGAGAATTTAATATATTTTACTGACAGAAATAGCCTAAATATGAAGTTCAATTATTTTAAACGGAGCAAATAGTTTCATACTTTCATTCATTTAACTTCTATAAACCGTATTTCTCATGGACTGACGCGGATTATTTTTAATTTTAACGAAGGATAAATTTTTTTTCAAATTATCATTGATAGCTATTGATAATACGTAATAGCTATTGGTTTTTCATCATAGTTCAAACCTAATGAAAATTATGATTTCAATTTTCAGTAACTTATTACAATTCTTGCGTTGAAGAATTTTTTATTCTTGTTGATGACATACAATGTTGATGAATATTTAATTTATTTAAAACATTGGCTATCCAGGTTTGCCCTCATTTATATGTTTTTTATGTAACATACATTTTTTAAAGAAAAAAAATACCTTCGAGGGCAAAAATTTGCTTTCTCGAAAATTGGGAGTGAAAAAATTGACCAATTCGTATGACGGTTTTGACTTTGACAGCTCTTTATCATGTAACGTGACTCTCTTCTAATTAGTTCTATGTTTTAATTGGTTATTGGTGTTCTTGGCGCGAAAGCTGAATATCTGTAAAGAGATGATGCAACCAGAGCCCCCCTATTAGTAATATTACATAGAGGGCTCTATATGCAAACGGTCGATGTTATTGGAAAGGAAAAATTTTTTTTTTTAATTTGTAAAACTTACAGTTAACCGTCGAGTCTTTTGTGCTGAATTCATCAAGAATATTTGATTAAAAAGTCATAGCGTAAGTAACTTAGTAAAATATAATTGATTACATTTTCAAATTGTGCATGTGAACACTGAGTATCCTCACGTATTAAAATAAAATTAGCGTTTGGAATACAGGCATTATTGCTCATTCTGACTCTCTGAAGCTGGTTTAATGTATATACGAAGATCTGTTCCCTTATATAATTATGTGCGAAGAATTAGCTGAGAATGTTCGCCAGTGGAATATCTGTTGAACCATGCAAAGTTCACAAAGCTCTACACTAACTTTATATTGGTCTTTCTGCAAAGTTTATTTACTCTGGTAAAGTTTATATGGTTAATGACTACAATAGTGATTTATATGATTGATCAATGGAGATAGGAATAGTGATAAACTACAGGAAGATTGGAAGGGTTTCTTGGTGTAAAACAGCCACTGTAGCATTCTTCAATAACCACATGCCATAGGCAGCCTGGGCCTTTGCAAATACTTTTGTAGCAGAAGTTCTATAAAGAATTTTCATAGCAGGAAGAAAAATTAGGACCAGCTTTGCCATTGCTATATGTATATAATTGTTCATTAGAAGTACAAACTATATTTTCAATAACAATTTTACTGTATCTATAATATCATGGATTACAGCATTTTTTCTTACAGAAATTGTTAAGATGAATGTGAAGATGCCAACTTTATTATTTGTGTACTTGTATAATAGGTTAGGTTAAAGATGATGCAAGAACGTCAAGCTAGAAAGCGACAACATGATGGTAATGAAGTATAAAAAATGTTTATACTTATCCTGTTTCTATGTTGACTCATACAGGTTATTCTCCAAACTTAATCAAATAAGGAAAAATGTTAACAATTTTTAAATTTCATGTTTAGGAGACTGGTTATCATCTGAGTTTACTGCTCTCACAATTCATAATACAGCTATGCATAATTATAATGAAACTGCCGAGGTTCCTTTTAAAAAGAAAATTGATGAAGAACATCCTGGTAATACATTCTTAATCAGTCAATTTTTCAATGAAAAATGTAGCAAATGAGGATGGCATCATTTCAGTTGTTGAAGATAACATCAGAGTAATTTATTATTTTTGCAATCAGGTGCATGCACATGTTTAAATATGAGAAAGAGCAAGACAGACAATTTTCTCAAAACATTAATTTTCAGGGGGGGATTAGTGCTCATTAGACAGGAGGGGTGCAGATTTTCCAAAGGGGTGCATTGGTATCTTTACTAAACTTGAGTGCCACCTAGCTATTTTTTGGCCTACAGAGAGTGAACTTTCTGCAATGAAAGTGCTATTAGCTTTCAAATACAATTTGTTATATTGTTTTTTTAATGAATATTGGTTTTACTTTAAGTAAATTTTATAAATAAAAGTTTTACGGAGCAATTCTCCAGCCTTTAATTGTTTTATAATTTTCCTCTACAGTACATAGCATTCCTATTTTTTGTGGGGTGCACCCTCATAAAATCCACCCTTGCAAATTTTGTAATATTTTCCATTTTTAAAGTATAATATTTATTAACATTACTTACAATTGTATCTAATGACAAAGTTTACTTTTGTACTGTTTGCCAGTCATGCAACAATACTCTTTTAAAATATATATTTATGTAGTTTAATTTTCTGATTATTGAGTGATAGAGCACAATTTTGATCCATACATTACAGTAGAAACATTATTTTACATTGAAGAAATGAACAAGTACAAATATACATCTGGAGATACATTACAGTGGAAACATTATTTTACATTGAAGAAATGAACAAGTAGAAATATACATCTGGAAACTTTGCAATGAATGGCAACATTTAATTGCAGTCTAAGCAAATCAGAATTAACCCAAAAATAGGATTATTATTTATAGTTTACCACTTTATTGAACGAACAATCAATACAGATTTTGAGATAAAGTGAAGATCAAGTTTTCAAATTAATAATTTAGTTTTATGTTTATAATAATGCAATTGATGGGAAATAAATTGTAACAACAAGATATCAAGGCAGGGGCGCATTTTCTGGGGGGAGGTGTGCAACCTCTCCCCCAAGAAAAATTCTGAAATGGTATTACATACTGTAAGCGATTAATATGACAATATTAGGGGCTATGAAATGATACAGTAGTAAAGATAGAACTTCTCATTTTAAAGACAATTACATATTTTGTACTACCACCATTTGCAATTGACTTCTGCCATGCGCGTTTTCATTGAAACCTTAAAATTGATGTAAATCACTTAACGCGCATTCGTTAACAAAAACAAGTGTAGCGACGAATCAAACTTAGTCATAGTTGTTGTGCGTCAACGGATATACGATGTGAGTAAGCACAACAACGCGCTACAAGCTAACCACACAAGCCCGACCACAAAGCATGAAAGCACTATAACGCGCTTAGAAAGAACTAAGTCATCCCACTATTACGTGCAGGATATGACGGAGAACACTCCCTTTAGTTACTATATAAATGCACGACAAAATATAGAATAGCAGACAAGAGATGAATAGAGCATAGCGTCCATTCAATGTAAACTCGTATGATTGAATATAATGCAATAATAATAACGATACGTGGCAAGTGTATGATTTCATGGCGCAAGTGCATATACCGAGGGACATGATGATCCAAATCTAACCGTTCTACGGCTCAACGTTACATTGGTGGCAGCGGTGGGATCTTTGAAATCAGCCTAAAGTCAGATAGTCAGTGGATGACGAACTGTTTGTCTGGGCGTGTGTGTCTTTTGAGCATAGTTAATGAAGTTACGCGCTAATAAAATAAGCGGAAACATGACTGAAGAAGGTGCTAGTAGCAGCAATGTCGCTAATTCCATCCCCCATAGGGTACTTGTAATGCCAGAAGCGTTTGCAGCATCTGAAAAGGAAGACTGGATTTCGTGGCTTAAATATTTTAATAATTGCGCAAAAATAAATGGGATAACGACAAGAAACGTGATTTCTTGGCCGTTCGTCTCCGGGGCGCTGCACAAGAAACATATTTTTCCTTGTCAGAGGAAGTGCAAGCGGGAACTTTTGAAGTACTTTCTGAAGCCCTCAGTAAGAAATTCGCACCCACAGAGCAGTTAGAATTATATAAAGCTGAGTTTCAAGCTAGGCGACGCGCACAGGGGGAAAAGTTAGGTGAGCTTGCAGCAGGCTTAAGTAAGATGGCTAGCAGAGCATTTCCAGGCGCACCGACAGACATTCTCGATCGTTTGGCTATGGATCGATTTATAGCGTCTTTGGACAATGTTGACCTTCGTATTCGTCTGCGGGAAGGCAACCCAAAGACGCTGGATGAAAGCTTAAGTCGCGCGATCCAGCTTGAGGCAATTTACGAGGCAAAAAACAGTGCTGCTCTTAGTAAGACGTCTCGGGTGCAGGCGGTCGAGAGGTCTAGCGATTCACGCATACTGGAGATGCTCAGCAAGCAGACTGCAGCACTTGAAAAGGCCGTAAACCTACTTACTGACCGTTCTAAACCTGGGATTCGCCAAAATAACCATAGGCCAGGCAATAAGTTTAAGGGTGGTAAGAAAACTTGCTGGAAATGCGGTGGGGTAGGTAAATTTAAAGCTAATTGCCCTACCAATGATTCAAGCGAAAAACAGGAAAACTAGGCCAGGCTGGCGCCGCGGGTCGCGTGCCAGCCGATGATTCATCTAAGACCCATAAAACAGGTTCCAGAAGCTGGGAAGGGGGTGCAGGAGTGTCAATACCCAAAGTTTTAGGTTCGTACAGCGTCAATGACGGCGCGAGTCTTTACGTCCCTGGATGGGTATGTAATGTTGAAATAGACATGCTCTTGGACACGGGTTCTGCGGTAACTCTCATTCATAAGCGGGTATTGGATAAGGTTGATAAGGGTAAGAAGATGTCTGACGTAGAAGAACAGGTCATTTCAGCAAATGGTCAACCACTAGGAATTTTGTGGGCGTGTGAAGTTAAACTATGTTTGGGAGACATTAGCACTAACCACAATGTTTTAGTTGCAAATGACATTACTCAGGATTGCTTGATCGGTGTTGACTTTTTGGGTAAAAACAATTGCTTAATTGATTTTAAGGCTGGCAATAGAGAGGTTGTCATGGGTTGTAAGCGGGAAGATTGGACATGTAGTCGGGTTAGTTTGGTGGAAACGGTTACGATACCGGGAAGACATGAAATGATCATGTCTGCAAAAGTTAGGGCGGTAAGTGATACTGTCACTGGTTTAATAGAGCCCTGTCGAAGATTTTTGGGTAAGCACTCAGTCTTGGTGGCCCGAGTAGTAACCCAACCAAAAGATAACCAGGTACCTGTCAGGTTATTCAACCCTTCTCCGGAGCCAGTAGTGTTACATAAGGGATGCACACTTGGGACATTTGCTCAATGTGAGGAGAGCCACTCTCTAAAGTCTAATACCAACGATTGTCAAGTTACATCCGTCTGTAATCGTCATAAGCAATCGAAAGCAACATCGATAAAAGCATCTCGTGTAGCAGTGTCACATTTATTTAGCTGGGATGATACGGACATTAGCAGTTTACAGAAATCTCGGGTAAACGAACTTTTAAATGACTTCGAGGACGTTGTGTCAAAAGATTTATCGGACATTGGCAGAACAAATCGGGTAAAACATCGCATTCCTACGGGCAATGCATCTCCTATCAAACAGTCCCCAAGGCGAGTTCCTATTCACCAGAAGGACGAGTTGGATAAGAATTTGGCGTCGATGCTGAACGACGGTATAGTTCAACCCTCTTCCAGCCCCTGGGCTTGTCCAGTTGTGCTGATAAAAAAGGACGGGAGCACAAGGTTTTGTGTTGACTATCGTCGCCTTAATGAGGTAAAAGCGAAAGGACGCATATCCGTTGCCAAGGATTGATTCGACCCTTGATGCTCTGGGCGAAGCCAAGTACTTTTCAACTATAGACCTTGCTAGTGGATATTGGCAAGTCGAAGTGGAACCGTCCGATCAAGAAAAAACGGCGTTTGCAACACCTCAAGGGCTGTTCGAGTTCTGTGTAATGCCATTTGGATTAATAGGTGCACCGGGCACCTTTCAAAGATTGATGGAATCTGTCTTAGCAGGTCTTCAATGGTCAACATGCCTGGTGTACTTGGATGATATTATTATCTTTAGTGTACGACATTTGAAGAGCACCTCGAACGATTGCGGTGGTTCTTGAGAGGCTTCGCGATGCAGGACTAAAAGTTAAACCGCAGAAATGTCAACTCTTTCGGAAAGTTGTGCCTTTTTTGGGTTATGTCATCTCTAAGGAGGGGGTCGCCACAGACCCTCGCAAAGTAGATGCGGTAACAAAATGGCCGGTACCTCTCGCGAAAACAGAGCTGCGGAGTTTTCTCGGTTTAGCATCGTACTATCGCCGGTTTATCAAGAACTTTGCAGCAATTGCAGCTCCATTACATCATGCATTAACTGTCGGTAACGAGAAAACCTTTGTGTGGACTACTGCCTGTGATCGTGCATTCGCAGAGCTTAAAACGTGTTTAGTGAACGCACCGGTCTTGGGCTATCCAAGATCGGACGGGGAATTTATTCTTGACACCGACGCGAGTGACTTCGGCATCGGTGCTGTTCTGTCTCAAATACAAGATGGCGAGGAAAAGGTAATTGCTTACGCTAGTAGAACATTGAGCAAGAGTGAGCGTAACTATTCAGTGACGAAACGAGAAATGTTGGCTTTAGTTTTCTATACCCAACAATTTCGGCATTATCTGTACGGACTGCGTTTCATTGCGAGAACGGATCATGACGCCTTACGTTGGTTAACGAACTTTAAAGAACCAAACGGGCAAGTAGCACGTTGGCTAGAAAAGCTTGCAGAATTTGATTTTAAGGTGCAGTCTCGACCTGGGAAGCGACATGGAAATGCGGACAGTTTGTCACGACGGCCCAACCCGTCTATCGAAGTTCATAACGTAGGAAATATGGAACTTGAAATACGGACAAATTCTGAGAAAGCTTGGTGTCCCACGTGGACGTCCGCTGAGTTACGATCTCTACAGTTAGCTGAACCTACGATTTGCTATGTGTTGTCTAAGAAGGAGATCCATGTAGATCCTCTACGAAAAGAAGAATTAAAAGGATTAAGCCGAGCTGTGCACAATTTGTGTTCACATTGGGACGTTTTGGAAATTCGTGACGGTGTTTTGTATCGTCATTATGAAAATGACGATGGCACAACGACGGAGCCCCTGTTGGTAGTACCTCGTTGTTTAGTGAACGATGTGTTAAGAAGTCTGCATGACAGTCCAACTTCCGGTCACCTGGGCATAACAAAAACTCTCTCGAAAGTACGACAGAGATTTTACTGGCCTGGTCAACGTCAAGATGTCGAAGAAGGGTTAATGAAATGTAAAAAGTGCGCTGTAGGTAAGGGTGCAACAAAAGAGAATCGGGCACCACTGGTAATTTGTCCCCCTGGTTATCCTTTAGAACGAATTGCAATCGATATACTGGGACCTTTACCAGTGTCTACAAACGGCAACAAATACATCATGGTGGTTGGCGACTACTTGTCAAAATGGACGGAGAGTTATGCCATTCCAAACCAAGAAGCATATACAGTTGCGGAAAAGTTGGTGAACGAATTCATCTGCCGTTTTGGTGCACCAGATACCATCCACACAGATCAAGGTAGGAATTTTGAGTCTTCACTATTCCAAGAAGTGTGTAGGCTTTTGGGAATCCATAAGACTCGCACATCGGCGTATCACCCGGAGGGAGATGGAATGATTGAACGCTTTAATAGAACTCTTGAAGCGATGCTTTCCAAATATGTAGCAAAACATCAAAAGGATTGGGACGTACATCTTCCCCGAGTAATGATGGCTTACCGATCGAGTGTGCAGGAATCAACTGGCTTTACTCCATACCAGCTAATGTTTGGACGAGAAATCCGTTTACCTGCAGATGTGATGTTCGGAAACACTCCTGACCAATCAAAGGATGTGCACGCGTACGTCGAGGAGTTGAGAGACATCCTCGTGGCAGCGCACGATCTAGCTCGTGAACACCTGAAAACAGCACAGAAACGGCAAAAGCGGTATTATGACGCTCGCGGTACTGGTGATGGTTTTGGTATCGGCGATCGTGTTTGGCTTCTCAATTCCGCAACGAAACAAGGTGAGTCACGCAAGTTACGATCGCCATGGATAGGACCGTTTGTCATCCTTGACAAACTTTCTGACGTGAATTACAAGATTGGGGCAGAGAATGGAGAAGGAAGAAAGCAAATTGTTCACTACAATCGGTTGAAACATTGCACAATCAAGTCTGTGGAGAATAGTCACCCTCAAGCAACGCGTGGACAGAGTGTTCATGAAGATGACCAACATCGTGTCAACGAGCAACGTTACGTTCCGGACGAAACTGATCTTATGTATACCCACGACTCACCTGTCTTCGGGTACACAAACCCAATACGGGAGGGCGAACTACCCATACTTGAGGAACGGCAACCTTCATTGTCCCGACCACGGCGTCAAATTCGACCTCCCGGATGAATGGCGGATTTTGACGTAGACATAAACTGAATATTCTGGACAACATGATTTTAATTGTTTGAATTTTGCATGATTTAGGAGACATATATCACATACTAGGTTTATCAGCGCATGGGACGTGCTTTCTCTAAGAAGGGGGTAGTGTAGCGACGAATCAAACTTAGTCATAGTTGTTGTGCGTCAAAGGATATACGATGTGAGTAAGCACAACAACGCGCTACAAGCTAACCACACAAGCCCGACCACAAAGCATGAAAGCACTATAACGCGCTTAGAAAGAACTAAGTCATCCCACTATTACGTGCAGGATATGACGGAGAACACTCCCTTTAGTTACTATATAAATGCACGACAAAATATAGAATAGCAGACAAGAGATGAATAGAGCATAGCGTCCATTCAATGTAAACTCGTATGATTAAATATAATGCAATAATAATAACGATACGTGGCAAGTGTATGATTTCATGGCGCAAGTGCATATACCGAGGGACATGATGATCCAAATCTAACCTTTCTACGGCTCAACGTTACACAAGTAATAATTTTTTACAACGGTAATAACACTTTCTAAACGCGCGGTTCACTCATTTCTAAAAATTTACAAGTACAAAGGCTGTTTTTACAAATAACCCAGGTTAAACCTGGGTTGTTTGTGTTTACACGCAAAAAAACTAACCTGGGTTAAACCCGGCTTGATTTTAACTTGGTTTAAACCCAGATTAGTTCTTGCTGTGTGAATAGGGCTTAGGATGACGATGCACCCCCCTTGGAAAATTTGCAGCCTTCCTGTCAAATGAACATTGATCCACCCACGTATTAATGAAGTAAATTTGTAATTTTTTCTCTCCATAATTTGTACAGGGTGGGATGATGAAAGCCGTCATGAAATGAAGATGGTCCCTCTAGTTTTTAAATCCAAAAAGGGCAACGCATATGGTTACAAGGCAGAGCAAAAATTATACTCCTTCATTCAAACTATAAGCGTACGAGGCTTTGGATTTCATGGTTTGAAGTTTGATGATGAAGAAGTTGACTTTCTGTTGGTTTTTACCGGAGGCGTAGCAATTATTGAATGCAAGAGAATAATGAAAAACAAAATTCCACAAGCGGTCTACGATGATGCCTTTGGACAGTTGATTCGACAAGAAACGGCAATAAGTTGTTATCTGGATGTATCTAAAGACATCAACATTATTAAAGTCGTTTGCTTGCCGATGCAATCTCGCTGTGATATTACGGAAGAAGGTGCAAGGGTTTTTTTTGAAGAAGACTTTCTTCATAATGAATTCAAGGAATGGCTTTACAATTTTCCTTCAATGGATTTTGATTTGTATAAAGCGATTGTGATGAAGTTCCTTTGCAAGTATCATTGCAATGGTGGTAATAAGTTCAACAACGAAAAGGAATTTAAAAGGCGAGCAATAGACGATACTTCGGATTGTTTAGATCGAATATCTCAGAAGTATTTCAAGACAGATGAACAAGCTTCAGTTTTACGTTGTATTGATCGTCCTGGGAGATTTTGGGTGAAAGGAGCTGCAGGAACAGGCAAAACATTTGTTCTGAAGATGATTGCAAAGGAATTTTTCGAGAAACATAAGTCCGATAAAAGGACAATGCTCATAATAACCTTTAATGTTGCAATTAATAATGACATCAAGTAAGTTTGTTATGTAGCCCACACTTTTTTATGATTTTACTGTTTATTACATCAAAATTTTTTATTCAGCTCATGGATTACAGAAAACGTCGTATCTGACCAAAAGAAAATACGAGTGCAAACTTTCCGGAGACTGCTTCGTCATATGCTTCATGCTTTTTCTGACGATGTTCGTTTGCAGAACGAAAACAAAGAAGTATGTGTTACGTAAATGCTTTCGGCAGAATTATATTACTAAGTTACATATCTGTTATATTCCTTTTGTTTTATTTCTAATATATGCAGCGTATGAACTTTACAGCATTTCTACATCGATATCATTTCATCATTTTAGGACAGAGATATTGTGGAGTTTATTTTAAGAAACAAGGGAGTGGACAAGTATTTTTGTCCCAAGTTTGTTTCACGCAAATACACTTTTCTGTTAGTCGATGAAGCTCAGGATCTTTCTGGTGAATGGATCAAGTTACTTGAAGATTTGTTGATCAAAAATAAAGGAGCGATGTATGTGTTTGAAGATCCTTTTCAAAATGTCCGTGGCACCGAAAGTCCGCAAAGTGGGCATTTTAATCATTATTCCTTACATAAAGTTCTCAGGAATACTCATAACACTTTTAAAGCGTATAAAGGATGCTATGAACAACTTGCCACTGAAACCGGACATTTACCTTTACCCACCATTGATCACGCAGTCTTCGGCCTAGAGCCGTGGTACAAAAGTGAGAATACCAAGGAAAAACTTCAAGCCCGTCTGTTGTCCACTGTCGAAGAATTACGAGGGAAAGGTATTCGTTATGATGACATTGCTATTATATCATCGTCATGGGGAAAAGTTGATCTGGTCGAATTTCTCACAAACAAGATTCCATATTGTGATGCTGAGGAGAGCACCAAAAAAAAGAATGAAAAAATCAATTCGGTCATCGTTGATTCGTACCAAAAGTTCAAAGGCCTCGAAGCTAAGGTTTTGATTTTTTACATTCCAGTTGGTTGGACCCCTCGGTATGAGGACATTTATGTGAGTTTGTCGAGAGCATTTTGTCATCCAATTGTTTTAGGGGGGGGAATGGAAATTGACCGTATCAAAGACTTAGGTCGGAACGATCTTCAGTAACTGGAGGTCACCTTTTTTCGATTTTTAAAAATCTTTTAATGAAAAAAAGCTACGATTCAAACAAATGGCAATGAGTGCAATCAGAAGTGAATTCAAAAACAAAAAAGTTTCAAGTATTAGGAAAAAACTCCTTTTTTAAATACGCATAAAATTCACTGTCCAGTGGACATCGCTTATGATGCTTCCTGCAACATGCTTCAGACAGTGTGCCGAAGAAGAATTTTCTTAAAATTTGGGCTAAAAAATTTAACTGAAAAATGAGTAAAAGTTGTTTTAGTGTTTTTTTGTTATCCTGGTATACAAGCTGCGTGTATTTCATGGAATTGTAACAAAACCGACCAAAAAACGATAATCATCAATGTATCAAACATCGTTTTTGCGTCTAAAGTTGTAGCTTTATGTCAACATTACCTCAGTTTCAAATGATGAACATCCAGTATGGAAGAATTTCTAATAAACGATTCGGCCTAAATCTAAATTTATCAAAATTCGTTGAGCTTTTTAAGTCAATTAAATTTATAGAATGAGGGGAATTTGTTTCATAAATGGCTTACTGCACGCACAGAGGGACTGATATGTTTTAGCAACGAACTAGATTTAATGATGAAATTTTACAAGTAGAGGTTTTTGAAACATTATATAAAAATTATATATTTTGAAGTAGATTTAATGATGAAATTTTACAAATAGAGGTTTTTAAAACATTACATAAAAATTATATCATATTTTGAAGTAGATTTAATGATGAAATTTTACAAATAGAGGTTTTAAAAGATTACATAAAAATTATATCATATTTTTAAGGAGATTTAATAACGAAGTTTTACAAATAGAGGTTTTTAAAACATTACAGTACATAAAAATTATTTCATATTTTGTTTTGTGTAATTTTGCCAGAAATAACGGTTTGATGGCGATAAATGCATAATATCTTCACTCAGCCTTTGAACAAAAACATTCAAGGGTAGACTTTTTAATTTTTGTACACTGACCATGTTGGATCGATTTTGTATGTAGATAAACTTTGGATGGAAGGTTTGAAATAAAATTTAATAGAGGTTGCAATTTAATTCTGTATTGTAATGAAATTGTTTGAATGTAAATGATGTAAAGTTGCAATTCTTTTGTTAATTTTTGCGTTGTTAAATTTTGAACCAAACAATGAAAAACACCTGAAGAGAGAAGACAGTTTCAGACTTTCTACCAACTAAATAAATTAGCCGTATTGCGATATTATAATATATTCCTGATTAATACATAAAAAACACTTAAGCATAGTTAATTTTTTTCTTGCTTAAAAGAGCTCATTTGGATTGTTTTGGACTGAGTTTACGATTTTAACTTTTTCACTCCTAGGATGGCGTAAACCAGCTAACATGCATCAGTGCATATTTTTATATTGAATTTTTGACTGAAGGATTCACATCGTTAAAGTACTGATGGTTCATTGCAACATCGGCGGCCATTCGCATTGAAGGGTTGAAAACGAGTAATTTCTAGTAAAATAAAGTCAATAAAAACTGAATACTTTAAAGAACGAACGACATGCTTACGCTATGTGTACAAGGCTAAATATAGATTAAGTATTTTACAAAATTGACCACTGTTGAGTACAGCTAATTTTTAAAAAAATGTGTGCATCACAAGTTGTTTTGTTTGGGTTTACTCGTGAAATTAAATAAAAAAGGTGTATTGAGATCTTGGGAATATTGAGGAATACATACGGACAAATTGTTTTTCTGCTTTAATTACTTGTAACCACCTTTAACCAGCGTTACAGCATATATTATCGTTGTTATATTTACAAACTACATAAAGTATTAACTAGTGCATCAGGAAGTGGCATCAAATACCGTATCTCATTGTTTCACCTTAATACTTGAAATTGGTTTTTCTTGCGTCATGCCATTAATCAAGTAAAAAGTGGATATTTAACATTACCTGCAGTAAATCTCTTCCAACATTTGAAAGTTTTGGTACAACATGAGATAACGATACAGGAGAGTGAAAACCATAATCCTTAAAATAATTAAGTAAAGAAATATTTGCAAAAGTCGTGCATGTTCAGCACAAAGCCGTTTTCATCACAACATACTATAAGTACTCTGTAATTACAACAAGACATAATTAACATAGAACAATTTATACTTGCAAACAAGGTTCACAATTTTTGTTTAGTTTATACTCAAAATAAGTTTAATATTGAACAATGTTTAATAAATTTTAATAATTAAATGATATCATCATTCAATGCCGTACAACTTACTTTGTATTCAGGCAATTTCGTCATTCCAGGCCAATACTCCTCATTTGGAGATCCCAAAATTCTTTAACCATCAAATTAAGGATGCAAACAAAAGTTTTTGCAAATTTATCAAGCCAATTATTGAACAAAACAACTGATATTTTTCTCAATTGATCATCAACGTCACTTCCTGGGAAAAGCGGTTTTCCTCCATTTGATAATTCTACAAGACGATAAACGTTAAGTGAACTTACTTTTTCCCACACTTATTTACAAACTAATGACCTTTTCTGGGTGTCAAAATTTGGCAGAACATCAGTGGTTCGTTTTGTCCGAAAAACCTCAAAAAATGTTCAAAATTTTCAAAGGCTTCGCGTAATTTTTGAAGAAAAAAAGACTTATGTTAAGGAAACACAGAATTAGATGAATAGTGTCTCAAAAAAGAGGAACATTTCATATGCATGAATTTTAAATTGTTGATTTATTGGGGCTTGGGTTGGAACTTTAAAAATTTTTCAATGTTTCGTCAATCAGATAATATAAAGTTTACTTCTCGAAGGAACCAAGCTTGGTTTTTGTTTTTTTACTGCAGCAATTTCTATAGTCATTTGAATGAAAGTTTTGATTAAACGGTGTCATTTATAAATGATTATCATTCAAACTGGATGTAGGCATCAATTCTTGTGTGACACAATATAATTCAAAACAATTTTCACATATTAATCACAAGGATTCAACAAACACCTGCAAATATACAACCAGCTGACCACATGTCAATTGATGTGGTGTAGATTTTGGCACCCATAAGAACGTCAGGAGGTCGATACCACAAAGTGACCACCTACATAATATTTCTTAATTTTGGGTTTTTACTAAGTAAGTGTTAGTGCTAACTAAGGCACGGCGAACTAAAACAAACATAATGTTTACAATGTTCATTAAATTTACTTCGGCGGAGTAACAACGTACAGGAATGCCAAACGGTCTCGCCAATCCAAAATCAGCCAGTTTTAACTCGCCATCCTAGGCAACACAAAACATTTAATAATTTTAATCTCTTGTGTGTTGAAACAGCTCCATTATATAGATTTCTCGGCGAATTCTTTAAACAAAAAATTTATTTGTGAAAAGTCGCTAAGGTATTTTTTAAGTTTCTTTTGCCGTCTTTCCTTTTGAATTTAATGAAAATATTCAAGTTAGCTAAGTTTAGCAATCAGGAAAAATGAGTCTGTCATAATTCTGCTCTATAACCATGTCATGTAATCAATTCCTTCAAGATAGAATGGAAAGGTTTCTGGACAAAATATTCAAAAGCAGTAGCGACTGTAGTAATGACTGCCTGGAGATCAGTTAAAAGGCGAAAGATAAATCTTGGATGTTATACGACCCTAATTTACCGAAGAAGAGATTCCCTCATGTTCAATTGGCACGATAAGCAACCTGAATGGAAAACGACAGAACAGGCGTAGAAGTAAGGGAACAAAAACGCCGAAACAGAACATGCTTCTTTTGTACCTAAACACATTGCGTACTTGCATGCTTATGCTTTACAAGAGAGTTAGGCGCGATATGAAAAACTAAAATGAACAGCAGATTGAAACGAGGCTGACTGTTTACAACCCAATTTCTGACAGACAGAGAGTTAGAGATGAAGGTCCGTTTGGCTTGAATTAACCTTAGTTTTGTCAAGGCATTCTGAAAATATATGCAGCAACATCATCCCAGGACAAGCACTAACGATTAGAGATTTGTGGATTTTTTCACGAATTGGTAACTGACATAAGAGCAATCCAGAAACCTGCTGTGGTCCAAATGGACTGAAATTCAACACTCCGTTCACACCTTCTGTTAAACATATAGAGAGATCTGCCTTGCAGTTGCAGACATTATTCATTAAGATTATAGACATTTTCAAGAAGAGTTAGTTTCACTATACAAGGGTGGTGAAATTCAAAGCAAGGATAAAATCCTTATAAGATATACGTATTGTCAAGTTCTCAATTTCATGTTGGTTGATCTTTTTTGTTCAGTAATCACACTTCAGTGTTGGAGAGAATTATTCACAATTTAGAGGGACATGATTGAAAAGAAGGTTTTAAATTAAATGATCTTGTAAGCCTTTTGTTCAAATATTAAATAAGGTTTTAATATGGCTGCTGTTTTTTCATAACAAAAGACCATACTAGTAGTACACCTTATTTAAGAGTAAATTTTGTGGTTTCAGATCACGATGTAGTACATTATTTTCATGACAGAAAGCCAAACCTCTTAACAGTTGATACATTAAAGACTAAAATAAAAAGACAAATGAAAACAAAGATATAAATTTGATGATGACTTGTAACACTTGTTGAAACTACTGATGAACGTTTACATTAAATAATGTTTACTTTATATGGAGTATCTATTGTCTTGTGTTTTACCTTAACAATGTTTGCATCAACCTCGCCTTGGCAACTATCAAAATACTTTTTCAAATCCTGGAAGAGTGTATATTGGCAGTATTGTAATGAAAAATAGGAGAAACACAAAATGAATGAGTGTTGACTAACTTGATCACAATATTCAAAAACTAATGTCAGTTTCATTTCACTAATCATGATGTCATGAAGCCTGTAAATATATTATTTATATAAAATGAAATTGAAGATAATTTGAAATGCAAGTTAATTAAATTATGATTTAGATCATCTAAATAATTGGTATTTTCTTCGTAGGATTGAAGAAAATCTTACCTAACTATATTCCTATGACGCAATTCCTTTAGTAAACAGATTTCCCGTAATGCTGAACTTGGTACACCCTATATAAAAATTATCTGCAATGTTAAACTTGGTACACCCTACATAAAAATTATCTGCAAGGTTAAACTTGGTACACCGTACATAAATATTATCTGCAAGGTTAAACTTGGTACACCCTACATAAATATTATCTGCAAGGTTAAACTTGATACACCGTACATAAATATTATCATGGTGGATAGTTTGGAGATATAACTATGCAAACAAAAACATAGTGCACCTCATCATCGTCATCCAAACGAACTCTTTTTAGAGCAACTATTTCGTGTTACAAAAATGATGTGTTTCTTAAAATTAAAATGCATTCTTACGAAGGATGCTCTTTATTTAAGTCAAAATTTTTTTACCTAAAGTTATTTTGTATGCTTAATGATGATGTTTTATAAAGATTCGAGTTGAAGGAAAAGTATGTAAACTTAGTGTTGAAGAATCTGCTAGTTATTTCCACTCTCGACCTGTTGGCAGTCAGATTGGTGCTTGTGTGAGTCGTCAGAGCTTACCAATTCATAGTAGACAGGTGATGTTCATTAGCAATTTTTTATTATTTATAAACAATTAAGCTTTGTTGAACCAAAAGCTGTATAAGGACCAAGGTACCAATTGATCTATGAATAGAAATCAAGTAAAATGTTGACAATGCAATGATGAAATGGGTTGAAATTTATCTACATAGAATTCATGATTTTGAATGACCCTTGTGTTCAGCTAATTGTAATCCACATTGGCTACAAATCCAACCAAAACATTTACTGTGACAATATTTCTCCGTTACAAACATTGGTTACGAATGCAAATGCATGATTTGATTGTTTGAAATGAAATTTACGAATTACTTACTCAAACTAATGATAAATCAAGTATTTCAACCAGTGTTAACATTGATTGAACATTGCTGAAAGATATCTTACATAACTTTAGGTTTTGATTTTTCCTTAGTACACTGCTCAGTAGTTTTGTGCAGTGACTGGAAAAATTAAAATGACTCCACTTTCATCCTGATATGCTTGTTATGTGATTTTTTACTCATCATGTAAATGTCTTTAGTGTATGTTGTTTAATACATATATTATATAATATAATACATTGTATTAAAGGTACTACTTGATAAAGAGAAAGAACTGATGGATAAATTTGGAAAAAAAGAAAAAGTCCCTCTTCCTGAATATTGGTATGATGACGCGATTTCGCTTTCTGAAAATATATCTCTATAAGTTATTTAAATTTCGTGCAGTCTCCATAAGGTCTAACCGCTCGTGTGGTGAAGAGTGAGATGAACATCTCTTCTCCTTGAAAAAATATTGTGCGTTCTCAGTACGTTCTGGGTCCGACTTTGTATAGTGTCTTTTTCATAGAAAAGCCAACAATTTTAGATAAATTATTACAAAAGACTACAACAACAAAAAAATCGAGACTTTCTCCATTTTTTAGCTATAAAACTAGCGAACAATAACAGAGGCTGTGCGAATGTACTGAATTTACTATTTAAACTCTTTATATAATTAACCTCGTTTTAACTCTTTTTAATCCGTTGCTAGGGGAGGCTATTGCATATATCCAAGTAATATCGAGTTTTGGCAAGGTCAAAGTAATCGACTGCATGACAGAATACAATTTCGAAGAAAGGAGGAAAATGATTTACTCGAAAATGTAGAATGTTGGAAAGAGGGAGAAAATGGGTGGATTTACTCACGATTGTCTCCATGATCAAATTTATTAATGTCTTAAATTTGTCTGTAGCTACAGTACATCAAGTTTTAGGGCGAGAATTTAATATATTTTACTGACAGAAATAGCCTAAATATGAAGTTCAATTATTTTAAACGGAGCAAATAGTTTCATACTTTCATTCATTTAACTCCTAAAAACCGTATTTCTCATGGACTGACGCGGATTATTTTTAATTTTTGACGAATTTTTTTTTCAAATCATCATTGATAGCTATTGATAATACATAATAGCTATTGGTTTTTCATCATAGTTCAAACGTAATGAAAATTATGATTTCAATTTTCAGTAACTTATTACAATTCTTGCGTTGAAGAATTTTTTATTCTTGTTGATGACATACAATGTTGATGAATATTTAATTTATTTAAAACATTGGCTATCCACGTCTGCCCTCATTTATATGATTTTTATGTAATATATAAGATGATAAAGTTTAAGGTATAAGGTTTTGGTTATGACAATCTGAAAATGTACTATTTGATATTAAATATCGAACATGATCGAAAAAAGGCGGGATAAACAGGCCTACTCCTCAACTCACACTTAATTCCTGTTTTGAATCAGGTCATCCAAACCCCTGGAACCATTACTCATTTTTTAATGAAAAAAAATACCTTCGAGGGCAAAAATTTGCTTTCTCGAAAATTGGGAGTGAAAAAATTGACCAATTCGTATGACGGTTTTGACTTTAACAGCTCTTTATCATGTAACGTGACTTTCTTCTAATTGGTTCTATGTTTTAATTGGTTATTAGTGTTCTTGGCGCGAAAGCTGAATATCCGTCATGCCTCATACTCGATGTTATTGGAAAGGAAAGATAGGTTATATTCATTGTTCATTGAAATCGTTCGATTGTGTGCGCTTGTCTGTTCTGTAAAACTTACAGTTAACCGTCGAGTCTTTTGTGCTGCTTGATGCGCCCGAATTCATTAAGAATATTTGATTAGAAAGGTCATAACGTAAGTAAATTAGTTAAATATAATTGATAACATTCTCAAATTGTGCATGTGAGCACTAAGTATCCTCACGTATAAAAAAAATAGCGTTTGGAATACAGGTATTATTGCTCATTCTGACTCTCTGAAGCTGGTTTAATGTATATACGAAGATCTGTACCCTCATACAATTATGGGCGAAGAATGAGCTGAGAAAGTTCGCCAGTGGAATATCTGTTGAACCATGCAAAGTTCACAAAGCTCAACACTAACTTTATATTGGTCTTTCTGCAAAGTTTATTTACTCTGGTGAAGTTCATAGGGTTAACGACTACAATAGTGATTCATATGATTGATCAATGGAGATAAGAATAGTGATAAACTACAGGAAGATTGGAAGGATTTCTTGGTGTAAAACAGCCACTGTAGCATTCTTCAATCACCACATGCCATAGGCAGTCTAGGTCTTTGCAAATATTCTTGTAGCAGAAGTTATGTAAAGAATTTTCATAGCAGGAAGAAAAATTAGGGCCAGCTTTGCCACTGCTATATGTACATAATTGTTCATTAGAAGTACAAACTATATTTTCAATAACAATTTTACTGTATCTTTATCATGGATTACAGCATTTTTTCTTACAGAAGTTGTTAAGATGAATGTGAAGATGCCAACTTTATTATTTGTGTAATTGTATAATAGGTTAGGTTAAAGATGATGCAAGAACGGAAATCTAGAAAGCGACAACATGATGGTAATGAAGTATAAAAAATGTTTATACTCATCCTGTTTCTATGTTGACTCATACAGGTTATTCTATAAACTTAATCAAATAAGGAGAAATGTTAACAATTTTTAAATTTCATGTTTAGGAGACTGCTTATTATCTGAGCTTAATGCTTTCCAAATTCATAATACAGCTATGCATCATTATAATGAAACTGCCACAGTTCTTATTAAAGAGAAAATTGACAAAGAATATCCAGGTAATACATTCTTAATCAGTCAATTTTTCAATGCAAAATGTAGCAAATGAGGATGGCATCATTTCAGTTGTTGAAGATAACATCAGAGTAATTTATTATTTTTGCAATCAGGTGCATGCATATGTGTAAATATCAGAAAGAACAAGACAGACATATATCACAAACATATATCGTTAATTTTCAGGGGAGGGTTAGTGCTCATTAGACAGGAGGGGTGCAGATTTTCCAAGGGGATACATTGGTATCCTTACTAAAGTTGAGTGCCACCTAGCTATTTTTAGGCCTACAGATGAGTGAACTTTCTGCAATGAAAGTGCTATTAGCTTTCAAATACAATTTGTTATGTTGTTTTTATTAATGAATATTGGTTTAACGTTAAGTAAATTTTATAAATAAAAAATTTATGGAGCAATTTTCTACAGTACGTAGCATTCCTATTTTTGGGGGGTGAACCCTCGAAAATTACACCCTTGCAAATTTTGTAATACTTTCCATTTTTAAAGTATATTATTTCTTAACATTACTTACAATTGTTTCTAATGACAAAGTTTACTTTTTTACTGTTTGCCAGTCATGCAACAATACTCTTTTAAAATATATATTTATGTAGTTTAATTTTCTGATTATTGAGTGATAGAGAACAATTTTGATCCATACATTACAGTAGAAACATTATTTTACATTGAAGAAATGAACAAGTAGAAATATACATCTGGAGATACATTACAGTAGAAACATTATTTTACATTTAGGAAATGAACAAGTAGAAATGTACATCTGAAGATACATTACAGTAGAAACATTATTTTACATTGAAAAAATGAACAAGTAGAAATATACATCTGGAGATACATTACAGTAGAAACATTATTTTACATTGAAGAAATGAACAAGTAGAAATATACATCTGGAGATACATTACAGTGGAAACATTATTTTACATTGAAGAAATGAACAAGTAGAAATATACATCTGGAGATACATTACAGTAGAAACATTATTTTACATTGAAAAATGAACAAGTAGAAATATACATCTGGAGATACATTACAGTAGAAACATTATTTTACATTGAAGAAATGAACAAGTAGAAATATACATCTGGAGATACATTACAGTGGAAACATTATTTTACATTGAAGAAATGAACAAGTAGAAATATACATCTGGAGATACATTACAGTAGAAACATTATTTTACATTGAAAAAATGAACAAGTAGAAATATACATCTGGAGATACATTACAGTAGAAACATTATTTTACATTGAAGAAATGAACAAGTAGAAATATACATCTGGAGATACATTACAGTAGAAACATTATTTTACATTGAAGAAATGAACAAGTAGAAATATACATCTGGAGATACATTACAGTAGAAACATTATTTTACATTTAAGAAATGAACAAGTAGAAATATACATCTGGAAATACATTATAGTAGAAACATTATTTTACATTGAAGAAATGAACAAGTAGAAATATACATCTGGAGATACATTACAGTAGAAACATTATTTTACATTGAAGAAATGAACAAGTAGAAATATACATCTGGAGACTTTGCAATGAATGGAAACATTTAATTGCAGTTTGAGCAAATCAGAATTAACCCAAAAATAGGATTATTATTTATAGTTTACCACTTTATTGGACGAACAATCAATACAGATTTTGAAATAAATTGAAGATCAAATTAATAATTTAGCTTTATGTTTATAATAATGCAATATATGGGAAATAAATGGTAACAACAAGATATCGAGGTAGGGGCGGATTTTCTGGGGAGGTGTGCAACCTCTCCCCCAAGAAAAATTCTGAAATGGTATTACATACTGTAAGTGATTAATATAACAGTCTTAGGGGCTATGAAATGGTACAGTAAGAATAAGTAAAGATAAAACTTCTCATTTCAAAGACAATTACATATTTTATACTACCACCATTTGCAATTGACTTCTACCATGCGCGTTTTCATTGAAACATTAAAATTGAAATAAATCACTTAACGCGCATTCATTAAAAAATTAAGAGTTATCACCTTTGTAAGAATTTTTTACAAAGGTAATAACACTTTCTTAACGCACGGTTCACTCATTTCTAAAAATTCACAATAGCCTTTGTACTTAAGCTAGAGCCCTATTTACACGACATAAAGTAACTCGTGTTTAACCCAGTTTTAAGAGATGGGTTGAGTTTAACCCAGGTTAAACCTGGGTTATTTGTGTTTACACGCAAAAAAACTAACCTGGGTTAAACCCGGCTTAATTTTAACTTGGTTTAAACCCAGATTAGTTCTTGCCGTGTGAATAGGGTTTAAGATGACGATGCACCCCCCCTTGGAAAATTTGCACCCTTCCTGTCAAATGAGCATTGATCCACCCACGTATTAATGAAGTAAATTTGTAATTTTTTTTCTCCATAATTTGTACAGGGTGGGATGATGAAAGCCGTCATGAAATGAAGATGGTCCCTCTAGTTTTTCAATCCAAAAAGTGCAACGCAGATGGTGACAAGGCAGAGGAAATATTATACTCCTTCATTCAACGCATAAATGATCCAGATTCAGACATACGGCGTTATTTTCAAACTAAAACTATAAGCGTACGAGGCTTTGGATTTCATGGTTTGAAGTTTGATGATGAAGAAGTTGATCTTCTGTTGGTTTTTGCCGGAGGCGTAGTAATATTTGAGTGCAAACTAATACTGGGAAAAAAAAGTCCCCAAGCTGTCTACCAACATGCCTTAGGACAGTTGAGTCGACAAAAAAAGGCAATAAGTTGTTATCTTGATGTATCTATCAACATTATTAAAGTCGTGCTTGCCGATGCAATCATGCTGTGATATTACGGAAGAAGGTGCATTGGTTTTTTTTAAAGAAGACTTTCTTCATAATAAATTCAATAAATGGCTTTACAATTTTCCTTCAATGGATTTTGATTTGTATAAAAAGATTGTGATGAAGTTCCTTTGCAAGTATCATTGTGTGTCACTGCGTTCTGGTCGTATTAGGTTCAATAACTTAAAGCAATTTAAAACGCAAGGAATATACGATACTTCGGACCGTTTAGATCGAACATCTCGGAATTATTTCAAGACAGATGAACAAGCTTTAATTTTACGTTGTATTGATCATCCTGGGAGATATTGGGTTAAAGGAGCTGCAGGAACAGGCAAAACTTTTGTTCTGAAGATGATTGCAAAGGAGTGGTTAGAGAAACATAAGTCAGATGAAATGACAATGCTCATAATAACCTATAATGTTGCAATTAATAATGAAATCGAGTAAGTTTGTTATGCAGCCCAAACTTTTTTTATGCTTTTACTGTTTATTACATCAAAATTTTTTATTCAGCTCATGGATTACAAAAAACGTCGAATACGACAAAACGAAAGTACGAGTACAAACTTTCCGGAGACTGCTTTGTCATATGCTTCATGCTTTTTCTGAAGAAGTTCGTTTGCAGAACGAAAACAAAGAAGTATGTGTTACGTAAATGCTTTCAGCAGTATTATATTACTAAGTTACATATCTGTTATATAACCCTTTGTTTTATTTCTAATATATACAGCGTATGAACTTTACAGCATTTCTACTTTGTTATCATTTCAGGACAGAAATATTGTGGAGTTCATTTTAAGAAACGGGGGAGTGGAGAAGTATTTTCGTTCTAAGTTTACAAAGACACAACACAAATATACTTTACTGTTAATCGATGAAGCTCAGGATCTTTCTGGTGAATGGATCAAGTTACTTCAAGGTTTGTTGAACAAAAATAAAGGAGCGATGTATGTCTTTGAAGATCCGTTTCAAAATGTCCGTGGCACCGAAAGTCCGCAAAATGAGCATTTTGTTCCTTATTTCTTACATAAAGTTCTCCGTAATACTCATAACACTTTTAAAGCGTATAAAGGATGTTATGAACAACTGGCCATTGCCACTGAAACCAAACATTTATCTCCACCCACCGTTGATCACACAGTCTTCGGCCTAGAGCCGTGGTACAAAAGTGAGAATACCAAGGAAAAACTTCAAGCCAGTCTGTTGTCCACTGTCGAAGAATTACTGGGGAAAGGCATTGGTTATGATAACATTGCTATTATATCATCAGGGGGAAAAGATGATATGGTTGATCTGGTCGAATTTCTCACAAGCAAGATTCCAATTTGTGATGCAAAAGTGAGCAACGAAAAAAAGAAGGAAAAAATCAAATCGGTCATCGTTGACTCTTACCAAAAGTTCAAAGGCCTTGAAGCTAAGGTTTTGATTTTTTACATTCCAATTGGTTGGACCCCTCCGTATGAGGCCATTTATGTGAGTTTGTCGAGAGCATTTTGTCTTCCAATTGTTTTAGGGGGGAGAAAGGAAATTGACCGTATCAAAGACTTAGGTCGGAACGATCTTCAATAACTGGAGGTCACCTTTTTTCGATTTTTTAAAAATCTTTTAATGAAAAAAAGCTACGATTCAAACTAAGCAATGAGCGAAATCAAAAGTGAATTCAAAAACAGAAAAGTTTCAAGTACTAGGAAAAAACTCCTTTTTTTAAATACGCATAAAATTCACTGTCCAGTGGACATCGCTTATGATGCTTCGTGCAACATGCTTCAGACAGTATGCCGATTGAGAATTTTCTTAAAATTTAGGCTTGAAAAATTTGACTGAAAAATTAGTAAAAGTTGTTTTAGTATTTTTTTTGTTATCCTGGTATACTGGTTGCGTGTATTTCATGGAATTGTAACAAAACCGACCAAAAAACGATAATCATCAATGTATCAAACATCGTTTTTACGTCTAAAGTTGTAGCTTTATGTCAGCATTACCTCAGTTTCAAATGATGAACATCCAATATGGAAGAATTTCTAATAAACGATTCGGCCTAAATCTAAATTTATCAAAATTCGTTGAGCTTTTTAAGTCAATTAAATTTATAGAATGAGAGGAATTTGTTTCATAAATTGCTTACTGCACGCACAGAGGGACTGATATGTTTTAGCAACGAACTAGATTTAATGATGAAATTTTACAAATAGAGGTTTTAAAACATTACATAAAAATTATATATTTTGAACTAGATTTAATGATGAAATTTTACAAATAGAGGTTTTAAAACATTACATAAAAATTATATATTTGAACTAGATTTAATGATGAAATTTTACAAATAGAGGTTTTAAAACATTACAAAAATTATATATTTTGAACTAGATTTAATGATGAAATTTTACAAATAGAGGTTTGTATATATTTTGAACTAGATTTAATGATGAAATTTTGCAAATAGAGGTTTTTAAAACATCACATAAAAATTATATATTTTGAACTAGATTTAATGATGAAATTTTACAAATAGAGGTTTTTAAAACATTACATAAAAATTATATATTTTGAACTAGATTTAATGATGAAATTTTACAAATAGAGGTTTTTAAAACATTACATAAAAATTATATCATATTTTGTTTTGTGTAATTTTGCCAGAAATAACGGTTTGATGGCGATAAATGCACATTATCTTCACTCAGCCTTTGAACACAAACATTCATGGGTAGACTTTTTTATTTTTGTACACTGACCATGTTAGGTCGATTTTGTATGTATATAAACTTTGATGGAAGGTTTGAAATAAAATTTAATAGAGGTTGCAATTTAATTCCGTTTTTTAATCAAATTGTTTGAATCTAAATGATGTAAAGTTGCAATTCTTTTGTTAATTTTTGCGTTGTTAAATTTTGAACCAAACAATGAAAAACACCTGATACGAGAAGACTTTTTCAGACTTTCTACCAACTAAATAAATTAGCCGTATTGCGATATTATAATATATTCCTGATTAATATATAAAATACACTTAAGCATAATCAATTTTTTACTACGGGATTTTTTTCTTGCTTAAAAGAGCTCATTTGGATTGTTTTGGACTGAGTTTACGATTTTAACTTTTTCACTTCTAGGATGGCGTAAACCAGCTAACATGCATCAGTGCATATTTTTATATTGAATTTTTGACTGAAGGATTCACATCGTTAAAGTACTGATGGTTCATTGCAACATCGGCGGCCATTCGCATTGAAGGGTTGAAAACGAGTAATTTCTAGAAAAATATTGTCAATAAAAACTGAATATTTTAAACAACGAACGAAATGGTTACGCTATGTGTACAAGGCAAAATATATATTACATATTTTACAAAATTGACTACTGTTGAGTACAGTTAATTTTTAAAAAATGTGTGCATCACAAGTTGTTTGGTTTGGGTTTACTCGTGAAGGTGTATTGAGATCTTGGGAATATTGAGGAATACATACGGACAAATTGTTTTTCTGCTTTAATTACTTGTAACCACTTGTAACCCGTTACAGGATATATTATCGTTGTTATATTTAAAAACTACATAAAGTATCTGCTAGTGCATCAGGAAGTGGCATCAAATACCGTACCTCATTGTTTCACCTTAATTGGTTATTCTTACGTCATGCCATTAATCAAGTAAAAAGTGGATATTTAACATTACCTGCAGTAAATCTCTTCCAACATTTGAAAGTTTTGGTACAACATGAGATAACGATACAGGAGAATGAAAACCATAATCCTTAAAAAAAATAAAGAAATATTTGCAAAAGTCGTGCATGTTCAGCCCAAAGCCGTTTTCATCACAACATACTATAATTACGCTGTAATTACAACAAGACATAATTAACATAGAACAATTAATACTTACAAACAAGGTTCACAATTTTTGTTTAGTTTATACTCAAAATAAGTTTAATATTGAACAATGTTTAGTGAATTTTAATAATTAAATGATATCATCATTCAATGCCGTACAACTTACTTTGTATTCAGGCAATTTCGTCATTCCAGGCCAATACTCCTCATTTGGAGATCCCAAAATTCTTTAACCATCAAATTAAGGATGCAAACAAAAGTTTTTGCAAATTTATCAAGCCAATTGTTGAGCAAAACAACTGGTATAAAAAAGGATACTTGTATATTTTTCTCAATTGATCATCAACGTCACTTCCTGGGAAAAGCGGCCTTCCTCCATTTGATAATTCTACAAGACAATAAACGTTAAGTGAACTTACTTTTTCCCACACTTATTTACAAACTAATGACCTTTTATGGGTGTCAAAATTTGGCAGAAGATCGGTGGTTCGTTTTGTCCGAAAAACCTCAAAAAATGTTCAAAATTTTCTAAGGCTTCGCGTAATTTTTTGAAGAAAAAAAGCTTATGTTTAAGGAAACATAAGCAGAATTAGATGAATAGTGTCTCAAAAAAGAGGAACATTTCATATGCATGAATTTTAAATTAGTTGATTTATTGAGGCTTGGGCTGGAACTTTAAAAATTTTTCAATGTTTCGTCAATCAAATAATATAAAGTTTACTTCTCGAAGGAACGCGTTGTTTTGTTTTTTTTTTACTGCAGCAATTCTATAGTCATTTGAATGAAAGTTTAGATTAAACGGTGTCATTTATAAATGATAATCATTCAAACTGGATGTAGGCATCAATTCTTGTGTGACACAATATAATTCAAAACAATTTTCACATATTTATCACAAGGATTCAACATACACCTGCAAATATACAACCAGCTGACCACATGTCAATTGATGTGGTGTAGATTTTGGCACCCATAAGAACGTCAGGAGGTCGATACCACAAAGTGACCACCTACATAATATTTCTTAATTTTGAGTTTTTACTAAGTAAGTGTTAGTGCTAACTAAGGCACGGCGAACTAAAACAAACATAACGTTTACAATGTTCATTAAATTTACCTCGGCGGAATAGCAACGTACAGGAATGCCAAACGGTCTCGCCAATCCAAAATCAGCCAGTTTTAACTCGCCATCCTAGGCAACACAAAACATTTAATAATTTTAATCACTTGTGTGTTAAAACAGCTCCATTATATATATTTCTCGGCGAATTCTTTCAAACAAACAATTTATTTGTGAAAAGTCGCTAAGGTATTTTTTAAGTTTCTTTTGCCGTCTTTCCTTTTGAATTTAATGAAAATATTCAAGTTAGCTAAGGTAAGCAATCAAGAAAAATGAGTCTGTCATAATTCTGCTCTATAACCATGTCATGTAATCAATTCCTTCAAGATAGAATGGAAAGGTTTCTGGACAAAATAATCAAAAGCAGTAATGACTGCCTGGAGATCAGTTAAAAGGCCAAAGATAAATCTTGGATGTTATACGACCCTAATTCACTGAAGAAGAGATTCCCTTATGTTGACTTGGCACGACAAGCAACCTGAATGGAAAAGGACAGAACAGGCGTAGAAGTAAGGAAACGAAAACGCCAAAACAGAACATGCTTCTTTTGTACCTAAACACGTTGTTTCTGATGCTTTACATGAGAGTTAGGCGTGATATGAAAAACTAAAATGAACAGCAGAATAAAACGAGGCTGACTGTTTACAACCCAATTTCTGACAGTTATTGAGAAAAACAGAGAGTTAGAGATGAAGGTCCGTTTGGCTTGAATTGACCTTAGTTTTGTGAAGGCATTCTGAAAATATATGTGATGGCAACATCATCCAAGGACAAGCACTAACGATTAGAGATTTGTGGGTTTTTTCACGAATTGGTAACTGACATAAGAGTGATCCAGAAACCTGCTGTGGTCCAAATGGACTGAAATTCAACACTCCGTTCACACCTTCTGTTAAATGTATAGAGAGATCTGCCTTGCAGTTGCAGACATTATTCATTAAGATTATAGACATTTCCAAGAAGAGTTAGTTTCACTATACAAGGGTGGTGAAATTCAAAGCAAGGATAAAATCCTTATAAGATATACGTATTCTCAAGTTCTCAGTTTCATGTTGGTTGATCTTTTTTGTTCAGTAATCACAGTTCAGTGTTGGAGAGAATTATTCACAATTTAGAGGGACAAGATTGAAAAGAATGTTTTAAATTAAATGATCTTGTAAGCCTTTTGTTCAAATATTAAATAAGGTTTTAATATGGCTGCTGTTTTTCGCATACATAGTTTAAAAGCATGTATACTAATAATAACATGAAATATTGACAAAGTCTAATTAGCTGGCTTTTTCATAACAAAAGACCATACTAGTAGTACCTTATTTAAGAGTAAATTTTGTGGTTTCAGATCACGATGTAGTACATTATTTGCATGACAGAATGCCAAACCTCTTAACAGTTGATACATTAAAGACTAAAATAAAAAGACAAATGAAAACAAAGATATAAATTTGATGATGACTTGTAACACTTGTTGAAACTACTGATGAAACGTTTAGATTAAATAATGTTTACTTTTTATGGAGTATCTATTGTCTTGTGTTTTACCTTAACAATGTTTGCATCAACCTCGCCTTGGCAACTATCAAAATACTTTTTCAAATCCTGGAAGAGTGTATATTGGCAATATTGTAATGAAAAAGAGGAGAAACACAAAATGAATGAGTGTTGACTAACTTGATCACAATATTCAAAAACTAATGTCAGTTTCTTTTCACTAATCATGATGTCATGAAGCCTGTAAATATATTATTTATATAAAATGAAATTCAAGATAAATTGAAATGCAACTTAATTAAATTATGATTTAGATCATCTAAATAATTGGTATTTTTTTCGTAGATTGAAGAAAATCTTACCTAACTATATTCCTATGACGCAATTCCTTTAGTAAACAGATTTCCCGTAATGCTGAACTTGGTACACCCTATATAAAAATTATCTGCAATGTTAAACTTGGTACTACCATACACTATATAAATATTATCTGCAAGGTTAAACTTGGTACATACATAAAATTATCTGCAATGTTAAACTTGGTACATAAAAATTATCTGCAAGGTTAAACTTGGATACATCTGCGAACATAACATAAATATCATGGTGGATAGTTTGGAGAAATAACTATGCAAACAAAAACATAGTGCACCTCATCATCGTCATCCAAACGAACTCTTTTTAGAGCAACTATTTCATGTGTTTCTTTGCTTTTTGCTTTGAAGACTGTTCCATAAGTGCCTGAGACATATTTTAGATAATCTTCACATTTATTGAATATGATGTATAAACAATCTAATATTGTAGTAGTCAACATAAATGAATTAATGTCTGAGCATTTTTTGGCTTCTTGTAAATAAAAAGATTCTAAACCACTAGTCTACCATTTTACGTAGAGAAAATGAAGCCTGACATTTTGCTTGATAGCTAATACCTGAATACAAGAAATTTTTGTAGTATAATTTACCTTCGCCTATCTTCTCTAGTTTTTCATATTTCTGCATTTCAAGTAAACAAAATTCCACGAACGCTTGATTAGAGTATCTTTTTGTTATTATTTAAAGATACACTTCAGTAAGGGGGAGGCTACGGATTTTGGCATACTGACCAATTAGAACATTCCTTGTTCATATATTGTGATGGATAATGATTTGAAATTATAAATTCTTGCAGTTTGCAAAGATTTGAATTCTACCAGATAGTAAAATCATTGAATTTAGAAAACCATACAATACACGGCATTAGGTTTTAGGTTGGTCAAATTTAACAACCTAATCAATAAGAAAGATTTATTTTCATATTTAATATTTTTATAAGTTTTTTTATGTTTTACTTTGGGTAAACAGACAATTATAGTCAATTTTTTTGAACTTTTTCGATGTTTTGACGATACAACATTAAGAATTATTTAGTATTTGTTTTCAGATAATAAATAATAACGGTGAAATTTGTCCTTAAATTTGCCCATTAGTCGTTATTGCGCATGCCTGCCAATGCAATTTCCTTCCAGGTGAATTAAATATTCCCAAGCATTACCTACAGGAAAAACGCGACGATTGTGTTTGTATTTCACTTGAGTGTGTCTTTCCGACACGCATTAAAGTTTCTGGAGTATTCTTCCTTAATGGGTGGCGTTTGCACAGGAATGAAACTATGTAAATAATATCGAGTTTGCAGAGAAAATCTGCTCAAGAAACGTTCAGTTGTATGGTCTACTTGTATTGAAACAAGGTGTGTGATTCGAAGATAGGTTATATGATACGGTTTCAATTTCATGCTTTATATTGTGATGACGTGCAATGTTATTGATGATGTGAAATTGACAGATGGTGGGGAAGTAGCTAAAATGTTGACTTGTTCGTCCAACATGAGATGACATTTCGAAAACGATAATATCGTCTGGTTTTTTTACTATTTAACAGGGAAAATGTATTAAAAGCATAAATCTACCTTAGCAAATGGATGATTAGATATGTTAGAGTTTCGTAGGGAAATTACATGATAATGGATGATGCATTCCTTACATATTCCTTTCTTATATATGTTTGTGTTCGCTATAGTTCAATTGAATTCTAACGAAATTTTCTCGTGTTTTTCAAGTCTTAATTTTGAAGTCGAAAGCTTCAATATAAACAAATTTGCACATTGTTGATTTGACTTACGGAAGAATTTCAACGAAGTTTTGTTTGTTTGGCACAAATATGCATGAATAAGCACTATATGATATATCTATATTGTATAATAGCAATCTTAACGTGATTTATGTCATATTCTGTTTAAATCAACAACTTAACTATCAAAGAGGACTGAGGACATAAATATTTTATGAGATATATTTTATCTTGAAAAGCTAAATAAATAATTCTTATGTAAATCGAGAAAAAAGACAATATTGTGTAAACAATTTTGTTGGAATGTACTTTTATTTTTTATAATATTTATGACATAATTATGCAACTAAAAAGCAACTTAAGAAAACATTTTTTAGTCCAATTTTAAGATCATCTCTATGACAAGCTAAATCATGTCAATTTTTCAGATAATGACTGAAGACCTTGATACAGGTCAAAATCTGGTTCGCCGTAGCAGTCTTGGCAAGGGACATAAAAAACGCCATCGCTTAAGTCGGAAAAAATATGATGGACTCAATTTTGCTGATGATACAATTGGTGTTAGTGATATGGTTCTACTTGATTCACTCACTGAGGAGAAACTAACAAAAAATCTTGAAATTCGTTTCATGAGTGGGGAAATTTATGTAAGTTTTTACCCATTTAACAATATGAAGGAAGACATTATTCCTGAAATGCTAAATGATGTGATGTTTTTGAAGTTCTTTATACATGTAGACCTACCTTTCCCAAGATCTATCATATTCTTCTTTGACTTGAAAATATATCTTTTTTAGCTTGCAATAGACTTATAAATTTAAGCATTCATTCAATCAATTCCATAAACATAATGCATGAATAAATATGGAGTCTTATATTTATGATGTCAATTTCTCAACAACTGAAAGAATGTATAAGATTTGTAAGCAACTATTTTATCTTATTATTTTCTTTAGAGCTTACTTTATGATACTTGTGATTATTTTAAACTTATATGCAGTCAACATTTTAGCAATGCTAAGTATCACTTCACCAAATTGAGATTTTATGTACATGTTAAAAAGAAACTTAAATTGGTCTACCAATTTACTGTTTAGCCTTATTTATGTCCTTTGTCCATCAGGCTAACAGTCTGTGTTTTTGTTGTCCTTTGCAAATGTTAAAGCATTTTGTTAAATATTCAAATGAGAGTTTTTTGAAGCTTAAAATGTATGCATGATTAAGAATTATTTTCTGTTAGACTTACATTGGAAATGTTGTGGTATCTCTTAACCCTTACGAGAAACTCTATTTATACACAAATGATGTCATCATGGAGTATAAATCTCGAAATGTTTTTGAAATGGCACCTCATTTGTAAGTACATTATAAATATTTGTTTTTTAAGTTCAAGATTAACTGTAGTGAAAGCTTTATTTTATATTAATCTCTCGTATTTGTTCACTCATGTGACATGACTACTGTAAAAAGCCATTTGTAAAAGTGATATTTAGGAAAATGTTAAAACTTTTTATGTTTCAATCTTTATATGGAAATATTTCTAGATATGCTGTTGCAGATTTATCGTACAGATCAATGCGTGATCATAATAAGGATCAGTGTATTCTTATAACTGGTGAAAGTGGTGCTGGGAAAACAGGTTAACAATATATTTATGGCTTTTATCTTTGTCCTAATATAAAGTTTTATATTGACTAGACCACAGTTGTCTGTTGTCAATCATCAACTGTTAATGTTTATCTTTGCATCTTCTAAAAATTACATGACACCATTACATGAGGTTGTTGTTGAATTTGGATTAGTATTTTGTCAGAGAAATTGCTCTGGCAATTCGTTGTTTGCATTCAGGTTTAAGGAGGGTTTCCTTCTTACTATACTTGTGATAAAAAATTATAAAAACCAGTAAACAATTGGACTGACATGAAACTGTTGTTGGTTTTTGTTTTCTAACTTATTGTACAATTAATTCACATTGAGACTTAGTTTTTTTCATGCAAGCTGTTCACAGTGGACACTTACACCAAGAAAAAATTGTTACTTCAGGTCTTGCCACCTTTTTTGATTGAAACTAAGTGTGCGGCAATCTGTGTTTTGGGTTACATATTGTGGGCACACGATGTGGCCATGTGGGTAAACGATGTAACATGGGTACATAAGGAGATGTGGCCATGTAGGTACATCATGTGATGGTTAGCCGAAACAAAGGAATCAAGCAAAAATATAGTTAAAATTTATTTTGAAAATGTAGAAATCATTGACAGAATAATTTTGAGAATATAAGGATTCACTGAGGAAACTATCAAACTAACAACGTAATTACCTAATTGTATAACAACTCTACTGGATTTATGATTAAATTATTAATCACTGAAGTCAGCCTATATGTACGTACATGACTTGGCATGTTACTGACGTAAGCCCTTCTCGTTCTTTTACTATCTCCACGTTTTCATAAGTTTTTCACAAAGTTAATGAATGCATGTTTATAACGAATTCAATGATGAAGAACTCTAATTTTTTTCTTTGTGAACATCTCTTTCTTATCACAAAGTTTGTTGGATTGTAGAGTCGTCAAAGATAATCATGCAGTATGTTGCTGCTGTGTCTGGAAAAGGACAACAAGTGGATAAAGTTAAAGAACATCTTCTTCAGTGTAATCCGATTCTTGAAGGTACTGTGTTTGTTATTGGAAAGAGTTGTCATTTTCCAGAAAAGTACCTCGCTAATGTTTGTCGATATTGATCAATTTACGTAAATTGTACAGCTTAGTATAGTCCTGACATGGATTGTTGATGTTGGTATTGTCTAATCCCAAGGATCATCGAAATGTCAGTTAATACTAACATCAACAGTTCACAAACCACAATCGTGTAGTGATACTTCTGGTTTTAAACCTCGCTTTGTGTGAATTTTTTCTTTTTCGTTTTTAATTGTAAATTGTTTTTTTTAATTCTTTAGCATTTGGAAATGCCAAGACGTTGAAGAACGACAATTCCTCGCGATTTGTAAGTACGATAAAGTTTTTCTTTTTATCTTTTAACTTTCTCATTTTTTAATATGAGAAATCTGCAATTGTTCTATTGTTTTTTTATTCCAAAATATGCGTTGTCATGAATTATCTTTCATAAGTACTTTGTAAAAATGAATGTCAAACAGGGATCGTCAGTTTGCAAAATCATTGTGAATTTCCCAGCCAGAAATATCCAAAAAATAATATGTCAAATTGCGGATGAGTCACAGTCATGGAAGCTTACAATACGCTTCATGGAATCATGGGATTTGTTCCCAATTCTTCACCGACTCTCCAAGTTCTAAATAAAATTTGTATTGATCGACATTCGAAAAGCAATTTTTGTATAAAATACAGGAAGAATATTGTGTTTTTTCATTAGGGTAAATACATGGATATTGAGTTCGACTTTAAAGGGGAACCTGTTGGTGGTGTTATAACAAACTGTAAGTTAGCGCTTTGTTAGTACAACTTGATGTTATAACAAAATAAGTTAGCGCTTTGTTAGTACTTGATGGTATAACAAACTTTAAGTTAGCGCTTTGTTAGTACTTGATGTTATACTCTGTTAGCTCTCCCTGATTTTTGAACGATTGTCTCTTTATTATATCTTTTGGTTTCTAAATACTTGTTTGTTAAAATCTTTTACTAAACCCTAGTATGTTGTTCTATTTAATTTATTTTATTTATTTTATCATCTTTTTTTGTATGTTCCAACAGATCTTTTGGAAAAGGTAACTCATCAACTAAAAAAGTTCTTAATAATCCCCATCCATCCCTCTGTGTCCAACTTTAAATAATCGTGTTGATGAGGTATAGAAGACAAAATTATCTTTTATTATTTTGTTTCTTCAACCAGTCGCGTATCGTAAGTCGTACAAGCGAAGAAAGAAGTTTTCATATTTTCTATCAGCTGCTTAATGGAGGATCCGGAGAGCTTTTGCGTAAGAAATTTTATTCAATATAATAATAGTGTTTGGATTGCCATCTGCTGAATTGAAGAAACTTGGAAAGCTACTGCGGAAGAAATTTACTGACAGTTATATGTGAACTATAACATGGTATTAAATTGATTTTTACTACTGAAAATGATTATTTAGGTGCTCTTGGCTTGGAAAGAGATTGTGCAAAATATGCTTATTTAAAGGAAAGTGGTTGTGTCTCTGTAAAAACTATTAATGATGTTGAAGATTTTCGTTATACCGAGGTGAGTAAATTGCAGACAAATATTTAATACATTATTTATTCAATTTTTGTGCTGCTATGTTCTTGTACAATTGGTGAATAAAGGTGTTTCACTCATAAGTTACAAAAAAAATTTCACCGTATAACATGGTTTTTTAGCGTTTTTTGTTTATTTCTTGGAATATATTCATTATATTTTACATCAAAACAAAGTATTTTTGCTTATATTATTCCTATAGAACTTCTAGCCTTAGGAGTAGTTAAAACCTGTATCCATGTGCATTTATAGTTTAATAACTTGTTCATATTTGAAGGGTGCAATGAGAGCTATTGGATTCAAAAACCAAGAAAAACTGTATATTTATCAGCTTATTTCGGCAATTTTGCATCTTGGCAACGTTCGCTTTGAAAAAGCTCGTCTTCAGAATCAATCGGAAGGTTTTTTATGCCTTTTGGCTGTTCCTTATGTAGCCAAATGAATCAAAGACAGCCAAAGTTTTTGATTTTGATGCTGTGAGACATCAAGTGAGATATTTGGGGTGAGTTTTTTTGATCTGATTATTTATCTTGTTTGTAAGGTATTTTTATTTTTCATTCATTGTCAAGCATTCATGGTCTTGTTTGTAAGGTGTTTTTATTTTGTATTCATTGTCAAGCATTCATGGTCAAACTAATCATTTGATTAAATGTGCCGATCATGAGCAAATTTTGGATTAAATTTTCATGTTTTAAATATTTTTCGTAGTCTTTTAGAGAACGTCAGAGTTCGCAGGGCTGGGTATTGTTTCAGACAGGAATATGCTGTTGCTTTAGAAAGGTAAAATTTAAGAATTACTTCACAATAAGACTTCTATCGTGTATTAAAAAGCTTATACTGTACCTCGCAATTGAGCTTTTTCTTTGTATTAACACATTTTGTCAATGGAAAATTGTGTTGGGAAGTCAGTACGAAGGTGATACTTAAGTCACATTTTTGCTTCACAGTATTTTTTAACTATCACATTTTAATCATCACATTAGTAAATTATTTATTGTCATGCTGTAAATTTTCACTCCCTGGCATGATGACGCAACCCCAAACTTCCTCACGAGGAGATAAAATAAACTAAATCCAAAACGTCAATTCTTTTCCTTCTAATGTAAATTTACTCTTGAAATCAAAATCGTGAGTTATAAATACAAATTTACAGTTATTTGACACCATAAAACTAAACAAGTCGTGTAAAACGAGTGAGTTTGTAAACAACGATATAACGGTGTTAAATAAGTCGTGTAAAACGAGTGAGTTTGTAAACAACGATAGAACGGTGTTAAATAAGTCGTGTAAAACGAGTGAGTTTGTAAACAACGATAGAACGGTGTTAAATAAGTCGTGTAAAACGAGGGAGTTTGTAAACAACGATAGAATGGTGTTAAATAAGTCGTGTGAAACTAGGGAGTTTGTAAACAACGATAGAATGGTGTTAAATATGTCGTGTAAAACTAGTGAGTTTGTAAACAACGGTAGAATGGTGTTAAATAAGTCGTGTAAAACTAGTGAGTTTGTAAACAACGATAGAATGATGTTAAATAAGTCGTGTAAAACTAGGGAGTTTGTAAACAACGATAGAATGGTGTTAAATTGCACACTATTGTTTTGTATAGATATAAAATTTTGTGTCCCAAGACATGGCCTACTTGGAAAGGTGATCCTAAGCTTGGTCTTAGCGAAATATTTACTGTAAGTTACTCAACCTAAGTTCTACAATTCATACATATCTACATATCAATAATACCTTTTTAAATTTATGACTTTTTTGATGTTTTCTTACGTACATTAAAATGCGCAAGTTGCACAACCTGTAGAAAATACTGTAGAAAATGAAAAGAATATGCTACTTTTATTTTTTCTGCAGTTTCAGAAGATAAAGACATCGGAATTTGACTTTGGGAGAACGAAAATCTTCATACGTAATGCACAAACGGTACCGCATAAGTTCACTGTCAGGTCCTTCTTGTTTTGGTTCTTGAAAGTTTCCAGCTTTTTGTTCTTTTTTTATGTTTTTGTAGCTGTTTGCTTTGGAGGATAGAAGAGAAGAGAAACTACAAGATCTTGCTACTGTTATACAAAAGCGTTATAAAGGCTTTAAAGAGCGCAACAAGGTGATATATAAATATTCTTTATCTTAATGAGATATTGTAATTAAATGACAGTGGTTTGTGATATAGTTATTATAAAGTAAATGGTTTGAACCCGGGAGTATCGTTACATGTTTGTAAATGTAGATCGTCCAGGTTGGTATAGTCCTGAGAAGGACTGTTTTTGTTGTTGTTGACTGTTATTATTGATAGTTTTTGCTATGTTATGTAATATATTGATAGTTATAGTTAATATTGATATTATTGATTCGTTGTTATGGAATGGAATGTATGATCTTATCATTAATATTGATGTTATTGATAGTTTCGTTATTATGTAATGTATTGATCGTGATCGTTATTGATATTATTAATAATATCGTTGTTATGTAATGTAATACATCGATCGTTATCATTATTGATATTTTTGATCATTTTGATGTTATATAATGTGACACATTGATGCATGTATGATAACGATATTTTAGTACCGTAAATTGAAGGAAAGCCAAATTCTCATCAGTAAAACATTTAGAGGATACCAGGTGGGCAACAGTTTGAGTTTTTTTAGATAAATCGATTTAAATATTTTCTCTTCATACATTAATAATTTGCTCATTTGCGTGTAGGCTAGGAAAGATTACAAAACACAAAGAGACGCTGCCATACTTATTGCATCTTTTGTTAAAGGCTGGCGGGTATGTTTATTGTTTGGGATGAATGTGCAAAATGAAAAAAAGAAAATTTTTTTGAAAATAGCTATTTACTTTTTCCTTTCGGAAATATTTCCTGGATTAAATTTGCTGATGATGAAATGTCAAATGCATGCAAGGGCATTCATTCCTTTCCTTTTTACAAAAGTATGGATTATTTAGTTGTTAAATAATTGGCATCCAAACTTATCTGAGCATTTCAACTTTAACTTTTTTGTTTTTTATCAATATCAATGTTTTTCTCTCTCTTGTAACTTATACATCTTTTCATACTACCTGAATTTAGAGTTTTAATAATCTATTATAAATAATCTTCATTCCTAATGATAGCTAGTTATTGAACACTGTCTAACGAGGGGTAATTTACTCGAAAAATTTCCGCACATTTCCTAAAAAATCTCACTATCTTAAATAAACTACAATCTCAAAAGGTCTTAAATGATCTCTTAAAGTCTTAAAAAATCGAATTATTTTTTCGACAAATTTCTTAAATTACTGGGAAACCTCCAAAAGTTTGAAAAAATCTTGAAAAAATTGAGGAGAAAACTTACTACAACTCCCCCCAAACATCCACTGAAATCTTCAATCACCTTCAAACTATGGTGAAATAATATATTGAAATGAAATATTTCTTTTATTGTCTTTCAAACAAGCTGATGGCTTATAATTTGCGAAAATATGGGCAAAAGTTGAGAAAACACAGTGAAAATGCTTCAAAAACATTCTGGAAAATTCCCAAATTGCCAGGACTTTCAAATGTAGCTATAAAAAATCTTTGTACGCTTTTTTCAGAGTAATTTACCCCTCGCTCTTTATTGTTATTATATTTATTATCATTAAATATAGCTAGTTATTGACCACTCTCTAATATTATCATTAAATATAGCTAGTTATTGACCACTTTAATGATATTATTTAATAAAATTTTTTGTGTTGATCAATAGATAAGAAACGAGTACAAACGTTTCTTCAGATCCCACGCCACTGCAGTTATTCGACGTTGTTGGTTGTCGTATCTGGTTCGTAAAGTTTATAACTTTTTTCTAATTTAACATGGTACCATCTTTTGGTTGAGTAGAGTTGACACTTTTGTAGGTTTCAAACATACAATTTTATAACTTCTTATCAAGCCAATATTTTTCGACAACATCTATTTTGATTAAGCTAGATGTAGTATTTTCCTTTTTTTCTTATCTTAACGCAATGTGTGGATGTATTTTTTCTATTTTTTTCAAAAGATTACAAGGTTTCTCAAGAAGCTATCGCGCAAATTACCGTCTGAGTCGCCTTTGGATCGCAAATGGCCATCTAGCTTGGAAAGGTTTAGAACGGCAAATCAACTTCTCAAAGAAATGTATCATCGAAATCGGGTGAGAATCTAGCTTTTGTGTGTGTTATTATTAATATATACGAGCATCATAGTGTCAACGTTTTGATATTTTTTAAGTTTCGTAACCAGTCTGTCAATAGTGGACAATTTAGTCCTACAATTTAGAAATACTTCTACATACATGACCAAACTAAATAAGCAGGCTTGCTAACTTACTGAGTGTGGATTATAACTATGGTATTGGCTTTCGTACTGGATATAACTATTTATGAAACACTTTAACTATTGCATATACGTACGTATCCCAAGTGTGGTTAATGCATAGTTGTACTTATCTCAATTGTCAAATTGTGATTTTTTTATTTTTATACGTACTTCAGTGTCGGAAATATAGACTGAAAATGTCACCTGATAAAGTGAAAGTAATGAAAGAAAAATTAAAGGCTAGTGAATTGTTTAAAGGACAGAAATCTTTGTATCCAGAAAGGTAATTACCATGAAACAGGTTTCATTTCCATCATCAACTTGTTTTTACATGTTTTAAATGTTTGGTCTTCATCCCTCAATCGATTGGAACTCAATTCAGAATATCTGATTCAGTATTTGCCATTCAACAATGTTCATTTGACGTTTTTTAAATATAGTGTGGTTGTGCCGTTTAAAGGTGATCATGTAAACTTATCAAATGATAGAAAATGGACAAATATTGCAAACAGCCCAGCTGTGTTCTTCTCAGATTACGTTACAAAAATCCATCGTACCAATGGGAAGGTGTCAATTTTTGTTATGTTTAACTTGTCGTGGATTCATTTCTCTTATTACAAATTGTTGTATGATTTCTTCTTCATTAGATCAATCATTTATATCTTTAGGCCGTACGTCGAGTTCTTGTCGTTGCCTCGGAGTCGTTACTTTTGTTGAATCCCAAAAATTATAACATAAAGTACAAGATTCCTTTCACCGAGATATATTTGATATCTGTTAGTCCTTTTTATGATCAACTCGTTATGTTTCATGTAAAAAAGGTAAAAAGGAATTTTATATTTTTATTAGAAACTAGACTGTTGGTTTCGCCCAGCTTGTTTGGAAATATTTTATCATTTGTATATGTATGCATATGACCTAATTGGCATCATATAAAGATTAAAATACTTAATTTGTAAAACCTCAAATTTTATTACTTCATACACCTCAATTCTTTGTATACTGCAGATCATTATAGGATGTCTTTAATGTGTTGTGTTGTGGCTTATTTTGCTGTTCTACATTGTACCAGAGTGTACTCTGTTGTATTAAATTTATGTATTTCGCATTATTGTTATTTTATAAAAGAAATAAATGTTTACGTGTTTGTACAAGCTCATGCAAACGTCTGAGACCTTTGTGATTACTCTCGATCTTTGGGATTGCACTGATCTGCATTATAGTTCTGTCCAAGGTCTCCTTGGTTTGCATAAGCCTGTGCAAACTCAGAAAACATCTTTTATTTCTTAAATAATAGTCTCTAGTTGTGCTACATCTTCTCATCTCTCTTGTGTTTTATTTAGAATATCCAGATGAAATCTTTGAGCAAGGGAGATTTTCTCTTTCGAACTTCTCATGCCATTGAACTCGTAACAAAAATTTTAATGATGAAAAAACCATCTCACGAGATGAATTTTCAAATCAAGCCAAGGTAAGTATAGATATTTCGTTTCGTTTATTAAAACGTTTTGAATGGTAGCCAATAATTTGACAAAATTCCTATCATACGCCATGGTACGTTTATAAAGATGTGTATGTACTTCTACTAAAATTATATACGTTTGTCATGATCTATGTTCGTCTGTAATGATCTATGTATTTTAGTAATGATCTATGTACGTCTGTAATGATCTATGTACTTCTGTAAGGATCTATGTACGTCTGTAATGATCTATGTATTTCAGTAATGATCTATGTACGACTGTAATGATCTATGTATTTCAGTAATGATCTATGTACGACTGTAATGATCTATGTATTTCAGTAATGATCTATGTACGACTGTAATGATCTATGTATTTCTGTAATGATCTATGTACGTCTGTAATGATCTATGTATTTCAGTAAGGATCTATGTACGTCTGTAATGATCTATGTATTTCAGTAAGGATCTATGTACGACTGTAATGATCTATGTATTTCAGTGAGGATCTATGTACGTCTGTAATGATCTATGTATTTCAGTAATGATCTATGTACGTCTGTAATGATCTATGTATTTCAGTAATGATCTATGTACGTCTGTAATGATCTATGTATTTCACTAATGATCTATGTACGTCTGTAATGATCTATGTATTTCACTAATGATCTATGTACGTCTGTAATGATCTATGTATTTCACTAATGATCTATGTACGTCTGTAATGATCTATGTACGTCTGTAATGATCTATGTACGTCTGTAATGATCTATGTACTTCTGTAATGATCTATGTACGTCTGTAATGATCTATGTACATCTGCAATGATTTATGTACGTCTGTAATGATTTACGTACGTCTGTGATGATCTATAGATAGATAGATTTTTATTAAATTTTCTATTGCCCAAAGGCTGAATTGCGCTATTGTTTACAAAAATATAACTTTGGTAACTAAAATTCTAATTTGAATTTGAATTTCAATACTAAACCATATATACTTAACATTCAAATGTACTTTAAGAATCATAAATAAATTTATTTCTCGTAGCAAAGATAAAAGAAGTTTTTACTCTATTAATATGCATCAATGAAACGTCAAATTTCCGCTCCCTTCTTAAGTTTTCATCGTCACCATACTCACCACTGTAAGTCATAGATATTAAAGGTGTGCAATCCAACGGATGATTATAACCGCCTTGCATAAAGCAGCCTTGCATAAAGAGCCTTGCATAAAGCTGCCTTGCATAAAGCAGCCTTGCATAAAGCACCTTGCATAAAGCAGCCTTGCATAAAGCAGCCTTGCATAAAGCTGCCTTGCATAAAGCAGCCTTGCATAAAGCAGCCTTGCATAAAGCAGCCTTGCATAAAGCACCTTGCATAAAGCAGCCTTGCATAAAGCACCTTGCATAAAGCAGCCTTGCATAAAACAGCCTTGCATAAAGCAGCCTTGCATAAAGTATTTTAATGCCGTTTTTGGTGTTGGTGCTAAATTAACTTAATGCATTTTTTATTACCAGAATCAAAGCAGATTTCAAGTCTGAAGTTGATCTTAGCTTTTCGACGTCGTTGTCAGAAAACGAAACACCGCGTGTTCAACGTCGAGGGAAAAACGCTTTCAACATTGCTGTATATAATAAAAACAACTAGAATTATAGGAATAGATTAAAACTAAGTATGTTCGTTTGTAATTTCTGAGGGAAAAGCCTCTTTACTACTACTATAAATATAATTAGAATAATTTGTAAACAACTCCTGCAGAATGTGTAAATGGTAAAAATATTTATATTTTGCAGTATGTTTTTTATCTTTTTGAATATAGGGTAAAAAGTTAGTAAGTTCTATAATATTATTTTAATTGCTGTAATACATTTTGAGAAAATAAAGAACACTCTACTATATTCGTCGTATTTGATTGATGCTGAAAGTTGTAAAAAGTTATTTTTTACCAATCAGCTACGGGTATAGTAACTTTGCCTTACAGTTACCTGCAATCAGGTTGGCTGTAGTAGAGGATGGAATTGTATATAATAGATAGTAAAGGGTTGTTTAGTTTGCTTTTGTTTTTAAAGTAAAACATTTGCCAACTTTTAATTTTTAGTGATCCATTTCAAGTGAATTTTGAGTTTTCTAAAATAAAATGGTTGAGCTAAGTTTTGGTCGTTTTCTTTTTCTTAAATGTTGAATCTCACTGAACTGAATCCAATAAATATGTTATATACTGTTTAGATTGGTCCGGATGGAAAATATTTCCCCCTTGACCCTGAGTAGTGGTAGCAAATTCAATAATTAGAGGGCACATCCCTACTTCAATCAACAAGTTTGATACTTCACTGCCTTGGTTTGAAAAACGTTCCTTCGACCTCCATCCTGGAGCTTTTCTAAACCTCGAAAAAGCATTTTCCACCCGAACCTCCCAGCAGGGAAATAACATTTCTGTACAGTTGCCCAAAAAAAAGTATCCTCCATTGAAACGACAATTATCCTCATGTTTGTTTTTCCTACGATTTGATATCTCTTGAGTAAATTGCGTAATACTGAAATAACTTTTCTGATTGGCTAAATACATGACACCACTCGCTCTCACTGAAATTCCAAAAGCTGTAACAACGTAGCTTCACAATCAGGAATAACTACTGTTTTTAACTGCATTTGCAGGTCTTTAGGGATCAGTTACTGCTGGATCGTGCAAATTCTCAGAAGCTGATTACATGAGCCCGGGTAGCGAAGCGTTAAATGATTTTGGCGAATGGAAACGATTCAATACTTATAATCAGATAAATCTTCTTGAGCAAATTCATAATATTCTGACTTTATAAATACGCCAAGCATTTAAAATGAAAACAACTAATTTGGCCTAATTTCAATATTACAACAGGAATGACTTGTGGGACTTTATGAACAATTGTAATTTTTCCTTTAAATATTTTGCCTCCTTTCAATGATTCAAAATCCTCTCACGCCTCTCTAAATCCCGGTTAGCCGGGATCATGTAAACAGCCCTAAATATCGGCTGATGTCAAAGATGATTAGTTTTTTTAGACATCTTGTATGTACATATGAACAAAAGAATTTTAGGCCCATTTCAAACGTCGCATTTTACTTGAGCCGAATGCATAAATACAAAAGAAAATGAGATAAAATGCCTCATTATCTTTTCTTTTAAATGCATTCGGCTCATGTAAAATGCGACGTATGAAACAGGCCTAACTTTCTATAATTTCATTCAAAACTTTTATATAAGCACTGATTCTCACTCAAAAGTCGATTTTACTGACGTAAATAGTTTTTCTGGTTTTTGAAGGATGCTCCCTTATTTAGAATGGAGAGATGAACAGCTATAATGCTGTGCGAATAACTTTTATTCACTGCGTTAGCCTGGAAGAGCACCGCCAAATATTTATTAGTTAGCAGTAAAACATTTCAATGAATGCACATATTGATTTGATTTTCAATCAGTTCACTGTGAAGTGGTTTCTGGTGCAAAGAAATGAAACCAAAGAACGACAACTATTGACTATAAACAACTCTACTCGGGAAAGAACAAAATTTGGTTAAAAAGCGTCTTCTTGAAGACTAAAGGTAAACTTGTGAAATCTCTCACTACAGTGAATAGTTATGATAATATAGATAAATCCAAAGTTTGCGAGAAAATTTTGTTAAAATACAGGGCGTATATCGAAAAAACTGCTTGTCATCGAACTCAGCCAATATTTAGATTTTTCGTGATTCAGCAGTATCATTCACTCCTAAGGAGGCGTAAACGCAATTGAATACAGTGATGCACACATATATTGAAGTTACTACACATTGTAAATCCAAAAGTCAGTTGAAAAACATAAATATCAAAGGCATATTGCTGTTTTCTTGGAGCGTTGCTAGTTTCTGGACTTCTCGCAAGTTCTAACTTGTCAAAAGCTGAAAGTTCCTTCTCTGCAATCACGGCCGTTTTAGTCTCAAAAAATACAATCTAGTATGGTTGATTTCATTAATGTGATGATTCAATTTGCTAAAAATATTCAAGCAGAGAAATTTAACGTCAGTCACAACTTCTATAGGCTTTTCATTAATGATAATAGGTACAAATACCGATTGGCATTTTGAGAACGAGATTCGATGTTCTTTGCACTTCTTATTAAACTGGAATTCATTCTGATGTATTTTATCTGTTTGTTCATTTACTTTATTATGAATCTTACTGATTTCTGTTTCATATCAGTGTACATCTACATATTTCCACAAGTGTGTATAGGTAATAGCATCAATTAATCAATCAATTGGTGGCTTGCAACTATTCCCCTGAGAGTAAGAAAATAATGGAATGCTCGCTATGTTTAATGAAATCTGCATTGTAAACAAGGAAAATCCTTTGTTAAAATCACCCAACATGGCGGCTATGACATTCTTGCAAGCCAAGAATACAAACAACTAAAGTCTTAATTTTCTTCCATGTGCAATGCCTGCTGGGACAATATTCCATTCTTCCTTATAATTGGTCGTTTGTATGCACGTCATGGCTGTCAAGTTGATGGTTAAATACAAAAGAATATTGTATCAATGCTGTTGTGGGCACCATGTAGCCGTCATGTGTGAGCCACTTTGCTTGGTAACTCAGTGGAAGTTGGTTGCAATGCAAGAAGCCAATGACATTATTATTCTTTGTTTACTGCTCTTAAAAAGTTGTGATTCAACTTACTATGTCACAGGAAATAATTACATCTTTTAACTTCTAAAATCGTCGTCAACTTAGCAGAATTTTAGTGTAAGAGCATTGGTGTCTAGTGTTAATCATTTATGATGTTTACAATAGAATCACTGAAGCAAGATTTAGTGATAGCATAAAAAAATATCATAAATAATTTGTTTGCATTTGAATTGCTTCATTTCATGGTGCTTTATTTAATGAATAAAAAATATAGAACTAAAAGATGAAATTGCTTGATATGTTTTTAAATGACTTTCTTGGTCTTGTGTATGAAAGATTTATTCATTTGTCAAACATCTTCAATGAGTGATGTCCTATCTTATCCAGGGATACTGCACGTAACGTTTAATTACTTCCGGAAATCATGAATCCTTAACCTTTGTATGAATGGCTTATGATTGCGTTCATTGATTTGACCAATCTAGTATTTTTTTAACAATCGCTGCCCAAAGATAGAGGAATTGAGATAAGTGAAAGAGAGATCATAGATGGAAAATAGTGGAAGCTCCAAGCTGGGACACTCAAAAGTGAGCACCCATTGAATAAAAAAAAGTAAAAGGAAGAGAAGTCAAGCAAAGTCTGTCGATGACTTTGAAATCAATATATTTGTTACATTTTATCAGACAAGCATTGACGTTTGGTTCGGAGTTCTGAGAATTGGCGAAAGTTTTAAAAAAATGGAAATGTTAAGATTAATGTTAGTGGGACTTCACAACAAAACAAGTCCAACAATGAGGAACTGTGGTCACTGTTGCACACGTGAGTAGAATCAATTTAATTTTTAAAATACATCATGAAAACATTACAATTGAAAAGTGATGAATACTATTCCTACGATATTGGTTATACTTCATGTATGTACACAGATTGTTGTTTATATTCTTCCTCTGATATTTTATTTTTTACTTAAGCAATAAATTATCTCATGTATTACACACATCTATTCACTATTCTATGAGTGGGCATACTTAGTAATCGAATATTGAAATAATAATAGAATTTAAAGACTTCAATTTTATAACAGCATCACCATACAGTTCAAAATATCAAATGCATGTACAGTAAGCATGGATATTATACAAGTTTTTATGGATAGTGGTTCATGATGTGGTTCATTGTTTCTAATGAGAGACCATTGTATATCGACTTCATTTTAGTGTAGCGATATCTTTTCAATCTCTGTATAGGACTACATGTAAATTCAACAATTGCTCTCATCTTTTATCCATCTGCAAATGTTTCTTTTTTTACTTTCCGTTATTGGATTTATTACACTAAATATCCAAATGCGGTTTCTTAGTCTCAATTTAACGGAGGCAATCACAAGTCCTCTTACTCCGTAGCTATCATTTGATAATTTCAAGTAGGCACCAGATCCCGACATGCCCGGCGACATATAACAGTAATTCATCAGCAAGCCGTTGTATATGTGCTTAGAAGTACAACGAGAGTTCCACATTGTATTATCTTTTTTATTTATCGGGAAACCATTGAATTGTAAGACATTACTATCGTGCTCGTTGAACACAATTGGAGTCATATGTGGTCGCGGAAAAGTTTTTCCAATTTCCAAAACTGCATAATCATGCTTTGATCTTTTTGAGGGTATTCTGGTTAGTTTGTGCCAGCTTTTATCAACATATACTTTGCGCACCTTCCTCCATTTTGGACGGCCCTTCTTACGCACGATACCTGCGAATTGAAATAAATGTATTGCCAATAATTAAACAATATGCTATATCAATTCAAAGATACTGTTTAATGTTGTTTCTTAATTTTATGATGAATACTGAACAAAGCAAAAACTTGAGATGGCTGTTCATGGAACCCAACTCACTTTAGGCCTTTAAAAGAGGTCGATCTTATCTCAACTTTCTTATTTTTCATTTTAGGAACATCACTTGTAAAACAATTAATGTTGTGTGAGAGCGAAATAAAGTGAAATTTTATCAAACAAAGTTAATTTTTGAAAAAGTCCGTTTAAAAATTGTGCAGTTTCCCGTTTTCGAAGTTTGCTAACAATAGCAGTGGTGGATCAATAGGGCAAGTCAATATACTGCTTCATTTTCAATTCAAAATACCGTAGCAATTAGTTTATTGGTTGAAAAATTCTGCAAAAAAACATTTTGAAGACAAAATTTGACCAACATGATTTTTTACAAAGTATTTTGAATTTTAAATATAACTTCTTTAATGTCTTCCTATATAACCTAAATCCGATACTGAAAAACAGATCGTCCACATTATGTTTATACATGCAGGGGCGAAATGACAATGTTTATATAACAGGATAACAATAGTTGACCCCATATTTTTTTCAAACCTATTTTTAGCAAACAATAATCAGTACAAACACATAATAATGTCGGGATTTAGAAATATCATAATTAATATTGGTTTTAGGTGAATACAAAATTTTATGTTTCTTTGATAAAAACGAAAGCTCAGTCATGTCATGGTAGCTAATATTTTTGTTAGCAGATCACACACAAAGATAATTTTATGTGTGATTAAAAGTTAATGAAATATTTTAAGAAACGTTTAAACAATAAAAGGACTAAAATAGATAGCTCATCAATATATATTTTATATTTAGCTGCTATTTGCCCTTGGATGCACATTCTTTTGTCATTTACAACAAGAACAATCTATATTTAGATTCTTTAACACTAGTTTATAGACATTTTTTTAGCAAGAGGGGTTATAAATCGTGTTAAACTTTATTCATTTCAATATGTGAGTATGTGTATGCTTAACATTTAGTAATATATGATGTATGTAAAATTGCGAAACTAAGTTTCCTAAATCAGAGGGATTAACAAGTTTAATTGTTTAAAGAATCTGCTTTTACGTAGAAAGATTAAGAAAGAATGCGTTTTGTCGTGGCGTAATGAAATAGAGCCATTTCCAACTCTCTGGCAACTTCCTTTCCCTATTTTCTGACAGCGCTTGTCTTACAAAAGTAGATTCAATCGTAAGCAACAAATTTCATTCGTGCATACAGTAAACAGTGTTTTCTAGAATATTCTTCAATTAATTGAAAACGACGCAAAGTCGATGAATCAATATTCAGTTAAAATTTAATGACAAACCACAGAATCAATTAAGAATAAAAAAATTTCCAAGTTTTCAAAGAAGTGCTTTCGTGCTGATTTCCTTTTTATTATTGTATTGTTTGACAAAGATAAAGATTTAAATATCTACACACAATTAAAGTGTTTCAATATCGTTTTCTCCAGTGCCTCCTTTATTGGCTCATGTAGGGAAAACTATAAGACTTAGCTATCAATGCGCTCGAATTGCCTTCACTATTGTATTTTTTGTATTGCAATTTGTCGAAAGTGAATTCCTTTTTATTGGCTACTATTCTTAATTATGGTTAGTGATTTAACTAAGTGGAATTGATAATCCTTTAGTAAAGGTTGTCTTATTCTTGAAGCTTTTAACTCATCAGTACATGGGCCTGAAAATTTCAAAATTGACCATGGCGCATGTATAGTTACTGATTGGAGTATAATAAATTATCTTGATGGTGAATTGATTGTGACAACAGTGTTGGGCAGCGTTTCGTCTTGTAAAAGCAATAATGATCTCCTACATCTAGGGAATGCATCCATGGAATACGGCATGCATAATTTTACTAACTAATGAACTTACCAACTCGTAATTTTTTCACTTTCCTTCTTTTATTGAATACGCAATGTGCTGCTGTAAGTACGTGCTTTGGACTAATTAACGTTCCAGTGCATTTGCTTGAAATCATCACAGTGGCAGCATACGGCATTGTCTCCGCATATTTTCTTGTCGTAACTTTTTGTGAACTGACCTTAGGTACTCTATCAACTGATCGCTTTGGTCTTCTGGAAACACTGGTCTCTCCCACATCGCTTGACATATTTTCCATCGATGCAATTATCTCTTCTAAGTCTAATCTGCTTATAATACTATATAGGTCAACGTTGTCAGTTGACAACTGCCAATCATAGTTGGCGTCATTTTCGCTCAACTTCTCGGTCATGTCATCATTTCCTTGTCCATTTTTAGCAAGAAAAGCATTCTCAGAATCCAAACATTTGCTTGATACAAAGTTCACCAAAATGCACAAGATGAAACAGATATGAACAGCAGATATGTGTTGACGACTGCCATTTCGTGATATATGTCCACGAAAACGTTTACTCCAATTCATCCTATGCAATACAGAGAGTTATCAGTATTCAGTTACCCTCAAAGAAGAACAGTGATATTTCAACGCTCAACCAGTTGTCTTAACCACTAGACCGGTAATTTTATGTACAGTCAGCTCTACCAATGCAGTGTATATTTGAAGTGTTAATCGTTGCAACAATACTATATCGCAGTGACTTTAGCTTGACATGTGTTCGCTCGTTGGCGAAATATAGCTTTTTAAGATTCCTGGCCACCTTCTTCCACCCAGTACGAGTTCAAAATGACGACAAAATATCCGGTAGCAGATTATCATGACAAAGTAAGTATAATCACAACTGATTGTATTCCTACAATATTTGCTTATTACGTTCATACTTCACATTCCATAAAATTCTCCTTCAAACATATTGTGTGTTTTGTTTGTGGCCCCATATGACTAAATAAAACGCTCAAAATTGCTGAAATACCTTTGAAGACATTGTTGAGCAATTTAAATTGTGGATGATTTGGAAAAAATCGTCAATCCAAGCGATGTGATTGCATATATTCAGCAAATGTGTGGGGTGTAATTAGTTAAATTAAGCGGAACCTAGCTGAATACTAAAAATAATTTTAGTTCAACCACAAAATTTTTTGAAAACGTGCAAAGAGCAAGTGAAAATAGGATTAGATAAACATTCAATCAACATTCTTGATCAAGTCTATAGAAACGGTGAATACTTCATTTCAAGCTTTTTTCCTTTGTCTGTGTACGAGATTTGTCACATATTCATCATCATCCAGTCAGAAATTGATACACCTATGTACACAGGTTAGTGTTAAAACAACTTTAAATAAATGCATAAGTTGTTAGCACGACTATTCTTCCCCTTTTCGACATTTAACATAAAGATCAACATCTCCAAATTATAAGACCGCCAGCGGCTAAACAAAAATGATTCTTTATATTTTGCGCACTCTGTTGGTGCTTTGTGTTTATATGATTTTAAAATGCATCAATTCTTGTAGAAATTTTCTGTTATTTGTAACTTTGGTTATCAAACGTTGCGCTTTGTTTGCAAGTTTAACCTGTTGTTAGCAAAACATTCTAAGTCAAAATGTTTCCTTATAGAGACAATTTGTCTTCATTTACTTATTTCTTTGATCCCCCCTTTTTTTTTACTTGGGACGGAGCCTAGACATATAAACTATGACTAGAATTAGAGATATTATTTCGGACATAAATATCTTTCGACATAAGGTTATTTTAATTTTGAAAAAATGTAAAACTTGTTAAAGTAAGCCCTGTTGACGCTGAATGACGACGGGGTTAGCAGCTGTGACTTTGTTAAAAGTTGAATTACAACCAAACTGACAAACAAAGCAGGTTGATTAGCCGATGACCGTCCGCTCCGTTTAATGTTATTGCAGTTTTTTGTTTAAACATATAAGAGTTAACATAAAAAGCAAGTCACATCATCACATTAGCATTGCACTTTGCTTTATCAGCAACTGCCACGATTTTCAAATGAGATCTATGTATAATTAAGATTATACCATTATTTGCACTTTGCTCTGGAAGATCAAATTATTTTTATTCTGTTATAACATCGTCCTACGATAATAGTGACATGTAGTCAAGGTTACATTAGTCTGAGTTGCCTCTGTTATAGGTAAAGACAGGATGAATGAGTTGGCAAACGGCAATCGGCGATTAAGCAAAGAGACTTTGATGTTTGGCGCTTGTTGAAGCTTAAGATGTAATATAAAATTCTTATACATATAAACCCAAATATATAGATTATTGTTTAGTTGTGAGATTGTAAAATATCTGTTTAGTTTATATTTGAGAAAAAAGAATTTGAATTATATTTGGACTGCCAACATGTAAGAACTATGTTAATAAATTTCAAAATGCTTAATAACATGGTAAAATCATCTAAGCTGTCTTCGTATATGATACATGCAACACTTAGCCATTAGCAATGATCGCCAATCATTCATTACCACAAGTGAAATGATCATTAGGCACAAAATTTGTCTAGAACATCGAGTATCAATTAGGCTGTTTCATAATGTAAATAAACTAACTTCATTTTTGAAATTTGTAATTTTTCTTCTCTATGTAAGTGATTGTTTTTCCATTGAAATTAGAAATATGATTGCTAGTTTCATATATGTATGCATAAATATAAGATTATGATTTCATATTATAATTTTGTTATTTTGGCGGAGTTATAATTTTACTATAAGCAGTTCTTTGTGTGATGTTGTAGTTGATTTACATCATGAGAACGACGTTACGATTGCACCACACCAAACACTTAGTTACATCATCCAGTAGACCTGTTGACCTTAACTGACAAAGAACTTTAACGACATTGCTGAATCAAACTTCAAACGGAAAACTCCAACTGATAAAAAATGTCTATTGAAATTAAAGTAATTAAAGTGAAATGTTTTGAGGAGTTCCCGTTCGAATGTTTTGATTTTTTACGAGGAAACTAACAAGACTGCGAAAAATCTGTTGGCTTGGACATTTAGGGACACCTGAATCCAATGGTGCAGCGTGCGAGTTTATGTGTACCTCTCAGTTACAATGCATAACTTAAAACTATGAAAGATGCAACTGTGCTACATATAAAATTTTTTACATAAAGGTATAACTTCTATACGTGGAACAGGAGTTGTGCTTATACTATGATAATGTAAATACTTCATGTAAATACTTCATAATGTTGATATCTCATACGATAGTATTTAGATATAGGAAATTTGGTATAAATCTAGACAAAGCACTTAATTTGGTTTTGAATTAAGGATTCATATCAAACATGTAAGTACTTGCTTTTAGGCTACTCCGTAGGCTACATTCTTTCTTGTATCGATAACAATTACATATATCATAGTTATGTATTCACATTCCAATTGAATTTGATTTAAACCTTTTTGCAAACAAAATAATTAATTGTGTCTATATATTTTTGTAGCTTAATACCTTGGAATTTGCTCTATTGAAAACGATTTTTACGTCGCATTTAGAAATCACACAAGCTTCAAATTGCAACTCAACACGTATACAGTTATTCAATGAAACAATTTCATCGGCAGTTGTTCATAAGTAATTTTTTGTATTTCATGACGCTACGGATCTGTATACACCAGACAAAACTGTTGCTCATACAGCAGCTCATATAATGAATTACCGCTTTCGGTTTACATGCACTAGTCACTCAGTTGTGTCCATGAAGAGTTTATTATGAACGTTGTAAACACGTAGTTGACGAAAATTCAAAGTTTTTGATGGAAAATGAATGCAAGGCATTTCCTGATCGAAGATTCTATTGAATTTAGATATGAAAGGATTTTTAGTTACAAAAATGCTTGAAATAATTACTAAGACGTCATTTCATGTTTAGTTCTGATGTTTGTCACACTAAGTATTCCGCAACAAAATTACTTCCATATTTCTAAAATTAGTAAGATTTTTGGTGTTTTTGTAGCTATAAATAAGATCCTTTTCATTTTTAAAATACAACTCTTTGTTTGCATAAATAAACGGTAATTTCTACTTAGAAAGAAGTTTGCTGGAAATGAACTGTTGCCAACGATTTTAGATTGGGTGTATGGTTACAAAGTTTTGTCATGTGCATAAAATGTTGAAAATGTCGCCATCTAGATTTAGGCAAATTCCACAAACACCAGACATGAGACACGGAACTAACAGACTTTTATTTCTTTTACTATATATAGTCTATAGTATATCATGTTTATAGCTATCATATCCATTGTCATATTTGTTGAAATATCGTACGTGCAGAAATGGATGAAACGTGTATTACATAGGTTTAACGAGATTATGTTAAAGTGTATCTTATTCTATAATCCCAATGGCAAATTATCAAATAATAAAACAAAAAGTACAGTTTACTGCGATATCTGTTAATATATTGGCAGCAACCGCACAGGAATTGCATTGATACGAAATAAGATATTCCATAATAAGGGCATTTTTGGTTATTTCATTTTAAAGACTCTTTCACAAATAGAGGAATAGCACGAACGAAAAATATAATCAACTTTCTCTCACTTTGAACACCATATAAACAGTTGCATGCAACAATGGCAAAGTCCACCATCGAATCCGAATGAAAGAATAAAATACTAGATGGGTAAAATGGAGCTATGGATCTCCTAAAAGATCTGCAGAAACAGACTCGATTGTACAAAAGGAAATTAAGGAATTAAAAAAACTCGATTCGACAAGAGCAGTGACAGTGATTTTTCTTTCAGCCAACGACAAGAGGCACATGAGTTAATCCAGCAATTCAGGAATCTAAACTATAAGACCAATGATGGATAAAGACTTGTAAACACAGTTTTTATTCATTAAATGATCAAGCATTTGAAATGTGGGTTACAATCCTATCGGATTTTGTAGGAAACTGTGGTTTGTGCATCACACTTTTTTGTTTTGAAAAGTCGCGAGTGCAATTAAAAAAGGCTTAGAAATCGAATATATATTCATTTTCCAATACAACTTATTGCTATCAATGTTAGCGGATGGCATTCTAATGAATAAATTTATGCTATCGCAAACGGAAAACTTCAATTGCTGCACGAAAACAGCTTTGCGAATATCTGCGATGCTTGCATGATGGTAATTCGTTCTCAATAAGGTTAGTAAGTCGTAAGTATTAGATAGAGAACTTCGTAGGTCATAGCTATAGCCTACAAAGACTCGGTCGCAGATGATTAATATGCTGAAACGCTCTCAAAAATAAAATACGTCAATATCACCTTTTCAACACCATTGGGAATCATTTATGCAGACGATCCAAAGAGAAAATTTATTCGTGAAAAAATCTGTATTTCAACTAAAATTCCTGGATACCGTTTAAGATTTTTTAATTCCTTGTATTCTAAGAAATTGGTACAACCAAGACTTAAATATTCTATTAATGCAGTATTATAAGTAGATGCTTTTAAAGCTTCTATTATCATCATAACTCATTCAAGGATTTGTTTATCCACATGTCAAAATGGTCTATCCTCAAGTAGTTGAAATCCCGACTCAGATTCAGCAGATAAAGTACAATTGCTATACAATTTACTGTTTTATAAAGCTTTTTCTTGCAAGGTTGATAAAATTTCTTCTGCCTTTCATGCAAGAAGACTCAGAGAAAGCAGAGGCGTTAGTTTGAACCAGGCCAGCCGTGGTCGTTGAAGAATGGGGTGCCCCTTCAACCAAACTCTGACTACATAGACATTTTCTTAATACTCGTTAAGAGAACATAGTATCAACACTGCTTTTCAATTGATACACAGAAAAATACCAGACAGAGCTTTCAAATTACTACCAAGAACATGAATTCACGAATAACTTTCAAAGAGAAATATGAAATACTTCTACTTGGCACTTGCACTACATAAACCTACTTTTTTATCTTTATTTTCATAAATAACACCGTTTAGGCCCCCCCCCTTGCAAGCTGATTGTTTGGTTGCCCGTGGTTCTGCTCACCCAGAGCTCATAGCAATTACGCCACTGAGAAAAAGTAAAGAATGGATTTGACAGATATCCATAAAGTTAAAACTACCAAACAGTTTGGTAATCTCATACCCGTCTTAAAATTGAGAAACAGTCTTTATCAGTTAGATAACTGACACTATCAGTACACTTTCCAAATATCTACAATGTACAGTGTTTTGGCAACGAAACATCAAACTGGAGAGAGCATTATTATTTTGTGAGTGTGACGCCGAAAAATGAAGTGGAGAAGGACGATGATATATCATGTGAGGAAATGTGTTTTATCAAACTGACAATAACAAAATTGATGCACAGCTTTATGACTTAGAACAAACTGTTGTTGCCACAAGCCCACAACTACAAGCAAGTTATTTGATGATGAATTATATTATGATAGAGACAGGTGATACTATAGGAATTGTTGAAAATCGTGCAATATACATAGCAGACTGAATGAGGACGATCATATTACATCAAATTCATTAATATTAAAATCAATACATAAATCCATCGGATTCCTGCCTTGTGTCTGGTTTTTAAAGTATATAGTTTAATTGAATAGAGCTGCAAAACAATTTTTCTACAGCGTTTTCTAGGATACTTAGGTTGCAAAACTATAGTATGAAGAATAACAGATGTCAAAAATATACATACGTCAGCACGAGTCACGAGTCAAAGTATGTGCTAGACATAACCTGTCCTTTATAAGGAGTTAAATATTTCTGCAGACAATTCTCATTTGTTTATCACGGATTTGGAGACTTACTGCAATGAAATAAGATAAATGTTTACGCCTGTCTGGGTGCGTAAAGTCGTTAATTTTTACAATTTTGTGACAAAAAAGTGTGAATATCAGCTTTAATGGATGCTTGGCCCGTTGCTCAAATATGTAAATATGTCCATTAATCATTCCCGAGCACCACATTGAAAATATGTAAAGGTTTTACATTAGTAATTAGTTATATACGTTTGTCACTGAAGCAAACTGGTGCGCTCATTTTTTATTTGAATAGCAAATGCATGTTAGCAAACATCAACTTGATAATCGCTTCAAAAGTAGTATGAAAAACCATGTACCTGAATAACAAATAGGCAATAATTATTTATAATTAGAAGTAATAAGTACTAAGTACTATCCCCTTTAAGCCTTTCTTATTTACTATTGAACTATAATTTATTCGATAGTTGTGTTTTGTCATTCTAATATTTTCTTAGATATTATAATCTTAACTCTAGTTGCTGAAAAATGCAAATTTCAATTGCTGTGGACCCCCTCTAGATTATAAGAAGCTTTAAGCATTTTTAAACAAATCGGATCGATAAACTGAAAATTGTAGAAATAAAGAGAAAAATAAAGGAAACCTTTTAGAGAGAAATGCTAAACGCCTTCAGAGTAAAAATTGCTCTAACTCTTCAAAGTTTTGTTTTGAGCCTTTTATTTAAGACGACAAATAATTTGTTGATATTTCTTATTTTCTCAGTCATGAAACTTTACATTTTCTTTACAGTAGCACAAGAATTATAAACTCGATCGAAGTCATGCATATTGATCAGGGGAGAATTCTTTTTTATTTTATTTCCCTTTTTGGCATTAGATCTTAGGAACAGATCATTTTAATTGACTGCATGCATAGTCATTGTATTTTATAAAACCTTTGGTTACAGCCGTAAATTTTAAGTAAAGTGCATGCATATATTACCTCGAATAAATTGTCACGGTATTCACATAATTTCAATTTTTGCAAAAGTGATTGATTTTAGTTAGGCAATTAAAATGCAAAATTTCTCGACGTATTTTGAATATTCCCAGAACAAAACATAGGTCTGTAATATTTCACTCACTATAGTACACACCATCAGAAGATCATTTAACAATTTTGCAATACTTCATATTTTCATTAACGTACTTCCAAATCTGTCTTTAAGATAGGTTTTCGGAATGTTATACAACCGTGGAGCTAATCGCTTCATTTACGTCCATTAATTGCGCTAAAATCTCTCTTGCAGTACTTCAGTTTTTATCGTAGTGTGTTGTCTGGTTCTCACAATGCTACATATTGCTATAATGAAAACGTGTCCTGATTGGCAGACTCGGTGACACTAATATAGTTGCATCATATGAAGGTGTAAAATTTTGCTCGCTTCTTATCATCAGACATTAAAAAACATAAAAACTCTGATTAGAAAAAAACATGCTTAGCTGTTTACTAAGTTGGAGCTGCTTCATAAAGGAATTATAGTTTCTGCAAAACTAATTAACTAAATACATCTTTACATTCGCACATTGAAAAATACTGTGTGCTTAACACTTCTTGTTGTACGATACCACTTAAATTCACATCTAAGATAAAGACCTTAAATTCTTAAAATTGTTGGAGTTTCTGTGTATAATTCTATAACACAGCGTGATTTCGGTGTCAACAGTGATTTTCAAAATACCAGTGTGGAATCTGTAATTTTTTTAACTTGAATCCAATCCATAAATGCAAGTCAATTAAATGATACGTCGTGAAAAACGCAACTGAGTGAATTGATTTGAAGTTATTCGATGGAAAATTTGGGCTGCATTAATCATCTTTAATACATAATTTGATATTTAGGTAGATGTCAAGATGATTGTCTCATGTGTGCAAAATTTTCATTGCACAAGGCCAAAATGGGCAAAATTTTGCATGTAATTGAAATTACAAAATGCATTATATTTATTTGGTATTGCTTACCTGACTCAGTTGAATGAGTTCAGCTGTAGTACACTGCGTACAGTTTTGCAGAAACATTGAACGGTTATTAAAAATGGTGTTCCTTTCAAACGGTTGGTCTGATATGTAGTCAACAGCTTAGTGATAAATATCTGTAAACTCTTGTATATTTATCCGGTAATCAAATACCGCGAGAACTTTGAAAAAACAAAAAGACCTCAAGGGAGTTGTTTTAACCTACACAGTGAAATATTATAGACATCTTTCTGCATGGGTGGCTGATGCGATGAAGCTAAAGAGGCATTGTTGAATTTTATATAATTTCAGCTTCATTGGAAACTTTTATACATCGATTATAAATTATTGCTGCTATCCCGGAAATGAAGTGGATGGTTGTACATATCGTTTTAATTGTCAAATATTTTTTCAAGTTGCTTGCAAATCGTGAGTATAAGAAATAGAATTTTAATTTCGTCATTATAAACGTTCCAGAAGTACTTATAACATATTTTTTATGATATCAGCGTATTTATCTCGTAACTTCACCTTTGTTCATTTATGTATTGTATATCTGAACAACTGTTCGCAAAAACTTGCATATCGATTTGAGAGAAATTACGCATTGCAGTGTTAACTTGTGTAATATAACAAACTATTTGCAATGGGTAATCAATATTTGTGACTCGTACGTTTAACATATAAATGCATTTATTCACAAACATGCAGCTATTGATGAAGGTTGACCTTACGCAGGCGTCTCTGCTCATGTCCTGTAAACTGAATTTCACCCCCTGCAGTTAATTTGAATTGTTGTTAGACAAACTTAATACGATTTTGCGTGAAAAATCTCGTTGTTTGTGCTGTCGATATGATCACTCTTACTTTATCTCAGTCTGCCTTAAGTTGAAAACTCTTTCAATTTCGAACTTTAAGAGATGTTTTCTCCAAATAATACCGTCTTTTATTGTCCACGAAACGAGATAAAAACTTTAGTTTATCATATTGACGCATTCAGTAACGTCACGAATTCGTTGACATATGAGAAAAAATGAGCTAACTGTTGCATGGCCAACAAATGACGACTTTTTGTTGCACTTTAACTTGAGCTTGATAATTTATTTATTTGTATTGACAGTTTGATCGATAGTTGATAACAGTTCAATAAATATTTGCTTAAGATATGATATTTCTCTTGAGGTTTTATAAACCTCTTGCTGTTTTAAGACAAATATTGAGTAAAAATTTGCCGGTTACAGTATGGCTAAGATATTTAAGACCTGGAAAAAAGTTGAAGACCGTATATAGTACAAAGTTTATACTCTCTATGAACCCTCCACCAATTACCTAGCAAAAATATCTGAATGATATTGCTTATGTACAAATGAAAATTCCTACAAAAATGTGAATTTAAATTTAGCTACCAACTTGTTTTGCTATACGGTTCTGGCTCCAGTTCTGGGTCCTTCTTCTTTGAATTACTAAGGAGCTGCTCATACGAGCCCGGCTAACCGTGATGCAGCGAGGCGTTAAATGATTTTTGGCAAATGGAAACGATTCTATACTTATCATCAGATAAATCTTCTCGAGCAATTTCACAATATTCTGATTTAATAACTACGCAAAACATTTAAAATTGAAACAACCAGTTTTGCTTAATTTGAGAATTTCAACAGGAATGACTTGTGGTACTTAATAAACAGTTGTAATTTTTAAGCTTGAAGTTTTTCCTCCCTTCAATATATCGGAAAATTTAATGCCTCACTGAGCCCCAGTTAGCCGGGATCATGTGAAGAGCCCCTAAATAAAAAACATTAGATTTTTATGTCATGATGCATGCAGAACATGAAACACTATACACCAACATATGACCTTTATTGTCTTCTTTTAAAGTTCATTCTAATTAACTTCTATTCTTTACTGATTTCCAATATTTATATCCAAGGACGGCACTAGAATGATAATTGGGGTTGTATATTCATATATTCCTTATAGGCGAGTGACTTCTTTAATTTAGAAAACCAAAGTAACATCACAGAATTTTTTCAAACCTTTAAGACCATTTGTGTTAAATTTATTATATGTCATCAAGCTCATCCTCTGGACTTACTGAATGACACCTTTGCTGCTATTGCATTATGCCATTATTTTTTTGTGTTTGTTTTTGGCATGGCCTTTTTTGATATATTTTATTTAATTTTTTGTATTTTTATATGACAATGTTCTTAGAAAAAAATTACATTTTAATACTTGTTAGTGTAATAATAAATGTTGTGTATGATATTTTTCACGTATTTTTTTATTCACGTCAAACACGTGAGTAACCCGTTAATGGAGCTTTGGCACTATGAAAGTGTCCTCTCTATTCAAAAGTTTTGATTATACTGTACAATAATAAAGATAACTAAAAAATGTGCGCTGCTAGTATCTCTATCAAGGTTTTGCAAAGACTGTAGCTCGAAAAACCTTTTTTATTACACCCATGTGTATTCAACAATTGCATATAGCTGTTGACTACATAAAAATTTGACCCTTGTACATTTAAGATATATTTTTCACCATTCATCTCATGAGTTACAAGCACATATTTTAGCCAAAACCAATGACGTATCATCTTGGCAGCAATTCAAAATTTGTCTATATCGGCAAGACATCTAAAATGGTACACAAAACAATGGTGAACAGTATTGAATAAACACAAAAAATCAGTTTTGTTCGTGTAACCAAGAATGGTAAGTGCATGGTAAATATATCATGACATAGTAACTATGGTGACTATTAACATGACACGATAACTATGGTGACTGTCAACATGACATGGTAACGATGGTGATTATCAACATGACATATAACTAGAAGAAACGTTTGACACACAACTGAAGTCTTCTACATCAGATTATTATACATGCATTAACTATCAACAAATGCATCAATCTTGTTATTTGGTCAAACCAAGAATTTTCGTAACCAAAGATTTAAAAATTTACTTTCTTGCCAGCAAATTCCTTGCAGCGAGACCTTTAAATATGTGAATACTTTGCTTGATGAGTCAAGGAAAATATTATTTAAAAATATAAAACATTTTTATGTACAGTTCACACCAGCCTTGACTATTAGTTTGAATAATTAGTGGGTTAATAACAAACCTATATAAAAGTGGAAATCCAGCTTAAAAATCGATATGGACAACTCATATTTAAATAATGGTTTTGGAAAAAAATTTGAAGGAACCGATCTTCTGTGATAACTTTACATTCTCAGTTAGGATGACTTTTGTTGGTTTTTTAAAAAGTATGTATTGGTTTTACTGAATTCATTAGAACACTTTATTTTAATATTTTCTATCTTTATTATTCTTCATGACTAATTATAACCGAGTAATTTTATGCATCTTTCAGAATTGTTGAAATGTATTGTTTTCCATTTGAACTATGGTTGTGTTAGCTACTTATAGCCAATGTACAAAGCTCGTCAATGTAAACTGAATTTATCAATGAGATGGTTTTGGATGGTTCAAATGTTTGATGGATTCAAGATTTTTCTCAGGTTCTCATTCAAATAGTCAAGACTAACAGAAGATTACGGTAAGGGATGCTTTTCCATTCATATAAATAGCTGATATTATTTTACTTTAGTACTGAATAATTAAAACATACGAACCTTTAGTAAACATTATTATCCTCATTTATCAATTGAGATGAACTGGTGTACCTCGGCTATCTTCTCAGGAAAGTATCTTGATCTTGTAACACTGCCAAGACTCGCTGACGTCTTCATGGAATTTCAATGACCATACATGTGTAGGATATCAAGACTTGTGCTGTGGGGAAATTTGAAAAATCAGTTATAGTCTAAATATACTGAATGAACATGTTAAAGCCTAATATTGTGGCATTTTAATTTTTATATGCAAATTTTGAAAGTTTTAATCATCAATTGTATAATGATCCTGTGTCTATAAAACGATAGTGACTTGTAAACTTATATATCTGCAGATGTGATGTAAAAACAGCTTATAGTTATATTTCATATATCGACTGGAGGGCAATATAAAGCAATCAATCACACGTAAATACAGATAATGCATGGATTTCGTAAATTTGGCTGCAGTTTTCAACTTTTGCAGGATAATCTACTAACAAGGCCGCTAGGCGTTATAATAAAACCACTGTTAGTATGTATAGATAAAAACTTGGTTTTTTGCTTAGTAAGATTCTTTTGTTTCAATAAAACTAGCCAAGTTGCCTTTAGCTAGGCGTAAAATACGTGATTGTATCTCTGTCCCTTAGGAAAGCCTTCGTTCGTTTTTATCCGTGTCGTTGTTGATTATCATGCATTGTGTATCAAAATGAAGACCTTTTGAAATTGATGTAGTTAGTGTGATAATCTCAATGCTATTACTATGCTAAGTGTTTCAAATATTGTATGCTGTATATATTGCATATCTTGGTTAAAAGCACTGAGCTTTTTTGCTGCTAGCATAACTTCTATAAAACCTGGTTTTCACTAGCGACATAAACAAAACAAAAATAAAATACAAAAGAAGGCAATGAAGTGACTGACACAACACAAACATCAGAATCAGCATAAGCATAAGTACTGTAACTTGACACAAGCATAAGGTATGGAACAATAACAAATTGAAAAGAAAATCCTTTTTCTTTTATTTCCTCCGATCTCTGGAGAATATGCTTTGCTTTGTTTTATCGCTTGGGCTTATGTCACTAGTGAAAACTAGGCTTAACTGGAAAACATGCATAGTTATGCACTTGTGTGATTAGCATATAGAATGTCACTGTTAAAATTTCACAACAGATCAATTTCTAGATGTTGGCTGATTCAAATATGAGCATTCTTTTAATGCACCCTGTATATTGTGATAATGTTAGTGAAATGGAGTGAAGCTAAAAATACCAAGCACATTGGCAGAGCAAGTGAACTTGACGAAAGCGAAGCAAAAGATTGGTACGTGCTTTTAAAGCACCAAACAATGACGGCTTTTGAAGCACCAAACCCGATGACTATTTGATAATAGCAAAAAATTTGGGTGTACCTGTCATCAACAAGATAAGGAGTCGTTGAACAATATTTGCATGGAGAAAGAAACATCGTAAAAGCTTATAAGGAATTTATTAATTGTCTGAAAGCCATTCTCAACGAAAATTGTATCTCAAATTTGACGGCAACCACGAAAAATTTAACAAGATGTTTTATATTGTCGTCATTTATAAAAATTGTTTTCTCACACAGACTTAGCGTAGCCGGACTGTTAAGACTGTGAGTGACGGTACGAGCGACAAAAGTTTGAGAAAATTCCTAGCTGCTGGATTTCTTAAACATAGACCAAATTTTCAAAACGTTTATCGAGCATCCACGATCAAAGGTAGTTGATTATTATCTTTATTTTGTTCCTGTTCCTGTTTGCAGGAGGCATTAACAATTTATATGAATATATAAAATTGATATTATAAACCTCCTCCCCACCTTTTTTCATAAGTTTGAAAAAATCTCAAAATTGTCTTAAAATAAATGAAAGAGGGACACATTCTCCTCAGTTCCCTCCCCTGACATGTCTGTACCACACTATTTGTATTTATATATTAGAGAATAGAAGGGACATAACATTTCGATATCAAGCCAACAATAAAACGTCCTTATTTTTGGATTTGCATGAAAATAATTATTCTTAGTTCTGTGCAGTTATTTTTCCCTCTGCGTTCGTTTGGCGCATTGCTCAGTACACGGTTATTTAATTGAATAAAAATCATACTAGTTTTATTGGATCATATGAAACATTGATGTGGCTGATATGATTTAATCTTAATTGTTCATGTCTAAAACTTGACGAGAATTTCTATTTATACTATTAATATTTGATATTTTGAAATGAACCAAAGTAATGCTGGCTTTTGACTTTGAGTCTGCTGTTAGGCGCAGAAATAAAAATTATGTAAGGCCACAGAATAGACATCTAACAGAAGGCCCACTCGGCTAAAATCGTGGCGTATTTTTTCACTACGCATTCGTGACTTCCCAGCAAGATACTTTCACGAAATCAATACAGAATAGTATTGCACGAGAATGTTATAGCGGAAGTATGTTGCTGGAAGGCGTGTCTTAGAATTTGCTTCAGAAAAGGGGGGGGACTTGAACATCAAAGGTTCCGACACGAGTGGATCTTCTGTTAAGATATCTATTCTGTGGTAATGGCTGATTACATGAGCCCGGTAGCCGGGATTCAGCCAAGCGTTAAATGATTTTGGCAAATGGAAACGATTCAATATTTATCATCAGATAAATCTTCTCAAGCAATTTTACATAATTCTGATTTAATAATTTCTCAAAACATTTAAAATTGAAACAACCAATTTGCCCTAATTTGAGAATTATAACCTGAGTGACGTGTGGTGCTTCGCAAACAGTTGTAATTTTTAACCTTGAAGTTTTGGCTCTTTTCAATCGCTTGAAATCATCGGGCTAACTCGCTATCCGGGCCAGCTCGCCTCTATATAATCAGGCCCAAAGAGATGTAAAAAAAACAGCAATGGTCGAACATGTGAATTAGCGTTTGAATAGTGGAAACTATTGTGACAAATTATAATTGCTAGAATTTCTATAAAATCGTAGAAGAATAAGACAGATACCTCTCTCACCTTAAAAAACATTGCGATACCGCATTTTAAGTCTATTATGTACAGACAATATGATATTATCCGGTTCATACGATATCATCCTGACAGTTGGGCACATATGCTTGTCAAGAACACTTCTCTTACTAGAAGGGAAGGCTGGATGACATTGTAATGGGTATTAAATAAATTGAGTGTGATCTTTGTTTCTGCTGAAACTAAGACTTACCCACACTGTGATACTTTCTACACTCACCTCGCAGGACGCACGACCCAACTATCAAATACATACCCTCATTTTATCTTACGTCACCTTTTCCATACCAGTTTACCCCCCTAAAATTTTTACCACTACCCCAGAAAAGAGAGATCTATTTAGCTTGTTTATAGAACACAGAATTTTTAAGCGTAATCCATAAACATAACAGAACAAGTATCAGGGCCACATTTATGCAGTCATCATCTATTTGGATACATATAGCTACTAGGATAGTACAAAGTTTGAAACATAAGCTGCCTGTTTGACTAGTAATTAATTTGAATTAACTGCAACCATTTTTCATGCATTTACTTTTCTCATGAACTGCGGTATGGGTAGAAATTTACGCGCAGGCAGATTAAGGTTAAGAAAAGAAAGTCCAGCATACAAGATCGACAATAAAATAAAATACAAAAGAGGGTGTTTATAATGGTACATTGGACAGCCCAATCGACATATTTGATTAACTGTATGCGCATCATGTGTAAGAAAATGTGCAGTGATATAAAAAGCTTAAAAAATTAGAATGCTCAAAATATCTTCAGACTAATCAGTACAGGGATTGTGTCACAAAAAAATATACACCCTGTATAAAGATTGAGATTTAGTAAAATTGAAAAAGCTTCAGAGAAATAACTCTGCCTTGAGCGTAGAGTGATGACTTTAGTTCAGAAATGCTAACGAAGGATCTTTAGCATGGTTTGGTACTGGGATCTCTTTAAATTCTCGAGAAAACTGTGAGATGTTGGTAAAGGCCTTATTTTTATGTTGCTTTTGATATAACAATAGATATTTTAGCTTACCTATGGTTGATAATGATGGTGCTTTCTTTAAGGCTGAATACAAAGTCTAAAACACTGTTTAATCAAGACTTTGCTGCTTTTACATTGTAGGAGCGAAATATACCTCAGAAAGTCTATAGCTCATGCATGTATCCGGCCACAATTCTCATTACAACATAATTTTTCCTTTTTAATCAGAAATTGTTTTCGGAAGAAAAGTGGTTAAGAAAACATAGATAGCTTACTCTGCAAAGTTTTAATAACTTAAACTCAGGAACCAGAAACTATATAGAGCTGAGTACGTGCACTATAATAAACATTACACAGCACCACCTGCTCGTAGGCTATAGCTCTGCTGCCCTAATGCTTCCTGGTTCCTGCCCAAATCCACAAAATACTACATACGAAAGTAAAAGGAACACAGTAAGCAATAGAGAAATTGCAAACAAAGAAAAACATCTTAATTAAACTCTCATTAATTAGACTGAAAATAAAAATAGCTATTGTCAGAGAAAAAAATTATTAATACAGCCAACATTATGTTAGGTAATAGGTCGTGTGAATATGTTCTGTGAAAGTTCTAAAATAAAATATTTTTAGTCAATATTATCAATTTAAAAGGTGATCTAATTCTGAAACTTTTTCATGCTACTGTGTATAGGCTTGAATTTTTAAAACAAATGCCCATTGTAGTGGATTGAGTACTGCTCATCTTAATTGGTTCAAATTTATAGGCATTGGTATCGAAATTTGTACATTCATAAAACTAAAACTAAAAAAAAACAGCATCAAAGTATAGTATTGCGTCGATTAGGAAAAGTTGATATTGCTTGTCGTCGATTAGGAAAAAGTGATATTGCTTGTCGTCGATTAGGAAAAGTTGATATCGCTTGTCGTCGATTTTAACGAGTTTTGCGTCTGAAAAAAACCCGACAACTGAGATAAAAAATTAGCCTGTATTAGGAAAAATCCCAGCAATTTGACGAGTCACGTCATTATGATACCTGAGATAAAAAACGCAACTCGGGATAATTTGTTCGTTTCGGTCAAAATGGCATTCGTTCATATATAGTCTTACTCAAAGGAATTAATATCAGCAGTATTTTAATCTTCAATCAAATTCCAGGTCCAGTAGCTATGGATGGCACTTTTGATAGGCACTTAACTGAATCTAAGAACAGTGATTTGTCTTTATGAAGCTTTCTTTCTTGCAATACCTCCATCCTCGTATACATCGAAGCCAAAAAAAACTTGGTGATTCCAAGTAAACAATCTCAATTCAGATAACTGAGATTATCGTGCAGTTTGACAAACCTAGATCACATTACTTTTGCATTTAAGGAGTAATTAAGAAAGCTCATCACCACCTTCAGACTTTTTGTTGTCTTAAGCTCTTGAATCATGTCTGAATGACAAAAAACATGCCATGAAAAGGTCAAATAAATTGTGCAGATATGTCTGTATGTAAATCTTTTGCACTCGCACGTAACTCCCATGTGAAAAATTCTCAGCGGAAAAATCCCTATAAGTAGCAATTGACCTGGGTAAGACGAGATTTTCAGGAAAGGTGAACTGGGAGACCAAGATATTTCATGTTTAACCCAAAGAAGTCTGAGTGAAAATTTTTTCATTTACCAGCTTTACTGTGTCATCAAGAAGGATTATCGTTTAATGTACTTTGAATTTGCAATTAGTGCTTTATACTATTATCTCATTTCTCACGATTAATAATGAGGAATCTTTCCTTCAGTTCTTGTCGTTTGATACAAAGTAACGCACATATACAGGATTAACTGTTTTATCTTAATGTCTACTTTATGATTATTTGTTTAATTGTATCATTTTATTTATTATTTAATAAACCTGTTGCCATGCACGCATCCGAATTACGACTGAACACTTACTTCAAAATTGGATTGGACCAACTCAAAGGCTCAGATTTTGCTTGGCATAAGTACTATAAGCAATACTGGAAAATAATATGCGAAAATTTCTCGTGGGAAAAAGCTGTGAAAAATGGTGTTTGTGGTGTATGAAAAACAAATGATGAGTAGGGATCTAATATCCAAATATTTCCTTTCGTATTTTTTTGACCAAGTTTGGTGATAACATTAAAAGCTAAAATGTCCTTTTTGCTTTCTTAATGATCGTTTGCATTGCTAAAGTATCTTGGTATGTCCTAATCTAAATATCTAATCTCAAAAAATCTGAAGGTGGCTCAATGTTATTCATGAACATTCATTAACTGATCTTTGCATCGATAACGAAATTCCAAAGTTGCCATCTTTTATGGCAACCTGCCTACGTAAATGTAGATCACCGCGAAGTATTTCATTGTGATCTTATTGACTTGCTGAATAACTTACGAGAATGCAATTCCGCAGTACCGAATGCGTTTCCTAAGAATTGATCTCAATCATAATAATTGTGATTATTATGTTGTCTTGGGTGTATGTAAATAGACTTAACTTTCCTTCCCGTCAGTGAGGAGGGAAGAATTTAATTTTCAAAATCACTTCCAAAGTTCACACGACTGATGTTTTATTCTTCATACCAAACGAGTGTGTTAAATTAAAAGAAGAAATCAAAATATAAATAATGTGTACACGCGTGTATTAAAAATGCATTGCAGACGTAATACCAAAACTCCCCACAGTAGACCCCCAAGGCTTTAAGCTCCATTTCATTATACGAGTGATACATAAGCAAAACATTCTGGTCGCACTTTTTTAACTTAGTCGTTTCCTGACTGGTTTTCGCTAACTCGATCGTTTCATTTAGTTGATAAACTTTTTTCTCCTTTTAAAAAACACAATGAAAAATTTCAAAAGTAATACAACTAAACAAGATTTGAATCTTGATGCGAGGACTGCTTCGAGCCGTGATTGCCATAACTAGCCTGGAACGAGTAGGCATTCGCAGTTGCCAAAACATATGGGGCCAATACGTCGCTGCGATTTATGATTTGTCACAACCACAATATAACGGCAAGCGTAACCAACGCTAGTTAACATACATTGTTACCACTCTCTTAAAATGAAAATACGTGAAAAATTTAAATTTCAACTACCAGTGGTTGCAAATATCTTAAGAATAAAATCCTACCAATGGATAGGCTACTGTGATTTAATATATCAATTATATCTAGATCTGATGTTCCTTTGACACATTTATTGTTAGGCAGGCCAATACGGTAGCAGCTATAAACGATGTCTTGATTTAATCTTACATTTTACTGAAAAATCTTTGTGCCTGCAACAGGTTCTTTATAAATACCGTAGGGGAAAATCATAATATCTTTATTCTGGTAGACGGATGGTTTTCAATTCCGACTTACTGCTGATTGTCCAATTTACTATAGTATAAATAAATGTTTCATTTGAAGACTTGGAGTATTGATTAAAAAAACGATTCCAAACATAGAAGTTAAATTTTATAAATTTATGCACATTACATTATACCCAGCAAGAAATAAATTATTTTCATCTTGTCTTCGTTACTTTGTATACTATAGTGATTTACCTCATACATGTAAACAGAAATTAAATTAAATCAATTTACTAACAGTGCGTTCTGCTTTCTTCATACCGAAATGCTTCAAAAATATCTATGAATTCGCTGCTGGATCTTCCTTATTCTATTACGAACCAGGAGGTTATACCAGCTCTGCATGTTGATTTTAAAACGATTTCAGAAAGAAATTGCAATTTATATTAAATTAGTTGAAGCACTCAATTAATTTTTTCCGTCAAAACTTGGGGAAGGAATTCCCTTCCCAATAGTGACTTTACAATACAACATGATTAATGATAACTACACGCTTTTTAAAATGTTATGCTTATAACATTTAATATACTGTATACAGTAAGATAAAATCTAAATACCGAATGCATGCTGTATCTTGAATTTCCGGTGAACACTGCTCAAAAGTTGCAAATTGGGATTGCGGAAATGGACCTTAAATATGATTCGGAAAAAAACTTCACAAAACTTGCCCAGCTCTGAATGTGTTGATGAAATCAATCAACACTATATAAATGATAAAAAATAAATTTCGATTTATTATTAGCATCTTACCACTTCCGGTCGTAACCACTCTGCTCGCAAGTATAAAAACACGAACTTCTTCGAGGCTGAATTGTTTTGCATTGGGCTTCGTGAGTGTTTGGTGCCAAAGATCATATGACAAAACATTTCTTTCATTCAGAAAACGTCAAGTGATCCCGACAGCTCTTGAAATATTTAGATACAACATTATATAACGGTAAGTGAAAAAATGAGTAAGCAATAAAGTAGACTTTGAAAGTACAAATGATGATAAGTCACGGTAGATTGTTTACAACAATATAAGCGCTTATAAGATAGGCTGAGTTCGGCGTTCACCTGAAAAAAAATTTATTTGAAAGAAGTAATAAATAGTCTCACGAACAGTAAACTGCAAGAAGAGCACAATGCACTGCTAAGAATTGCAGAAGATTGAACGTAGCGCATACTAAGAATATAAAAATGTAGTGCTATAACTTATGCTAGTGGGTAGTATATGTATTGTTGATAGATCTGAACAGTTGTGGAAAAATTGCACAAAAAATATAATTTGACTTCATATATTACATTGCAATCCGTATAACATGATGTACATTGGGAAGAGTTAACTCTCTCGGATTCTCTTAGAAGTAATCGCTAAAAAATTTTCTATCAGCGGGCTGTATAATTATATGTATTATATTATGCCATCTAGAAGTCCTTCATTATGATGATGAAGCTGCTTTGTGAAACTTTAACTTTGATAAAATTAATAGTTGATGCGATGATGTCGACAGTTGAATAAAATGGGCAATCTGCAGCCTTTAAACTTTTTGTCTGTACCTTTGAATACATCCAAGCAATAGTTTTCACCTTCATTAAAATCAATCAAGAAATTGTACAGTAATTTATGCATCCACTAGCTATCTGATAAAAATAAGCCAATTTAAATTGAACAGCATTCTGATGCTGTGTTGTTTTTTGTCAAATAATTCTGGTGGGAAAAAATTTAATTTGTTTTATCAGAAAGTAGACGTCAACATTCCTTATTGACAAGAATATGAATAGTTAAGTGGTTTATTTCTCACTAACAAACAAACATTTTAACAGTAATTAAAGTTCCATTTGGCCGTTTAAAAACATGACAAACTGCTTTTATAACGCAGTATCAACTATCAGTAGTCAGTAGAAAACGCTGACAATATAAACATCTAGACTGCACTCTAACACATGAATTTGTCCGGCTGAAAAATTTCGTTCTCGGATCAAAATTTAAACCATTTTAAGAATGTGTCATAGATTTCTGCTCTGGAATATTCGTTGTCTATATACGACCTACTATAAAAACTCGATCCTAAGTGGAGGGTTTTCTTTAAAAAATCCTGCTTCAGTAGGATTATCTGGAAGAAATAGATAAAGATTCCTTACTAAGAGAAAAGAAGATTTGGTAAAAATAATTGGCACCTAATATTTTTTCTGTGACCAATGCATCAAATACACCGACATGTCATTTAGCTTTTTTTGTTTTTGCCTTAGGAGCCACTACTCTCCACTCTGAACTATGCAGCTTGTTTTCCATCGCATCCTGCATGACTTAACTGAAAGAAAAAAATGTATGGTATAGGTCTACATAAATCTACAAAGCTAGAGCCTAAACATTTTCACTAATGTTTTGGTTAGGAAACTGGAAAAGATCCTTAGAGACTCAGAAGCGATGTTGTATATACATCTCTGTCTTAATTTCTCACATATTTTATTGTGAATGTGAAACCAAGTAGTCATTGACTCGTCAATTCCTCGAATCGAAATTCAAACTCTCAAAACTTGAGTATTTTAAGTATTTTGGTTAAGACGATCAAATGAATGTGTTTGTTTGCTTTGATTGTCTTAAGACTAAGTCACTAAGTATTTTTTATTTGTGTTTACTTGGTAGGAAAAGTGTAAAAACGGACGGCATTATACGTCTTATTTATTGATTGATGTATTTAGATGTTGAAATCGCTAACCTAAGCCGACACGAACACAACGTTAACACAACACAACCATACAGGCACATTTGCTTTACAGGGACTGAATCTTACTGTCATAATAACAATATTTTTTTTTATAATTTCGGTAAACTATTAGTTTTGTGTTTTACTTTATGAAAAATGGCGAGAATCATTCTTTTGAACACACAGCTCAGACTGAATGTTTGGAAAGGATTTTACTTATCTTTGTGACTGGTTTGGTTAATAAACTGTTTATAAATCTTAATCTTCGGGATATGTCAATGTTACCAAATTTTATTTAAATGATGCTGAATTAATAGCATCATACAGTATCACTCACAAATGTAAAGACATCATATATGCACCAATGTTAATGATATATATCAATAAAAGAATTAATAGTTTGCCAGTAAATGTTTTATTAAATGTACTACGCTCAACATGAGTACGTCGCAACTAACAGTTGTTGAAAACTGGAGTTCGTGCGCTACAACTGTGTATCAATGGCATTATATGTAGTACTTCATTGTGCCAGAAAATACCATTGGATGGATCTTTTAATTCTCAGAGAAAATTATTTTTTACAAGAAATAATGAGCCGGTGCTATTCCTGGTTTAGTATCCATAGGTTTACTTAAAGTTTTGTAAAGATTATAAAAGAGCTAATCATAATGAATGAAGCTTTAGCTATATTTCTCTAACCAAATTATGATCTTTACAGACAACAATTACAAAAAATTGATCATTTATCAACAATTGAGCAGAGATGCATCGATTATCTTTGCATGGGAAAATTACAGCTCACATGTGACATTTATTATTTGCCTGGAGAAACATTTAGACATAATGTGTCAAAAAGCTTGACATGTTACATGTGTACCTGTGATTGCCATGGAAATTTACGGTCTTTTGTATGAATATACTGTAGATTATAGATATAGCTCAGTAATGTAAAGTTTATCAGCTACAACATACTTTCTGCGATAAGCAGACAACAACATGAGTAACTAGCTATAAGTTACAAGAGCGTTAAAGATTAATCTATCCAGCTTGGCCACATGAGACAACAGATTAAAGATATATTTAATGTTAAATCATATCACATGTGACCGGTAGAGATCGTGTGATGATTTTCTAACCAGTACCGCTTTTCTATTTTTGTCAAGGCCATGCGCACAACAGATGTTTACTTTTTAATACACAGTCAATGTTATGCACTTACTAGATAAATTTAACTGCCTTTATAGCTATAAAGCAATAACTTAACATGCAACTTTGTGTGAACGTATTTTTGTGAAAATGTTAATGCAAAGATAAATGCATATACAGCAAAATCTGTTCCACAGCAGAGCCAGTGTTTTATTGAATCTTCTTGTACAAAAATTGTTTTAAGTCTGCCATACAATTGGGAGTATTTATTGTTCTTTGCTGCAAGATTTAGAGTAAATATTTTGCATCGTTGTAAAACGTACATGTTCCATGGGAGTTTGTATGTTGAATCAAGACAAATCAACAAATTTGGTCTATTCTAGCTATTATAATTATTAGATGGCTTACAAGGCATGTTAATATCAGTGTACGGATTTTCTTTTCTTGTAACTGTAAATGATTTTATTTTTCACTTGGCTTATTTGGCAACGTCCACTGAGGACAGACTGAGCCCCTGGCATTATGAATAAGCTTAGTTTAAATCCTTACTACTTGTGGGTTTTAAAAATAGATCATTCATTTATACTTTATACATATAGAGTGATCACACTGTTCTTTCTAAAAGTATAATTATAGCTACTATTCTATACATATCAAATAGTAAACTGTACACATTTAGAAGTTTTGAAATATTTGAGAGTTAGAATAGCAGAGTTGTTTGATTGCATCTTAAGCTAAACATATAGTACAAGTACAATCCCCCCCAAAGTGTCAATTTCGGTACAATGATTCGATCTTTATGAAATTTGGTGAATGTTAATTTCAACAGAATAGCAGCCCGAAAATAAAATTATGAAGCAGCAGTTTGAAGTAGCGAACAGGAGGCTGATGTCTCCTTAGAAAGTAGCTGTGAAGACTGTAAAAGTTGGGAACATTTTCAACATTAGTTGTATGGAAAATAAGGAAGAAAAAATTATGACGTATAATTTGGAGTCAAGAAATCCGGTAATTCATTGTGAGTTGAGGAAATGTTTACTCTCCCTCGAAATATGATAGCTCTTATGCGTCAATTGCTAAAATATATTATTAAAAATGCAGCTATTGATAAATCCTGCATATTAAAATGTCTGTAATAATTCATACATCTTTACTCATTTTACTCAATCAAAGTGCTATTTTTCACACACGACCATAGCATATTGTCCAATTTCAGTTACTGCATATACAAACAGCCAAAAGTAGTTCAAAAGCTATCTCTAAATTGTTGGCAAAACAAACAAAAAGTGTTCCTGGTATAAATTGTATGTTTTCAAAACAACAAAGATGTGTAGACAATTTCATGACCAGCGTCGGAACTATTTTAGTCTAGCTCACGCAAGAAATCCGTTTCCTATGCGTTTTTTGAAGCATACCGCTGTTTATGCCCATAAGCACAATGCCTTAATGATAAAAGAAACAAATTTTAACTGTGACATTAATTTGAACAGGATACCTATGAAATATATGTAATGTGTATACGTCTCGATTCACTCACATTCATAGCTGCATGTATTCCTTTCATTGTATGTTGCTGTAAAGTCTCATCTAAAAAAGAAGTGACAAATGATAACTTCACGCGGAGAGGCCAAGTAGTTATTAATTTCACACGTTGGATGGTAAAAGTTTTAGTGTTTTTTATAAATAAATCTCAAGCTAACGAAAACTGTGAATGATCTCATTGACAGATGCTGAGATTAATTTACCCTATCCTGCAATTATCTAACGATAGAATATCGCTATTTTTCGTCTCTCTTAGCTAATTCCATAAGAAAATTTACATTCCTGTTCATTTTCTGTATCTAAATGAATATATGTTGTTTGTTATTTTGTTAAAACTTAACAACATATGTGTTAACAAAACGAAGCTTCTTAAATTTAGAATTTTATCGCTTTTTAACAATTGTAATAAAAAAAAAGCGAAAAGTTTTGTCGAGGATAACGTGATAACCACACCACTTGATATATTTAGGAATTTATACTAAGATGAATTATTTATGAATGCCAACGAAACCACGCAGAGTCGATTTACAAAAATATATCAACCACGCAAAGGAATATTTACCTTACTTCCGTACTTGACAATGACTTGAATGGTTTGATCGCAAGATCAAATAAACGCAAAAAAGTACTTTTAAACAAAGCCGTCAAGGAAGAAAGCTTAAGACCATTCAACCACATTAACTCGACTCTAGCCATTCCTATAAAAAGAAACAAAAAGCATCAGTAACTTGAGCCACAAATTGTTAACAAAAGGCAAAATAATTAAAATGAAGTAAAGGAATATAAATTCAGAATTTTACGTTACGACTCATATATGACATTTACCGCTGTAAACTACATAGTTTTATCTTGACTATAACAAGATTAGTTTTTGCATTTGTACGTTTATTATTGTGTCTATTTCTTACGGAGTAGGTCATAGATTGTTTTTCTAAAAGCACACGTTAATCGCATTTTTATAATCTATGTCAACTTCCTTATTTAATAGATAATATATCTGTGATATTTCACCTGAAAAGAGCGGAGTTTATTAATTTGCTGTCATTTGATATAAAAGCCTCAAACGCTCTCTGTTTATCAGTGAGAAATTGTTTCTACTTAAGATTGTTGCAAAAGATTTTATTCCGAGAAACATAGCATTATTTCGTGAGAGGAAAAATTGTAACAGTGCAACCGAAGAGGAGCGTTTTATAGGTAGCTATTTCTTAACATTTATATCAAGTTGAAATTATTTGAATTGTTAGTCTGTAGTATTTTGTAAGCAATGTTTATAAATTGACATTACTAATAACTATTATGGCTAGTTTTGAAAATTAATTGAATTCACTCGGCAAAATATTGACATGACATTTTAACTGATAGCTGCGGTATTGTGGCTGTGTAGTCATAGATTCTAAATTTATCAAATGTTCTTGTAATCCTAGACAAAACATCAACACAGCACCATATTTTCAAAACAGCAGTATATTTTAAGATCTGCATGGGTTGTCATTTTTTTAGCAAGTTGACATAACCATTTATGTTCAAAGTACTGTTGATACAACATTCTACAAGATCATGTTAAATAGAAAATTTCTGAATGCAAGTTCGAAATCTTATCCCCCTGGCTTCATTTCATTGATGTACATTATCTGCACAGCTAGACGATTTGTTCAACTTTAACTCAACGCGCTTTAGACCATTTTGATCAACATTTTAGACGTGCGTGCACATGTTAAATTAATTTAAAGTTATTTAAAACCTCGACGTTATTCAAAAAGAACATATCCTCCTATTGAAATAATCCAGCTGTACTTATGAATCGTTGTATACGCTGTGCTATTTCCCAGCATGCCCGTTTATTTCATGACAAAAGAAATCAATTTATCTTTAGTGTCTTATTCCATTGATTAATGAAACATTTACATTATGAATCGCAATTTTAGCTAAAATTAGAATAAATAGAATAAGAAATGTCAGCATGCATGCACAAACTGGTTTTACCTTTACATGCATGTGTGCAAACTACAGTAACGTTAATGCACCCTAATAATTTTACCTTATCATGCAATTTAACATCGATTGATCTTTCGAATTTATTCTGGGTAAAAAAGCCAACAAATGAAATTGTAATATACCTTTACTATCGATCGGTAACTTAATACTTTTACCATACCTTACCTTATCATACCATTACTTTATTAATATACCTACTACTATTAGCCAGCAACCATTATTTTTACCTTACCATACCATACCATACAATACATTTTCCTCACCAATATACCTATTTCTACTTATCATCAACCATACGCAATTTTTTGCCAAAGCCTATAATTAACCGTGTAATCCTTCACTTAACTGCTAGTGTTGCCACAGATGACTTTAAATTGTTTTCGCCTTATTAACACCAGCAAATCAGATTAAATGACGCAGCAAATTATATCTGTATCGCTGGAAACTGTTCAGCACATTGAACGTTTGTGTGTGGCCATTGTTACTGCAGTTGACCATATTTAGTCATAATTTTCTGAGTTAAAATTTTGACGAGAAACTTCTCTTAACCTTAAATCATTAAGCAACACTATTTTTCTTGGTGTTCTTTGTAAGTGTTTTCAGTGGCTATAATATTCTCAATGTATATAAAACAACCATCTGAACCTTTAATTAGTTTGCGCTATCGTGTGAAAATTGCGAGCGCACCGCATGGAGTATTTCTATTAGACAATATAAAGTCAGCGCTTAATTGTGAAAGCTTAAAAGCAGGTCGTAAGACGATTGACATGTGAGACGCAAATATTTCAGGTATAAATTTGCGTTTTCTTGGACAAATCTCGCTGTTTTGGGTGAAGTTTTCATTCAGAAAACCCTTCGCGTGATTGATGAGGTAGTGAATGACCTTAATAGCTTCTTACTCGATATTATTTTTTCATTAACGTTTATTGTGTGTATTCATTCTCCAAGAAAGAAAGGACGTTACGTAGTTTTACTATAATGTGATAATTGTACATAAGGGTTGAATAACTTGATAAATATAAAAGCTTATTGCTTCATGTAAATCAGTCTTAAAATAAAGCATATGAAATTATTAACTTGCACAATATATCAAAATCATGTTGCTGTTTGCTTATTAATGCAAGTTTTATTTTTGCCGAATAGGAAATTCATTAATGTGCCCCCCATCCCTTTACCCTCATAATATGCTCACTGTTTACGTCTAGAAAAGGCGAATAAGAACATTACTGGTTGCTCTACTAAGGTTTTGCATGCGTATTTCTTTCATTAATCGCCTAGCGACAGTTAGTAATAGTGAATTTTGACTTCGCACAGGAACTCGCGCGTTATCAGTCGGAACAACATGTTTTCTTTATCAATTATGGAAGCAGGCATTCGGTGCTTCGGGTTAGGAGATGCTAAATGCGGATACGCGGAATTGCAGACAGCTTATTTACAAGTAACTGAAAAAAATGATTATTTATTTCTTTTAAAATATAACGACATCGTGATTATTATTTATTAGTTAGTTACTTTCATTTGCTTTTTTTATACGCATGCCATATGTATTCATGTTTCCCACCAACCCAGTATTAGCATCCATGCCATATTGTATTCATCAATTTCATTTAATTCCCTGTGTTTTGATAACTGACTGACGCATATTTCAGACAGCTGACTCATGAACTATAGAAGAGCGTTGTAATGATGATAATCCTATAGCAGTAAGACAATACACATGTATACTGTCGTTTATTTAGAACTGCACCAATCATTGATCAAGAGAACTTTTGCTCTGCTTACCCACAAGAAAGAAAAAGATTGTGAAAAATGAATACGTTCAAATACACTGCGTTCATTGTACTTCTCTACGTTTTTATGAATGAATTTTGTGTGTGCGTTGGAAAACGTGCGTATAACTCGCGTTGTAAACCTCGGTTGGGAATTTCAGAATTAAAAAGGAAAGGTTGTGATGTGAAAAGGGTGCCCACAAGTGGTTGTCATGGACAATGTTTCTCGAGTGCTACACCGTTAACTACAGGAGGATTTAAAAAGACCTGTTCATGCTGCTCTCCAACTGCAGTTGCTCGTTTTCCTGTTTATCTGAGATGCAATAATAACGTACAAGTTAAAGTACTCATGCCTAGAGCTTTAAAATGTAGATGTAGACCGTGTTAACATTGCAAGCTGGACAAGAATATTAAATGGCATGCGTAGCTTGTGTGTCGACGTGAATTTTTCGAAAGGGCAAAGTTTTACGATGACAGATATCGACTGAAAAATTATGAAATTATTTAACAACTGTACGTACGACTGAGAGAAACAGATGATGTTGTACATTCTTGTTTGGGTTTACAGTACAATAAAATTTTAATAGTATATCTTTGTCTAGCTACTCTACATCGAATGGAATTTGTAGACTTCTATTTTTATATATCTCAGTGTTGGTATATCTATATCTTATTTAATTTGGTTAAATCCGATGTTTTTGGATGTTGTGTATGAGTCTGGTTTGTGACTGTAACATTACCAATTAACCAAATCATAAACTTTCTTTAAATTTTGCTGTGGGGCGCGAACTTAAATATAGACATGTTGAGCCAAGAAGGCATGCAGCGTTCAATTGAATTACTGCTCATTGACATTTCGCAATTTATTCCAAACTTCATCATATGTGACGGCATTTCACTAAATTGAGTACATTAAAAACTTATATGGAATAGTTTATATATATACAGTATAAGTTAATATATTATCTTAAAAAATGTAAATATCGGTAAATTCGAGTAAAATATAAGAAAATTGTGATGAATGTAGTTTTTAAAACATTTACTGTCGAAAATTATATAACTTTTTACAACAAATATCACATGAATTAGAAATTCTTCCATGTCTTCCAGCCTCGCATGTTTATCTTTTGTATCACCCAGAGACGGACGATAACAAGGTAGACTGTAGTGAGAGATAAATTAAAGATAATTTATCTAACTCGTGATATGTGGTTATAGATAATGATCACAAGACCGACAATTTCGCACGTCATAGCCAGTGCGTGGTTTTTTAATTTCAAGGGCTACCATCAACATAGTGATTTTTTATTTCTTACCATGTCCGGGGTTTGTAGTGATATAGGAGCTTTTAATTTATCTGTGTCTGAAATCTCTAGTAATGATGCTGGCACATTGTGAAGTAATGTGTGAGCAATGCAATCATATTTCTTTCGACAGCACGCTTATCTTAGAAATGTCGACTTATTTGAAATTAGGTTTCTTTAGCACGATTATTTCCATGGGATAAACTCAGAATAAGGATTTAAATGATTAAAGCTTATTTACTTGGCAAACACAGACAATGAACAATTATCTATGGCCCACCATGGATAAAGATAAAACCACCTAGAGGCAATTTCTTGAACAATATAAGGTTAGAACTTAGAGGGAATGGAAATTTTCTACTTATTTCTTTATACATCTCGTTCAACAGCCTGATGAAATGGTGCAATTATCATGATTGGTTTATTTTGCAGTTCGTAAAAAGTCGTCTTGTCAAACAGCGAGCAAATTATGCAAATACCATATTACTGATATGAACATAAGATTGAGTTACAACTACAACGTTCTGATTGGCTGAAAAAACACTGTATTTTACTTTGGTAAAAAATTGACAAGCTAAATTTTGCTGTTTCTCTTTGCCATAGTAGATTTTTTCACGGCACATTGTAAGCTCCATTAAACGAAATAATTGAAGACAGTCTAAAATTTCATTTTCATTACATTTCGCTTGAAGCGTTTGACTTGCAAGGCGTGTCGAAATTCATTCAAATGTTTTGTGATGATACGTAATGTTATTGTTATATAGTGTCTCAATTTCCGAATTCAAAGAAATCAAGCAAGTCATAAAATTATTAATGTGTTGTGTAGAGGAAAGCTCAAAAACTAAACTTTATCGATTACTTTTATTTCTAAATTGGTAAACATACTGAGTAGTTTAATAGATAATGCCATGATTCTCGGTTAAAAGTCATGCCTCTACAAATAGCTTTAATATTACCTTCGAAAGTCATATATTGTTGATTAATATATTTACGATTAAAGTCGAAGGTAGTTTTTGATCTATGTCCGTTCTTGTTCACACTCATCTTTGACAGCACGTGGTAACTACAAATTTTATTTCCTAAGAAATGACTGGATTGTTTCCAGATCTTGAACCAGTTTGCTATATTACAGAAGAGATTCCTCGTGAGGTACTTAAATTTTAAATAAAACTTTGAAAGCTTTTATGAAACATTTGCGAATGGCTGCTTCTTGACTATACATTTGCAGTAAGTCTTGACTCTTGAAAGGACAAAATCATGTAAAGTTGCCTCTTTAAAATGAAGTATTGCATGTGTTAAAATTACTTTTTTAAAAAATTAACCTGCTAAAGGTAAATAATTTATTGAATTGATGGTTTTGGTCAAAGCATTAAAGTGATTATTCTTAAGGCCTAAGAAATGTAATAACTTTATTCGAACTTTTTAAACATTTTATTTGTCATTTTTATCAAGGACGATGCATTCACAGACATACTTAATGAAATGATTGATGAGATAAGCCTTGGTTTATGTTTTGAAGTTCATAGAAATATAAAAGTAGGTTTTTATGAACTTCAAGAAAGAGCTGAAAAGTAAGTCTAAGTTAATTATGTTGTAAGTCTTTAAATTTTTGAGGTTATAAATTCTTTCAAGGGCTCATTTCGAACCATGATTTTTTTCTATCAAAAATCATTGTATGTATAAGTTTTTGGTAGTTTGTATGAAAGAGAAAGAATTAAGACGTAGTCAACTCTTTGGGTTCCAGTTGACTCAGTCTATATATAACATATCTGTAAATAAAAACCTCATAAATTGTCGATTCCTTCACAGCAAGACTAGTTTGATTTTTAATTCAATTTTGCCATAACCCAACTGCTCCATCTTTTATGAATCTTTCTTTGACGACAATTTATTTTTTTCTTACTTTATGTGCATTTTAACTCAAGTGTTCCAGCAGAATTGAGTGAGTTCCCTTAAATATAACGTTTACTGATATTCTATAAAAAATTCTTAATATTATTACATTGTAATAGTGCTTGTGTAATTGCTATTATGTGCATTAACACAGGTTTTGCTCAATAACATTTTGTTATGAAAAATTACCATGAACAAAGATTTGTTTGTTAAATCTAATATTCTTTGTTGAGTGACTTAAGTCTATCATTTTTAATTTTGCTACAAAAATTGCAGCAAAAAGCTTTTCGAAATAACCTTATGCGATGGCACAACATGATATTGAATTTTATGAATGTAATTATCTTTAAACACATACACTCAAGCTTTTTGTTTCTAAAGAAGTTTTAACTCACTGAAAAAAACAAGGAGCATTTCTATTTTTCTGTGTCTTGACATGATCCATGAACTTGCACTCTTACCTCCCCTTTCCCATTTTTAGCCACTGCGTATTGTTAAAAATTTAATGTTATTTTTACCTACCTACATATGTTTATTTTTATATTATGTATTTTGACTTGTTGGTTAGATCTAATGTATAATATTTGTTTGCTAAGAAATTGTTGATCAACTTGGGTTGGATGTTTTTGGTCATGGTCCTGCAAAACGTGTGATTGAATGTGAGTGTCCTAATTGTGGTCGTAATATGGCTGCTTCAAGATTTGCTCCTCATTTGGAAAAATGCATGGGTATGGGGAGGAATAGTAGTCGTATTGCAAGTCGAAGGTAAAAGTAACTACAAAATTTTTTGTAATATTTTATTTCTTTATAATGATTATGCAACTATGATATCTGCAAAAATTAATTTTACTTGTTAGTTAAAGATTATATGCATGCAATCAAAATATTATTTCAACCTTTGTTTTTTTAACACAATGATTCGTAACGTTATGTATTTTAAATAATATTACAGAAGAAGTTTATGAAGTATTGCACATGCAAATCACCTTGTTTCATGGCAATGCATCATGTAAATTACTATCTATTGTTGACACTTAGCATTCTTCTTCTCTTTACATTCTATGAATATAGGCTTGCAAATCCAGGAAAGATGATTGATGAAGATGACGAAGACATGTATCTCGACGATGACTGGACGTGGAATGGTGATAAGCGATTAGGTAACTGAATAATTTTTATGTCTTTTATGTTTTTAGGAAAAGCAATGGGATGTTTCAGCTCTTACAAATACTGCAATATTAACTTTTGTTCGAATTGTTTTTTACAACCTTTTCACCACGGATTTCTTGGGTGAAACAAATAAACAAAACATAGCCATAAATTGTAGATTGTTCATTTAGCGATTACTCAAAATAAACTTCATAATTCATTGTTTGCTGGGACGTTTCTAAGGATGAATAAAAACTCTAATACAGTATTTACGCAACAGTCGAAAAACAACATAAGCAGTTCATTTTGTGAACACTGAAATGTTCCAGTAGTTAAAGCCATGTTTATAAGATTATCAGATGTTTTGTATTGATGTGAAGTTTTTTGATAAAATACACGAGCCATAAATGTTATGTTATAAAAGTAGATTGCTATTCATGATGTGAGTTCAAATCTTATTTATACTCATGTTTTTTAGCGAGCAAAAAGAGAAAAGATAAGGTATATACGTAGCAAAATGTGTTTATAACTTGAACTCTTCCAGTAAACTTCTGTCTTTGTAGATACTTAAGTTTTGTTAGGCACCTTTTTCTAGATTTGGTGTTCGTTGATAGACTGGTTTGGATTTTAGAATGGTTTGCCTGCAGATAGGAAATCTAAAAACATGATTGGGAGTTCTTACCATGTTTTCAAATTGTTACGCTCTATTATAAATCCCCTATTTCATTTACGGGAGCATAAAAAAATGCATTTTATATTTGAAATAAAAATACATATGTATGCTCTGAGACAACGATAAAAATATTTGTACTTGATGAAAAATATTTATCAACATTAGTTTCAACATGCAATCAAAATAGATAGCTGTTTTAAACACAACGCGTGTTCTAGCAGATGGTGCTAAATTGGTCATTTTTTTCTTAAAAACTTATAGATCTTACAGAGAATAAAAATTCATATTTAAGAAAAGACAATTTTGTATCAAAATTTTTGCTAAAAGTAACGCTTCATTCCCATATTTTTTTGATACTACGACAGGGGTCTCCAAACTTTATAGCCATAGGCCACATTAACTTTCTTCCAGCATGTTGAGGGCCGACGAACCGTATACCGCTGGTCAAAGAGCGAATATTTTAATAAAACGAAGTACATAACACAAGCTTCATCAGTTAAGAAAATAGCTCCTTCCTTAGATCAAAAACCCTTGAAAGCACTTTTCCACAACTTAGCCATCTTACTGCAGTGAAATATGGCATGTCAACAGATTCTGTTTCAGTAGGAAGTTGGGACAAAAATTGACGTAAGCCACTCTTGCTAGTTGGCTTGCGTCATAACGTGAACTTTCTGCACAAAGTTTATTTTGTTTAATAGTATTACTATTATTTTCTTAAGTGTCTCTGCGGGCCGGATTGAGAAGCCCAACGGGCCGTAGTTTGGAGACCCCTGTACTACGTGGTTAGAAGGTTACTTGGTTTCGTACTTGAAAGCGTTGATATGGTTAAAAGGTTACTTGGTTTCGTACTTGAAAGCGTTGATGTTGTTAAAAGGTTACTTGGTTTCGTACTTGAAAGCGTTAATGTGGTTAAAAGGTTACTTGGTTTCGTACTTGAAAGCGTTGATGTTGTTAAAAGGTTACTTGGTTTTGTACTTGAAAGCGTTAATGAGGTTAAAAGGTTACTTGGTTTTGTACTTGAAAGCGTTAATGTGGTTAAAAGGTTACTTGGTTTTGTACTTGAAATCGTTAATGTGGTTAAAAGGTTACTTGGTTTCGTACTTGAAAGCGTTAATGTGGTTAAAAGGTTACTTGGTTTTGTACCGTTGATGTGGAAAGTTACGTTGTATGTTTGGTTAAAAACTTGGGTTAGCGTTTGGTTTACTTGGTTTTGTACTGAAAGCGTTGATGTTGTTAAATAATAATGAGGTTAAAAGGTTACTTGGTTTTGTGAAAGCGTTGATGTGGTTTTGGCGTTGAAAATGTGGTTAAAAGGTTACTTGGTTTTGTACTTGAAAGCGTTAATGTGGTTAAAAGGTTACTTGGTTTTGTTGAAAGCGTTGAGGTTACTTGGTTTCGTACTTGAAAGCGTTAATGTGGTTAAAAGGTTACTTGGTTTTGTACTTGAAAGCGTTGATGTGGTTAAAAGGTTACTTGGTTTTGTACTTGAGCGTTAATGTGGTTAAAGGTTACGTTAATGTGGTTAAAAGGTTACTTGGTTTTACTTGAAAGCGTTAATGTGGTTAAAAGGTTACTTGAAAGCGTTGATGTGGTTAAAAGGTTACTTGGTTTTGTACTTGAAAGCGTTAATGTGGTTAAAAGGTTACTTGGTTTCGTACTTGAAAGCGTTAATGTGGTTAAAAGGTTACTTGGTAACTTGGTTGATGACGTTCTCTTATGCGAAGTTTTGTTTTGTCTATTTTTATGGACGCTTTGTAAATAATTTCTTTACTGAAACGGTCATTCTAAAGGAAATGTCTATTTCCTTAGTATGTAGATGTTTCCTTTTGATCTTAGACATAACTCATGCTGTTAGCGTTCATCTTGTTCATTCTCCTGTCGTCTTGTGTGGCTTATGTTGCGGACTTCCGCTGGAAACTTATAACATCTTAATTTATGTTCCTACTCTCATCTGGTATTTACGTAAAATACGGTAATGTTTAATTGCAGACTTCCAACTCACCCAGAAGATCAAAAGCTTTTAAGAAAAATGGTGAGAATCCAACATTTGATATATTTTGATAACACACATGCAACTACTGTACGAATTTTCCATTAAGCTATATGTGTTTTTTTGTTGCAGGCGAACATGGGCGACCCAGCACACCCAGCTCTGATATTTTCCCAGTCTACAAGGTGAGCTCTTGAATTTTCAATTTAACCTTGGTTGGGGCATTTTCATCACTTCTCAATATAAAGACATGAGGATAAATTGAATTACATTGATCTTTATAATGTAATTATCCATTTTCAAACCAGGCCGCTGTTTTTCTTGCAAACAATTTTGAAATTTGATCATCTCTTTTTTGACAGACTGGTTTTACTCTTCAAGAATTTGAATCGCTTTCATTAGGTATGTTTTGTTTTTCACTTATGAACTTAGACTCTCTATTCCATGCATCAAATACTTGCATAATCACGAAAAATTATTATAATATATAGATGAAAAGCGTGGATTGTTGTCTAAGGTTTGTAAACTGTCCGTGTATGAGAATAAGTTGTGGTGCTCGTGTATAAATGGAAAATAAGTAATATAAAGTATAAGCCTGACATAAAAATTTTTTGTCGAACACGAGAGATTTTGTGTATTGTGCGATAAAAACTTGTTTTACACCTCGTTATTTTGTATATTTATGTTGATTTTCCTTTACACAGACATGTGGTGTTATATCCGAACATACTTCAAAAATGTGCACAAAGTAAGTTTTCATACATTATATATATAAACATGTGAACATTCTGCTTCCCTCTACCACTGAAAAAATATTGGTACTTCAAATGTAACCATAGAAAATTCTTTATTGTGCACTAAAGAACTCCGAAATGTCCTCAACACACAGATGACCAAAGACGGTCAATTCGTCTTCTCTTAGTTGGTACTGTATAAGCATGCTGCATTGATTATCATAACTTTGTTCTATTCCATTTGTGCATTCTAAAAACTTCTTTTATAACTTAGGCCATGCTGATATAATGCCGGTTCGGTTCAAATCGGACGGGTAAGTATGCTAATTATACTATTAGGGAAATATTTTGTAAAAGTATTTTCAGTGTTTTTTGTGGAGGCAAATTTACACTTAATTTAGTGAAAACATACGTATTTCTCTCTCACGGTGTACGTATTTTTATCGTTATTTATGTCGGACTTATGCCGCACAAATGAAACTCTTCAACTGTGAGTTTAATGAAATTGTCGTTTGATTTACATTTGAATCCTTTCATCTTCATCTTTTTTTAAGGCTTTTGATTGATCAAGATGAAATACAAGTCGGTATGCTACTCAATATTTTCAAAAAATTTGATATTTCGTTATGTTTATTCATTATGAGAGTCACAACTGAGGATTTCCTTTTGTTTATTGACTTTTTATCTACCATGCCTAAATTATTTACAAAATCAATTGCTTTAATCTTAACTCATTAAGATGTGGATGGCTATGATGATGGAGATGGACAAACACTTCGTGACAGTTTAAACAGGTCCTTGAGGAGATTGCAAAATATTGTTTTACCTATGCTTTAACTGCTATTTTTGTAATTCGACCACACAGGTGTACACGAAAGTAGTCATTTTGTTGCTAAACACATGACGGTATTGAAGTGAAGACCTTAAGATTATAAGATATTATTGATTCATGACTCTGACAAATTCGTAATAGTTGGAGGAGTTTGCAATATGCCTATGCTTTAACTGCTATTCTTGTGACTAAAATTTAATTAAATTCGACCACACAGGTGTTTGCAAGAGTAGTCATTCTATAATAAAATACATGACCATTGTTTATTTGATATTGAAGTGAAGACCTTAGGATTATAAGATACTTATTGATATATGACTCTGACAAACTCATATTGGTTGTAGGCCAACAAACAAATTCTATCGTAGCCGTGCAGGGCTTGTTTTCTTTCACTTATTTTTGTCCGTCAACTCTTAGCTTTAGGAAATTGATACATATTTTTTATTTTTGCTCAGATGCCGGATCTAAAAGTAACAAAATGAAACATGGATGCTTTTATTCATACGATCTTCATGAAATTTCGCCTCAAATAATATTTACAATTGAAATGTTTCTATCGTTTTTTAGACTAGCTTGGGAAGAAGATTCTAATCTATCGCTTGCCGATGAAGAATCTTCTAGATGTAAGAATTCTCATATATTATTTATTTTGAGATAAATGGTGTTATTTTGTTTGAAGTCTAGACTTTGATAAGTATTTTTTCATACAATATGGGCGCTTTCAGTTATAATACCTGCTAATACAAAAAGTTTATTCATAATTTGTGTTTTCATTTACCAGCTCCAACGATGAGTTCCGTTTCATACAATTCTACTATAAACAATAGAGGAAGAAAGAAATCCAAACATCGGAAGCGTAGAACTCGTTAAAAAAGAAAAGCTTTACGAGGAACATAAATTGGCATCCTTGTTTGCTGTTCTCCTGTATTAATGTTTTTCACTGTGTATTAATGGATTACTGTTGGGAAAAGAAGAGTTTATTGACAATTTTGATTTTTGGATGGTAAAAATGCACCGATGCATTTTTAAATGGTTTTATCGACCAAAATAAATTTAAAATTTATTCATTTGTTTTTGTTTCAAATATCGGCGATTCCATGCCTCCCAATACCCCGAGATAGTTGAGCTCTAAAGCGTCGCATGTTAATTAAGGGAACCAGATAATCTTTGTTTGCCATGAAGCCCGTGGATGGTTTGCTCGTGATATACGAGAAACAGTAAATGAGAGAGTTAAATCAGAAAGATGTAAACCAATAAAAAATTGTATAAAACATGCTTAAGGTTGTTTTTATAAGTGTCAGAAGAAGTTAATTGAAGCATTGCTTAGTATATTTTATGAAAATATGTAAACCAACACAAAATATTCGAAAGCAAAAAACCCCAATTACTTTAGTAGACTTCGCATGCCCAAGCGCATGCGCAGATGATTTCTCTATTAAATTGCCACTAAGCAAGCTATTTACTCCAAAATTGGTGCTAGTAGATCAAGTTGGTCGTTGTCTATGACTATGAACTCGAACAGATGATTTCTTTGATAATTTACGACTAATTGAGCTAATTGCCACAAATGTAGTGCAAGTACATGTAGTTAGTCGTTGTCATGACTATGAACAATTATTCAAGTGGACTGCGCATGCGCAGATGATTTCTTTATTAAATTGTTACTAAGCATGCTATTTACTTCAAAATCGGAGCTAGTACATACAGTTGGTTATTGCCATGACCATGAACTTGGAAAGTTGGGGCAGTTGATGAAATTGAACGTAGTTCAAGCACCCAGCGTACGCTCGAGAGTTTTGGATGAGGACTTGTTGTCTAATGAAAACACAAATGATTCCAAGCATGTTGACGACGATAAAAGCTCAAGCGAGGGCAAGGTTTCAATACAGAGACAATCCATCAATAGCACGGAGTCTACTGAAGATATGTTCAAAAGAACTATCGATGGATCGCCTATACAGTTTAGAAGCTCGTTGGTATATAGTAGTGGAAACTGTTCATGATGTTGCTGAAGATATGTAAAAATAACCACCTGCGTTTTTCCTTTAGGACGAAGAATCTGATTTCAAAAGTAAAGAGGAAAAAATCACCACAAGAGATTTGCAAGAAGATTCAAAGTGAACTCTGCATACTTTGTACATACAGATGGAGTATTGTGAGAAGAGTACTCTAAGGAATGCTATTGACGAGGGATAATACAAGAACCAACAGAAAATGTGGCGGATTTTCCGTGAGATTGTAGAAGGATTAGTTCGCGTTCATTTAAAGGTAGAAAAAAAAATGTGAGCAATTTTCGTTTAGCTCAATAAATATATATAAAGACTTATCATTTGCTATTTTTCTCTAATTTTTGCCAATAGGGTACGATTTAATTAAACGCCTTTCGATATTTTTGGTTTTCTATTGTTACATTTTTAGGTGTTTTCTTTAAAAAGTCAACTAATGTCAAGGGAAATGAGTTAGGTCTTTAGATGCATTGAAAAGCTCGTTTTGGACTTGTTCCTTTTCATTGAATCACAGTTTCGTAAGGAAAGTTTTCCTTCCCGGAACATGTGTTTGTTAACGTAATGATAGCCATGCTTGAAAACTTACAATCAAAGCTTCCACTTGAAAAAACGGAAGATCACGAGGAAAAAGAAGCATTAAAGTGACGAAAAGTTTATGGCTACTGTCTTTTAATGTCATATACTTTGTATAGATGTCTATATCCGGTGAGCCTTAACCAATGCTTAGCACAGCAGCTTCTTGGACATCCTTTTATCCCTCCAAATCCCATGTCGCACGGTTTAAGCAAATAACATCACTTCAGATAAGCTTGACGCTGAAAAGATCAAGGGAGAAATCAAAAATAACTCTTATGGTGGGGATAAGTATCCTGATTTGATGCCTATTCCTTTCGGCTACGCTGCGAGAAATTCAAGAATTCAGAATGAATTTGAGGTGTTGAAAATACTTGGGAAAAAGGAGGCTTTGCTTCAGTTGTCAAGGTAAATTTTTATTACGTACAACATCGTTTAAATAGATGGTAATTTGGTCATGTGAAGGAAATTTTGTACGTGATTTGGAAATGCCATATATACGCTTAGGTACGTAATAAATTGGACGGCTGTCTCTATGCAATCGAAAGAATTCCTTTAAATACGAAAAGTGTGCTGTTTAATGGCAAAATTACTCGAGAAGAGAAGTTATTTTCTATATTGAATCATGAAAATATTGCAAGGTAAAAGGAAATTTACTATCTTAAATGAATCAAAATTTTATAACATAATTCTTCAATACGAGGTTCAATTTAGACGATACAAATTGCTTGGTTTATTAAATGTCATCTTTGTGGAGACTATTATAACAAAGTAGATGGTCCCTTTTTTCCATGAAGCCCATCGATGCTTTCCTTCATAATGGGAGAGTGATATTGTTGTATAAGGAGGCTCTTGTTCAACACGAGAGAGTTAAGGAGAAAGTTACATTGTAAAAGGTAATTAGTAAAAAACGTATAAACATGCTTAGAGTTGGTTTAAATTATAAGTCGAAAAGGCAGAAGTGGTTTGAACCTTTGCAGTTCCTTGTATGTTCTACTTTCTTTTATGAGATGAATTCTTGTAAAGTAAATTCTGAAAACAGAAAATCTCGTTTTCGGTCCATCAATAAAGGTTCTATTGTATGTGTCACTGCCTTGGCATTGTTCAACTTATAGCAAACCTTTGTACCCGGAGGATATAAGCCATGTAGAAGTGTCAAGGTGTAACAACAGCGGGTTTGGTGGATGGAGGTTTAACACCGTCATAAATTTTTTGTATCCATCAGTAAACAACCTGCGTATGTTGAATGTGTCTGGCATAGAAAATGAATACGAGATTAGTCGGAGTTGAATTTTCTAGTACCATTTTTCATGGGGAAAGGGATGCAATGAGTTTTGGGATGTATTAAAAAGTAGTTATTATATCGCCTGCCATGAATAGTGTAGATAAGGTGCTTGAAGGGATGATAATGGATAAATTGCAATTTGGTTTTATTTAAGGAAGAGGGACAATAGATTATAACACGAGTATTTGTATACGTAATAGCATGGTTTCGAGTGCAATATGAGAAAAAGATGCACGAGTGAGTTTTACAAAGACTATCAAAATTGCTCGAGTCCTTGAAAAGTCTTTGAAAAACTCACGAGTGCTTGTTTTCCTAATTGCACGAGAAACCATGCTATTAGTTACTTATTAATAATATACATGAAAAAATTCTCAATTCTGTTGATTTTTAACTTCAGCATGTTTAACCATCGATCGACCTGCTCGTATTTTTTAATTCCGTCGGATATTACTTTTCACAACACCATAGCTTCCGCACACGCAGCTTGAGCAAGGTATCTACTTTTAGCAGTGTTTTTATTTTCGACCAGAAACATCTTGCAAACGGTAAACTGTAAACTGCTTCGCTAAAGAAAATTTACTTAAAACTTACGCCAGCCGTTGTAATTGCTTTGTTTATAATCATTTAACTTTCCCGCTTTTGAAATGTTTTAATTTGATTGGCTCTCACATCATTTCTTTGCTTGACTAACTAATCAGGAGCGCATTTTTCAAGAAGAAATTGCACTGTACTTCTTTTTTTTGCACTGTGTTTCACATTTTTGCACTGGTATTTACGATAAATTGCTCTGCTCTTAACCAATCAGAATTGAGTAATTTTTTCATGTATATTATTAATTAAGAAACAAGAGTAGAAATCAGAATGGACAAAAAATTGCTAGACATAACTAGCGGACTGGCTATGCTACTGGACTGGCTTGGGCAGTGAGGCGCCCACACTCCAAAAATTGTTCGTGTCGGGAAACCCAAACACAATTTGAATTATGGAAGCTGTTTTTGTGTTGTTCGTTATGAAAACTACATCTGTTTCGAAGTATACGTTTCTAAGACATTTCAAATACACGATAAATTTTTTTAAGGAAACATGTTTTGGCATTCTCTACACCCCATCTTCAGTGAGAAGTGAATAGGAAGTTTACGTGGGTACAAAATAATATATAGTGTTATGTTTTCTTTTATTGGCGTATTTAGCGGCAAAACAAATGATCAGTATTTTTATGAATTTTCCTCGACCTATAATTTAGTTAGTTTTTCAAGCATGTTTATGAGTTTTGATTGCATTTCGATTTACGTTGAATAACTGGTACCAACATTCTGTGTTTTTCTTCCTAGTTAAGGCAACCATTGTGAAATTAGGGCCTAAAAACGTTCAACATGCTGATAACAAATTGCAATTTTCTTGTTATTTTATCTGAGCATGTCGTTCCAGGCTCCAGCGACATGATCTCGTATTCATTATTTCATTTCATGTTTCAACTTGAACGAAGCGGAAAACCTTGCTGTGTTGTTATAGCAACACACAGTCATCGTCTCAGATGAGAAACTTCTATGATCTGATAAGATGGTCGAAGGCAGTTTGAAGAGTGTAGATCCTTTGGCATACTATGTGAACAATGTGGCAGACTTTGACAAAGAAATTGTACGCGCTTGTAAGCAAGACGACGCTGCCGCAATTAAACGTCTAGCATCACGAGGAAATTCTGAGTTTGATATCTTTATATGTATTTCCCAGAACTGGCATGGCTTCGTTTTATGTGTGCCAGCTGGCCTTGATTCTTCGTTTAAAGATATGATAACAGACGTTATTAAAACACCTTTTGATGTCCCCGAATTAGTATTGTGCCATACTTTTGAGTTGTGTTACGATGACGAGCGCTTGAGAACCTATAAAATTCGGAAGCGTTTCTCTTTATTCCGTGATATCCAAGAGAAAATAAAACGCACTTTCTTTATTGGCCATTACAAAGAAATAAGTCCAAGTGGTTTCCAAATTTGTGCCATACGCGCTGCTCCACATCGCTATGCCCTCTTATTAGAAGATTGCGTCGAATTTTCCAAGGAATTTTGTATTCAGGCTTTGAGGTTCTGTTCGAATGGCCGCGAAATTGAAGATGAAGTTAAAAGGAATATGAAGGATGCCACAGCGACTGGGTTCAGTTTTGAACACTTGTCTCGCAATATTAAAAGTTCTGCTTGGTTCGGGAACTTGCTGATAAACGGAACGGATATCTCTACTATGATTTCAAGTCGAAACCCTACTGTTTTAAATTCCATATTTCTTTTCTTTTTAATAATTTATCCTATTATTGTGGTGTTTGTCTATCATCGCTGCATTCACCCTTTGATCTGACTGAAAGTGCGTATCTCGTAAAGATAAGAATGACCTGTTGAATCAATTATTGTTAGTTACCGTAAAGATGGTAGCGTTCTGTACTTGAAATTTAACGCAGTGAGTTGTAAACGTAACTCACTATAAATTGTTCAAAGACTGGGGCTCCGCTCGCAGAACAATTTATTTCTGTCGTACATACTTATTTTTATCGTATAAATTAAGATAATACTCATTTTCATTCATATCCTCTTTATAATTGGGAGTCCAACTTAGTACAATCTTAGCACAGTTGTATTACTTGTATACATATATTTATACTATACAAATGAAATGGAAATGCATATACGTAGTTCCGTTTATCTTTTATAATTATTTCAAAAGGTAAAATGATTGATTTCCAAGGAAGCTTGATTTCCCACGAAGCTAAATCATAAAAATTTGGTATTGATCTTGAAGTTTTGACTCTCAAAGAAACATTGACTTATCAAATCTGAAAACGACCATCACAGGACTTGGCGGTAAAAAAATCAAAAACCTCTAAAGGACAATTAAAGCACAATACAATGTGGTATACTTTCTCAATCAGAAATCCAAAACTGACAAAAACGTGACACTGAAATTAGCTTATGTGTCGACATTTGACGGTGAAAAAGAAAATTCTGTAAAGATGATCAAAATTCTTGTCTCACTCCAGCCAAACCATGTGATGCTGTTCGACCAGGTCTGGATGAGATATTCATAAAAATTTACCATCTCGAACTTTAGCCATGACGTAGAATATAAAGTTAATGTGACAAATTGCACTTCGGTGTAAAGCTTATGTCACAGACGGTCTTCGAGTAAGTAAAACCATATCCTTTGCTATTTAATGGTTAAAAGACTGTTTTTTGCTTGCTATTCTTGCAGTAAACAAAGTTATTCTTTTCTTCTCTACTATAACAATGCTCATTATTAACATACACACAATTCATCAATAAATCACATTTTACATCCTTCGACAATAAGCAACATTCGCGTTCTCGCCTTAATGAGTGGTGGAAGGCACTTTTGAGACATAAAATAAATTTGACGCGAAGCTTGCTCGTCTTATATTATATAACTATATTTTATACTTATGAAACGATGTAATTATAAAGTTCAACTGATTAGTTCTCAATTCCCAGAAACAGAATGAGTTTGAGGACGAGATAGCCTGTGCCGGTAGTTAACACTGGTAATTGATGTGGTCCTACCAGATTGTGTTTTACTCATTCTCCCGGGAATACCCAGGACATTCGTTTCATGCCAGGGAATACCCGGGTGTGTCGAGAAAGAATGCGCGGAGTGAAATCATGTTAGTAATAAGCTTGAAAATCGTTAATTTAAAATAAATTTTGCATGTTTGTATAATAATATGTCTAGCAATTAATGTAAATATGTTATACTAGAGTTTTTCCGCTTAATACTAGCATTGGTTACCGTTGGTTACTACTCAAATTCAGTTCTCGAAATCCGGGCATTCCCGGACATTCAACGAATCTCTCCGGGCAATCCCGGACGTCCTTTTGGACCCAGTGATGTAATGGTATATCTATACATCGTTGGATGTGTTTGCCGTTGTGCACTCAATAATTGATCTTTTTTTCTTTTTACCCTGAAGAATTTGATGAGTTATTCAGTTGATCTGGCATGGCTTCTGGTGGTAGAAACGAAGCTAATTTAAGTGGCAACCTGGTCCCGTTAGCGAAACTTAATGATCGTGCGTCTTCCGTTTGTCACCTTGTATTAAAGAATGGCGAAGAAATTATTCGGTTTGTTTATTTGCTTTATTTTCAAATTTTTACACATTACTTCATATCATTAGTATTACTTGAGAAGAATTTAGTCACAAAAATTGTTGGCAATTATTAGTTCAATCTCATTTTACTGTTGCAATGTAATTATTAAATTGAAGACAATGTCAAGTTTTTCTGCCGTTTGCAAATGTAGAGTTTCTGCATTTGCAAATATAAAGTTTCGTCATTTTCTTTAGTGAAGTTAATAGAAGTTAATGATATATTTAAACAATATCGTTTTTGGTTTTCTGATATTTACTTCATAAAGTCACTCGACCGTTTTCTCTCACTTCCTGTTGTTCCTGTAAGAACACATCAAACGTTACAATTCGGAGCTCCGTTTTATACTTTAGATCATTTTATATTGTATTGTGATTTAAACCAGCCCAAGGTAACTTTTATGTTATTGTTGTTACGAAAATTACACATGTTTACAGTATGGTTTACTTTGAAGGAGTTGGTACCAACATTTTATCTCAATAAAAGTTATTATTGTTGTGTAAAGTCATAAAGTTGTGTAAAAATGGTTGATTCTGTTGCAGTAATTAAACTATAGTAAAAGCAACGGCTTATCCAGCCTGCTTTAGTCAGGCTTTGTAAATTTCAGAACTTAATCACTATTCATTTCTTTTGAGATATATTATTCTTACCATTGGTAAACATCAAAATATTTGCAAATATAGCCAGAGTAATAAGTCGGGCTTTGCCACAAAACAATCCAAAATCATCTGGAAAAGTGATCAATCAATATGTGAATGTTTGCAGTTAGGCTGAGTTAGCAACAATAAAGGTCTTATTCAACTTCATACCATTTAAATGAACTCATGTTAGTAAATTCAAATCACACTTTTCTTGATATAATAAAGAACTAATGGTCCTCACATGCCTTATTAGGGCATACTGATTCTAGTAAGAGAACATCGCTGAAATGTGGGATTATTACAAAAATTTCACCTTATATAATTCATGATACAAATAATATCTTAAGTCAGCAGGGTGAATTGTAGAATTTGATAATTGAAGTAAAAATAGCTATAGAGATTATTTGAAAAGTATGAATTTGATAAAGATATGAAACTTTTTGCTTTTTTAGTCAAGCAACTGGTTTTCTTGGCCAATTTAAGATTGATAGTGTTTATAAACCAGTTATTATTACAAACAATCATTTCGTATCCAAAAAACAGACTGCAGCATCAGTCTTTGCAACATTCAAATTTGATGGAAGAGTGGATTGTAAAGAAGTGCATCTTGATCCTGAAATATTCTTTCAAACTAATAAGGTACTTTTTAGCATTGTTGATTCTTTCTCATTGATCTCCTATAGATTAACAAAAACCATTATAAGTTTTATCCCAAGTTTGAGTCAGTCTGTCAGGCTTGTCAGCACAATAAAGCCATTATTGTATGATTGTATAAGACCAACTCACCTCTATAACTAAAGTGTTTATTAAAAAAAAAATATCGTGTGATGATTACATACTACTTGTCCATAAACCGCGACTGGTAAATATGGTAAAAGCTTGGTACTGGTTCTAGCCATAATAAAATGTATACAAATTTTACTGAAATTAAGTATTAAATAATCATTGAACTAGTCCATGTCAATCTGGCATTTCATGATGGCATGTTCAGGCAATTGCTTTTTCTAATTCGGTCTTATCGAAAAGAATTTGTTTTATATCACCGGTGTTACGAGATGTATCTGTCAAGAAAACGAAAGCACGTAGCAACAAACCTGGATAGTACAGCATGAACTTATAATTTCTTTCCGAAGAAACTGTTAGACGTTTTTGCTTTATTTCCGCGGGTTTAGAAAAACTGTCTTTCGCATGTCGACGTTATTGTAAGTTCGTTTCGGCGAACGCGGCCAAACAGCAAAAAAAATTTGTCTGCACGGCTTAATAAGACATAATACGCACATAGTTGGCATTATATAAAATTGCCGAGCTTGTCTAGCAAGTAAATATGCGCTCCGAATCTTTCTCTTCTTAGATTGTGTATTGTCTAATTATTCTTTCCTTGTAGGAGCTTGATTATACATTTATTGGGGTGAAGCAAGCGGATATAGAGGAGCTTCAGAGGAAATTTCAAGTGACACCTTCAAAGATATCTAAAAAAAAAATACGTGTCAATGAAAATAAAACTGATATTGTATATATTGTTCAACATCCTAAAGGGAAGCCAAAGAGAATTAGTGCATCCCCCATTTGTAAACTTGACGAGAATGATGTTTATTATTTGGCTGATACCGACGATGGCTCGTCTGGTTCTCCTGTTTTCTTCTGTAAAAAAGGCGAAGTGTATGTGTTAGCTGTACACAAAATTGGTGGGACTACGTTAGACAATGGGCAAAAAGCAAATCGAGGAGTTTTGGTGTCTTCTGTGTTGGAAAATGTCTATCGAGAGCTCGGTAAGTATGAAAAATAATTTTGTTAAGTTACTCTACTTCTCTACATGAAAGGAAACTTATTGCCTTTTTCCTGCTTAAATTTTTTTAACTGTTCCCTGTTCTTTTAATTTAAATTGTTCCATTAAATTAATTGACATATGTTCATCATTCATCATCGTCATTCACCATCAACATTCACCATCATTATTTATCATCATCTTTCACCATCATCATTCATCATCATCATTCAACATCATCATTCAACATCATTATTCATCATCATTATTCATCATCATTCATCATCATCATTCAACATCATTCAGCATCATTATTCATCATCATCTTTCACCATCGTCATTCATCATCATCATTCAACATCATCATTCAACATCATTATTCATCATCATCATTCATCATCATCATTCAACATCATTCAACATCATTATTCATCATCATCTTTCACCATCATCATTCACCATCATCATTCACCATCGTCATTCAACATCGTCATTCACCATTATCATTCATCGTCATCAATCACCACACGTCATTCACCAACTGTGGCGGATCTAGGGTAAGTCAAAATAAATTACTGCAGCACATTTTGGTATGTTATTTACATTGAATGAAAAATGGATACAAACTATTTGTTGCATTTTGAACGATATATTTACAGGAATTGAATCCACCGCTTCGACTACAAACCAAAATTCAGATAACAGTGATCATGAAGAAGCTGGATGTTTTGCTCCATTTACTACACAAGGCCAGCCTGTTGTACAACCTAGTGTTGTCTCACAACAAGATTCTCGTGGTATATTGATATTTACATCTTGCATACATTGTAAATGTTTCCTTTTGTATGTTGAATTTCTACATGTATGTAACAAGTATCGTTTGAAATTAACGACGCTTTATTTGCTCATATTTGTAAAAATTTTTTCACTTTACAGTTTTTCTCAATTTCTCTGTTTTATGAGAACATGTGCAATTTTAGATAAAGACTTGCCTGTACGGTAACCCTGTTTTTGCGAATTCTATTTTATCTTAGCAGTATTTTTTTACAGATGGAGGTCATTCAATTGTGAGTTCGCCAAATGGTAATGACCCTTCTTCTTCGTCTGATTTTCCGAGCTTACAAAATTTAAAGAAGACTTTAGGTTCGTAAAATTTCTCTCAAATTTCTGCAAGCGTGTTATACATAAAGATCATTTATATTTTCATGTACGTAAGTCCTGCGGTCATTTAGTTTTGAAAATGATTCCTGATAACTTTTACATTGAAAAGTGAAAAGCGTATTTCCAAAAATGCAACAAAAATGCAACAACTCCAGCATGAAATTAAAAAATGCAGCGTAGCCAAAGTATTGGATTATAGAAAGACACTTTAGAAATACACTTTCAACAACACTCTAGATATTGTATTTTAGATCTCTGGAAGTGTCATTTAGTATTTTGTGTTAGAACATTGTTTGAACACTTCACATACAAGAAAAGGCATTGGATCGATAGTCCAGAAATTTGAGCCTAGCTGAAATGTTAACCAATTTTTATGGATGTAGCAATGACTTTTACACACTGAGGTATACAAGAATTTTGGCTAATGACCAAATCAAATGTATAAGTCTCGTCTACCTTAGAGTATGAGAGTCATTGTTACATGCATAAAAACCCTTTTAAGCTGGCCTCAGTTCTGGGCTCCCAGTGTGTATGTTGTTATATAATCTGATATAAATTCAACTAGATGTGTTATTGGGATCCAGTCTCTCGGTGTTCGCTGTTCTTTTTCCCCAACATCTGTGTTTAAGTCGTTTTACTTTCAAATAAGTTTTTACTTCAAAACTTCCATAAAAGTTTTTCGAGATGTACAAGAAACAATAAAACACAAAATTCGGTTCATATTTTTCTCATAGAATGGTAGCTTTTGCATAAGTAAAAACGCTTTTTAAATAAAATATCTTTCCGAATAATATCTTTAGATCAGCCCACTTGTGACTCAGCTGTTGCTGTGTGTAATCGTCCATTTGAACCGAGGGAATTGTATCGCATCGCTGAAAGAATATGTGGTGAATGGGAAAAAGTTGCCATACTCACCGGTTTATTCAAAAAGTGGGAGATCGACAACATTGCCCACAACACTACACTGCATTCACCTTCAAAGAAATCCAATCAAATGTTGTCAAATTACAAGGCACGGAAAGGAACTCGAATAGAACTTGCTACGGCTATAAAGGAGGCTGGTTTTTTAGATGTAGCCCAAAAGGTTCAATCAGGATTTTATATTGATTACGTTGATTAATTTTCTCTCAGTAGATTTTATCGTGTAATCTATTTTTATCATTTCGATTTTAAATCTAATCTCCCACTTCGAGGTAAAAGAGAAGAACATTTTTTAATATTTCACGACGTCTTCGCCAATTTATTAAATTAATGATAAATATGCATGTAATGACAATCAATAATAATCGCACTCTTTTTATATAAGAACCAAACTTATAAGAACATTGAGGCTGAATTTTCCCAAAAATTCAAGTGGTAGAAAGAATCCAGAATTATTTCATTTGCTCGTTTAAGTGAATTTAATCAATCTGATTTCATTGTTTTATTCATCTATATTTTACCTCAAAACTTTTCATGTAGAGAATCCTTTAATAAAACTCCTGTGAACATTTTTGAACATTTTGATTTTTTTTTTGAAACATGAAACCTGAAGTGATAAAAGGTTCGCCTTTTGCATGCACTCACGACAAATTGACAAAAGCAAAGTTAACATTGTACAAATCCTAATGATTTTAGAATGACAAGCTTAAATCATTACGTGTATAGTTGAATACACAAATATTCATCATCGTTCTTTACCAATCAAAATATTGTTTTTTGATTTGTTTAAATACGTGCTCTCTTGCAAAACCTTTTCAAGTAACCTCATGAGTCGTGAAACAATACAATAGACAGCTTTAGCAAACACAACGCGACGTCGACGAGGACGTGAAAATGGCTTGGCATGGCGTGCTTGTGTTTCCGGTCAAGTTTAGGACGGCGTTTTTGTGGATTTGAGGATGTGAAAATGGGTGATTTGACGTCGTGTTCGGGACGTCAGTTCTTACGTCAATTTTTCCACTTTTTGAAGAGGAACTTGTATACTTTTTCAAGTTTTTCATAATATTTCTACTGTAAAAGTATTTTTGACATTGCAACTGTAGGAAAAGCTCAAAATATGCAAACTTAAAAACAAAAAACATCGAGCGGGTTTCCCTTGTATGAAACAGTTGAAAAATAAGTTGACAACACAACATCGTCCTCGACCCAGTTCTCCTTAACATTTAGACGTCCTAGTGACGTCGCGTTGCGTTTGCTAAAGCTGTCTAATATAGCAACAGCTATGACGTCTTTATGTAACCATGGTGATGAGAGTATTTTATTTGATGTTATTTCAAATTGGTGATTAAATGGCCAATCAAATGCTATTTGTAAAACTTAGAAAAGTAAGAAACAAGCAAAAGCAAGTCATGACGAATGGGAAGATTAATAAATGTTCAAAATCGCACATTTACTGGTAAAATTATCTTGTTTTCTGGACAAGATCAGTCTTCTAAATCTCGAATTGATATCATGAATCACCATGACCGTCAATTATTGCAATATGGGATGCCTAGCAGTTTTGACTTTGCTGGGCGATTGCAATTCAAAACTATCTCCAATTTGTTCCGCACAAGAAGTGACATATGTGTTGCTAAACATTGTGATGATTTTCATTACCATAGCACTACCACCGCTGATCCGTGGACTGTACCAAACATCGATATTTCTCTTCGTCGTCAACTTGCTTCGACATATTCATCTTTGGTGGATAAAATCTCGAAAGGGAATCAAAAGAAATGGGAAAAAAGTGGCGTTAACATTTCAAAACCCAAAGTTTTCGACAAAAACACAGAGAAAAGAATACCTTTTGTTACATTTTTTCGTTCACCAAGCGCCAGAACTGCACGAATACAGGTTATCAGAGAAGGATCTTGTCTTCATGAAGTTTACAAACCTGCAGGTCCACATGTCTTTCGAAGAGATGATTTTCACTTTGTAAGAAAAGAACCTATACTGAGCTTATGTCAAAATAAATTATACTTGTGTACTTTTGTTGTGGATTAAGAAAAAGTGCAACAACACGATTCAAATGACCTCAGGCTTATATTGTACTTTTCACAGGTTTATGGAACAGAAATAGGAAAACCTCGTTTTGTGTCTTCTTATAATCGTGATCACGGAAAATTGGATTTACCCAAGAAATATGTCAGTGTTGATGCTGGCGAGGATAGTACCACGGGCAGTACACATTGTAAAGGTATATTAATTACTAAAATAATTAGCTACCCAAATTAAATACGTAGCGTTGAGTGATCATTTATAATTGGAATTTGGAGACAAAAAGCATTCTTATCCAACCTGTCTGTCCAATCAACCACGCAAATTTAGCAATATATTAATTATTTTTAAACAATTCACGATACGTTCAACTAACCCGTCAAATTACACTAGCTGACGCAGTAGTCACCTGGGCAACAATTTACAGTACAGGGGCCGGTTGCACGAAGCCTGGATAGCGTTATCCATTGGATAGCAAGTTCTTTTAAACTTTTATAAAACCTTTTAAAAAGCAAAATATATAAGATTCCAACTGAACAATCACTAAAAATAAAATATTGTTTCCAAGATTACGAAATTTCTTTGTCGTAAGAAAAATACGACACCTTTTTTACAAGTTTGAAGATTTTTGCTATCCAATGGATAACGCTATACAGGCTTCGTGCAACCGGTCCCTGTTTTACTTCAACGACTGAAGTAAATAACGTTAAATTGTAAAAAGTTACAAATCTGATCCTAGATTAGAAACAAAAAGCAGCTTCCAATAAAATGAATTTTATATAACGCATGTATTTTTACTTTCAAAGAAGTCTTCAAAATGTTTGATGAAAATTTTTTTGATGGTTTAAAAATGATAGTTCATTTATTTTCACATAGTTGACCATTCCACTAATGCGCCTGAGAAAAAAATTTAAAAATGGTCTTCTATCTAACTTGGGATTTTTAGAGCATGGATTGAGTTTTCTCTATCGCAATGCACATTTTTTTATGATTTACAAGATGTAAAAGTTTATTCCAAGCCTTTTGTGACGTCGTTAAAACCTCGTCCAACGTGGGATCATAGATTGATTTTGAAGAAAGAGGTAAGAATAATTAGAATACCTAACGATTATTCTTATTTTATAATTTCGTAAAAGCACTATTGCCAATACACATTTAATATAAACGACAACTTTTTTGAAAATAGACATGTTTCGACATCTCATGATGCCATCTTCAGTATGAATGAAATAATCATTATGTATCATATTACTTTTATATAAACCCTGTATCACCTATTATTTCATTCATACTGAAGATGGCATCATGAGATGTCGAAACATGTCTATTTTCAAAAAAGTTGTCGTTTATATTAAATGTGTATTCTTATTTTGTTAAATGAATTGACAATTGTGTCAAAGTGTACAGTCACATCTATACATTGTTGTATGGTGGCTCAAATTTTACCCTTACTCTAGTTATTACCTAAGATTCCAGTAATTAATCTAATAATTTTAAATGTAAAAATTGAATTAATTTATATAATATAAAAATCGCACAATACGACTTAAACTCTAGTTATAACGCTTATATCAGAACTTATGAAACTTTTCACGATGGCAAAACTTTGTCTCCGAAAATGAAAACTTTAATTTCATTCTCTTTCAAGTTTAGGTGAACCAATTTTTTTACAAATGGGTGTAGTATTTTATATGTTATAGAATTTAGCTGCTCCCATTTGGTTAGGATGCTAAGACAATATGCTACTTTTTGATCGTTGTTATTGTTTTTTAAAGAAATATGTGAGAGGATCTTCAGAAAACATGGAAAACCGACTTGAACGACCTGATGTTAAAGACTTTATAACTTTGGATTGGCTTAAAGTCACTAAATATGACAAAATCAGCAACTAAATTGTTGAAATCGTATTTAAATATCAAAATTTACCTGTGCAAAAGCACAACAAGGTGGAAGAGGGTTGTGGAACGACGGACGATGTGGTAAGGATGACACATTGAGTTGTATTGAGTTGTTGTACACCCTAACTTAATCGCTAGAGCAGTGGAGCATATCATCTTTCTATTATTGTGTGTCATGCTTTTGTTTTTACGTAATTATTGTATGCTTGCTATGCTGTGCAGTATTATTTATTTTGTTAAAAATTGGTAAATTAGGAAAAGTTTTGATAAAAATAAATATGCCAAATTTTTTGTAAAAAGATTTAGAATAATTTTGTCTGTTATAAAATTCATATATTCATTTTATAATCCGTAAAAAACAATATCGTTCTGGCTACGTGTCTGGGCAGAGCTTGCTCTGCTTGCACCACTTGTAGACTTGGGATGTGTTCAAAAATAGAAAATTTTAAAATTTTAAACAACTCTGAAACAGAACAATTGAAAACATGTTTTTAAGCTAAAAGAATATATAGGCCAAAATCAATGACAGTGTTTGTGAGCTACAGAGTATTTATATATTTTCATCATTGTTTTGAATTTATGAATGGATTGCAATAATGCAACACATATGTGATTTAAAGGTAGTTTATGGCCGTATCATAGAGATAATAAATAAGGCATAGTCTTCCGCTGTAGCTTAACATCTGGGAATCGATTTTGCCCCCCCACCCCACCCCCAAAAAACGGGTACCATACAGTGGTACCATATTTTGGACTATAGATTATATTACGATGCCACCTCTAGTATTATATTATTTATAATCTCTATGGACGGTATGACGTCAGGTATTAAAGATGGCGGTGAATTTAAGCACCTGAGTCAATGACCTGAGTGGACTGTGGTCGGTGGACGTGCGAAGTCACAGATAAATTGTAAAAAGTCGACTGTTATTGTTTGTTGTATTGTTCTAAAAAGTCAATCTAACTACATCAGCCTTCACTATTGGAGATTTAATATCTGAAACAGAAAATTCAAAGATTTATGATATAATTCATTCTCAAGTTTCAAGTTTAAGAGCCAATATGCAAGACAGCAAGAGAGACCCAACTCCCAAGATTCTAAGACGTCAGCCCAAAATAATGAAAACAGGTACTGTTACCACTGTACATGAACCCTATCTTTACAAGACTTTGTAGTTTGTTGTATTCTGTCATGTAATTATTAAATAAATAGGACATATTTTTGATCATTTTAACTATGCATTATAACACATATTGTGTAAAAAATATGGCAAGTGAAATAGTATAACTTATAGATGAAGCCATGAGCTTGCTGAAATTTATTCTGAATTAAGGGATTGCGAATGATGACCTTGCACAGGGGGGAGAGATCGACTTTTTGGGAAAGAAAGACTGCTGTAGGAGAATGCACCTTTCTGTCCATGTTTAAAATAAGACCTTGTAAATTGCAATGGCATACAACACCATGTAATTACCTAGCACCCCATTTCTGCTAAAGGTTTGGCAGCTAGCCAGGGAGTTGTAAAAGCTGTGAATAAAATATGTGTAAGCATTGATCTTAATGTCCAATTGATGTGTCTCCCATTCCCATACGTAAGTATGCTGTGGATTTTTTAAAATTCTATAACCCTATTAGATTTCTTGCTTTGCTGGAACAGTTTGTAGAAAGTAGTGTGACATATATTACTCTATTACTCGACTTTAAACATTGTGAGATTTGATATGTAAGACTATCCACATGCTGATATTTTGTATCACTCGTATGATAGAGTATAACATATTAAGCTTATGAAGGCTCCAGTAAGTGTGACATGTGCAATTTGATGCAAATGTCACACTGAGCAAACTAAAACTAAAACTCATCAATGTCATAGCAAGCACATAGCAAGCATGTACGTAGACTATTGCATTATGACAGAAGGTGATGTAATGTATGCTCATTAATGATCACTGTAAGTATGACACATGGAAACCATTGGATATATATGTTCAGCACTGATTAATATAAGTAGTAAGTATGCTGCATTAATGACGCGTGAAATATGATTCATTTCAATACAAGGCATATAGCATTGTAAGCTCGCCAATGATTGATGTAAGGATAACACATGAAATTTAGTTATGTAGCAGCTAAAGATTATGTAAACTTAAAAAGGGCCTTACGCATTAGAACATGTGGTTTTTGAAAGGTATTTCTTCTAATCTTTCTGAAAGATATCTACATCATGTTGTTTTGAAATGGAAATTTTATATATTGATTATCATGATTGATTTAATCTTTGAATAATATAAATTTTGAATCGGAATTAGTCGATTTTCGTTTGTTGAATTTTATATTCATGAACATTATTGTTGGGTAAAATGGCAGGTGGGTTTGTGTACTTGTACATAATTAGACTGGAACATGGTTTTTCAAATCTAACAAAATATCAATTCAAATCAATAAAATCGTCTATGATCCTATCAATTAACGTCACAAGCGTTGCGTGAGAAGACACAGTGTCACAGATTAACACAGAGAGTTTGATAAACAACAGCTTATTCATTCATTTTTAGATTGACTTAAGTACTGTCGAAATTCCAATATTTTTCCTATGTATTGCACGAACATAAATGAACTTTAACGCCCAGGACGTTTATGTTATAACTTATAAACTACAATGAAAATTTCTCTTGAATTTTTATTGCTATGATTGATAATACGTTTTTCAAGTTCTCTCATAGTTTTATCAACTGGTATTCTATTTAGTCTATTGAGGAGAGAATTCTTTGGCATGCCAATGATACTTCTTGCTTTTATTTTTCTATTTCATTTTCTACGTATTCGGAGGACCACCCGGCCCTGACGGAAAGTCGGGAATGCTCGTTTTAAACCGCATACGTGTAGTTCCATTGATTTCTAGAAAAGGATCTGCGACATTTTCATCAATGGAAAAGATTTTTACAGACTTAAGAGCAATTTTAAGAACATCATTTTGTTTAATCCCAGTGGCATGTGAATACGTGCTTCATTATTACAGAAAGCAGACGCAATCACGAAATACACGGAAATATTAACGTATTTTAAGGGGCGAACTCGTCGTTTTAGCGAATTATACTCAAAACTTGCCTCCTAGGTATTGTACTGTAGTTAATCTTAATATGTGCGAGACACTTGCAAGTGTCATTACCACTGTGCGATAGTACTTAAAACTTTATTTTAACAAGATGTACCTATCTCTTACGTATACTTAGCTATTGATTCAGGAAACAGTTATAGAAATAGATTTTTTACATTTTGCTTGAACCCACTGACTAGAATGACTCATCAAAGTACTTATACTTTCATACAGGCTTATTTTATTCATTGATTGATTATTTTTGTGCTTTTATATTCATTTCATCCATATTTACCATACTTCGGGAGCTTAATCTTTGTGTATGAGCCGGAAATGAAAGGTGGAAATGGGAGAAACTCGGTAAAAGTTAAATGCATGTGTTCAAATGACAAACAAGTCGAGTGGTTATTTCGGATTAAATCTCCTGACTGCATTTAGGAGCAAAGGTTCAAACACTTGGAAGTAATAAATCTAATTTTCAAGAGAATAATTATTAAGTACCTGATAATGATAGACCACTGTGTCGGTTCTTTTATTCATCGCAACCTGCTTTTCAAGTAGATTTTCGGTAGAAAAAACCGAAAAGACCAACAAACGTAGCTATAAGAAACCGCAAACACCCCAATACATTTCCCCAATGTTGTATTAAAACATAATCATTTTCTGCAAATATGATTGGTTCCATTTGGAACAAATCGTGATTGTGTCGCTGTTTTGTACAGGAAATGATGTTGTTCTAAATGCATCGGTGTTTTTTCATCATTGTAAATCCTCTTGGCGTGTCGTAGTCGTTCATTAAGCAAGAAATGATTAAAATAATAACGTTGTCTCCACTGTTTATTATGCAACTCCTAGTGTTATCTTTGTATCTTTATGTCCACGGATGCAGGTAAAGAACAGTGTCTTTTACATTGTTCTTTTTATGTTAAAATGATTTAAAGTCATTTCTCTGCGAACTTAAAATTAAAGCATTGCTATTAAAAATTTTTAAAACTCATTGTTAACTTAGCAAATGTTACAAACTATATTTTGTAGCAAATTACAAGACTGCATGACTTCAGTAGCTATCATATTAACAAAATACTTTCATAAAAATTTGTGCAACGCCATTTCCTGAAATTTTGTTTGAGGCATTTTAGAGCATTCCAACCTTGTTTGCTGGGAATTGTCTTGTGGCTACAAAATATTAGTCAGTGAGAAAAATTGTGAAGAATGTGGCTATGGAGAAAATAGCGAACCTCTGCTGTAACAGCACTGAAAAATCAGTGGCGAAGGCAGCCGGCTTATTAAGTCCCGCTATAAAAATTTTGCTGTATTCATTTTATCGAAGTCTTTACAGAAAAGCAAATTTTGTGTGTGATAGTATTAGTTTGATAAATTTCATTTGCGGTCTGAGTTAGTGGGCGATTTTGGGTAATTTTTCTTAATGTCGTAAAAAAATATTCCTTATGACTAATTTTCTTCCTCAGTCGCTGCCTTCATCTTAAAAACAAACTGTTTATAAAGAAATAAATAATGATATTGTTGTAAAGATTACATTACAAAACCTATAGCTACGCTATTGCACATAACTAATATTTGCAACTTTATGGATAATTATCCAAACTAGAATATTCTCGTCTTAAGGCACCAAAATATTTACATATATTTCAACAAGACTATTAGAGACATGTTTTTAACCATCTGCTGTTCTCATTATTATGGCATGTTTCTGCCGCTTCCATTAAAAACAAAATTTTAGTTGCAATGTTTATGGATTAAGATCTTTTCTGTTGTTTAAATACAAATCAGTTTAGTTTCAAGATGTCTCACGAGTTAAACTTTAAGAAAAGAAAAACTTATTGAACGATAAACTGAGTCAAAATATGTTTTATGGCTTGGATTTTAATTACCTCCTTGATTAAGGACATTATATAAATTTGTTTTGTTGAAATACTTAAAGAATCACACAATGTCAGCTGCCAGGACATGAAAGTTCTTCGTCTCGCCACTGTTGACGGCTAGGAGTATGTTAGGGTAACTCCTACGATAAAAGCCGCGGCATTTGATATATCCATAGGACATAGATTGATTTTTGAATTAACACGCTTCAATAATCGACTGATTTGTGTGATTAAAATCTTAAGTGAATTTTTAAGTGAATTGAAGTATTCCGTTCTGTTTGATGCTTGCACGACCCCCACTTCGTGCTATTTTTGTCTATATTTATAGAATTGCTTGTTGGAGTCAAAAATTGATAAAATGCGGTTTAATTATATTCATATTATTTACGACACACTTATTTAACGTTGCTGTGCATGTTAGCTTCATTATATATAGTTATGAAAAACCATCTTTCATAGGATATTTTAAAACTCTGTCAATGTTTACATTTGAGCGTTTACATGGAACTGAACATTTTTGGGTTTTTCTTCGAGGATTTTTTTGAAAAGTGGTTTATTAATGCGAACAATCTGGCGAATAAACCATTTCTTTGTCTCTTTGTAATTAACGAATTGCAAGCAATTAAGTTCTCCACCTAAGTATCCAAATGCTGTGAAATGAAGTTTAAAATATTTTGATGATGGATTTCGATGAGGAACTTAAGAGCTATCATGTAGCGTGTTACTGCGTGATGCTTGCTGTTATCTTGTCTTTATGTAAATCATCTTTAGCATCTTAATTGCACAGGCCAGGCGGCAGCCAAAGCACTTAGACTCTTGAAAATGTATCGAGAATTGAAATAGGTGTGTTAATCCTTTCATAAAACAGTATGAAACCAATTCCGTACTCGATTTGTAGGAATGCGAAAAGGTTTCTAAAAATGTCTTTGCACTTTTTATGTTTTATTTAATTTTTCTGATGCCATATTTTTATGCTCATTGTGTATTATAGAGGAAAAAGAAGGTTGAAGTATATATTTCTTTGCATAAACTTGTCTTTCAACATAGTTAATTTATATGTTGTCCTTTTTCTCGTTCTTTACCCACATGAACTTTTAATACCCCAGACTTCCTATTGTCACATTACTTTGTGAGATCTTTGAGTGTGGAGCTAACAGAATTATATATTTTCTCAATATTACGTCGGAAAAACGTCAACAAATACCTTAAGATATTTTTATATCTTTTTGATGTGCGATAACGAGCTTGTAGCTTCCGACTTTGAAGTGTTCTTAATAGCTTGCACTCGGCTAAATGACCCATATACGGTTGTAATGCAGTTTTCATAAATAACATCATACAAAGATTTCTTAGGTCAATTTTAGGCATTTGAACATTATAGGAATGCTAAGATGTTAAGAATACATCTATATATGTTTGTTAAATGTAGAGTTAGGCACTCTTCTGTCAACGATTCAAACCACTTGTTTTTTTACGGTCTGTGTTGTAGGATTAAAATGCCACATAAAAGGCGGTTGTCCCTGCTTCTTCGGACATAACGCAATGTAATGTTAACACCTTAAAAATGTCGAAAGTTTTCTCGGGTAATTGAAAATTTAGATCGTGGGGAGAGTAATGGTTATGTAGTCTTTGCGCTTACGTTTACAGTGCCGACATTTAATTCACAAAAATAGCTGTTTACTGCTATAAACCAACAATTAATTTTTCGGCGCAACGCGTTTGAATGAAGCGGCACTAGGTCCGATCCGCGTTTCATTATTCTTCACCTTTTTACTTACCCGGTACGTGCGTCAGCCAATCACGATTAGGAATGAAACGGAACTTAGACAACAGCCTACATTTGGACCGCAGTTGGATTTTACATTAGTATTTGTGATGAGGTTTTTCCGGGCCGAAACTATATTTAAGAGAAGCTTCTTAACAAGCGTTAACATTTTGGAAAGAGCAACTGTTAGAAGAGGAACAATGAAAATGTATGTCTATTCTTTATTCTTAGTTGCCACTTTTTTACAATTTCCACGTAATGTTCTTGCAACTGGCCTATCTATATCGTCGCGGTCAAGCGCAGTAACCAAAGCAGATCTCTGGGAAAGACGAGTCAACACAAGTATTTGGCTTTTACAGAATAAACCTTGTAAATTCTTCACTTCAAGTGGTAATTGCTCAGAGCTGAAGTCTCGAGCAAGGAGTTCAATGATCTTGTACACTGCCAGTTCTGGTGATGAAAAGCTCGTTGCAGTTTCACCTGATAAAATTAAGCTTGTACCGACTTCTTATAAAGCAGTCGTAGTTTTAGATCCATACCCGTTATCAAGCTTTGGACATCCTGTTTTGGTGTTCTTCATTGAACCCTCAACTCAATCTGATTGCAACTCAAACAGAAAGTCAACTTTTACTCGTAAGTTATTGTAAAAAGAACATATCGTTCATACTATCTTCAAGGATATCGTTGTGCATAGATTGTCTTACGAGAAAATAATTAGCTAGCTACTTCTCATCTGTTGTGTTTATCTTATGTTTTTATCTTGCACGTTTGATGCTAGAATCTGGGAGGTGTTAATTTGCAATGCGTTGATTAATTTGGGGAATTTAAAAATGGAGTTCCTTTTGCATGTATTTTGACTTAACTCTGGGGAACTTTGGTTTCTTGCATGGTCAATTAAACCGTTAATGATGGAGACAAAAGATTAGCGTTATTCAGAAATTACCAATTAATGAAACATGACATTTGCGTGTATACCTCCCGTAACATAAAACTTACTACCGAAACATGAAATTAGCTACTGAAACTTTACCCTTGCAGAATGAGATGTGCTAAAATTACGTCTTTTATGTTGTAGATGGTGAGTGTGTTACAATTGCTCAAAAAAGTCGTCGATGTACGAACCGACTTCAGCAAGACCGGAGAAGAAAAAAGAGATGTGACATAAACTTTATTCCATCCGTCTTCACAAAAGTAGGTCGTCAAACATCGACATTGAAACAGCTTCTCCGTTGTGAATCGATTGTGCCCGGATTTGCTGCTTGTCCCACTTCACTGACCTTACATCCACTGGATGAAAAATGTTTGAACACCAAACGTTGTTCGACGACACCGATGTCAATCCGACAAAGAAATTGCATCGAGACCTGCGACTACGCTGTGATTCTCTCCGGTGGTTTTAACGAACATACAGCGACTATGAAGTCAAAACATAACATCAAGACCATGTGGCGATATCTCAGAAAAAATCATTTCAAACATGAAAATATTGTAACATTTGTTGGGAGCAGATACTATATTGAACGTAAGTTTATTATGCACTTCATTCATATTCATGTTTAAGTCATTTAAAGATTTACTTTTCGCTGACGTATATAGGTCAAATGTAACCTATAACCTATGTGGCAACAATGTTGCAATTTTATTATTTCGATTGAACACTTTTTTTGTCAATTCTATCGCCTTTTCAAAGCCGTAATGGTGCGAAGCTATTTATTTTTAACTTGACGATGATTTTGAATTCTACTTGTTCCCTTTTACCTTTGAAACAGTCGTATATGGAAAGAAGTAGCCTCTCCTCTCAGTTGCCTATCGCATCTTAGTGACATACCTAGTTGTGTAAAGCTTAAGCTAGGGGATTATAGCAACTTAGCAAAATTTGCTTCTTCAAAATAACCTTAAACCATAAGTGAAAGCAACGTATTAACTCATATTCGCGCATTTTCGAGCTACTTTGATGCGCAATCCATCGTTCTTTACACTCCTACGCACAATATTTTTTGATGAGGATCGCGTAATAATTGTCGGACATTTTTTTAATTGAATCAAATATTTTATCTTTGTTTCCTTGCCTGGTGATTTGTGATCGAAACAAATAGTTAATCTGACAGGTTTTGTGCGTCACTAAAAGTTTGGGCTGGATTGAAGCAGGTACGCGCAATTACCAAATTTCAATTTGCTTAGAACACTAGATTAGCGATTGATTATAATGTGTTAACTTCTCTTCAGTTTAACTGCTTGTGAAGATCCTTTATAAAAACAGACCTTGCTTAATTAAATGTCTACAGAATGTGAACGTACAGCAAGGATTATCGTTCTTTGTCGTATTATGATAGTTTATACCTCATGAGACGAAATTGGTGGACATCAACACTACCGACAAACGATGCAGAGTTTTTGGATCATGAAAGCGGCATAGTTTGAGATAACGTTTGTCACTTGTCGGTTGCAATTAAGCTATTTACTTAGCAATTAGCGCATCATGTCTTGAACATAGCATGCATGCATGATGCATGTATACCTAATGACTACAGGGAATGAGTTCATTTATTTTAACATAACCTATCCGTTTTTATAAATTTAACTGGAACTTCACTTCCTTCATGCATGTCCGTGCGTTATATATGAATTTGTTATGGTGAACTAACTTAATAATTTTGTTTGGAAGATTATCCCTGCATCGAATTATTTAATTCACTTAGTCTAACTGAGTTACCAACAAACCCCTATCGTAAACGACAAATTGTTGTCTCAGTGTCGGCTGTAAGAATCTCTCGGTTAAATTGTTGGGTTTCACTTACAAACACCAACAGTCCTTTTCTGGACTGTATTAACCTGGACGATTCACACTATTCATGTGTGCTTTCTCACAAATTCACGATCGATATTTGACAGCAATTTGGCTTGTGACGTATTTACTGGCTGTTTCGTAACTTCGTGGCTATTACTTCATAAACATAAAGTTTATTTCTTGAATTTTATACGTTAATTTTGTCGAAGAGCATTTATAGCAACAATTTTACTCATACTATAACTTAAGATTTCTTTCCTCTAGGTATCTAAACACAAACAAAAAACTAACATTGGTTGACATAACCGGCGTGTTTGCCATAATTTCTTTGTAGTTCTGGAAAATGTCTGAGATGCTATGACTTACAAATGAAAATATTTTGATTTAATCTTGTCGGAGTCTTTGCTACACACCCCGACATTTATTTATCGCATTCCAATCATTAAGCGATAATCGTCCGGACTGTTTTTTTGCTTGATGGGGGTGCGTTTATGTCTGGGGTGACATCCGAATTACTAAAAAGAACTACCCTGCAAGGGAAAAATACTTATAATATGAGGACTATTATGCTAGAAGTCATTTTTTTTTAAGTTTTATTGAAAAATTCTGTGAATCATTTTATAATGACATTTGTGACACTTGCTAATGTATTGTGACACATGTGTATTGTACTGCACGTGCATATATGCATTAGTTTGCCTCTCTCGTTGATTTTACCGCTCGACATATTGGAAACCACTCGAAGTGTTTTAATGTAACAACTAAATAGTTGTAAACGTGTTTCTTTATTTCCCTGAATTAATACCAAAGTTCTTGTACAAATATTCACCTGATCCTAAAGTCATTAAGTATTTGGTACTAATCATGCAATCCGATTTTTGTCAATAGACAAGTGCATGTCAGTCATTCTCTATAGATTGATCAAATGAGGTATTTCAATGGACCATTATTCAGGATGAAAAATATTTATCTTTGCATTAGACCTTTCTTCTTTCCCTTGTTATTACAAAAATGCATAAAAAATATTAATGCATAAAGCTTGCGATAGTTCACCATTCAATGTGTCTGTCTAACATGAAATATGTATTTGCGATGACTTTAGTAGACTCTACCCCCTACTCCCCTTTCCCTGATATGATCTAGATTATTAACACGTTCGTAGCATTGCACTTGGTTTTGATTCACAAAAGCATTTAGCTACACGCAAGCTATTTTTGCGGTGTGTCTTTGCTCTGCACAGTATTTCGATAAAAAATTTCATTCCCACGATGGAAACAGCTCAGTAAATAGTGAACTCCACAAAATAGTAATCATCAAGTTGACAGGTTATACTGGAAACCAAGGATTGAGATTTCCTGATCCTAACCTGTTTCCTTTATTGCTGCTGCAATGATACATTGACAACATAAATGTACTTATCAATAAGGGATTTCTTTATTGAACAGTAATTGCATTGATTTCAATTACCCAATTATTTTGAATACATTTGTCATTGTCAAAATTCAAATTGTAGCTTGATGCGAATTTTATTCATACCAGTCAAAATACAACGGCATGCCAGAACATCTTGAACTGGTTTAAGATATGGCAAAAGACACCATACATAGTCGACTAAAATAATAATTTCTATTTTTGTTTTTCATACTTGTAATTTTGAATTCTAAAAAGATTAACGAATACCATAAAAGCTAAAAAGACACGCGAACATTTCTTTGGTAGGTTTTACCTTGAAACTTACACGACAATTGAATTTTGCCATTTCTAACATAGTTTTGCTGATTTTTTTCTCTATTCTCATTATATCAGTGCCAAAACTTTTCATTATTTTCTTCTAGCACTTTAACTTAACAACCCGACATCATTAAACCATTTGAAAGTTACGATTGTCTTGTTCAACATAAGTTTGTTTTTCTTGCAGTTGATGGTAACTCGAACACAAAGGATAGCGTGCAAGCAGATAGTGAGTTTAGAATACGGAGTCAAATAAAAAACTTGTGCCTTTCAACCTGTGTGGATTCATTTGTCATATATCTGAATAAACCGACCAAAAGTAACGGGGAAATGCTGATTTGGGATGGAAACAGTGATGGCTTTAGTGAGGAATCGGAGAGATATGACATCAAAGAATTTATTGACGATCTAAGGAATTGCAAAGCAAAGCAAGTCACTGTTCTTGCAGATCAAAGCTTTTCTTCTCTTCTTTTGGAAAAATTCAGATCTGCAAAACGTCATTCGTCGCGTGGTACCCTAAAAAATGTTGTGATTGTCACGTCAACCAGTTCACACTCAACCAGCGGACGTTTTATAGAGAAGTGGGTTCGTTATTCACTGCCGAGACAGAATAGGCAACGGTGTTTGAAGGATGTGCTTCAGGTAAGATATGCTCCTATCCAAATGTGTTGTGTAAATTAGTAAGCTGTTGAAAGACTAGAGAATCAGTTTGTGGAAATGTAATGGATCATTTTTTAAGGTTAATGACACCTGTAACAATTTAAAGAATGCACGAATAAAACTTTGATAGACTTGGTTCTTGAATTCTTTTTTTAGGATATTACATCACTTTCCACCAATCAGTTTGAAGTGGACTTTGACAGTTCTACTCGGGAACTTTTGGACCGTACCATATATGGTGGGTCATGTGACCAAAGTTTACGCGTCTCAAGAAAAAAGATGGGATGTCGTCTTTTAACACGAAGAGAACAATTAATGAACAGAGGTTAATGAAAGCATTTGGTAGCTAATAAAATATTAACGTCGTGGGTCTTTCAGCCTAAAGAGGAGGAATTGAGCTCATTTTGAGCACAAAGTCAACTGTATTTAAACATATTCGATTGTGTCCAAGTATTTTTGGGTGAAATATATTTCTACTTAAGATAATGTAAAAATTATATATAGATGAACATGATGTTAAAATAGTTATTAATATAGCCAAGCTTTGTTTAAAGTAAATTTTGTGTGGTCAAGCTATCAGATGTGATTGAGTTGAAGTATTTATATTTATAGCATCAATTTACTGTGTTACTATTTTCCATCTGTTTTCATTTTTATCATGAAGACTTTATAGCAACAAAACTTTTTTCAAAGATTCTTGTATTCTTAGTGACTTGAAAAATATATAATTTATTTTAAGAAAAACATACATGTGTGATATCCATTTAACGATAAACTCGCGGTACTTTATGAAAAACAAACACAAAATGTCAATTGTGATTTTACAATGTTGAATTGTTGCACATAATTGCTACAATCATTAAAAATAGTTTTCCAGTCCATATCTTTCTCCTCCATCCACTAACCGTATTAAGTAACTGTTGATGAAAACTAGAAAAGAAAGTAGAAATGTAATACAAAGGAAGCAGACAAGTTTCTGCAAGAACGCCGAAATGCAGCGGAATAGTAGAAAGCAGGAAGAAAGCCAAAACCAGCAGAAAGGAAGCTGATAAGCAATGGAAAGAAAACAGAAAGAAAACCAAAAGAAAGGCAACAGAAAAGAAGCAGAAATGCAACAGAAACTTTTCTATAAGTTCAAAAGATACAGAATTGCATGACTACAAGTAAACCTATTCACATGTCATACACATGACTACAAGTAAACCTATTCACATGTCATACACATGACTACAAGTAAATCTATTCACATGTCATACACGCTTCTTCGTTTCTCTCCTTTTATAACTCTTAATCTTTACTTACTAAATGTCTATGACAACAAAAAAACAGCTTAGTTATTTTCAGCTCATAGGGAAAAGGAATTGGTTAAAGTGAAGCCTAGTATATTTTGAAAATGATAAATACATATATGTTATAGTTTTGTTAGGAAAACCATCGTAGTTCCTTTGTAACAGTATTTGCACAGACAGAAAACTGAGAAGTTAGTTATTGTACTATATACCATTCTGTATTTTTTTATGTATGACCTCTTGTGTAGACCGTTCCAGTAGTGTTGGTGAATGGATAATTTGGTAGAGTAGAATTTTGTATACTCGCTGAAGAAGTATTGCAGGTATCGAATTCATTAAACACTCCAGGAACAAGATGTATCGTGGAAATAAGAAATCAACAATTTTGCCTTAATATGTTCATCACATCAAAAGGTCGAAACAACGTTAAAACAAAAAAACCAAGAACACGAACTAAACACGACAAAACACATTGGGTTTGGGTATAATTTAATGTTGTTTTTCTAAAATGACATGTAATTGTATTGAACATGCGATTTAAAATGTCAATTCAAACAATTCATCATCATTTGCTATGATTTTAAAAAGCACACTTCTTTTTTAACAAATTGAAAGAATTAAAAGTTTTGTTAATCTGATTCGTATCTTTCCAACATGATAATAGCACGCTCCTTGTCGGTCAGTCGTCTGAATTTTTCGGGAATCAAAATAGCCAAAATACTTAAACAAAATAAAATCAAAACTACCCCCAAGAAATTCGCCAGCATTCTCTCTTCTCCCAGCTCTTGTCTTGATAAAAATACAAACGAAATACTTCAAAATCACGTGAGCTGCTAGTTTCTAGACTCCTCCCATTCACACATGAAAATTATATTGAAATTAAACCACTAAGCTGATGTGATTTAAGAGAGTTGCTTGATCTACTCGTTTTTTTTGTATATATTTTGTTTCCATCTGTAAATTTAAACTTACTTTATGCTAAAGGCGCTTTTTTCTGTGATTCCAATGCAGCATTGAAATGTGGAAGCGACAAAGATTGACAATCCAGTAAACTTGTGAAAATGATTAAACGCTTGCTTTGATGATTCCGAAATCCCGGGTAGTAAATGTACAATAATACCAGACAGCACCTATGATTCAATTTTTCGTATTGTGATTAAAAAAATGATTAAAATGATTTTTCATTATTAGGAAAATAATATATGCACAGGATCGTTCGGAGAAACTAATAGGCACTGGGCGCAGTCAAATTCCAAATAGAATTGTGACCAGATTATATGTTTTTTTGCTTCTTAATGGAAACATGAAAAATTACCTGAAAACCAAAGAGTGTCACAAGAACTATTCCTATCCATGAATGCAATGTATGAAAAGATTTTAACTTTTGTTGATCAGAGTACTTGAGGACTGCCGACAATCCCATGATTCCAAAGATAAAAGCTGCTACTTGTAGACATTTGTAAATAATTTTCACAAACATCAGGGATTCATTGCGGAACACTCGATAGGAAATCATTCCTATAAAAATATTTGAGTTCGATTGGGAACGTACGACTCTTAAGCAGATGATTATTAACATGTTTAAAGAACACTTCACTCACAAGATATTTATAACAATCGTTTGTTTTTTGTATTTTCCTAGTCTTTTGTTTCCGTTCATATTAGCAAAAAAATGTGACAACAACATGTTTAAAACTTTCATGACACTAAATTTCGTTCTTTATTTTGAACTTGGGATGTTACGCAATGAAAATGGGATGTTACTTCAATGAATTTTGATTTTTTTAGCATTTTTTAACATTTTTTTAAATTTAAATTTTTACCAACATCGGTCAATAAACCAAGAGGTTTTTCCAAACGTAGCTTCCATCATCCATTGACGTTTTTCAAGCTTTTTGAAATAGGTGTGTTATACGGGCAGTGAAAAAATTGTTATGAATATGAAGGCAAAGAAACAGTGGGAGTTTGTTTGCTCATTTTAATCATTTTAAGGCTTAAAAATCTCGTGACCGCTCATCTGTATAGATTGAGCTCTACGTCTTCTCCGTATAGTTTTGGGACTATGTTTATATTTGTTCCTTTACGTTTTTGTTCATAAGTTTGAAAATATATTTTTATTAAATTATAGCTGCAATTAAATATACTGTACCTCCAAAAGAATTTTAAATAAAGCTAACTTATACAGACACAACTATACAAAACAATACAGAAAATTTCTGTACAGACCTCAGTTCAAACTTCATTTCCAATGCGCAGTGAACAGAGGCGTAACTAGAACGTTAATTGGGGGGTGGGGGGGGGGGTGTATATATTCAGTTGTGCCATACTGATTTCTTTTGAAATTCAAATCACTTTCAAAAGAATTCAGTAGGGCACAACGGAATATACGAGGCCCATATTTATAACATGCTTGTAATGGACTGTTTTTTCTCACGTCAGTCACATCGAATATAACTTTGTATTACCTTGGAGTTCATATATCCTAATACGACAATCTGGAAACTAAATCCTCATTGCTATAGGGCAGAAAATGTACTACATATACAACACACTGATTAAAATGCACTTAGCGGTCAATGTTGCAGAACATCTTTGCCTTATTCGAGTTATTGGCTTTTCTTTCTTTAATATTAAGACATGCAAAACGCACTAGTTTATATTTGAAGGTCATTTACCATACTGTAATATACATCACTAAAAATAAATACCCTCAGCGTTTAAAAACACCAGACCAATGATCATAAATAGTGGATGGTAACCGAACAGTTTTGTTGAATCATTCCAAGCAAAACCACCATGATATTTTGAAAACCATACTGCAGTCATAACGATAACACATACACCAAGGATTTGTGAGATTGTTATGGAAGACGCGTATGCAACTCTTGGAAGGACTTTTTCTGTATTTGATTTCATGTCGAGATATTCAAACTTTTATTGAACATACAACACCGAACCTGTATAAGAAGACAATAACAAATTAGTCGTCTTAGCTTTCAAATACTTATGGAATTGATTGTATTACTTAACTTTTGATGTTTCAAATCGTTCAGAGTTATAAGACAATAACTTAGCAATGTAATTGAACACAGTATGTTGTCAAATGTTTCACTATGAAGAAGTCAACATACAGCTCTACGCATGAAAGGACAATTTAAACAAACATTATCTTTGGATTTTTCATACATGAGCAGTTAATGCTTATTATTATTCACTATGCGAGCATTCTCGGCTGTAATTGGAAAACTACCTGCAGATAATTCTCGATATCCGTAGGCTGTGACGTCATAACCTGCAGTAATAGTTTCTACAAATATGGCCGCCATTAAAGCCGGTTTTGCTAACAAATCAAACAACAGCGATGTTTGCCACAGTTTCTACAAAAGATGTGAAAGCTTTTAAGAAAAAAGGCTGCGGAAAACACTAAAAAAGCGGCGAAGCTGGATTTGAACACATTTACAACATATTTAAACGAGACGAACGTAAATAAACCGTCTGACAAAAACAAATTAGCGAAGCTTTAAAAATGTTTTATATTGATATGAACATAATAGCCCAACATAAGACTTTTAAAAAAGCCATCACAATAATAAAATAGAGAAAGATTTATTGATAACGTTTCGTCTTTAACTTAAGACATCTTCAGATTATTTGAGATAAATTATATACAGTTTAGATGACGGAATTAAGTGAGAATGGCGGTATATTAAAGAAGGTGAAGGGGGATTGAGTTGCCTTGGGTGTTAAGAGAGGGTTTAAGTTTGGATATAAGAAGGCTTTCATGAATCATAAGGTCATAATTGTCGGAGGAGGAAGAGAGAATTGAGAAGTCACTAAAATCGGCAGAGTGAGATGTATTTCTTATATGAGAAAGAACTGCAGATGGTGGTGGACATAAGGAAGGTTTCCCTGTTAAGGGAGAGATTCCCAAGTGTTCCGATATTCTGGTGTGCAAATGACGCGTGGTTTGACCCACATACGATGCAGAGCAGCATCGACACTTAAATGAGTATACAACACCAGATCTCAGGAGCTTGGGAACCCTATCTTTAAAAGGAAAGAAAGAGAAGAGACGCCTGGAAGAACGAAAAACAAAGCGAACGTTGATATGAGGAAAGGCAGCATTGCAGAGTCGAGTGATTTGAGTGCGAATCTGAAGACAGTGTAGGCCAGTGAAAGGGAGACAGAAGTACATGATTTTCTTAGGAGCAGTGTGAATAAGATCTTTGGGTTCAAATGTATTGTTGAGGAAGCGGTGAACATGATTGTCAAATATGTATATATATATATAATCTCTGGCCACGATTATATTGATATGTTTCGATAATACTTCAGCTTCGCTTCGGCAGATAACAATGACATCGGTCTGAATAATTCTTGATGTCATGCTCAACCTCATCCAATAATTGCTTAATAGAAGGTCAGACCATTAATCATGTGTCAAAATAACTCAAATTGTATAAAAGATTGTTAAACGAATAAAATAGTACATAGTACAGCTATTTCAATTTAAAATACATTGAGCTCATTCTATATTTGGAGTCATTTTCACCATAAGTATTCTTTAGAAATTTATAGCGAAGAACGTTGTTATACATATAATACAAGTATTTCGAATTTTAAATGAGCCTTTATATTTAATATAGTGACAAAGTTCTTAAAACGTTCGAATAAAATATGTAGAGCATAAAAAAGAAAGCCATAATGTGTCTGTCGCATGTCAATAGTCATAAAGGATGACCTCAGTGGGTAAGGCCCACTTGATTGTTGCAGTTAAAGATTGTATTGTGAATCTTAGTCTTCATGACAGTCATTTTGCAAGAATTTGTTCGCCACCTACTTTTTTTCATGATGCTGTAAAAGACCTAAGTAATTTGTTTTTGGCGTCAGGATGTGATTACATTAAGTCACGTATGAACTATGAACGTTTGAATAAATATGAAAATCAATAAATGTTTGCTCTCGAAATACACGGTAGATCGTGAGCACAAGAACAACAATGAGGCAACTATCTTGGTGTGACAAAGAGCAGAAATGCAGTATGACTCAGTCATTTGATTTTCAAAAGCACAAAGTGCTGACAATAGATTATTAAAACAATTATGTTTAGAAGACAAAGTTCAGCAACTGAAGACAAGCGGTCGTTTCTACTAACATTAAAATTTGAAGGGGTAGTCGAAACATTGGAGAAACAAGCGATTGCGAAGGGTCTTTGACACAATGTCAAACTAAAGCAAGTCGTTTATTGACATAAATGATAGATCTTCCGAGTTTTAACTATAAGTTAGATCAAATTCTGGTCCGTCTGTAAGTTGAAACATAATAGCGTGTCAGTTAGGTGCTTCAGAAAGAGTGTTTTTTCCCTGATATGGCACGCTTTGACGGACTCTGTTAGAGCCCATCGGCTTCATATTTAAAATTTCGCCAAGCCTATATGATTTATTCATATCCTGATTCATATCTTGTACATTCCCAATTTTATTCTCATGCTTTCTAAGCATCATTACTTTATCAATATCGAGGCGTAGAACTATCTTTGTTTTCCAGAATTTTATTTCGTCATTAACTCTCACAAGACTTTCACATGACTTTCTGATGTTGACACATTAGTCATGGTGGGCGACTTTCACATGACTTTCTGATGTTGACACATTAGTCATGGTGGGCGACTTTCACATGACTTTCTGATGTTGACACATTTGTCATGGTGGGCAATAAAGGGTTAGATTACTATGTACACAAGATAAACCAATTGAAGTGATTTTCATTGCTCTATTCACCCTGCATGACACTGTCACTCTGACATTCATTTGTCATTACACCTGCGTTTTTCACAATATAAATTTAACAAGATGTAATGCAGAGTTTCGATTTAAATTTCATATTTTTAGAATCTTAGTTTGACAGGAAACTTTGGAAATGTGTTCTGTTTTTAATCTACCTCAAAAACATAGTCAAATCATGCTGAATAATTACTTATGAAAGGTCTGTCACTGACTTGTCCCTTGTGCAAAATATTTTGTACACATGATTGACTAAAAGTACGCAAAAAGGGAGTTTATATGTGTATACAAATTTGGAAGTTGGGACCCAACTCATTTTTGCAGAGCAGCCAAAAGACCTTGTATAACAAGCAAAAATCTGTTTTCGAATCGACAAATTTTACTATAAGATCTATAAGTCCAGATCAATAGTTTGAAATATGAAAGGCAGTAAAAAATGTCTTTTACAATGTTCATCGAGGGGCAAATGCATGCATGTTTCTAGAATATAAATCAAAATTTTTGACAACATGCATTCATTCCGTGCAGACTGTAGCTCTGTTACTCTGTAACAACAATTTTAATTTGGCTTGTTTCTTAAATAACTTAGATCCTTGCTCTCTGTCCTATAAGCAAAGTTTTAACAACATTTTATTTAATAAACATCACTTTGAAGAAATGGAGGATTACTAATTAGCTAGGGGGTCTGTAGGCAAAACTGTTGGACTTAATAAAGTCGGATATCTATTCGTTCATTCTCTTGATGACATTTGTGTTCCTTACGCTCCTTTGCTTTTGTATTTCCCAGCTTGATTGTAACTCATCGTATCAACAATAAGGAATAAATTCAAAGTTAAAACTGGGAAAACCCACTACTGCATGAATACTGGTTATTGAACAGGAGATCGTACGGTTTTCAACATCATAAATGGTCTAAGGGAATGTAGGCTTCAGCCTATTTAGCCAACTTTTAATAATCCGCTACTGTTTTGAAGTTTGAACCACTGCTTTGATTGATCGACTCTTTGAACGTAAAAATTATATAAAAAGCATCTCGTTCCCAGATCCCAGGACATTCGCTAATGCCAGTGCGCAGTATTATTTTTAAACATTTTTAAGAGTTCACTTGTCATGCGTGACATTTGATTTGTTATGTCATTCGATTATAGCTAGCATATCTGAGTTGTCTTGTCTTAAACGATGTCTATCATGTCGGGAAGAAATGGCCACCAAACAAAATTTTTCCTCTCAATTATGAGCATTCAGTGCCTTGACATTGTTATTTTGATTCTAGTAGGTGTTTGGATGGGCCATTATCGTGGTGGTTTTGCTTGGGATGGCAGTGGGAAAGAGTTTAATTATCATCCTATTTTTATGGTTATATCCATGATATTTCTTAACAGCCAAGGTAAAAAGTATTAAATATTTCTTGTTCGTACTTGTTCGTCCAGTTGTATTTTAACGTCAAACATCTTGTTAAATCATGTTCGATTTGTCATGCTTTAACTTTCCTTGAAACCGTTGTATAAACGAACATATATGTAAAGTGATACAGTCATGTGATCTATTTCCACAAACCGACAATCGACATAACATTCAGCCTATGTTATAAACCAGAAATCCTTTTTCATTTTCTAGCCATGATTTCATACAGAGTTCTTTCTAATGATAAAAAGTTTTTAGTGAAATTACTTCATATGGCTATTCAGGCTATTGCATTTGGTTTTGGTGTTCTTGGTTTAAAGGCAGTTTTTGATTTTCACAATAAACATAATATTACCAACTTATACTCTCTGCATTCCTGGATTGGACTATCGTGTTTTATTCTTTTTGGCTGTCAGGTATGTTACTTCACCATTTGAATAAAAATTATTATAATACTCTCATCTTTCCCTAACTATTAATATGTAATGCACTGCATGCATCCTCTAAATTGAAAACTAAACTAAGACAAATGTTCTTGCTTAAACAAACATAAATTTTATAGCAAATCTAGAATGTGCCTTTCAAATTATGTCAAGTGTATCATTGCTTTTCATTTAATTTGCTTCTCATGTTGTCAACATTCTAGCCCTAAGTTACTCCAATCTTGCTGTGTCATGCTATATCGGTTTTCTGTTTGCATGATAGGTATGTGTAAATTTTTTTTTTGCACAAAATTAATTTCTACAATTTAGTTTGCTTGTGGATTTCTGGGCTTTCTCTATCCAAAGCTACCTGATGTTCCAAGAACATTTTACCTGAAAGTACATGTTTTTTTTGGTACATCAATTTTCTTGATGGCTGTTGCTGCATGTCTCACTGGAATAACTGAAAAGGCCGTTTTTACAATTTGGTAAGATAATATAAAAATTTGTATGTATGGTTTGTAAAATCTGTATAGTTTTGCCTATGATAAAAGGCATTATGTAATTTTCATTTCTAAATGTTTCTATACATTTATACTCAATTTGATTGGTATAATGATTTTGTATCTGAGGTGGCAGAAGAGGATTTAATTTGGGGGGGTTGAATCCTGAGGTAGGGGTTTTCACACAAAGAGCCTCAAGAATTAGGAAATGTTAGAGTGCTTTGCCTTAAAAAGTCTAAAATGTATTGTCTTAATACTTGCAATATTTATAAAAGTATTGGAGAATGCCTATTGTATAATATTGCAATGCTCCAGGCACCCAAAAATCTCCATCGCCTTTCATAAACGACAGTAAAACTTTTTCCCATCATCATAGTCAGTAGTACTCATGTAATAGAGCATTCTCAAATAATTACAACCCTATCCCTAACTCCCCTATGTTATGTTAACACAATGTTGGGAAGATTTTAGCCTGCCTAGCCTCCCTGGTTTGATGCAGCAGTCTGTTAGTTACCAGACTCCTCACTTACACTCACAGCAAAATACGTTACTGAGGAAATGTTGAAGATGTTAATATTGCAACAGATGTGTTTACATTTTTTATTAAATACATTAAAGCACTTTGCCCATATAGGCTGTATGTATTGTGATTGTTTGAAAGTATTACTTTAACATGAGTGTTTATTTTAGGAAAAAAAATGCACAACTTTCTAAGGAGACAGTTCTTGTTGACATTCTTGGTATTGCTTTGATTGTACATGCTGGTCTGATGTATTATGTCATGTCAAATGATGATTTTAAACGAGTAGATGCCAATGAGCAAGAACAGAGGCATTTGTTGGGTCAAAGTGACGAAAGTGAAACCTAAGAATAAGTGAAATGTCAATGAATAAACGAAATAATGATCTAATTTCTTTCAAAGACACTTTATCATTTAGTTCATCAATCATCATAGCAATTTAATTATTACACTGATTTCAAAGCATTTGGTGTGTTGTGTCATTTTTAAAAATTTATTAATTTTCTTTCAGATTATGTTACAAGCTATAACATGCGGTTTTTTCTTGAAAATATTGCTTGAACATGTTTTTCAAATGGTTTATTTTTCAATTCTCAAAGCTGCAGAAATTAGAGGTGGCACATGGAACCCTGCTGATCATAATTCTGCTTGTGTGCTTGTGTTCAAAGTAAAACGCGGTTGATTAAAAAAATCTGCGACTATTTTTTTATTTACACCCAGCAATATTACATCATCAGTTTGTCTACATTTGAATTTTTAAAACAAACATGGATGACTAGATGTAGTGTTGGTACTACACCCACTGGCGGATTGCATTTTCTGTTAGTAACCCCATAGGGTAAAAAATGGGAAAAGTTCATTTTAAAGTTAAAACGAAATTTCAAAAATCATTGACATGATAAGGGAAATAAGAAAAGCAATACTTCATGACTTCTGAGCATTGCGCATTTGAACAGTAGATAGTACGAAAGCTATTTTTCCTCTGCATTCAATTGCATGTAAGGTTTTCAACAGCATGAATGATCTAAGCACATTAACCTAGCTTGGAACAGCAAAAACATTCAAATCATAATTATGTCCAAATACAACTGGCTTTTCAAAAGCCCTTGCCTGTAGGCTTAAGCCTACTCAGTCTACTGGATAATCCGCCCCTGACTTGTAACTGCACAAAGTATAGGGAATATACAGTAGGTCCTCTTCGCTGTGCAGCTTGTTGCTGTATATTTAATAAGATTACTGGCTGCCGTAAGTCATTTCATCATTCTTATTGGTCAGAAATTGCAATTGACTGACTGCCACTATGGTAATCATATGCGCAATGAGATATGCGTGGCACAAAAAAATTCAATGGAATGGCTCTACTGTATGTTCTTTGTACTGTTCACCATATCAATCCAGATGGTAACTGATCTTCACTTCATATTGTAAGCAAAATGATCAAAACAAATTTTCCTCGTCATTCAGCGTACTGAAAGAAGTGACTTGTTAACTACTCACTCTGTGGAAAACTGCACTGTCAAAAACAAAATGCGTCTTTTTATTGGCATTTTAACAGAAATTTGAAGTCTTAGTGTTAGTTGTTTAGAGATAAATACAATCTTAGTCTTAGTAATGTTAATCTTACACCTGGTGTAGATTTAGAGCTGTTATTAGTTTTAGTGTGGATGTTAGTCTTAGTCTTAGCGACAGTGTTCGTATTATATATGGTATTGACCTTAGTGATAATTTTAGACATAATGCTAGTGTTAGTATTAGTGATAGATGTACGTACATAGGCTTACTGTCCTTGTGCAAATGTTTGTTTTAATTAGTGCTGATACTAATCTTGGTGCTGGTGTTAATTTTTAGTGCTAGTCTTAGTGGTGGTGTTAGTTTAAGTGCTGGTGTTAGTCTTAATGGTAGTTTTAGCCTCAATGACGGTGTTATGAATTTTATATGACATCGTAATTCTCTAAAGAACTCTCTTTGAATGACTTTGAAAATAGCGTGACGTCACAACAGGACATTAATTGTCTTAGGAAACGAGAAAAAGTAAATTTTTTTGTCGGGATTTTTGCAGTGTTGCTATTGAAGCCATAAAACGAGCAAGACAAGGTTATATGTTAACATATTTACACAAGACTTGTATTTGCCGCAAAGGGCTTACCCTGTTGTCACGTCATTTTGCTAAAACATAAAAAATTAGCATAACAAAAATATTTACAAGATGGCGACAACCACGCCACGATTTCAATCAAAAAGAGGCGAATCTTTTCACACAAAAGACAGTGATTACAAACTTTGCTGTTTTGTTTCATATTTAGGGGTAATGTACTGTAATAAATATAAAAAATATATAGTGCCATTTCCCTTTAACAATGAAAGCAAAAGAGTATAATGATGATTTAGTCTTTTATGACAACTTTTGCTTTTCTCTCTATTCCTTTCTTTTCTTCTCGATGCCTCTTCTCTACTCTCCTTATATGTTCTTCACAACTTTTCTCTCCTTTTATCGTGTGAAAATGCATAAAAGTGCGTCAACTACAGTCTTTGGTATGAAAATGTAAGGAAATTTGTGGACTATAGTCTTTGGCATGAAAATGCGTAAAAATGCATGAACTATACTCTCTTTGGCATGAAAATAGGTGAAAATTCAAGAACTATAGTCTTTGGCATAAAAATGTGGGAAAATGCATGAACTATAGTCTTTGGCATAAAAATGCGTGAAAATGCATGAATTATAGTCTTTGGCATGAAAACGTGTTAAGATCATGAACTATAGTCTTTGCCATGAAAATGTGTGAAAATTATGAAGTATAGTCTTTGACATGGAAATATGTTAAAATCATGAATTATAGTCGTTGGCCTGAAAACGTGTGAAAATCAATGACTATAGTCTTTTGGATGAAAATGCATTAAATCATAAACTATAGACTTTGACATGAAAATGTGTGAAAATCATAAACTATAGTCTTTGGCATGAAAACGTGTGAAAATCATGATCTATAGTCTTTGGCATGAAAATGTGTGAAAATCAATGAATATAGTCTTTTGGATGAAAATATATGAAAATCATGAACTATAGTCTTTGGCATGAAAACGTGTGAAAATCGTGATCTATAGTCTTTGGCATGAAAATGTGTGAAAATCAATGAATTATAGTCTTTGGCATGAAATAAAAATGAAATTATGGAATTATGGTGAAAAATGAAAATGGATGAAAATGGCATGAAAATAGTCAGCATGGAAAATGTGAAAATGTATAAAATCATGGAAATAGTCTTTGGCATGAAAATGTGAAAATGCGTGAACTATACTCTTTGCCATGAAAATACGTGATAATGCATGAACTATAGTCTTTGGCATGGAAATATGTGAAAATGCATAAACTATAGTCTTTGGCATGAAAATGTGTGAAAATCAATGACTATAGTCTTTTGGATGAAAATGTATGAAAATCATGAACTATAGTCGTTGGCATGAAAATGTGTGAAAATCATGAACTTTAGTCTTTGTCATGAAAACGTGTTAGAATAATGAATTATTGTCTTTGGCATGAAAATGTGTGAAAATCACGAACTATAGTCTTTGGCATGAAAATGTGTGAAAATCATGAACTATAGTCTTTGGCATGAAATTGTGTGAAAGTGCATGAACTAAAGTCTTTGGCATGAAAACGTGAAAATGCATGAACTATAGTCTTTAGCTTGGAAATATGGGAAAATGCGTGAACTGTAGTCTTTTGCATGTAAATATGTGAAAATGCATGAACTATAGTCTTTGGCATGAAAACGTGTTAAAATCATGAAATATAGTTTTTGCCATGAAAATGTGTGAAAATCATAAACTATAGTCTTTGGCATGAAAACGTGTGAAAATCATGATCTATAGTCTTTGGCATGAAAATGTGTGAAAATCAATGACTACAGTCTTTTGGATGAAAATGTATGAAAATCATGAACTATAGTTTTTGGCATGAAAATGTATGAAAATCATGAACTTTAGTCTTTGGCATGAAAATGTGTTAAAATCATGAACTATAGTACTTGGCATGAAAATGTGTGAAAATCATAAACAATAGTCTTTGGCATGAAAATGTATAAAATCATGAATTATAGTCTTTGGCATGAAAATGTGTTAAAATCATAAACTATAGTCTTTGGCATAAAAATGTGTAAAAATCATGAACTTTAAACTTTCGCATGAAAACGTGTTAAAATAATAGATTATAGTCTTTGGCATGAAAATGTGTGAAAATCATGAACTATAGTCTTTGGCATGAAATTGTGTGAAAGGGCATGGACTATAGACTTTCGCATGAAAGCGTGTTAAAATAATGAATTATAGTCTTTGGCATGAAAATGTGTGAAAATCAATGACTATAGTCTTTTGGATGAAAATGTATGAAAATCATGAACTATAGTCTTTGGCATGAAAATGTATGAAAATCATGAACTATAGTCTTTGGCATGAAAATGTGTTAAAATCATGAACTATAGTCTTTGGCATGAAAATGTGTGAAAATCATAAACTATAGTCTTTGGCATGAAAATGTAAAATCATGAATTATAGTCTTTGGCATGAAAACGTGTTAAAATCATAAACTATAGTCTTTGGCATGAAAATGTGTAAAAATCATGAACTTTAAACTTTCGCATAAAAACGTGTTAAAATAATGAATTATAGTCTTTGGCATGAAAATGTGTGAAAATCATGAACTATAGTCTTTGGCATGAAAACGTGTTAAAATCATGAACTATAGTCTTTGGCATGAAAATGTGTGAAAATCATAAACTATAGTCTTTGGTATGAAAATGTGTAAAAATCATGAACTTTAAACTTTCGCATGAAAACGTGTTAAAATAATGAATTATAGTCTTTGGCATGAAAATGTGTGAAAATCACGAACTATAGACTTTGGCATGAAAATGTGTAAAAATCATGAACTTTAAACTTTCGCATGAAAACGTGTTAAAATAATGAATTATAGTCTTTGGCATGAAAACGTGTTAAAATCATAAACTATAGTCTTTGGCATGAAAATGTGTAAAAATCAATGACTATAGTCTTTGGCATGAAAATGTGTAAAAATCATGAACTTTAAACTTTCGCATGAAAACATGTTAAAATAATGAATTATAGTCTTTGGCATGAAAATGTGTGAAAATCACGAACTATAGTCTTTGGCATGAAAATGTGTAAAAATCATGAACTTTAAACTTTCGCATGAAAACGTGTTAAAATAATGAATTATAGTCTTTGGCATGAAAATGTGTGAAAATCATGAGCTATAGTCTTTGGCATGAAATTGTGTGAAAGGGCATGAACTATAGACTTTTGCATGAAAACGTGTTAAAATAATGAATTATAGTCTTTGGCATGAAAATGTGTGAAAATCACGAACTATAGACTTTGGCATGAAAATGTGTAAAAATCATGAACTTTAAACTTTCGCATGAAAACGTGTTAAAATAATGAATTATAGT